GTGGTGCGAGAGTATTCGTTCTTGAGCGCTGTCCACTGTTGGTGCGCTGTCTTATCGAGATCGATCGTGACGACGATGCCTGCGTCGACCGTCTGTAGGATCCAGCTTGATGCAGCGTTGTTCTTCCGGTCCCATTCAGCGGCTAGTGCAGCGTCGCTAGTCGGTCTCGGGGTGCTGCCGTTAATGACCTCCCAAACTCCAGCGTGTCGGAATGCGGCCGTCATCCTCTTCGACCACGGCGTGTAGGTCTCTTCTCCGGTGAGCGGATGCGTCGTGGGAAGAGAACCGGACATTGAAGGGATGACCCACGCATCCGAGGATCCGGCGCCAGAAGAACCTGCCATCGGACCGGGACTCGGAGGAGTAGATGTGGGGTCTGGATCCGGGTCGGATTTGGGCATTCACAGGAGCTGTCCAGCTCCTCTTCGTGATGTGTGGTTGATCACGGATATAGTCCGCCGTGTAGGTGAGCTCGCTCTGTCTAGACGCGGACAGGGCTCATAACCTAACGACACACAGTGAGTGCGAGCTCAGTCGGGGACAGTAACGACTGAGGTATGAGCGAGCGGCCGAGCGAGCGCTATGCCGGGGCTCCTCGGAGAGCGCCGAAGAACTGTACAGTACCAACTAAACTAAAATAGGTAAGACAGTATCGGACGTCCGTCCTCGAGCTGTATCGTAGGAGATAAGATAATCAACACACAATTATTCACATGCATTGCCATGGTCGAGCGCACTCGGTATTAGTAATGAGATTCCGCAGCTAGCCCCTCTCTCATTTCCTGCATGCACTCAGCGCGCACTCCTGGATATTCAGCGCATGCCGACAGAATACCCTGCCACTGGCGTTCATATCAATGACAACATACACCGCTACTGGCGTTCGGATAAGCTCATATGAGTGGGCGCTCTATACCTGCTACTACCGTCTATATGTACCACATAGCCACACATATGAGTGCCCTCACACCCTGCCACCTATACATATTATAAAAGTGGCTGCTTATATGAGTGCATTAGTGTCTTTCCCTCATATGAACTTTGTAGCGCCTTGCCACTCATATGAGCTCGTCCCCTCATATGAGCTCGCCCCCTCATATGAGCTCGCCCCCTCATATGAGCTCGCTCCCTCATATGAGCTCGCTCTCCTCATATGAGCTCATCGGCGTCTCACCCCTCATATGAGCTTATTAATATCCCACCCTTAATATGAATGCACCAGCATTACACAGCTCCCATTAGCACATCTGGGAACTGGCATACTCTATTGCATGCCTGTGTTTCTTTGCATGTATAGGTGCACCCATGCCAGAGCAATTCTTCAGCTTATCATATCACTGAGACACAGGAACTGTACTCTGAAAGGACAGGAAACTGCACCAGCTGTGCAACCGAAACAGACAGAATGGGTGCCCATTAGTTCCATTTTTATTCACACAATGCGCAAAGAGAGAGCAAGAAACCCATGATAGAAAGTGCAAGGCTCAAGCCAATCTCCGAAATCGGCAATTGACTCCCCCCGGGGGTCACCTCCGGGCCGGTAATTGACTCCCCCTGGGGGTCGATCTCCGAGTTTTTGATCACCTGTGTATCTCCGAGTTTTTGACCACCTGTGTACCTCCAACTTTTTGATTGCCTGTGTATATTGTCAGCCTTCATTACCAGACTGCCTGTATCTATTACCGAGTTTTTGGACATCTGTGTGTATTACTGCTTTCATTGCCGAGTTTTTGATTGCTGGTGCCTGTTACCGGTCCTCATTACCAACTTTTTGACTGCCTCAATCCATCACTGAGTCTTTGTTCGCCTCCAGCCTTTGACACCGAGTTTTTTATCACTGATATTGGTAATATTAGATGAGTTAGTATGCCTGTACTAAACACCCTCTCCCTAGGAAGTCACCCTTCACAGCTGCATGTGTTGATGGAAATTGACCAAGCTGTTTGCTGGATCAGGTAGTAGCATGCAAGAGCTGTGGGTGTGCAAATCTGGAGGGCAGTAGCTGCAAAAGTGAGGGAGTAATGGGGTATGATATTCTAAAATGACATACCAAACACAGACATGGGATGAGAGTGTATCACATCCCAGACACCTAGATATATTCACAGAGGATGATTTAAATGCAATGCAGAAGAGAGCGCACAGAAATCAGGATTTCTGATGAAGATACAAGATATGTGTGGAAAGTGGAAGTTCTGAGAAAACACAACATGCATAAGTTCATGTGCAGACATTATATCAACAGGCTATTTGCTGCATCACAATTGAGTACTATTGGGGTGCTCAGATCGGAATTTGCAAGCTTATCGGTGATGAGATGCATATGGGGCACCATATGTCATTATTTCATGACATACAGTATCCTGACACAGCATATGCTCCGATTAGAATGCAAAAACATGGAATAGAACGGGGTAGAACATAGCTATCCAACGCAGAAAAGACCTTGAAAAACGGTTGAGAATCAGTGGAGATGTGCAAGGTGAGCCAGAAGTGTGGTTGTAGTGAAAAGCGAGGTCAGAGTACATTCAGCATAAACCACACTTCTGGCTCACCTTGCACATCTCCACTGATTCTCAACCGTTTTTCAAGGTCTTTTCTGCGTTGGATAGCTATGTTCTACCCCGTTCTATTCCATGTTTTTGCATTCTAATCGGAGCATATGCTGTGTCAGGATACTGTATGTCATGAAATAATGACATATGGTGCCCCATATGCATCTCATCACCGATAAGCTTGCAAATTCCGATCTGAGCACCCCAATAGTACTCAATTGTGATGCAGCAAATAGCCTGTTGATATAATGTCTGCACATGAACTTATGCATGTTGTGTTTTCTCAGAACTTCCACTTTCCACACATATCTTGTATCTTCATCAGAAATCCTGATTTCTGTGCGCTCTCTTCTGCATTGCATTTAAATCATCCTCTGTGAATATATCTAGGTGTCTGGGATGTGATACACTCTCATCCCATGTCTGTGTTTGGTATGTCATTTTAGAATATCATACCCCATTACTCCCTCACTTTTGCAGCTACTGCCCTCCAGATTTGCACACCCACAGCTCTTGCATGCTACTACCTGATCCAGCAAACAGCTTGGTCAATTTCCATCAACACATGCAGCTGTGAAGGGTGACTTCCTAGGGAGAGGGTGTTTAGTACAGGCATACTAACTCATCTAATATTACCAATATCAGTGATAAAAAACTCGGTGTCAAAGGCTGGAGGCGAACAAAGACTCAGTGATGGATTGAGGCAGTCAAAAAGTTGGTAATGAGGACCGGTAACAGGCACCAGCAATCAAAAACTCGGCAATGAAAGCAGTAATACACACAGATGTCCAAAAACTCGGTAATAGATACAGGCAGTCTGGTAATGAAGGCTGACAATATACACAGGCAATCAAAAAGTTGGAGGTACACAGGTGGTCAAAAACTCGGAGATACACAGGTGATCAAAAACTCGGAGATCGACCCCCAGGGGGAGTCAATTACCGGCCCGGAGGTGACCCCCGGGGGGAGTCAATTGCCGATTTCGGAGATTGGCTTGAGCCTTGCACTTTCTATCATGGGTTTCTTGCTCTCTCTTTGCGCATTGTGTGAATAAAAATGGAACTAATGGGCACCCATTCTGTCTGTTTCGGTTGCACAGCTGGTGCAGTTTCCTGTCCTTTCAGAGTACAGTTCCTGTGTCTCAGTGATATGATAAGCTGAAGAATTGCTCTGGCATGGGTGCACCTATACATGCAAAGAAACACAGGCATGCAATAGAGTATGCCAGTTCCCAGATGTGCTAATGGGAGCTGTGTAATGCTGGTGCATTCATATTAAGGGTGGGATATTAATAAGCTCATATGAGGGGTGAGACGCCGATGAGCTCATATGAGGAGAGCGAGCTCATATGAGGGAGCGAGCTCATATGAGGGGGCGAGCTCATATGAGGGGGCGAGCTCATATGAGGGGGGCGAGCGCCGAGCTCATATGAGGGGACGAGCTCATATGAGTGGCAAGGCGCTACAAAGTTCATATGAGGGAAAGACACTAATGCACTCATATAAGCAGCCACTTTTATAATATGTATAGGTGGCAGGGTGTGAGGGCACTCATATGTGTGGCTATGTGGTACATATAGACGGTAGTAGCAGGTATAGAGCGCCCACTCATATGAGCTTATCCGAACGCCAGTAGCGGTGTATGTTGTCATTGATATGAACGCCAGTGGCAGGGTATTCTGGCGCCACCCAGTGGGATATTGACGTCGGCTCCTCCGCCGCTCTCAAGCATTATAGTTCTGACTCTTCACGCGGACGTACTCGCTGAGTTGAATTCATCACTGAGGGTCTGTGGATAGTCGGTGCAAGCTTCAGGCAATATGGCATCTGTCCTCGGGGCTGAGACACTCGCGCTTACTGCCTGCTTCGGTGATCCAAGCATCGTCGAACATCCAGTGGGGCGCTACCGCTATTCTTACATTCCCTCAATGTAGTATGGGATCACCTCTCGGCGAATCACATAGCTCTCAGCTTCGCGAACACAGATGCTATCGTCCAGTGGCACGTTCGCGGCAGGGAAGGCCATCTCGCCCTGGGAGCGCGATGCCGGCCCAAACTCTGTTGGCATTTATTTCTCAAGAAAAGAATCGGAGGCGCTCCGACGCGGTCGCGTGCGTGTTCCACATATGGAGCGTGCGGTCGCTGTATCAGACCAGGATCGCCCTCGACGCAACTTGGCCCCTTCCGTCTCGCCCTCACGTCTCTTCCCGTCCATCTCTCGTTACCTCCCAGTCATCGACGCCCTCTGTGCCATCAGGTACAGCAAAACCCATCGACTGTCTTGGATACTCTCATCGTGCGTCCGCTCTTCCGATGCTTTGTATCGCATTTGCTCATGCTCCCGAAGTGCCTGGACTCCTCCCGCGAACCGTACACGTCAACTCGCACTTGGTACTGATGCTTATTGGTGCGTGAAATGCCTGTGCTAATATTCGGGAGGGAGGCGATGTGGCTCCTGGGCACCGCGCGCGCGAACCTCGTTTTCTTTCCCCAACCTGGACGCGTTGATGAAGGCTATGCTATACTGTCACACACCTGGGGAGAAGAGGAGGATACGTTTCAAAAGGTTCAAAAGCTGAACGTAGGATCCAACAGCACCTTCTCCCCGGAAGACCAACACCCCTTGCCTCGAGCCGAGGTCCGATATCTCATTTCTGAAGCAGTCTTAAGGGAATCTGCGGCTCGCAGAGACTTGGAAGATGTGCTCCATCGAGTGGAATCCCAGATCATGCAGATACTCCAGTTGAACCCTCGCCGTACCAATTCCTCCGCCGCCGTCGTCCGTGATCCCACCGAATGGAATCACCGAGACAGGCCATCATCCAGTACTGAATGTGAGCCTGGTAAGTGCAATCGAAGGTCGCGGTTCCTCCTCGGCGCTGACATACGGGACCCAAGACCCCGAGCCACATCGGTCGTCTCCACCATGGTTCAACCCACGCGATCGCCTTACTCCAAAAATTAGATCATTCCTTGAGCTCTCTGAGAAGCATGGGTACAAGTACGCTTGGGTCGACACTTGCTGTATCAACAAGGAGAGCAGTGCCGAGCTCTCCGAAGGCATCAATTCCATGTTCCGCTACTATGCCCTCTCCAGTATCTGCTACGTCTACCTCAGCGACGTCGAATACTCATCCCGGTACAAAACATGGAACGAATTCCGACTAAGCCGCTGGCACAGGCGGGGCTGGACTCTGCAAGAGCTCATCGCGTCCCGCGTCCTCGTGTTCTATTCCAAGGAGTGGACCTGTCTGGGCACCAAGTACGAGCTCGCCGAGCACATACAAAAAACAACTGGAATATCAGAGGCAGTTCTCCGCTTCGAGATCCCGTTTACCGACGTTAGTATCGCGACGCGCATATCCTGGGCGGCGGATCGGGAAACCACGCGGCCGGAAGACGCTGCTTACAGCCTCTTCGGGCTTTTCGGGGTCAACATGCCGACACTCTACGGCGAAGGGCGATACGCATTCTGCCGGCTCCTCATGGAGATCTCGAAGAATTCGGGGGATCCTTCGATTTTTCTCTTGGGAAGTCGATGGTACCATAAGGGCGGGTTGGAAGACCTCAAATCGCACGTCCAGGGACAGCCCAAAAGCCAAATCCATCGTCATCTTCTCCCCCTTCAGCCTTCGCCGGCTGTTCGCACGATATCCAGGCCCAACGCTGTGTTCTACGACCCGGGAGCACGCTCTCAGAGATGGAAGAATGAGGTACACTGGTATGGGTTACTTTCCACGCTGCATTGCATTGACGAATATTTTAGCAAGCCACGACCGCAGAACTCCGTGCTCCCATATTCTCCATGTGGGATCGAGCTCCACGCGGCCGTTATACCTCTAGATGATACAAATAGATTCCTCTTCGTCGACTTATTCTGCAGGGATCCCCAACCCGTCTTTCTCTTGCTTGAAAGGGTTGACGACGAGCTCAATGCTGGCGCTGCTCCACTATACCAGCCTGCGGAGAGACCCGTTGTGCGGTTGGATAAACCAACCACGGCAATCACCTCACATGGCTGGACGATGACGAATCTGCGCGTTGTAGCCCTCCCGCCGTACACCGGCGACCTCTTCGAGAGCGAAACCGCAGGGATGGAGTCGCTGAGGCGCTTCTGCGAATCTACCACTACCAGCTCCCCCTTTCACCTCGTCTTTCGCGACTTCCTCCGGCTCCGAGACAAGTACATCTACTTCAACGGCGACACAAGCACCCTCCCTGCTCCTTCTTCCACCGGAGACGTCTATCTTTTTTTGAACCACATCATAGTTGGCCCGAACCTTGGGCCGAGCCTCGTTGTCGTTCTTGGGACATGCACTTACGCCGAGTCCCCCGTCGACAACCACCTGCACTCGTCTAGGCCAGCCTCTGTATCATTCCATACTGCGACAATGACGCCAGGTCCAGGCGTACCACGCCGACAACGCTTCTGCGTCCTTAGTTTGTCTGAATCTACGGCTGCGCACTGGTGCAAGACGGACCACATCGACATACAAGGACCATGGCCAGTGCAGCGCCGGATACGAGGTCCGTTTGGGGTCCGTTGGGCGGAGAGACGCTGCTAGTGAGAGTCCATGTGCGTTGATTGGTGTATAGCTTCCGGTGTGGTGGGGACGAGATGTAGAGCGCGACTTATTAAAATACCATCGTACATCATTCATGTTTTAGACAGCCTACAGAAATTTACCGACAGCTCCATCTATCACTATTGTCGCGCATGCAATGGTCGCTAAAATGCCGTTACACGCACGTCGCGACTTCATGTAGCAGTGCTGCCTCTCGGGATGTCGAGTGGCCGACGCCAGGGGCAGAAGTGCCCCGCCACTGCTCCCACGTCGCCAGCAGTACGCACGTCTGTCCCGTCGAGGCTGGGTCGACGGAGTGCGCCCGCTGATTCGCTGTCAAGAGTCGTCAGGTCTTTCGGCCTTCCGTTGAGCGTTTTGGTTGGTTCCGCGCGGACTAAAGTGGTGGAAAGCCGGAGGGTGACGAGCGCCTCAGGCGACGGCGGGGGATCGGTTGCTCGATTGGGCACTAACGCCTAGCAAGGCAATGACGACATGTGCGGGCGCCGCGCGGGCCCGCGGAGCGCGCACGAGCGCGCTTGGATTGGTTGCACTCTGGCCGTCGGCTCACCTGGTATGGTTCAAAATTGGCTGGTGGGACATTCTCGTGAAGTCGGGTTGCAGCATTATGTAATGTGAAGATGAAACCTCGAGAGGGACATCTGGCGATTGACCCCCTCATGATCATTAACGCGTGAGTGCAGCCGCACTAGTAGACACAAAGGTTTAAAATGCGACACTAAAACCCTCCATTTGTTCAAGAACAACTCGCCGTCCCCGCTCGTCTCGCGGCGGAGCGGCGCAAAAAGCGAAACAAAAATGGATATCGATGTTGAGTCAAACGAGCGACCTGGAAAGTCCAGCCCTCGTTCCCCCGAGCCCCGCGATCTCGCTCAAGCGAGGACCTTCGCGACGGCGGTGTACGCCGCCTTGTCCGCAAAGTTGGCGTCGAACAGGAGCGGGGTCTCCGACGCGCGCCACGAGTCGGGGTCGCGCACGCCCCAGAGCGTGATCGACTGGCATTTGGTCTCCGCGAGGCACGCGTTGACGACCGCGGTGTAGTCCGCCGCGCCCGCCTGCCCGATGTCGAGCTCGGTGATCGCGACCTCCTTCACGTTCTTCGCCGACGCGAGGAGCTTGATCGCGGCCGCGACGCCGCCCGCACCGCCGGCCTACGTAGGGAGGATGGGTCTGTGAGTACGCGGTGCTTACGACGGAGGAACGAAGAAGAGGACGTACGCCGAGGTGAGTCTGGGTGCCGATGCCGTCGATGACCACGCCGTTGGCGTTGACCGTGTTGACGAGGTTGACGAGCCCCTTAGCCTTCGCGTTCGCGCTGTCCAGGCTGGGAGTGACGCACATCAGCCTCTCCCTCCTCAACAACAAGTCGTGGCACGGGCCGGGAACTCACTTGAAGTCGTTGATGTAGAGCAGCGCCTCGGGGTCCGCCTTGCGCGCGGCCGCGAACGAGAGGTCGACGAAGGACGTGCCGAGCAGGTTCGAGAATACGGACGAGCGCACGGAGCCGTCCTCGTTGAACATCTCGTTCACGACGTCCCACGAACGCACCTTGCCCGCGTACCGGCCGGCGACCGTCGCGATGTGGTTCTGGATCGCGGACGTGAGCACGGTCTTGTCCGTGATCGACGACACCCAGGTCGGCAGCTGCGAGTGCCACACTGCGTGCGCGTCAGCGGCGGGCGGAGGGCGTCAGGGACAGAACGAGAGACGTACCGAGCGTGTGCGCGCGGACGAGGATGCCATTCGTGGTCGCGTAGTTGACGAGCGCGTCCGCGCCCGAAAGAGTGAACTGGCCGGGGTTCGGCTCCGTCTGTCCCATCCCGCCCACGCACCGGTCCATGTTCAGCTCATCGCGCCCCGACCGACAGAACCATCGCACGGACTCACCGCGTCCCACTTCATCGAGTTCTCGGGCGTGACGCTCCCGAACTCGCGCAGCGTCACCGCCGAGTTCTGCGCGTTCGAGAACCGGCCCTGGTCGGACGCCGTGCCGACGAACGCGCGGCCCTTGGCCTTGAAGAGCTTGTCGAGCCCGGTCGCCGCGCGGACGGAGAGCGCGGACGTCTCGGCGACGGGGCGCGCGTCGAGCGGGAGCGCGACGATCGTGGCGATCGCGACGAAGGCGGTGAAGAAGGACTTCATGGTTAATGAGGGGTGGGCAGAGGAGGGAGAGCGGGTAAGGAAGGTGGGCGGGAAGGGTCCTCTGGCGCTGGACTGGGTCGAAAGAAGGTGTTCGAGCTGCAACCTCGCCGGGAGGGGGTGTGAGGAGCGGCGTGCTCCTCCGCGCGGGCTCTTATGCTCACGGAGAATAGCGACATAAGCGTGCCGTGCAACACGCCACACCAGCCGATTTGTGAGACCAGTTGCGACTTGGCAGGAGACGCGGTTTGTGAAGTGGGAAGAACATGGATACCGGTCGTAATTGACGGAGGAGTCTGGACACCTGGTGGAGAGTCGAGGCGGGCCGTCCGGCAGGAGGCGGGCGTGGTTACCCCGCCGGAATAGCGAAGATCACCATCAGGCTCGGGCGCGACACGGAGAGTGCGAAGGTCGCATGTTTTTATGTTGGCTGGTGGAGGTATATAGAACCTGTACATTGTCCGAATTTCAGAGGTCAAGTTGAAGAAAGCCGGGATGATGTCTACTCAGCGTAGTGATCCGGGCTCGTAGATGTAGTCTAGTGTGGGTCTATTTATTCTATCGAGGACTTAATGTTACCGAGGTACCAGTCGGAGTGGTGGACCCTGCGCACGTGGAGGAGTGTGTTCGGAGTGTTCTGACAGAACGGCTGGCGGTTGCACGTCGTCATGCTGGCCGTGTCCCGGCGTCGCGCGCCTGTTCTCCGCCAAGCTAATGTCGGCCCGGCGGGAGCCGTAGTGGCACCCGAGACTCGAGTCATCTTCCACATGAACCCACCAGCCCGCGACTGCATACTTGAAAATTAAGATCTTGCCCGTAAGCCAATTCGTCTACCGCATCAGTCAGGCACAAATACCTTGCGTGAATCCCGGCATTCTATGACGCTAGATCGGGCCACCGAGCGGGTTGCGCGCGAGCAATTTCGGTAGCTGCGTAGCAACCAGGCCAAGCAAAGTACTTACTACCAGAACGTGAGAGGGAGAGAGAATGTGCGGTTCGGCGCCTCCCCTACATGGAGATACCCCGGAACCCGAGCGAGCATTGAGGTAATCGAGATTGGTTCCAAACGGTTGCCCGGCGTGCGTCCCTTCCCCAGGCCCCATGCCCAACATGTACACAGGCCCAGGAATTAGCGAGCGCCGGGTGCATTCCGCTGCACCGGCGTACACTGCGTTCCAACCAGGGCAGGCTATGGAGAGCATAGGCAAGCCTCGTAACCGCCTGGCTCCCAGTGAAATGCATAGCGCGTGCATTCACCTTCCTCGCCAGAGGAAAAACTGATATCCCCTGAACCAGGATCGAACTAGTGACCTTGAGATGACAAGTTTCCATTACAGTCTCACGCTCTTCCAACTGAGCTATCAGGGGATTAATAGCCGAGTGTTAGATATATATAGATCCAGTAGTCTTTTAGTCCGGTGCGAAACTCGCCTCGTGCTTCGCACTCGTAATTCTCCTTGGACTTGCGCTGGTCAACTGACCAGCTGCCACCATCTGCACCCAGCTCAGAAAGTCCACGCGGCTCTGTCTTTCCTGATCTCACCCATATCTTTCACCAACTTGTCGCTGTCTTGGAATGCATAACGGCCCTCGAGCTCACTTTGCAAAATCTTGAGTGCTCGGAAGGAACACCCGTTGTCTACATTCATGGATGGCTTCTCTTCGCCGCTCGTGACGTAGCACGGTGGGCTCATGACCATGCGCTCGACGCTCATCACGGCATTGAACGGTACCGCGGGGAGCATTCAAAAGGTGAGCATGCAGTTGCAGTTCTCGACTCGCGCCCTTCCCCCGATGTTATCCCTACTAGTCCTCTCGGGGCTTGCGAGCGTTGGTGTCGCCGCCGTGAACGTCTCCATACCGCTCTCTCCGCCAGAAAACTCACAACCTTTGTCGCCCACCCTAGTCTCCTTCTCACTTGAGCAAGATCGATGGCCCGACTGGGTCGGCATCGACTCCCGCAACGACTTCACACACCACGCCCTCGTCCGCCTCGCGTCCCTCACCGGCGTGCCCACGAAGATTCGCGTTGGCGCAAACTCAGAAGACCACACCTTCTGGTCGCCGACGGTGACTGTGAACGAAGATGAGTTCCCTCCCGCGGACACGATCACCCCCTACCCCGAGGCGACGAAGATCACGGTAGGCGACAAGTACTACACCCTCTCCCGCTGGCTACCCCGCGGCACGCATATGACCTGGGGCGTCAACCTCGGCGCCGACAACGCTACCAACGCCGCGAACATGGCCGCGTCTATCGTCAAAGCGTTCAAGAGCGCTGTTGTCAAAGCTTCGGGTGTAGTCCTTGACTATATCGAGATCGGGAATGAGGCAGATCTGTACAAGAACAACGGCCTGCGGCCGAAGAATTGGACCGTCGAGGAGTACGTCCAAGACTGGATCTCCATCGCAGGCCCGGTTGCCGAGGCAGCGGGCATCCAGGACACGCGTGGGGCCGTGTCTTTGCAAGGTGCTGCGTTCGCCGGTCAGGGGTTCACACCGCGCGAGATATTTGCGCTCGGTATCTTGGACAGCACTCCCGGGAAAGCGATCTCCATGTGCGTATGGACGTTTTCGCGCGCATATAGTCGCCTCACGCGCATGGGACAGCATCTCGCAGCACCAGTACTCGGCCGCGTTCTGCAACGGAGGCGACTTTCCACTCACGTCGTTCATGAACAAGACGTATGTGCGCGGAAACTTGACACACTTTATCCCCGATATCGCGGCCGCGACAGAGCAAGGCTTCCCGTACATCCTCGGGTAAGTGGATTATACTCGCCACCGCCATGTCTACCGCGAGTCCTGAACATGTCCACTGCAGAGAAACCAACAGTATTGCGTGCCACGGGGCTCCCGGCGTCAGTAATACAGCCGGTGCGGCGCTCTGGACGATCGACTACACTCTCCAAGCCGCCACTCTCGGCATCGCTGAGCTCTTCTTCCACGAGGGCATCGGCTTCAAGTACAATTTTGTGAGCCCCTCTCGCCCCGGCTCCGTCAGCTCTCCGCTCATCCCCAGATTCAGATCCAGCCCATCGCGCTCAACAGGTCGACCATCGACGGCTCCCCGCTCGATCCACCGCAGCCGCCACACGTCCAGCCTCTGTTCTACGGAGGTCTAGTGCTCAACACCCTCGTTGGCCGCATTGGCCACTCGCGCATCGTGGAGCTCGACGTCGGCGACGACAACGTCTCGGGCTACGCCGCGTACGAGCGCGGGCGCGTCGTCCGCGCCGTGTTCGTCAACCTCCACGCCTGGCTCGCGTCCACGGCCGGAGAGCGCCCGAGCGTCCACATCGACCTGGGTTTCGCGCGGGGCACGGGCGCGGCGGAGGACGCATTTTGGAGCGGGGGGCGGGAGGCGCGCGCGAGGCGGCTGGTCGTCGAGCATGCGGACGACGTCGCGAACCTGACGTGGGCGGGGCGGAGCTTCGAGCGGAGCAGCGACGTGTCGCCGACGGGCTCGAAGGACGAGGAGAGGATCGTGCTGAGCCAGGGGCTGGATCTGCGCTCGACCGAGGCAGTCTTGCTGGTGTTCTGATCAGAGGGCAGGATGCGGAAAGGGAGAGTGGACTTTGTGCGTACTTTCGTCGTCCATGAGCTGTACGATGCTATCACGAATGCACCAGAGGTTGCTTGTACGCCTACGTACGCGCTGCTCGACGGACCTCCGTCCGAACCCACGATCTTACGGGATTGCCTTTCCTGGCAACGCTGTTCGCGCGCGGTGGTGTCAACGGATCAGGCGAGTGCTTCTTGCACTCCGCTCCCTGGGACCTCCGCAGTCTGTGGACAGAGATGTGGAAAGCTGGGCGTTCCCATACTCGGTGGCGCGGAAGTCCTTGTGCGGGGCGACGGGGGCGATGGTGCTTGATGCACATCATTCCAGCCCCGAACTGGGCCATCTGTCCATCTGTACCTCCATCGCAGCTGCTATCGACCTATCGCGATGAGAAAGAACGTAGGTTTCTTTGAGAATAGGTCCGATTCTGATGATGTACTTCACAGTGCCGACGGATGTCGCCAACGCTATAGTCACCGAGAACTGGGGGTGCATGTCGAAGACCTTTTCACCTTTCGATTTGCTCTTGGTGAGAGCCATACCCATCGACACTGCCTTCAGTGCTTGGCGTCCTGAAAGCGAGAGTACTCATGACCTCGTTCGCACCTAGGATCCGCACCCTCATGGCACTCGTGCAGGGCTGCGTGTACCAAAGGGTGCGCGATCGCTGAGAGAGCGAGGCTCGGGAACCTCTCGTCGCATCGATGATATCAACGCGTCGTGTGAGTGACGCTGGGGACACTCGCCCTTCCCACACCCCAAAGGGTGCGGTCGCGCTTCGTCAACGGATGGAAATCGAGGAAGAGTGGCGTCGAGCCCGCCTCGCCATCTCCAGTCTACCATGGGGAGTATAAAAATCTCGGGCGCGAGCAGCGCGAGCAACCTCTCCCGCTGCCCGCGTTCCACTCGAGCCATGGTGCCGCTCTCCCACTCCCGCTCGCGTCGGACGACTCCCAAGCGCCTCCTCGTGGCGTCAACCGTACTCGCTGTGTGCGCATCTGCCGTGGCGCTCACCGTCTCCGTCCCGCTCGCCGCGCCCGCCTCCGCCTCCGCACTCGCGCCCACGCTCGTCTCCTTCTCGATCGAGCAAGACCGGTGGCCAGGCTGGACGGGCACGACCGCGCGGAACGCCTTCACCTCCAACGCGCTCGCCAACTACGCCGCGCTCACCGGGCGCGCGCCGACCGTGCGCGTCGGCGCGGACTCGGAGGACCGCACGACGTTCGCCGCGTCCGAGGTGCTCGTCTCCGCGTCCTTCCCCGCCCCCGACGCGGTCACGCCCTTCCCAGAGGCGTCGCGGGTGACGGTCGGGGCCGCGTACTACGCCCTCGCGCGCTTCCTCCCGCCGGGCACTCACATGGTCTGGGGCGTGAATCTCGGGGCGAACGACCCGGGGAACGCGGTGAGCATGGCGAAGGCGATCGTGGCGGCGTTCGAAGACCCGGATGTGCGCGCGGCGGGGATTGTGCTGGACAGGCTGGAGGTCGGGAACGAGCCAGACCTGTACACGACGAACAGGCTGAGGGCATCGGGGTGGGGCGTGGACGACTACATGCGCGACTGGGAGGCGAGCGCGGGAGCGGTGGCGCAGGCCGTCGGGCTTGGAAGCAGGGGCGGCCCAGTGACGTTCCAAGGCGCGGCGTTTGCGGGGCAGGGCTCGTTTTCTCCGAAAACGATATTCGATTTGGGGATCTTGAGGAGCAGTCCGGGGAAGGCGATCTCGACGTACGTGGATCGCTCCAATTGGCAAAATTCCGTTACTTATGCAAAGTGTAGAATATCGCAGCACCACTACTCTGCGTTCTTTTGCAGTGGAGGTAGCTTCTCGTTGGAGAGCTTCATGAGCAAGGTGTCCATTCGGTCCAACTTGTCGACATTCAGCGCAGACATTGCGGCAACACGCGCGCAAGGGCTGGATTACATTCTTGGGTGGGTCCAGCAGTCTGCGGAGCTTACCCATGCACTAACTCTTGTTTTAGAGAGACGAATAGCGTCGCTTGCCACGGCGCTCCTGGCGTGAGTAACACCGCGGGCGCCGCGCTCTGGGCCATCGACTACATGCTCCAGGCTGCAACTCTCGGCATCAAGGAGACGTATTTCCACCACGGCGTCGGATACAAGTACAACTTCGTACGCTCTCCGTCTTCTCGCGTCGTCCTCTGCTGTTCATCACGCTCGCTCGCAGTTTCAGCCCATCGCGCTGAACCGGTCCACCACCACCGGAAAACCGCTCTCCACCCCCCAGCCCCCGCACATACTCCCCGCCTACTACGCCGGCCTCGTCGTCAACACCCTCATCGGCCGCACCGGCGTCGCGCGGGTGTCCGAGCTCCCCGTCGCCGACGACGCTCTTTCCGCCTACGCCGCGTTCGAGAACGGAAAGCTCGCGCGCCTCGCCATCGTCGACCTCTCGCCGTGGCTCAAGTCGAGCACCGGCGCGCGTCCCACCCGACGCGTCGCGCTCGACTTCGCCGCCGGGGGGCTCGGGAACCGGACGCTCGTCGCGCGCAGGCTGGTGGCCCCGCACGCGGACGACACCGCGGGGCTCACGTGGGCGGGGCGGAGCTTCGAGACCGCGGATGCGCTGCCGGTGGGACAGGAGACGACGGAGGTGGTGGACCCGGCGCGGGGCGTGAGCGTGCGGGCGAGTGAGGCGGTCGTCGTCGAGCTCGTCGCGGCGAACGCGGGTGGGGGCGCGAGCGCGACGTCTGCGGTGAGCTCGAGCGCGACGGCTGGCCCGGATGAAGCGACGGCGACGGTGGACTCGACCATGGGGGCGAGTGTGGGCGGAGCGGAGGCGAGTGCGAGCGTGAGTGGGAGTCGAAATGCGGCCAAAGTGGGAGCGGGAGTTGGAGTCGGCGTGGGGGTTGTCGTCGTGCTTGCGGCGGTGGGGGCATGGCTGCACGCGCGAAGGAGAGCATCCACAAAGCGCGAGGGGAGGTGGAGAGCGATGTACCCGGTGAGTGTCCAGCGTGCTGTCCGAGTACTTGCACAACCTGACGCGATGTCCCTCCCACAGCGACGGGCTGGATCGTGGTCTACTATTATTTCGTCAACGCCTCTTGCTCGTCGTGCCTCGAGAGACGCATCAACCTTACACAATTAACTGTGTTTAAATTCGAGTCCTCCATGTGAAGTCTTCGGATGTGTATCAAAGTTTGAACATGTTACTTACATTCAATGTCGTATAATCACCTTACGAACTTTGATGTATCCACAGTCCGGATGATTTGAGCTTGATTTGAGTAGCGGGACGGTTCGGTGGGCGAACATATTCCCGGATCTAAAACTTTCCCGTGTTGGACGACCGTAGCGCGCGACCCCAAGCGCAAGCGCCAGAGCTGAGCGACTCGCACTCCCGTCCTCCACTGCAACCACACGCTCCCCCAGCTCTATGACTCTGTAGACATCAAGGCCGCTTGAACTAGCATGAGAACACTAGGGTGCTCAATTGCCACGGTAGCATCGACACCCTCCTGGCACTGCGGCGCGAAGACCTTCAGACGAACGCAAAAGACGAACGCAAGGGATGGGACCGCTGCGCTAGTCCGCGCCACGCACCCAGCCTTTTCCCAAGGCGAGACGCTTAGGGAGGTGACTGGAGCGGAAAGGCTGTTCTTCGGCGCCGTTGAAGAGGTGGGCCTTTGTGAGCATTCCTGGTTCTATTGCGTACTTCGCCATCCCTCCTTGCCCTGTGCGACAATGCACTGCTGGTTTCTCTTTCCGTTCTGCTGCCACATCAAAAACGATAGCATGCGGCAATTGAGCACGTCATTGCTTCGCATTTTTGCCTGTGGTCATCTTGCTCGTTCCGTGGGCTCGGAAGGTTCAAGGAGTAGACAGCGAGCTTCACAGTCCTGGGACACGTGATGTTGCGCTTCCTGTTACTGAGATTCATCGAAAATCCTATCGCTGTTGACGCGGCATGTGTTCTTCCTTGCTTTGTTCCTAGGTCTGCTCCATGGGACGGAAACCCAACAAAGACCATCCATCGATGCACCAGCACACGTGAATCCCGGTGCATACAACCCGCTCGACTGACCCGACCGCCTCACCACCGCTCTCCCCTCGACAACAGCAGTGTCACCTTCGAGCCAAAAATCTAATAAGCTGCCGAGAACAACCTCGCTTTGTAAGTTGCAAAACTCCAGTTGCTCTCCCCGTGTGGACTAAAAACGTCACAGATGGCTCGCGAGATCCAGAGGCTCCCGTTCAACCTTCTGGTGAAAGTGATGGCTTTCGCAGATGACAAAACAGTTTCCTGTCTCATGAAGACCAGCAAACGTCTCCACCACTGTGGCGCTCGGTTCCTCCTGGACTACAGCCTCATCTCTCTCAGCATGGACGAGGATCTTCGTTCACTCATGACCTTCCTCTGCGTCCACGGCGGATATCGCCTCAGCTACCTCGAAGGGCTAGACCTCGACATACCATCGTTGAAGCCAGACTCTGCCAAGCTGCTCGAGAGGTTATTGGGCGAGTTCACATCCCAGACCCGCCTCAAGACGCTGCATATTCTTGATGTCGAGAGTTTGCTGGCCACTCGTCCGAGCCTCGCCCATCGGTTCGCTGCGTTGTCGACCATCAAGCACATCCGTTTCGGAGAAGTTGGCCGTCTGGGCTCGCAGATGCTACACAAGTTCCGGTCGCAGCTCGTGACGGTTGACATTGCCTGGAAGTCTGTTCAAGACTGTGCCAATGACAGCGCAGAAGAAGACTCCAGGAACCCAATCCTTGTGCTGAAGAACTCGCAGTCAACGCTCACTTCTCTCGTTGCACACAACGCGTTCGTACTTGTCGACGACTCGACGCGGCCCTTCCATGATGAAGTCTATCCGCACGTCACCCGGCTTGTCCTCGCGGACATCGATACCTCGCAGATCCTCCCCCTCGTCCGCGCGTTCCCGAACCTCACCCACCTCGACTTCAACATCCGGGCAGACGTGATGCGCGACCTGTACGACGACCCTGAGCGCTCGTTCACTCAGCATTGCATCTTTAACACGAGCGATCAAGACGCCCACGGCTCGTGGAACTCGCTCGTGCACTGTGGCGCGCCCCTCATCGACCTGTATACCCTCGCGCCACGCTGTCCGACTCGCGCCTTGCACGTCAACGGACCCGCAGTGCACGCGGAGCTTCTGTCCGCGGTCCTAGCGCTCACGCGGCCGGTGCAGCTGGTGCTGGAGGAGGTCGATGGGACAATGCTCGCGCAGGCGCTCCCGTGGTTGGCTCCCGGCTGCGTCGAGAAGATCGAGTGTCTAGAGGCGGTCATCGTGGTGCACGGGTCGTCAGCTCTCGGACGCAGAGTCGACGCGTCTGTGATGGTGGTGCGCTCCCATCTCCGCTCGCCCCGCGCTCCTTTCTCACCTTTCCGTCCCTGGTGCAGGAGACCTTCGTCAAACACCTTTCGGTGTGGACCTCGATCACCGCGTTGGCGCTCACCATTGTCTGCGTGTCCTTGCCCGCGCCGCTCCCGGCGGTCGACGCCGACCTCTCCGCGGCGGAGGCATACCTCGGCGCGCTGGACCCCGACACGCTGGGTCGTCGCTTCCAGGCCAGCGCGCCGTCCCTCCGCACAGTCCTACTCAAGCTCGAGGGGCTGCGCGAGCGCAAGTCCGCGCGCGCTTCTCTCGGTGGGCCACCTTGCGCGGACTTCGACCTTATGCAGTCGATGGCAGAGGATGTGGATGGCGGCGACGGGGACTCAGGAGAGGCTTAGGTGTGCGAGCTTTGTAGCCAGTAAGTAACCGGGCTATCTCAACGAGTCTGTACAGTGCATAGAAGATATCGCCCCATCGCTACTCAACAATGCCAGAGGTCAGCCGGACCAGGTGTACAATGGCTCGCCGTAAAAAGGACGTGATTGATCTGGACAAAAGCGTGGGTATGTGGCAAGCGTCCATCTTCGTCCTGGCCGTCATGCATGCCTGTACTTGTTTGTTCGTGGTCCTCATTGTCTGTCGGCTGCGGCTGAATGTCTAATCGGCCTATGACTCTCTTTGTCGAGGTGGTTGGCTTCGCCTCTGGCGAGTCGTCTCCAGGACTCTGTCGGTGTACAAAACGTACTTTCATCGTCACTGTGCTTTTCAAGGTCGTCTCTTACTCAGAGCACGCTTTCAGCTGCTTCGTTGCTGGTCTGCCATGGACGTCGTGAGTTATCTCCCGTGCATGCTTCTCTATACTAACCGCGCTCTAACGCACTTTTGTTTCTAGGCACTGCGGCGACCATCCCTCCCGTGGGACGTCCTCTACCACATCGCCTCCCAATGCGACTCGGACTCTATCATCCACGCTTTGATGAACACCTGCCGCTATCTGAACGAGCATGCCGTCAGGTTCCTCCAGAGAGCTCGCGAGGCCCGGGTCCGTGTAATGCGCGATCTCCATCGCCTCGCCGCCTTCCTCCGCGCACAGGGCCAAACCCGCTGGCGATACCTCAATCGGTTGCATATCCGGCTCTGGAGGGGAGAGGGTTTTGAGCCCAAGGAGCAAGTGCAAGCTCTGCTCGATCTGTTGGACGCTCTCGGTCCCGCGCCCGCGCTACGGGAGCTCACCTTTTACAGACTGGAGCTCTACCTTCCGCTCAACCCCGCGATCGCGGTCGCCCTCTCCTCCTTACCGTCAGTCAGAACGATCAAGCTCATCAGCATCGGCCCCAACACTCTACGATTCCTCGCCCAGGTCCCGTGGGCGGTCAACCACGCCTTCTTGGACCTCAGCCCCTACTTCCTCCACTCCGGAAACCCTCTGTCGGCACTGCACCGGCTGCTGTTCCGATATCTGCACCGGATACGCGGCACGCTCTGGACGTTGCACCTCAACGGGGCGCGGAACGGGATGTTCGCCGGGGCGCGCGACGTGGAGAACCTGCAGTTCCCCATGCTCCAGTGGCTCCGGCTCGTGTTCGCGACGAACCGGGAGCACTACAGCTTCGCGCGCGAGCTCCCGAACGCGATCGCGCTCTTTCCGAACCTGCTCTCGCTCGCGATGCACGACTCGGACGACTACCAGTGGGTAGACATCCACTACGAATCCGACGAGGACGAGGACGACGAGGCGCGCGACGACACGGTCCCGGATGACTTCGTCGACGCCAACGGCGCGTGGCAGGACGAGCACGGGTCGTGGGGCGACCTGAAGCTGCTCGACGCGCCGCTGTGGTCCGTGTACGGGCTCGCGCTCCGCTCCCGCGTGGACACGCTGCGGACGGGCGCGGTGCTGTTCGACGGGCCGCAGGTGCGGACGAAGCTCGCGCCGGTGCTCGAGGCGCTCAGCCCGCGCGTGCTCGCGCTCCGCGTGCAGGGCTTCGACGTCGTCGATGACCCGGGGTTCGTGCGCGCGTTCGAGCCCGAGCGCGTGCCGCGGCTGGAGAAGCTCGATCTGCGCTTTGTCGAGGAGGACATCGAGGACGCTGTGCCGCAGCGCGCGGTGATCTCGTTGCTGGTGAGCGTCTCCAGCTCCGTCATGTGTTGAATGCTGATCCACGCGGACATGCGTAGAACTCGCTCGAGAAGATCACGGAACGGCTCTCGGAGCTGAAGGAGCTCAGCGTGTGGCTCAACGTGACGTGCAAATCACTGCCCGAGCAGAATGAGACGCGCGAGGACCTCCTCCCAGGCAAGGTGAAGGTGGAAAACTCATACGTGGACGTGGTGGCGACGTGGCTGTCCGGATTCTTGGGTCGCGTGGCGGGCGCGAAGCTGTCTGTGCAAGTCTCCGTCAGGTGGACTGAAGACCACGATGGCTACGCGGTGTGGATGGACCACATGTTCGACGGAAAGAAGGATCGAGACGTGGTCACTGTTTGGGTGCGGAAGTGGACCGCAGGCTCCGGGTATGAAGATTTGTGAAGAGCGCTGATTTCGAGGTTGTATTGCTATGTGTACCACGCGAAGCTTGGTTTCCATCCTTTTTTGGCGTGTGTGCATATGCAACACAGAGGGCTGCTGAGGTAGTCACAGCATCGGTCCTGCGCGCGTCTGGAGTATCTCCCTGTAGGAGAGAAGCGAACCGCACATACACACACCCTCTCTTATGCAAATGATTCCGAGTTTTTCGGAGATGACGTCACGCGTCAAGCGCTAGCACACTGGGTACATGTTCTGCAACGCCTGAGGCCCGAGCGGCGGGCATATTACCACTCAATAACAACTTCATTGCATCACTACCAACTTATTAGACCTACGACTAGTGAAAACTCTGGCAGATCGCACTCGTCATTCACTCCTGCGCCAGCTCAACTCCTCGGTGCAAGGCGGTCCAAGGTGTGCGGGCGCGGACCCGCGTCCATTCCTACTCCCACATAGCCCCTTGAGCTTGAGCGATACCATGCGCAATACGGGGGCCGCGACTTGGAAGCGGCGCGCGAGCCCGTCGAGGTCCAGCGAAGCAAAGTACGCCGCTGCGTCGACGAGCGTGGACCTCGGGTGGCCGGCCACGGGCGGATCGAAGCAGATGAACGTGGGCGCTCGGGCAGACATCGGGGTGAGGCGCGGAAGGTGCTTGATCAGTCGCTCTTGCGAGACGGATATGTCGGAGAGGACGGAGAGGAACGTACAACGTCCACATTGAGGCCGGGTGGTATCATGAGACCTCCAAACGCGCGACGATGACCGCCTCGAAGCACTTGTTCGAGTATAAGTACCGCTGGATGACGCATGACCGCCAGAGCTCGTCGACGATCATGTTCCCCTCGAGCACCCCCAGCACCAGGTGCTTCGGCTCCGTCAGCACGAGCACCGGGTACAGCAGTTCCACGTACATCGTCGGGCCCTTGATCGGACGTACAGCACGCTGACGGGACAGTACGGCGCCAGCACTTAAGGGCGATCACCACGTTCAGCTCTCTGTGATACTGTAGTTGAGCGATCAGGTAATGTTCGGTGATGTACAGTCAACTCCGGTAAGATTCAACAGGGATGAGTGCGAGTAAGCGTGAGACATGGGAAGTCGAATAGAGAAGTAATGAAGCAGATACGACGCACCGCGGGAAGGGCGAGCGCGAATTGAAGGAGGACGAATCGGGCGCGAGGAGGACGAGAAGGGGATAGACGCGGGGAATGGACGAGGTCGCGCGCACGGGTGCTGATGAAGGCGAAGGCGAAGTCGAGACGGAGGGAGCACACTACACGCGCAGAGAGAGCGGGGAACTGAACTGTAAGGCTAACACAAAGTAAAGTGCGAGCCTAAATACATGCAGCGCGTGTACGTATAGACGAAACGAAGACATACTGAAACCAACAGACGATTTTATACAGATCCGGAGCAGAATATGAGGTGGAACGAGGCGGAGAGAGCTCGAGAGGGTACGTAATAAGTAGAAACTGACCGAGACAGGCGGAGCCGATATGGGGGACGTGGGAAGTAGGGGCGGGGGCAGGAAGTAGAAAGGGGATGGGACGGAAGATGAACAAGACGTACGAGAAGAGAACTAGGGTGCAATCGCGAGAGGAAAGGGTACCGCACCGCGGGTGGTGGAGATCGAGTACGCGCGGCGAAGGCCACGAGCAGGCGCGGAGAGCGCTGCGGTGGGTCCGTGTGCGTCGCGTCTGGACTGGGGTGCTGGCGTGTCAATCCCGAGGCGCTTTGGGCGGATCGCAATTTGTGCGCGCGGCGGAATAGACTAGATGCGAGAGTGAGATGGACCAGAGTCGGGCGGCAGTGTGTGTTAGTATGGCCTGCTCCGCATGACTGGTTACGGGCTTCGGCGCGCACCCGCTACGGACACTCAAGCATACGATCTCCCGCCACTAATTTCCTTACAGTGCATATACCCTCGCGCCCGCTTCTCAGCCTCGCTACGCGATTGCCTCCTGGCTCCTCCCCGTCACCTCTCCTACCCGCATTCCCCGCTATCGCGAGCCTCCCCGAGGTTAAGGGCGTCCTTTAATCCGACTCCGTATTCCTGCTCATCTCCGACTCACCCGACCTCCGATGCGCTCCCGCGCCCCGCGACCGTAACAGCGCGGCCGCGGTCGAAGGCGTCTCGAAGGATGGCGCTGATCAGTACAGCGGCCGCGTCGGGTTCTTCAGCACCAGGATCGGGTTCCGCGTTAAGGCTGGTTTGGCCTCGGTCGTCGTCCAAACCCCGGGAGTCGGGCGGCGGCGCTTGGGCGCTTTCATTGCGTTTGAAGACCTCAAAGACGGCACTGAGCATTGCAGCCTTGGCGGCACGTTCTTCAGCACCAGGATCGGGCTCCGCGTTGGGGCTGGTTTGGCCTCGGTCGTCGTTCAAACCCCGGGCCCAATTGGCTGCCAGTATGGATAAGACTTGCTCATGCATGTCCTCTGGATTATATTGTGGTCGACTCCATAGCAAGCAGCCCGTCCAACGCCCGTGCCAGGGGTCCGGCGCCGAGGGGACCATCTGGACTCTCACTCCTAGCGTTTCTATACCCAACGGACTAGGAGAGAACGATAACACGATTTCCCCAAACCGGCACTCCGAACGGTGCTGCACTGGCCATGGTCCGCGCATGTCGATGTGATCCGTCTCGCATGAATGTGCTGCCGCAGGGGTGGGGGCTTCTTCACCGACGAACCAACGAAGGCTGCAGAAGTGTTTTCGGCATGGTACGCCCGGACCTGACGTCTTCGTTGCGGTCTGGGATGATGGAGAGGTTGACCTGGATGAGCATAGGTGGTTGTCGATGGGGGAAAGGCCATTGGAGCACGTCCCAAGAACGACGACGAGTGTTGTAGCGTTGTGGGGTTCTGGTAGCAAGCCACAGCGAAAATAAAGAGAGATGTCTCCTGCAGAAGAAGGCGACGGCACGGTACTTGCGTCGCCGTCGAGGAGCATCATGTAGGTGTCTTTAAGCCGGAAGAAGTCGTCAAAGACAAGGTGAAAGGGGGAGCCGATAGTGGTGGATTCGCAGAAGCGCCTCAGCAACTCTATCCGTTGGATTTTAACGAGCTCGTAGAGGTCTCCGGTGTACGGCGGGAGGGCTACAACGCGCAATTTGGTCATCGCCCAGCCACGTGAGGCGATCGCCGTGCTTGATTCTTTCAGACACACAACGGGCGTCTCCCGGGGCTGGTATAGTGGAGCAGCGCCAGCGTTGGGCTCATCGTCGACCCTTTCAAGCGAGAGGAAGAGGGGGGTGGGATTTCGGCAGAACAAGTCAACGAGGATGAATTCACTTGTATCATCCAGAGGTAGAACAGCCGCGTGGAGCTCGATCCCATCTGGCGACATGGAGAACGCGGGAGCACGGAGTTCTGCGGCCGCGTTTGCAATCGAGCCCTGCTAAAATGGTCGTCAATATACTGGTACAGCGTAGAATGGAATTCGTACAAGCGCACCTCATCTTGTCCTCTCTGAGAGCGTGCGCCTGGGTCGTATATAACAGCAGGATCAAAGCGGTAGGGTAGGATTCTGAGTTCATGAGTGCAAGACCAAGGCCGGAGGGGGAGAAGATGACGACGCTGGGTTGGGCTTCGCGGGGACTTTTTCGGGAGGATCGATCGGAGCGTTTCCAAGTCGTCCGATTCCCGTCGTTTTCCCAAGAGAAAAATCGAAGGATCGGGCCGCGAAGTCTTCAGGATCTCCGTGAAGAGCCGGCAGAATGCGCTCCGGCCTTCGCCATAGAGCGTCGGCATGTTGACCCCGAAAAGCCCGAAGAGGCTGTAGGCACCGTCTTCTGTCCTCGTGGTCTCCCGATGCGCCGCCCAGGATATACGTGTCGCGATACTAGCGTCGGTAAACGAATTCTTGAAGCGGAGGACTTCCGCCGAGACCCCAGTGGCTTCTTCGAGGCGCTTGGCGAGCCCGTACTTGGTGCCCAGACATTTCCACTCCTTGGAGTAGAACACAAGGACACGGGACGCGATGAGCTCTTGGAGAGTCCAGCCCCGCGTGTGCCAACGGCTTCTTCGAAAGGCGTCCCACATGTTGTGTGAATCGGTATCGGAGTATTCGACGTCGCTGAGGTAGACGTAGCAGATGGTGGAGAGGGCGTAGTAGCGGAACATGGAATTGATGCCTTCCGAGAGCTCGGCACTGCTCTCCTTGTTGATACAGCACGTGTCGACCCAAGCGTACTCATGCCCGTGCTTCTCGGCGCGCTCAAGGAATGATCGAATTTTTAGAGTTAGGCGATCGCGTGGGTTGAACCATGGTGGCGACGGCTGGCGTGGCTCAGAAATTCCTTGGACAGGTATGGGAGCAGGGGACAACGGCATCGTGGAAGCAGGCGGATTCGAATCTGCCGAGAGGCGTTGGTTCTCATATGTCAGCGTAGAGGAGGAAACATAGGCTTTCAGTAAACTGACCAGGCTCGCATTCGGTACCGGCGGATGCTCTCTCGTCTTGGTGATCCCCGTCTTGAAAGCGATCGCGGACCCGTTGAGAAGTCTCGTTACGGCGGGGAGGACGTAGATGTCGTAGCGACTTGACCGTGTGCATGATTTGGTATTTTACTTTACGGAAAGCATTCTTTAAGTTTTTTCGAGCTGCAGATTCTTTGGGGACTGCCTCGGAGATGAGAGAGCGAAACTCGTTGGGGGGAACTGCCGCTTCTTCAGAGATTGCCTGGGCGACGAGAGATTGGAGTTCATCGTGGACAAATGCCACTTCATCAGGAATTGCATGAGAGTTGAGAGGTCGGAGCTCGTCGCGGAGAGCCGCGGCTTCTGTAGATACGGCCCGGGAGATGAGAGATCGGGGCTCTGCTCGAGGCAAGGGATGTTGGTCTTCCGGAGAGAAGGTGCTGTTGGATTCTGCGTTCAGCTTTTGAACGTTTTGAAACGTGTCTTCCTCCTCTCCCCAGGTGTGCGAGAGGATGGCATAGCCTCCAGGAACGTTTTCAGGTTGGGGAAAGAAGACGAGGTTCGCGCGCGCGGTGCCCAGAAGCCACATCGCTTCCTTCCCAAATATTAGCACAGGTATTTCATGCAAGGGGAAGCATCAATACCAGGTGCGAGTTGACGTGTAAGACTCGCAGAAGGAGTACAGACACTTCGGTAGAATAAGCAAATGCGATAAAAAGCATCGGAAGAGCGGACGTACGATGAGAGTATCCAAGACAGTCGATGGGTGTTGCGGTACCTGATAGCACAGAGGGTGTCGATGGCTGGGAGGAAACGAGAGATGAGTGGGAGGAGACGTGAGATGGGTTGGGGGCGAGACGGAAGGGGCCAAGTTTCTGCGAGCGCGACCTCGGTCTGATGTATACAGCGACCGCACGATCCACCATGCGGAACACGCATGCGGTGGTGTCCGAGCGCCTCCGATCAGAAATGAATGCCAACAGAGTTTGGGCCGGCATCGCGCTCCCAGTGCGAGATGACCTTCCCTGCCGCGAACGTGTCAGATGATATCGTGCGTGTTCACCATTGGGTCGCGAAGCTGAGACTCGCTATGTCATTCTTCGATATCAGTGGAGGGTGTACGAGAAACACGCACCCGGTCGGAGTGCGGCTTGAGACTCGGAACGCATGCGAATGGGAGAGCTTCTACATACAATATGCACCGCGTGTCTTGGGGGAAAGAGTGGCAATCGACCGGGCGAGTTGGCTTGAAACGCGGGCACCAGCGCCAATAAAACCACGGTCCACATTCTTCGGGGAATAGACGCGCGTCGTCATCGGCGATTCGGCAGGGCTCGGCGAGTCGGTCTGAGATCAGCCGCTGAGCCTCTCCGTCCCCTTTCACCTTCTCAGATCACGCCCGCTGCGTACGTACCTCTCGTCGACTGTGCTACGAGACTGCATGCGCTCAAGGTGACGGTGACGTTGCAGGTGCTTCTACAAGTCCTGTCGTTTGTGCAACATCGCTTCCACTAGCTGAGAGACGGGTCTCGGTGGTAGTGCATGGCATGGGATATGCTAGGGATGTGTCATTCAGCCTGTGTATGTCTTTCCATCTGAAACAGCGTTTTTCAGCTCGACGAACTTCTGCCCGTTATCAGCCCTCCCAGTAGACCTTCGAGGCACTTTTCGAAGTCGCGTCATTCCATCTCGGCCATTTCAAGTATTCGACTGGGAGGTAGTTCGCAGTACGTTTAACTCATCTCCCTACTTCATCGTTCCCTCATGGCCGTTGCTCCCCTGCTCAGCGCGACGGGGAGCGGATATCATTCCCTTGGTCGATGCAGATGAGGTTGTGGTCGAGGAGGAACTTGTCCCCATGGCAGTGGAGATGTTCAGTCGTCTTCATGAGGCGCGAGACGGTGGTGTCGGATGGCGTCTTTCCATCTAGAGCGAGGTTGGATGGCTGGGTTCCTAGATGCTCCGCAACTTCCAGTCGAAGCTGGTGACTGGCGGAGATCGAGTGCGTGACACGGTCAATCGGATGCCTCGGATTCGGGCTCGGACACCGACGACCGTCATCGGCTAAGAGTCGCTTGGCATTGCTCATGGACTTGTACGTCTAGCCCCATTTTTCTGTGTGCACGTTTTACGTCGGGGGCCTAACGGTTGTCTTCATGCATTCCCGGACGATGCTCGCGCTCACGAAGCCGGTCCAGAAAGAGGTCGAGGGAAGCTTGCTTGTCAACGGGCTCGCACGGGTCGTCCGGCGCGTCCAGCGGATCGGGTGCCTCGAGGCGGTTGTCATTGTCGGGGGCTTGATGCTGTCCCAGGATTTAACGTTGAACGCGCTGGCGATTTGGTGAGCATTCTTCGCCCCGTGTATACGCTCTATATTGACTGTTAGGGTTCCGTACAGGATGGCCTCGTCTCTCCCGCCTGTAATCCCTAGGGAACCTCGCCCTCACCTTCCCGTGCTTTGGCCTCCCGCCACGCTCCCTCGAGCGCTAGGTATTCCTCAACGTGACGGACGTGGACCTGCTGCCAAACGCCGCGTATGGCTTTAGCGCCCCCAACCTCGACGAACCAGCGCAAGCAGTGACTCCGTCACTAGGCACGGCGTCGATCGTGATCAAGGGCTTAATTGTACATCTGCGCTTGTAGTGCCGTCGTGCACGGAGTTCAGGCTTTATGTAGAAGGCGTCAGCGATGCAGAGCACTAGCTCAAATGTGAGTCTCACCGCGTGGACGATGTACAATGGTTAATCAAAGGCTCTGGATGCATAGCGACTATGCCATGAACCATTTTGTGCATCATTGTATCGGGCGTCGATACTATCCTGCGGTGCCACCCAAATATAAGGTGCGGATCGTCATCGCACGCGGTTGCTATGAGTTGCCCGATATGGACAACGGCGTCTCCTGCACAGTGAACACCACCGCCTCGTGCAGAGCACATCGTTGTATGCGTGGTGCATTCCCTTGTCTACCCCCTCCATGGAAATCTTTGTATTTGCGTAGTGACCCAGCAGGAGTGCCCGATGCCGTGTACAAAAGGCCCTCTGATGTTCGGAACGCCCAGTCGCGCATTCAGCCACATCTCTTCTCCAATCACGCCAACATGAACGTCGTGAGTCGCTCGAGACACTTTCTCATTGAAGGTCTGACGCGCTGATGTTATGCAAGGCTCCAGCAGAACCGCCGGTCCTCCCCCCCGAGATGCTCTACCAGATCGCCGAACTGTGCGACTCCGACTCCGACGTCCTCAATCTCATGAACACGTGTCGCGATCTGAACGCAAATGCCTCTCGCTTCCTCTGCAAAGGCCGCGAAGCACACGTCCATTCCTACCTCGACCTCCGTCTCCTCATCGCCTTCCTCGGTGCAAAGGGCCAAGCACGCTGGCGACGTCTCGCTTATCTGGTCATCGACATCCGCACCAAGGACAGTGTCGATATACACGAGTATGCACAATCGTTGCACGACCTTTTTTGCGCGCTCCACTCCGCCCCCGCACTTCGTCGGCTGACCGTAAATGAGGTGGAGATCTACCTCTCGCTCCAGCCCGGCCTGGCAACCATTATGGCTGGTTTCACCTCCATCAAGATCTTGACGCTTATGCACATCGGCCCTGAAACACTGTGGCTTCTCGAGGAAGCGTCTTGGGACGTGAACATCGCCTTCATCAGGATCCTCCCCCAGTACCTATCCCCTCAAGTACCCATGACGATCTTCCGCTCCCTGAGCAACATGAGAGGCACGCTGCGCGAATTGGACCTCGTCGGCTCGCGGAACGGGATGTTCGCGGCCGCAGGCGACATTCGGTTCGAGGCGCCCGAGCATCTCCGTCTCTTCTTCGCGAACCCTCGGGAGTACTACACCTTCGCGCAGCAGCTCCCGAACGTCGTCCGCATGTTTCCAAACCTCGTGGCCCTCGAGATGTACGGCTCCGACAGCACCCACCGGCTCTATCACCTGTACCCGGATCTGGACGAAGACAGCGAGCCCGAGGCTGAAGCCCTGGACGTACGCAAGCTCACCCACGACAACGCGGCGTGGCAGCGCACCCACGGCTCCTGGAACGAGCTCATTCACCTCGTCGGATCTCTCGCCTCCGTCTACGGCCTGGCGCTTCAGCGCCCCGTACACGAGCTTCGGACCACGTTCGCTCCCCATGGCGACCCGCTCGCGGAGACCGCGATGCTGGTGGATGCGCTCGATGCGCTCGGCCCGCGCGTGCTCGACCTGCGCGTGCACACATTCGCGACGGTCGAGCACCCCGGCTTCGCGAGCCTGTTTGCGCGCGAGCGCCTGCCGCAGCTGCGGCACCTCAAGCTCCACGTCTCCGAGGACGTGCTCGTGGGGGGTGATCCGCAGCGCGCGCTCGTCTCGGTTCTGGTGCGCCCGCTCCCCGGTCCTACGATATGTCCCCAGCTGACCGTCTTTGGGGATACTTAGCACGCGTTGGAAGGCGCCACAAAGGAGCTCACGACGCTGAGTAGCGTGCACCTCTTTTTCCAGATGGCGCCGGAACAGGCTCGGGGCGAAGGCGAGGAGAACGTGGACCCGAGCGAGTCGATGGCATACGTGCAGGCGGTGACGGCGCGGATGCAAGGGCTCTTGGTCGGCGCTGCGGGTCCGACACTGTTCATGAAGGTCACCGTTTCGCGTGAGGACGGGGATTGTTATGAAGAAGATGAGGTATCTCACACGTTTTGTGGCATGAAGGTGGATGGCGTTATGTGTGTCGACGCCGTGATGGAGAAGCCATATGATAGCGACGACGGCGACAGCGACGGTGACGATGGGAAGGACAACGACGGTGGGGAGGACTGAAGGTCTCGTCTCGATTTCTTTGCCTGGGGCGCGCTTCGTGCTCGACCGCGTCGTTCGTCTGTATCGTAAAACAGTCATAATCCCAATATGAAAACCACTATGCGTCCACGCATGCCCCTCCACTCCGCGGGCCTATCAATCCCGGATCCCAGCCCAGCCACCGCCGCGACTAGATCTACTGGGTACTGGCCAGCGGTCGGTGAAGAGGTTAAAGTCGTTGCCCCACCACTGTGGGAGGTGAAATGGAAAGAGAGCGGGCGCGCAATGAAGGGGCGCACCGACGATGTCGCCAACGATCTCAGTGCATCGTGATCGTGATCAGCGGTGCATGAGACTCTGGTCTGCGAGCATGAGGATAAACTGATCCTGCGATATATTGATCTCTCGCACACGCGCAGTTCGCCGAAGACAAGTCGCATTCGACAGCATTGAACGTGGCACGTATTACACTCCAATCCCTTCCGCTCCTCATCCACCCCTCAGGCCGCAGTAACAGGCCACTTCGCAACCAAATACTCGTTCTTCGACACCGGGCTCACCACGTACACCATGATCGTCGACGACACCGAGATCCCTTTGCCGCTGAACGCGCTGAACGCGACGCTCTCCCCGGTCGAGCCCATCCCGACCCCGAAGTTCGTGCCCAAGTTCTTGCCGTCGACGACGAGGCGGTACTGGTGCATGTGCTGCTGGAGCACCAAGTCGAAGTCGACCGCGTCCATGTACCCCGGGTTCGAGTTCAGGATCCAGATCGGGGTGTAGTTCCACTGGACGGCGAGCTGCTTGGGGACGAGGGCGAAGATGTCGGGCATGAACGAGTCCCAGCGGGACATGTCCGAGGCGGTGACCGAGACCTTGGAGGGGGCTGCGGGAGACAGTGGGAGTCAGCGCGTGGAGAGAGGACCGAGGATAGACGGCGGGTATGACCTGGGGTGCCGGACATGGTTTCGAGAACTACGGGCGACGATCAGCATCTGGGAAACATGGGAACGAATGAGACTCACTTTGCGATGCTTTGGAGAGGGCGTACTGGGTTATTCGCTGAAGGACTGCTCGGCGAAGGCGCGAGGTTTTATACCCTCGGGCCCGCGCCTCCCGCGCCTCACGATGTGCGCGGTAGCCTTGCACGTGCGTTCTCCGACATTCCTACACGCCCGGTGGTGCAGTTGACAGTGGTTTCTCTGAGAATCGCACGAGCGTTCCTTCATCTGTCGTCGGCACCTGTATACAGGTTGGAATGAAAGCAAGAATGGTCGGAAACAAAACACGGACCTAGTGTTCACATCGGTATAACTCGGATGATGGGAAACTCTGTGCAGAGGCCGGCATACGCTTCTCAGAGAGAATCAGCGTGATTGGGATACTTGTGATTGCGTGAAGAACTGCAGAAACGCGTCGTTCCTCGTCAACACGGCAGTAGGATGCTGTCCTCCGCTGGGTCTCGGTGTCGAAGGATTCACGACAACGGATTTTGCACCAGAGACTCGCTACTGATGCACCGGCGTGAGATTTGGTGCGTAGTAAAAGTGAGCATGTGTCCACTGAATGCATGACGCCAACTCCTCACCGTCATGCCAGACTCTTGCTGAGAAAGATGACCGGGGTTTGGATAAATTTGAGCAGCTTCACTCGACGCCGATGAGAATACTGAATCATGCTCTTCAATATCCGAGCATTCACCGTCGCGTTGCAATGGTCTGCTGCCAAACGAGCCGTCAACGACGACGGATGATGAGAAGCGCGCGTGAGACGAGCTCGACGTACGCTTGTCGGTGTGTGAGTGTGCCGGCTTTGCTGTGCACACGTGTGCGTGCTCGCTGGTTAACATGCTGAGAACTCGGTGCCCACCTGGAGCCATCTGGGCGGTATATAAGGTGTGGTGCGGTCAAGGGAGCCCCTCAGCGCACACCACCGTACGCTACCTCCAGAGCTTCACAAAGTAAGCGTCCTTTACGCACGGAATCGCATGCCACCGTACTCACCTTTGTCCGCGCAGCTTGCAATCATGACCGACGATCAAGGTCGGCTCCGTTTCGCTTCCGTCTCGTTGTACGTCCTTGCTGACGATGTCCCCTCCGTGTACAGCTGCTGCCAACGGTGCCTCTGCTGCCAACGGTGCCGCTGCTTCCAACGGTGCCACTGCTGCAAACGGCGCAGCTGCCGCCAAAGTCGCCGCCGCTCCCAACTGGGACGCCGTCCTGCCTGACATCTTCGCCCTCGTCCCCAAGCAGCGCGCCGTGACCTGGGACTACCAGCCCGTGTGGGTCCTCAACTCGAACCCCGGCTACATGGACGCCGTTGACTTCAACGGCGTCCTGGAGCAAGGCCTGACCAAGTACCGCGTCGTCGTCGATGGCACGGACCTCGGCACGAACCCGGGAGTCGGGATGGGTAGCACCGGGGAGAAGGTGGACTTTGGGATGTTCAGCCACAAGGGGATTTCGTCCACGTCGACGATCTCGGTGTACGCGGAGGACCCGACGACGAAGAACTTGTACCTGTTGGCACAGTGGCCGGTTACGCCTCCGTAGATGAGATGTGGTGTTGGTGCAAGGAGTAGGCCCGCTGTAACAAGTACTCACGTCGTCGAGTCGAATGGCAGTTGCATTTGACTATTTTCGCGTGTCGGACGGTCGCGGGGCGAGGATTTCGTGGCGTTCTTGACCCTCAGAGATCGTAAGAGCTCACTTGGGTTGTAGTCGAGACGGGTTTCGAGTACTAAGAATCACGCACGAGTTCGCAGTTTCAATACTTCGGATATGGCCGGAAAGCGTCTGGGTGAGTCAACGGATCCTCATGCAAGTGTTTCTTGCACTCCGCTCCCTGCGACCTCCGCAGTCTCTCGACAGTGCCAATATTCTGGGCGCGGCATCCTTTCCGCGCTCGAGACAGGCACGCTCGCGCCCCTCGTCTTCGTCGACCTCTCACCGTGCCAGCTCCAATTGGCCACCGGCGTGCGCCCCACCGTCCGGCGCGTCATCGTCGACTTCGCCGCCGCCGCCGCCGCCAGGGGGCTCAGGAACAGGACGCTCTCCGCCCGTAGGCCGGTAGTACCGCACGCGGATGTGGGCTGGAACTTCGAGACCGCGGACGCGCTGCCGGCGGGACAGGAGGTGACTGGGGCGGTGGACCCGGCGCGGGGCGGAGCGTGCGGGCGAGCGAGACGGTCGTCGTCGAGGTCGTCGCGGCGGACGCGTGTGGGGGCGCGAGCGCGACGTCTGCGGAGGGGAGATCGAGCGCGACGGCTGCAGCCACGGCGACGGTGGACTCGACTATGGAGGCGAGCGTGGGCGGAGCGGAGGCGAGTGCGAGTACCAATGCGAATGCGAGCGTGAGTGGGAGTCGAAATGCGGCCGAAATGGGAGCTGGAGTCTGGTTCGGCATGGGTTTTTTTTCGTGCTAGCGGAGTTGGGGGTGTGGTTGCGCGCGCGGGGGAGAGCATCCACGAAACGCAAGTGGAGGTGGCAAGTAGTGTACCTGGTGAGTGTCCAGTGTGCTGTCCGAGTGTCCGAACTGACGCGATGTTCATCCTCTAGCGATGGGCTGGGTCGTGGTCTACCGTTAAGTATCTCGTCAACGCCTCTTGCTTGTCGCGCCTCGAGAGACCCATGATGGCCACCTTAGCTGTGTTTCCTTCATTGGATGTGTATCAGAGTTGGAACATGTTACTCACATTTAAAATAATATATCTCCTACACGAACTTTGATGCATCCGCTTTGCGGACGGTTGAGCTTGGTTTCCAGGTTTGAGCAACAGGACAATTCGGTGGGTGAACACAAAGGGTGAACACAAATGTTCCCAACAGCGCCCCTAGGCTCAAGCGCCACAGCTGAGCGACTCGCACTCTCGCACTCTCTGTCCTCCACTGCAACCATGCTCCACGCACACACACACCCGTTTCTGTGACTCTGCAGGCCTCGAGGTTGCTTGGCGTTTCCAATAGCCGTTCTCGCCACGGCAAGTTGAAGACCATCGACTCCTTGAGTCTTGGCACTGCGGCGCGAAGACCTTCAGACGAACGCAAAGCATGGGATCTCAGCCCGCGCCACTCACTCGGCGTATGTTTCTCGGGGCGGGGTTCTGGTGTAGACAGCTGGAGCGGAAGGGCTGTTGTTTGGCGCCGTTGAAGAGGTGGGCCTTTGCTTGTGAGCATTCCTGGTTCTATTGCGTACTTCGTCATCCCTCCTTGCCCTGTGCGACAATGCACCGCTGGTTCCCCTTTCCTTGCTGCCACCACATCAAAAACGATGGCATGCGGCAATTGAGCACGTCTTTGTTTGTTTTGTTCTTCGCATTTTGGCCTGTGGTCATCTTGCTCGTTCGTGGGCTCGGAAGGACTAGACAGTGAGCTTCACAGCCCTGGTACACGCTCACATGCGTTTTTGCGCTTCCTGTGACTGAGCTGGATCGAGATTGCTATTGCTGTTGAGAAGGCATGTGTTCTTACTTGGTTTGTCTCTAGGTCTGCTCCATGGGACGAAAACGCGGGCTGTACCGTCAACAAAGACCATCGACTCGATGCACCAGCACGCGTGAAGCCCGGTTCATACAACCCGCTCGACTGATCCGACCGCCTCACCATCGCTCCCCCCTCGCCAACTGCAGCCCTACCTTCGAGTCGCACACCAAACAAGCTACCGAGAACATTTTGCTTTGTAAGTTGCAAAACTCCAGTTGCTCTCCCCGTATGAACTCAAAACGTTACAGATGGCTCACGAGATCCAGAAGCTCCCGTTCAGCCTTCTGGTGAAAGTGATGGCTTTCTCGGATGACGACACAGTTTCCTGCCTCATGAAGACCAGCAAATACCTCCACCACCATGGCGCTCGGTTCCTCTTGGACTACGGCCTCATCACTCTCAGCACGGATGAGGATCTTCGTTCAATCATAAACTTCCTTTGCGTTCAAGGCGGATATCGTCTTCGCTACCTCGAAGGGCTGGAATTCGACGTGCCATCGTTGAAGTCGGACTACGCCAAGCTGCTCGAGAGGTTATTGGGCGAGTTCACAGCCCAGATCCGCCTCAAGACGCTGCATATTCAGTGCATGTCCCTACTTCAGCCGGGTAAGTCGGCTGACCGGATCCCAAAATACCCCGAAGGTACCGTCCGGCCGGGCCCGATCAGGTCCGGCCAGGTACCTCAGCGGAGTCGCCCGATCAGGTCGCCTCGGGTAGTCTGGAGGAGTCGTCCGATCAGACCGGGGTGCGGGCGGGGAATAACATGAGGGAGGCTTGAGCCAACGTCCTGTGAGTAGCATAGAAATATGACATCTGATGCCTTGAATGCATGGAAGAAAAGGCGGGTGGGTAAATGGAGCTCAGATAGATTTGTGAGTGTTTGTGTTGCAATCAGGTAGTGCGGGGGACTCAGGTAGCCGGATCCGAGTGGGATTGACGGCCACGCACTGGATCACCCATGGCGCCGCGCGGTGCTCACGCATGGCATCCACAAACTGAGGAAACCACTCCATGCTCGTTTCGGAGGGACGTGGCGGCATTTTGGCGCTTGAAAAGAGCTCGCGCGGAGGCTTTTGGGTCGCACGGGGGACTCGGGCAGCCGGATCCGGCCCAGATCTCCCTGGGCACTGGCTGACCTGCAGGGCCTCACTTTCCTTGCGTATTGTACAGGCTCACCAAGTGTGTTGAAGCGCGCCCAGTTTAAATGCATGCGGCGGCATTGTTGCTCTTCAAAACAGCTCGCGCGGAGCCAGGTGGTGTGCGGAGCCAGGTGGTGCGCGGAACCGGGGCAGCCAGGTCCATCCCGCTGCGCTCCGTTTTCCTCACAAACAGCATCCACATTCGAGAGTCTATGTTGTGTCTATTTTCAAGGTTTCTTATGCCTCATGCGTTCAGCAGCGAGTGCGTACCAAGCTGAGAGCGAGAGCGCAGCAGGTGTCGCTGTCGTGGTCGGCATCGCTGTCGCTGTCGCGGGCGCTTAATCGGCGTCGCTGTCGCGGTCGCTGTCGGCGTCGCGGTCGCTGTCGCTGTCGTGGTCGGCGTTGGCGTCGCTGTCGCTGTCGGCATCGCGGTCGCTGTCGGCTTTGCGGTCGCGGTCGCTGTCGGCTTTGCGGTCGCGGTCGCTGTCGGCTTTGCGGTCGTGGTCGCTGTCGGCACCGCTCTCACAGGCGTCTATCCGCATTTCAGCCTGTACCACCGGAGTGAGTATCTACCCTCCAAAGCATTGAATTACTTCAGCGTCATCTGCATCGGATACCTGCATGTATGGGCTGTTGTTATGCAAATTTGGAAGGTATTTACTGCAAGATTGAGGGGATGATGTCACATGACATTTTCGAATGAGATACCACATACTGACATGAGATGTGAGTGCATCACATGCTGGACACCTAGATATATTCAAGGAGGATCTTATGATTGCAACGCAGAAAACAGCACAAATAAATACGGACTTTTGGTGATGGTACTGTGTATGTTTCAAAATTGGAAGTTCTCAGAAGACATGATATGCATAACTTCTCATGCAGATGTGATATTGGCGATCTGTTTGCTTCGTCGTAAACCAATACTTATTTAGTGCTTATATCGGGATTTTCATGCCTATCGGTGACGAAATGCACATGGGGCGTCATTTGTCATTATTTCATGACATACAATATACCGACATATCGTGGACTTCAATGGACATGGTAGCATATGGAACAGGATCGGATGTGCAGCAGCTCGACGATGCAAAAAGAATCTAAAAAACGGTCAAGAACCGGTGGAGATGTGCACTGGGAGCCCGAAGTGTGCTCTGTGTTGAATGCACTCTGAACTCGCCTTCTGCTGAAACCACACTTCGGGCTCCCAGTGCACATCTCCACCGGTTCTTGACCGTTTTTTGAGATTCTTTTTGCATCGTTGAGCTTCTGCTCATCCGATCCTGTTCCATGTGTTATTATGACGATTGGAGCTCATGCTATGTCGGTATATCGTATGTCATGAAATAATGACAAACGACCACCCTTATGCATTTCGTCACCGATATGCATGAAAATTCCGATATAAGCACTATACTAGTATCGTCTTATGATGAAACTGACAGATTTCCAGTTTTTTGTCTCCACAAGAAGTTATGCATGTCATGTCTTCTGAGAACTTCCACTTTCCAAACATACACAATACCATCGCCAAAAGTGCGTATTTCTTTCTGCTGTTTGTTGCGTTGTGATCAAACAATCTTCCATGAATATATGTAGGTGTCCAGCATGCGATAGACTCACATCTCATGTCAGTATGTGATATCTCATTCTAAAATGTCATATGACATCATCCCCTCAATCTTGCAGCAACTACCTTATAAATTTGCATAACAACAGCACATACATGGTGGTATCTGATGCAGAATACAGCTAATCCATTCAACACTTTGGAGGGTGGATACTCACTTCAGTGGTACAGGCCTGAACTCTGGATAGACGCCTGTGAGAGCGATGCCGACTGCGACCGCGATTGCGACAGCGACAGCGACCCCGACAGCGATGCCGAGGCCGACAGCGATGCCGATGCCGATAGCGACAGCGACCCCGACAGCGACAGCGATCAAGCGCCCGTGAGAGCGACAGCGATGCCGACAGCGAGAGCGATGTCCGCGATCTCGCTCTCAGCCCGCTGTGGGTGCATCCTCGAAGAGCCACACTTCCCCCTACAGCTGAGTTGGAGCGCCGGGTGAACTGATCTAATGCACGTGAAAACTGGGGCATGGAGCAGGGGACTCCATTCTGAGCCAGATGTTACATTGCCTGAGTCCCCTAAGCGACCTGACCACTGCACGAGCTCTTTTGAAGAGCCACAACACGACGTACACATATGGAGTGGGTGCGGAATAGTGCACCTTGCCAGCCCCCACAACACACGAGAAAAGCGGGGCCCCACGGATCGGGCAGTGCCCAGGGACGTTCTGAGTTGGATCCGGCTGGCTGAGTCCCTCGCGCTACTTACCTAGCCCCCTGCACGAGCTCTTTTCGATCGCCCCAACACCGCCGCATGCCTCCGAGACATGCAAGGGGTATCTTTCTTGGTTTGTGGATGCCATGTATGAGCCCTGCGCACCGCAGCATGGGCCGTTATTCTCACCTGCCGGATCCGGCTGCCCGAGTCCCCTGCACTACCTGATCTCAAGACAAATGTCCGGAAATTCCCATAGGCTCAATGCACACACGCACCATTTCTTCTACGCATTCAAGGCATCGTATATTATAATTCTATGCTACGTACAGGGCGTTGCTGAAGCCCTCCTCTTCTTATTCCCCACCCGCACCCCGGTCTGATCGGACGGCTCCTCCGGACTACCCGAGGCGACCTGATCGGGCGACTCCGCCGGGGTACCTGGCCGGACCTGATCGGGCCCGGCCGGACGGTACCTTCGGGGTATTTTGGGATCCGGTCAGCCGACTTACCCGGCTTACTCTAGGGCCCTCAAGTGGCATATTCTCGATGTCGAGAGTTTGCTGGCCAGTCGTCCGAGCCTCGCCCATCGGTTCGCCGCCTTGTCGACCATCCAGCACATCCGTCTCGGAGAAGTTGGCCGCCTGGGCTCGCAGATGCTACACATGTTCCGGTCGCAGCTCGTGACGGTTGACATTGCCTGGAAGTCTGTTCAAGACTGTGCCAACGACAGCGCAGAAGAAGACTCCAGGAACCCAATCCTTGTGTTGAAGAACTCGCAGTCAACGCTCACTTCTCTCGTTGCGCACAACGCGTTCGTACTCGTCGACGACTCGACGCGGCCCTTCCATGATCAAGTCTATCCGCACGTCACCCGGCTCGTCCTCGCGGACATCGATACCTCACAGATCCTCCCCCTCGTCCGCACGTTCCCGACTCTCGCCCACCTGGACTTCAACATCTGGGCAGACGTGATGCGCGACCTGTACGACGACCCCGAGCGCTCGTTCACTCAGCATTGCATCTTCAACACGAGCGATCAAGACGCCCACGGCTCGTGGAACTCGCTCGTGCACTGTGGCGCGCCCCTCATCGACCTGTATACCCTCGCGCCACGCTGTCCGATTCGCGCCTTGCACGTCAACGGACCCGCAGTGCACGCGGAGCTTCTGTCCGCGGTCCTGGCGCTCACGCGGCCGGTGCAGCTGGTGCTGGAGGAGGTCGACGGGACAATGCTCGCGCAGGCGCTCCCGTGGTTGGCACCCTGCCGCGTCGAGAAGATCGAGTGTCTAGAGGCGGTCATCGTGGTGCACGGGTCATCAGCTCTCGGACGCAGAGTCGACGCGTCTGCGATGGTGGTGCGCCCCCGCCTCCCCCGCTCGCCCGGCGCCCCTTTCTTACCCTTTCCATCCCCGATGCAGGAGTCCCTGGGTCATCTGTAGCTTTAGCTTCCTGTACTAGTGTAGTCGTCTGCGCGTGACCGGAAAACTATACTGGTTAGGAGGCGGTCACAAGTGACATAATCACCCGCCTCCTCCTCCTCCTCCTCCCTTTGGACCTCGATCACCATCTTGGCGCTCACCATTGCCTTCGTGTCCTCGCGCATGCCGCTCCCGGCGGTCGACGTCGACCTCTCCGCGGCGGAAGCGTACCTCGGCGCACTGGACCTCGAAGCGTTGGCGCGTCGCTTCCAGGCCAGCGCGCTAGTCTACTATGGACGTCGTGAGTTATCTCACGTGGATGCTTCTCTGACCGCGCTCTAACCTGCCTCTGCTTCTAGGCACTGCGGCGACCATCCCTCCCGTGGGACGTCCTCTACCACATCGCCTCCCAGTGCGACTCGGACTCTACCATCCACGCTTTGATGAACACCTGCCGCTATCTAAATGAACATGGCGTCAGGTTTCTCCAGAGAGCTCGCGAGGCCCGGGTCCGTGTAATGCGCGATCTCCGTCGCCTCGCCGCCTTTCTCCGCGCAAAGGGCCAAGACCGCTGGCGATACCTCAATCGGTTATATATCCGGATCTGGAGGGGAGAGCGTTTTGAGCCCAAGGAACAGCTGCAAGCTCTACTCGATCTGTTGGATGGGTCCGCGCCCGCGCTACGGGAGCTAACCGTTTGCAGACTGGAGCTCTACATCCACTACGAATCCGACGACGACGAGGATCACAAGGCGCGCGACGACACGGTCCTGGACGACTTCGTCGACGTCAACGGCGCGTGACAGGACGCGCACGGGTCGGGGGGGATCTGAAGCTGCTTGACGGGCCGCTGTGGTCCGTGTACGGGCTCGGGCTCCGCTGCCGCTTGGACACGCTGCGGACGGACGCGGTGCTGTTCGGCGCGCTCAGTCCGCACGTACTCGCACTTCGCGTGCAGGGCTTCGACGTCGTTGGCGACCCGGGGTTCGTGCGCGCGTTCGAACCCGAGCGCGTGCCGCGGGTCCAGAAGCTCGAGTTGCGCTTCGTTGGGGAGAACGTTGAGGACACGGTGCCGCAGCGCGCCGTGATCTTGCTGGTATGCGCCCCCGACTCGGTCGCGTGTTGAGTGCTGATCCCCGCTGACTTGCGTAGAACTCGGTCGAGAAGATCACGGGCCGGCTGTCGGTGCTCAAGGAGCTCATCATGTGGCTCAACGTGACGTCCAAATCACTGCCCGAGCGGAATGAGACGCGCGAGGACCTCCTCCCAAAGAGGAAGGTGTGTAGTCACGTTGATCAGCCCAGATTGCACGACACTGATGCTCAATTCTCGTGTCTGCAGCCTCGCGGTTAACGGGACCTTTTAAGGTGTGTGGCCGTCTCTTGCATTCCCGCCATCACGCCGAGTGCATCGAGCAGGACGCTGTCGAGAAACTAGGTCGTTCTTTGTCTGTCGGTGCGAGTGTTCGTTCACTCGTCGGTTCACAGGATGGCTTGAAGCTTGCATACGCTTCATATCGGTCTGAACGCTATCAATTACATGGACTATGGAGCAGTAGGTCCGTCTCCGCGCGGAGTGTGCGTGTAGCAGCATCGTCACGGCGGTGCTGTGCACGACAATAGTGATAAATAGAACTCTTTAAAACATGAACGAATGATGCGCAGTAACTTGTATATTCAATACGTCACGCTCTACGCCTCATCCCACCACACCTGAAGCTATACACCAATAGATTTCTCCGTCTATCAGATGAGCCTCCCCATGTTCACTTGCAGCGTTTCTCTGCCCAACGGACTAGGAGAGAACAATACCACAAATTCACCAAACCAACCCTTCACTCGGCGCCGCACCGGCCATGGTCCGCGCATGTCGATATGGTCCGTCGGGCACGAATGTGCAGCGGCGGTGGCGGCGGCAGCGGCGGCGGCGGCGGCGGCGACGTTGGCGGCAGCGGCGGCGGCGGAGGTGGTGGGGTGGGCGGCTGCTATGACACCGACGGAGGACATGTAGGACCGACATCGAAGGATGCAGAAATGTTTTCGGTCTGGCATGCCTGGATCTTGAGTCCCCTTTGCAGTCTTGGATAAGCGTACGTTGTCGCCGGGGGACTCGGTGTCAGAGCATATCCCAAGAATGATAACAAGCGCTGGAAAGTTCCGGCGACGGAAGCCGCTGTGAAAATGAAGGACGACGTCTGCAGTGGAGGAAGGCGACGGAAGAGTGCTTGCGTCGCTGTTGAAGACCAGGATATCGTTTCGGAGCTGGAGGAAGTCGCATACATAGCAGTACATGATATGCATAAATCCCTGTTAGAGCGCCCCGGGCTTATGCATATTGTGAATTATGCATACGCGAATATATGCATAAACATTAGTGAATGCATACAACTGTAGAGGCGTCAATGTCCGTAAACAAAACAACGCAATGGGGAATCGAACACCCAACCCAACCCAAAAGGGGGAGGTGGGAGGCAATTCTACCACTGCGCCATGAGTCCATTAAAACGGCTCATATGTTTCTTTATATGTACTGTTATATTTCTCAATACGTCGACTTAATGTACTCCCGTCCTCCCCAGCTGACCATCCTCTCTCAAAAGTGGGTAATGCAAGATGCCCACTATGATCTCCCGCCCATGTCCAACGGATATCAGCTCACCTGTGCAGCACATAATATATCATTTGCTTCCTGTAGAGGCGTAAGTGACTATGCCGATGACACAAGTAAGTTTATGCATACAGCGCGTTTATGCATACAATTTGTTTATGCATACAACGTGTTCATGCATACGGCCGGTTTATGCATACAGCCGGTTTATGCATACAGCCCGATTATGCATGCAGCGTGATTATGCATACGGCGCATTTATGCATACGCCCCATTTATGCATAAACGGTGCGTATGCATAAACAGTTCATATGGGTAAACACAGTGTATACCAGTGGGGCAAGACGACAGTCATCAGCCTCAGGGCCGAGTCCACGGCGGTGAAGGCGACAATGGACATAGAGGGCTGGTGTAAGCATAGAAATGGGGAATCCGGGATATGACGCATTGTGGGGAAAGCGAACGCGAAGAGAGTTGGATCGCGGGAACACGAGGTGCGCGAGGAGGTCAGAATGGATGAGACCGAGGAGGATGACGAGCGCGAGTGCGACACCAAGGGCGAAGGTGACACCAAGGGCGAAGGGGAATGACCGGTGCGTCTAGATCGATGCATCGCATAGGGCTGCTGTATCGATCCTAGGTGAACGCAGGCAGATTGCGATGGGCGTGTGCGAGGTGGGACGGACAATGTGCGCGGAAAACGTGTGCGAGGACGACATGGATGGGAGCCAGGCGGAGGCGCGTAGCCACTAGCGTGGTCAGGTGGTCGAGGGACGATGAGTGGACGTGAGTCGTAGAGAATGGAGCAACGTGACGCTACGAGGACGTGGCAGGAGCTGAGAGAGAGCCCTGGCGTCGATTCCTGGTGTGTGCTCCGAGAAAAGCGGGATGTGATCGACCCGCACGTCATCCAGGCACTGCGGGGGGTGGCTGTGCTCGAGGAACACCTCCGCGCATGGTCCCTGGCCAGCGCACACCCTTCCGCCTCACTCGGCCGTCCCGGCCTGCGCGGTGAGTGTGAGGTGCGTACTCACCGTGTCCGGCCTCGTCATCACACCCATGACCGGTAGACGCACACACCAGGAATTGACACCAGGGCTCTCTCTCAGCTCCTGCGTCCTCGCAGCGTCACGTTGCTCCATTCTCTACGACTCACGTCCACTCATCGTCCCTCGACCACCTGACCACACTAGTGGCTACGCGCCTCCGCCTGGCTCCCATCCATGTCGTCCTCACGCACGTTTTCCACGCACATTGTCCGTCCCACCTCGCACACGCCCATCACGATCCGCCCGTGTTCACCTAGGATCAATACGGCAGCCCTATGCGACACATCGATCTAGACGCACCGCGCGTTCCCCTTCGCCCTCGATCTCGCACTCGCACTCATCATCCTCCTCGGTCTCGTCTATTCTGACCTCCTCAAGTACCTCGCGTTCCCGCGATCCAACTCTCTTCACGTTCGCTTTCCCCGCAAATCTTGCTTCACCCCAGATTCCTCATTTCTACGCTTACACCAGCCCACTATCTCGCCTTCACCTCCATGGACTCGGACCTGGAGTTGACGGTACATCACTGTCATCTTGCCCCACCAATACACGCTGTGTTTACCCATATGAAGTGTTTATGCATAAACGGGACGTATGCATAAATGCGCTGTATGCATAAATGCGCCGTATGCATAATCACACCGCATGCATAAACCGGCTGTATGCATAAGCCAGCCGTATGCATAATCGGGCTGTATGCATAATCGGGCTGTATGCATAAACCGGCCGTATGCATAAACCAGCCGTATGCATGAACACGTTGTATGCATAAATGGGGTGTATGCATAAACCGGATGTATGTATAAACACAATCTTAGACATAGGTAGGCATCCCGAGGAGAGGGTGAGTATGCAAGCAGTGTTGAGAAGTATGACTGGACTGTGATGAACGACGAGTTCAACAAAAGCCTTGTGTTTATGTCAGTATTGAAGAGAGTATATCTACTGTAAGCAACGCACAAACAGCATGGAACATTGGCGTAGTGGTCTGTTGTGTCGTATGTGTACAATGTCAAGAGGCTGTGGGTTCGATTCACGTGGCTGTCCTTTTGTTTACGGATATTGACGCTCTTACAGCTGTATGCATACTTCAATGTTTATGCATATATCTGTGTATGCATAAGGTACGGTATGCATAAACCCGGGGCGCTCTAACAGGGATTTATGCATAACCTGTACTGAGGCGGCTCGGAAGTCGCGAAAGACAAGGTGGAAGGGGGAGCTGGTAGTGGTGGATTCGCAGAAGCGTCTCAGCAGCTCCATCCCGGCAGTTTCGCTCTCGAAGAGGTCACCGGTGTACAGCGGGAGGGCTACAACGCGCAGGTCCGTCATCGTCCAGCCATGTGAGGCGATTGCCGTGCTTGGTTTATCCAACCGCACAACGGGTTTCTCTACGGGCTGGTATAGTGGGGCAGTGCGGCCAGCGTTGGGCTCGTCTTCAACCCTTTCAAGCATGAGGAAGAGGGGATCGGGATTTCTACAGAATAAGTCGACGAGGATGAATTCACTTGCACCATTCAGAGGTAGAACGGCCGCGTGGAGCTCGATCCCATCTGGCGACATGGAGAGCACGGGAGCACGGAGTTCTACGGTCGCCGCGTTTGCATTCGAGTCGTACTACAATGGTCGTCAATGTAGTACAGCGTAGAAAGGCATCCATACCAGCGTACCTCAACTCGTTCTCTCTGGGAGCATGTGCCTGGGTCGTATAGCACAGGACTAAAGCCAAAAGAACGAGAATTCGGAAAAGGCTGAAGGGGGAGAAGATGACGACAGGTTCGGTTCCGGGGAATATTCTGTCGGAGGGCCGATTGGATTTCTCCCAAGTTGTTCGCATACCACCGTGTTCCCAAGAGAAGAATCGAAGGATCGCGCGAGGTCTTCGAGATCTCCATGAGGAGCCGGCAGAATGCGTTCCGGCCTTCGCCGTAGAGCGTCGGCATGTTAACCCCGAAAAGCCCGAAGAGGCTATAGGCAGCGTCTTCGGGCCTCGTGGTCTTCCGATGCGCCGCCCAGGATATGCGCGTCGCAATTGTAGCGTCGGTAAACGAACTCTCGAAGCGGAGGACTGCCGCGGAGATTCCAGTTGCTTCTTCTAGGCGCTCGGCGAGCTCGTACTTGGTCCCCAGACAGATCCACTCGTTGGAGTAGAACATGACAAAGCGGGACGCGATAAGCTCTTGGAGAGTCCACCCCCGGGTGTGCCAGCGACTTCGTCGGAAGGCGATCCACATGTCGAATGGATGAGTGTCTGAGGATTTGACATCGCTGAGGTAGACGTAGCAGATGGCGGAGAGGGCGTAGTAACGGAACATGGAATTGATGCCTTCTGAGAGCTCGGCACTGCTCTCCTTGTTGATACAGCAAGTGTCGATCCATGCGTACTTGTACCCGTGATTTTCGGCGAACTCAAGGAATGACCGAATCTTTGGAGTTAGGCGATCACGTGGGTTGAACCACGGTGGTGACGAGCGGTGTGGATCAGCTTGAAGTCTTTGGACGGTTGTAGGAGTAGCCAGGGAAACCGGTGTCGCGGAGGTATGTGGAAATGAATCTATCGAGAGGTCTTGGGTCTGGTATGTCAGCGTCGAGGAGGGAAAACGAGCCTTCATAACACTGACCGGGCTCGCATTCAGTACCGGATGCTACTAGCCTGTCTCGGCTGTTCCCGTCGACGCGGTCGCGAGCAACGGGGGAGGTCTCGGTACGGCGGGGAGTGCGTAGTAGGAATAGTGGTAGCTTGAGCGTTTTCAAGATTCGGGATTTTATTTTATGGAGAGCATTTTTCAAATGTACGCGAGCCGTAGATTCCTTTGGGACTGCCTCGGAAATGAGAGAGCGGAGCTCATTCCGGAGAACTGCCGCTTCTTCAAAGACTGCCTGGGAGTTGAGAGATCGGATCTCGTCACGGAGAACCGCCGCTTCTTCAGAGACTACCTGGGAGACGAGGGATCGGAGCTCAGCTGGGAGCAAGGGATGCTGGTCTTTCGGGGAGAAGATGCTGTTGGATTCTACGTTCAGGTTTTTAACCTTTTGAAACGTGTCTTCCTCCTCTCCCCAGGTGTGCGAGAGGATGGCATAGCCGCCAGGAACGTCTTCAGGTTGGGGAAAGAAGACGAGGTTCGCGCGCGCGGTGCCCAGGAGCCACATCGCTTCCTTCACGAATATTAGCACAGGTATTTCACGCAAGGGTAAGCATCAATACCAGGTGCGAGTTGACGTGTACGACTCACAGAAGGAGTACAGACACTTCGGGAGAATAAGCAAATACGATACAAAGCATCGGAAGAGCGGACGTACAATGAGAGTATCCAAGACAGTCGATGGGTGTTGCGGTACCTGATAGAACAGAGGGCGTCGATGGCCGGGAGGAGATGCAATGGACGGGAGGAGACGTGAGATGGGTCGAGGGCAAGACGGAAGGGGTCAAGTTGCAGCGAGGGCGACTCCGGAGTACGCCGACCGCGTGTTCCACCATGCGGGAAAAGCACGCGATTGAGTCGAAGTGCCTCGGATACTTCTCCCCAGGAGGGCGAGATGACCTTCCCTGCCATGAAAAACGTGTCACATGCTAATTATTGTGCGTGTTCGATATTGAGGAACGTCCATACAGAGATAGCTCCCCAGATGTTCGACTCCGATGGCGGACTTGGATCACCAGAGTAGGGCAATCGCGAGTGTCTCAGCCCCGCTCGTTGATGATAACGTATGCGTAAAAATTGGAACTATACTCTTGTAGCTGGGCGCGAAGCGGGTATCAGAGAGCAGCTCAACGCCATCTTAACAAGCGCGATGCTCTAGACCTCTCCGGCCGCATGGCCTCGCTGGACGCCCATTGTTTTGAGCGGAGATGGGCAGCCTTGAGATAAATGGGTCAGCTGATCCCAAGCACGCGCAGGGCATACCGTTTCAACGAGGATTCGGGGATGTCCGCAGCAGTGATTCGCCGTGTTGCCGGTGACGGCACATACTAGTCCATGCGCCGACGATCTACAAACCTTCAGTCAGTCACACGAGCACTTCCGCGTGAGTGGCCAGATTTATACTATATAAGAGTGGTGTAGAGGCCGTCATCAATATCTAGGAGTACACATCGAAGCGTGTTGAGTGCAGGAAGGAGGGTCGCAACTAGCTGCGGACTCACATGACCACATCAGGAAAAAAGATTTGCTACGAAGCACAGCCTACAGACTATGTAGGCTCGGTAGGCGCCAAAGTCGTTGGTGCGCACTCCATAGCACTCCATAGTACTGTCAAAGCATACCGTAGCAGAGTCTAATGACAGCCAACACAAACCAGATGTAAACATATTAATAACGTGCACAACAGACCTCTTAGCATATCACTGACAGCTGGGAGTGAATGACACTCGTTTCTGGCAGTTGGAGATCACTGCGCACTCCGAAGTCCAGTGATATTTCAAGGAGATTTCGGTGTCACTAACAGAAGCGATGAGAAGATGTCGAACGTACCATCGGAGACTTCCTTGGAGCTTTGAATGCAAGACGTCCGGTAAGTGCATCAGTAGCTTCACAACCCTGATGGCAGCAGGGAGGACAAGGTGTGTTGCACGACATGGCCCTCGTACCAATGCTATCATATTAATTTGTGTGGGTGTACTGACTGTCCTGTCTCGTAGCCTGCTCCAACCGAGTGCCCTGAGGACCAAGAGCGCGCCTGCGCGCTGCACAGGGACCACCTCGCGCCAGCTCGGTGCCGGTCTGTACCTTGTCTCGTCTTACATGCGCCCTTTTTCCCTCTTCTTGTGTCATGTCTCTCTTTCTACAATCCATCAATACAGCTCACACATTCCGGCAACCCGTTCGGCTGCCAGATCTTCGCCCCCGGCTCGACGGACCTCAAGCTCGTCGCCACATGCCCGACCAAGGCCAGCGACAAGCTCACGATTGGGTTGACGACCTCCGGCGCTCGGTCAAATCAAGAGTCCGCGGGCGTCGCGCGCGCGTGCGCGTCGCATCGAGCTCGCCCACGGCTGGAGGTTCAAATACGAGTGCTCGCGCTGTCTCGCTGAGGCGCTCGCGGAGCTCACCATAGAGGACGCCGCGAAGAATGCAGTCACCGCCGTCGCCGTGGAGGCCTTGGAGTCGAGGGCGACGAGAGCATCACCCGGCCTGAATGGACACTGGCGCCTGTAGATTCACACGCCTGGCCCGTGCGCAAATGCGCGCTTCTGCCGCGGCCAGCGCCAGCGCATGCTTTCACCGTCTTCTCTTCCCCCCACATCTCCCATCTCCTCATTCTCCTGTTTACTCAGGTCTTCCAGGTGAATCAACTCAAGAAAAACCCTCCTCTGCCAACAGCTACGAGGGTATGCCTAGGTTTCGCACTTTTCATGCTGCTTACGGACCTCTACAGATTGGTCCGACACGAGCTCCCGTGGGTTTATGTCGCCAACTCCCCGGCTCCTGCTCCGCGATCAGGTGCGCGGGGGTCTGTGTGACGAAGGGCTGCAGGTATGTGTCCTCTGTAGTCGTGTGGTCGAGGTACTTGACGGCCGCCCAGGTTAAAGAGCCTATCTTCCCTGTCTGCGGCCGCGAGGCTGCTGCGGAGAGCACTTGGCCACGCCACCTTACGACGTCACGGACGGCAGGGTGGATTACATGAAGGGCGCGGATGACCAGTGTGGCAACATCTTCGACCGTGAGTACGTCTCCGTTTGTGCGTCCCCCAGCTCAGCTCCTCTCTGACCTCCTCTCCTCCCCCATCCTCACCCACTTGGGCTGGTCTGTGCACGTCGAGCTCGCCTTCGACGATAACCACGCCGTCTTCTCCTCCGCGCCCGCCGACGAGTCCCCGCTTTCAGCGGTCCCGTTCACAGACAACAAGCTCCGGTACACGGAGCTCCCTGAACTCCTCGCCCTCCACGTCAACCGGGGCGGCCACGAGGGCCATTGCGCGCACCTCGCCCGTTGGGCGCCCACCTTCCTCGCCTTCAACAGTCTCCCCGCCTCGCCGAGTTCATCGCGCCCTCCAGCGAGCCCTAGCCCGGCACGGCGACAGAGGAGGGCATGGCCATCTACGTCGATCGCTGCTACCCGTCGGTCACATGTATCATGGAGCGCGCGCGCGGACGGGCCCGTCGCCCCGCGCCCCGCGCTTGACCGCGTCTTCGTCATGGCGAACGGCGACTTGGTGTGAGTCGTCCAGTCGAAGAAGGCGCTCTTCAAGAACCGGCAATTTGGCCGGGTCGTGAGCAGCCGCGACTTCGAGCCTGGTGCGGAGCAGAGGTACGTCAGCCAGGCGGTGGACGAGCAGAGAGCGTCCATACGGGTGGGTTCGGCTTTCCCCATCGTTGTCGTTATATGTTAGTAGTCGCATGTACTCTATTGTAAGGCTTAATACAGTTTTTTGACCGCTATATCAATCATTCGTGCGCTTTGCTGAGTGCAATGGGCTGCTTTGAACAAGCTTTGGACGAACATCATAGACGGTGCATGCTGCTATGCGGTACTATGGAGCGCTTTGTAGACGCCGCGCGCGACTATGGGAGACCCCAAAACGGGGGGGTTTCCTATGGCACTTCGGATGCTACATAGCCCACATAGTGCTCTGGAGCAACCTGCTTTTTTCCTGATGCACCGCGGTTGCACCAACGCATGCCCAGGAATACGAACAAAGGGTTCGGGAATCATCGTAAAAGCCCACAACCATCGGGCGAGACTCGGAAAGAGAGCGATTAGGAGAGCTTCCATAAACAATATGCTCCGCATGTCTTGGAGATGGCGCGAAGAAAGAGTAGCCATCGAAACGCGCGCTCACGCCTCAGGCACCAGCGCCGACCAGACCACGGTCCGCATTCTCCGGGGAATAGACGCGCGTCGTCAGGGCCGCTCTTCGGCGGGGCTGGGCCAACGCGTTGAAGGTGAAGGCGATCTGCGTGGACGTGCCCGGCGGCCAGTCCGGCGGCCACGGGTCACTCCTACTCGAGCGAGCACTTCGAGACGAGCGTGGGCTCCAGGCGGAGCACCACGGGCCCAGCGTCTCGCACAAAGGCTTCCGCGCCACCGAGGATGGGATCGCTCGGCTTTCCGCCTCTCTGTCGAGAGATCATTGCGGCTGTTGCAGGGACTCAGCGGAGTGCAAGAAGGACTCGATCCGTCCAGCCACACGCACCACACTTTCCGGCCGTCACCGAAATATTGGAACTCCGAACCGTCGGAGCGCGTCGCCAACAGGCTCGGCTCTCGAGGCCCGTCTCGACTCCGGACTACAACCGAGAAAACTCTTGCGGCCTCTGAGGGTCAAGAACGCCACGAAATCCTCGCCCCGCGACCGTCCGACACGCGAAAATAGTCAAATGCAACTGCCATTCGACTCGACGACGTGAGTACTTGTTACAGCGGGCCTACTCCTTGCACCAACACCACATCTCATCTACGGAGGCGTAACCGGCCACTGTGCCAACAGGTACAAGTTCTTCGTCGTCGGGTCCTCCGCGTACACCGAGATCGTCGACGTGGACGAAATCCCCTTGTGGCTGAACATCCCAAAGTCCACCTTCTCCCCGGTGATCCCCATCCCGACCCCTGGGTTCCTGCCGAGGTCCGTGCCGTCGACGACGACGCGGTACTTGGTCAGGCCTTGCCCCAGGACGACGTTGAAGTCAACGGCGTCCATGTAGCCGGGGTTCGAGTTGAGGACCCACACGGGCTGGTAGTCCCACGTCACGGCGCGCTGCTTGGGGATGAGGGCGAAGATGTCGGACAGGACAGCGTCCCAGTTGGAAGCGGCGGCGACGTTGGCAGCGGCAGCACCATTGGCAGCAGAGGCACCGTTGGCGGCAGCGGCACCGTTGGCGGCAGCGGCACCGTTGGCGGCAGCGGCACCGTTGGCAGCAGCTGTGGACGGAGGGAACGTCGTCAGCAAGGACGTGCAACGAGACGGAAGCGAAACGGAGCCGACCTTGATCGTCGGGCATAATTGCAAGCTGCGCGGACAAAGGTGAGTACGGTGGCATGCAATTCCGTGTGTAAAGGACGCTTACTTTGTGAAGCTCTGAAGGTAGCGTACGGTGGTGTGCGCTGAGGGGCTCCCTTGACCGCACCACACCTTATATACCGCCCAGATGGCTCCAAGTGGGCACCGATTTCTCAGCGGGTTAACCAGCGAGCACGCACACGTGTGCACAGCAAAGCCGGTACACTCACACACCGACAAGCGTACGTCGAGCTCGTCTCACGCGCGCTTCTCATCATCCGTCGTCGTTGACGGCTCGTTTGGCAGCAGACCATTGCAACGCGACGGTGAATGCTCGGATATTGAAGAGCATGATGCAGTATTCTCGTCGGCGTCGATTGAAGCTGCTCAAATTTATCCGAACCCCGGACATCTTTCTCAGCAAGAGTCTGGCATGACGGCGAGGAGCTGGCGTCATGCGGTCGGTGGACACGTGCGCACTTCTACGACGCACCGAATCTCACGCCGTTGCATCAGTAGCGGGTCTTTGGTGCAAAGTCCGTTGTCGTGAATCCTTCGACACCGAGACCCAGCCGAGGACAGCATCCTGCTGCCGTGTTAACGAGGAACGGCGAGTTTTTTTTCGCTTCTCTACGCAACCACAAGCATCCTAATCACCGCACGACCGTCGACACGTGTAGATTCTTTCCGAGAAGAATGCGCCGGCCTCTGAACAAAGTTTCCCATCATCCAAGTTCTGCCGATGTGAACACCGGGTCCGTGTTTTGTTTCCGACCATTCTTGCTTTCATTCCATCCCGTATACAGCTACCGACGACAGATGAAGGAACGCTCGTGCGATGTTCAAAGAAACCACTCCACCGGGTGTGTAGGAATGCCGGCGAGTCGAAACGCACGTGTGTGGTCACGCCTTTGAGGCTGCCGCAGACGCGGGAGGTGCGGGCCCGAGGGTATAAAACCTCGCGCCTTCGCCGAGCAGTCCTTCAGCGAACAACCCAGTACGCCCTCTCCGGAGCATCACAAAGTGAGTCTCATTCCTTCCCATGTTTCACAGATGCTGATCGTCGCCCGTAGCTATCGAAACCATGTCCGGCTTCCTAGGTCATACCCGCCGTCTATCCTCGGTCCTCTCTCCACGCGCTGACTCCCACTCTCTCTCGCAGCCCCCTCCAAGGTCTCGGTCACCGCCTCGGACATGTCCCGCTGGGACTCGGTCATGCCCGACATCTTCGCCCTCGTCCCCAAGCAGCTCGCCGTCCAGTGGAACTACACTCCGGTCTGGATCCTGAACTCGAACCCGGGCTACATGGACGCGGTCGACTTCGACTTGGTGCTCCAGCAGCACATGCACCAGTACCGTCTCGTCGTCGACGGCAAGAACTTGGGCACGAACTTCGGGGTCGGGATGGGCTCGACCGGGGAGAGCGTCGTGTTCAGCGCGTTCAGCGGCAAAGGGATCTCGGTGACGTCGACGATCATGGTGTACGTGGTGAGCCCGGTGTCGAAGAACGAGTATTTGGTTGCGAAGTGGCCTGTTACTGCGGCCTGAGGGGTGGATGAGGAGCGGAAGGGATTGGAGTGTAATACGTGCCACGTTCAATAGTGTCGAATGCCACTTGTCTTCGGCGACCTGCGCGCGTGCGAGAGATCAAGATCCCGCAGGACCAGTGCATCCTCATGCCCGGCGACCTGAAGCTTGGGTAGTATACGAAGCTCGCGCCCCGTATCACCGGCACCATCGTCGGTGCGGTCCTCAACTGTGCCCCTTCACCTCCTAAGCCTTCACTGCCCATTTGGTGACACACGGGGCTGACAAGCGCGCACAGCTACAACGTCACCGGGGCTCTCGAAGGGGGCACTCGTTCATGCTCAACTACGCCGACCGCTGCGCACTACCCGACCAGTCCTGGTTGCGGCGGTGGCTTGGCTGGAATCCGGGATTGCCAGGCCCGTGAACTGGAGGGGCATGCTAGAACACACGGTGGTTGTCATATTGGCATTAGGATTGTTGTACGATATAGACGAACGACGCGGTCGAGCACAAAACGCGTCGCAGGCAAAGAAATCGAGACGAGACCATTAGTCCTGCCCATCGTCGTTGTCCTCCCCGTCCCCATCGTCCCCATCGCCTCCGCATTCACACGGCTTATCCATGCCGGCGTCGAAATACATAACACTATTCACCTTCAAGCCACAGAACGTGTGCGACACCTCATCGTCTTCATCGCAATCGCCGGACCCACGCGAAACGGTGACCTTCATGCCCATCGTCGGACCCGCCGCGCCGAGCAAGAACTCTTGCATCCGCGCCGTGACCGCTTGCACGTATGCTGTCGACTCGCTCGGGTCCACGTTCTCCTCGCCTTCGTCACGGGCCTGATCCGGCGTGGCAGCAGGGTTCATCGCCATCCGGAAATAGACGTACATGCTACTCAGCATCGTGAGCTCCTTCGTGGCGCTCTCCAGCGCGTGCTGAGCAGCCCCAAAGACAGTCAGCCAGGGACGCATCGCAGGACCGGGAAGCGAACGTACCAGAACCGAGACAAGCGCGCGCTGCGGATCACCCCCCGCGAGCACGTCCTCGGAGACGTGGAGCTTGAGGTGCCGCAGCTGCGGCAGGCGCTCGCGCGCAAACACGCTCGCGAAGCCGGGGTGCTCGACCGTCGCGAACGTGTGCACACGCAGGTCGAGCATGCGCGGGCTGAGCGCGTCGAGCGCATCCACCAGCATCGCGGTCTCCGCGAGCGGGTCGCCGTGGCGGGTGAATGCGGTCCGGAGCTCGTACACGGGGCGCTGGGGCGCGAGGCCGTAGACGGAGGCGAGGGAGCCGACGAGATGGATGAGCTCGTTCCAGGAGCCGTGGGTGCGCTGCCACGACGCGTTGTCGTGGGCGAGCTTGCGTACGTCCAGGGCTTCAACCTCGGGCTCGCTGTCTTCGTCCAGATCCGGGTACAGGTGATAGAGCCGGTGGGTGCTGTCGGAGCCGTACATCTCGAGGGCCACGAGGTTTGGGAACATGCGGACGACGTTCGGGAGTTGCCGCGCAAAAGTGTAGTGCTCCTGAGGGTTCGCGAAGAAGAGATGGAGATGCTCGAGCGCCTCGAACCGAATGTCGCCTGCGGCCGCGAACATCCCGTTCCGCGAGCCGACGAGGCCCAATTCGCGTAGCGTGCCTCTCATGTTGCCCAGGGAGCGGAAGATCTTCATGGGTAATTGAGGAGATAGGGACCGGGGGAGGAGCCCGATGAAGGCGATGTTCACGTCCCAAGACGCCTCCTCGAGAAGCCACAGCGTTTCGAATCCAACGTCCATAAGCGTGAGGATCTTGACGGATGTGAACCCGGCCATCATAGTCGCCAGGTCGGGCTGTAGCAAGAGGTAGAGCTCCACCTCGTGGAAGGTCAGCCGATAAAGTGCGGGGGCGGAGTGGAGCGCGCGCGAAAAGGTCGAGCAACGATTGTGCTTGTTCGTGGATATCGACACTGTCCTCGGTGCGGATGTCGCTGTCCAGATAAGCGAGGCGCCGCCAGCGTTCTTGGTCCTTTGCACCGAGGAAGGCGATGAGGAGACGGAGGTCGAGGTAGGAACAGACGTGTGCTTCGCGGCCTTTGCAGAGGAAGCGAGAGGCGATTGCGTTCAGATCGCGACACGTGTTCATGAGATTGAGCACGTCGGAGTCGGAGTCGCACAGTTCGGCGATCTGGTAGAGCATCTCGGGGGGTAGGACTGGCGGTCCTGTTGGAGCCTTGCGTGATGTCAGCGCGTCAACTTTTCACCAAGAAAGCGTCTCGAGCGACTCACGACGTTCATGACTAGAGAAGAGGTGGGGCTGAATGCGAAACTTGGGCGTTCCGGAGATCATCGTGCTTTTTGTACACCTCAGCATCGTGCGCCTCCACTGCAGAAACAAAGAGGCCCATGGACGGATTAGATAAGGGTGCTCTGCACGAGGCGATGACTGTCGGCAGCCAGTGTGCACTGTACAGGAGACGATGTTGTCCATATCAGGCAACTCCTCCTAGCAGCCGCGTACGATGACGATCCGCCCCTTGTATTTGGGTGGCATAACAGGGTAGCACTGACGCCTGATGCAATGATGCACAAACTGGTTCATGCCATAGTTGCTATGCATCCAGGGCCTTTGATTAGCCATCGTACCTCGTCCACGCGGTGAGACTCACATTCGAGCCAGTGCTCTGCGTCACTGACGCCTTCTACATAAATCTTGAACTCCGTGCACGACGGCCCTACAAGCGCAGCCGCAGAATCGCGTGCGCATAACCCCTTGATCACGATCGACGCCGTGCTTGGCGACGAAGTTACTGCTTGAAAGCGGTGGGCTCGTTCGTCTAGGCTGAGGGTCCGAAGCCATACTCGGCGTTCAGCAGGTCCGCGGTCGTCACGTTGGGAGGTAGAGAATGGGGGGGGGAGTCAAAAACAGGAAGATGAGGGCGTTGACCCGTAGGGACGACGGGCGGGAGAGACGCTTGACGAGGCCATCCTGCACGGAACCCCGACGGTCGGCGTAGAGCGCATACATGGGGTGGAGAACGCTCACCACCATCGCCGGAGCATTAACCGTCAAGCCTTGAGGCAGCATCAAACCCCCGACAATGACGACCGTCTCGAAGCACCCGATCCGCTGCACGCGCGACGATGCCGCGCGATTCGTGCGAGCTCGTTGATAAGCAAGTTCCCCTCGAGGACCCGCTTCGTGGGCGCGAGCATCGTCCGCAGCTGATTGAATAAGACCATGAGGCTCAGATGTGAAGCGTGCGCAGGGAGAAATGGGGCCCCAAGACGTACAAGTCCATGAGCGGCGCGCGACAGCTGGCGGGCTCCTTCCCCGTGCTGAGCGGCTCTTGGTCGATGACGATGTTTGGTGTCCAAATTATCTAAAGTCGGTCTTCGCCAGCCACCAGCTTCTTCTGGGAGTCATGGAGCACCTGAGACCCCAGCCATGACAACCCCACCCTTGCGAGACGCCCTCAGAGATGCAGACGACACAATGACACCGTCTCGCGCCTCATGAATACCAGTGACCCATCACCACTGCTGTGGGGCCAAGTCCCTCCTTGACCACGATCCCATCTGCATCCACCAAGGGAATGGTTTTCGCTCCCCTCTGCACTGATCAGGGGAACAAAAACCATAATAAAACAAGTATGGAGCATGGATACGAGTCAAACGTACCGCAAAAAGCCTCCACCATCCTAGGGTGTACCTGTACTTGTCTTCCTCGTCGAATACCTGAAATGAAGGGCAGAAGTATTCTTCAAATGGAAAGACGAAGTCACAACCTTGGCCAACCGACACATGATAAGTATATCCTATGCCATAAAGTGGACCAACACTGAGACCCGTCTGAGTGGATGATCTCGGCGCATGGAAGCGGTGTTGCACGGACGACAAGACCTGCAGAAGCTCGTGGATGGATGGAGAAAACAGGCCGTGAAGCTGAGCCCCGCCGAAGAGCCGCCCATGGCGACGCGCGTCTAGTCCCCGGAGAATGCGGACCGTGGTCTGGTCGGCGCTGGTGCCTGAGCGCGCGTTTCGAGCCAGAGTTTGCGTCGAATTCGATTGCTACTCTTTCCTCCCGCCATCCCCAAGACATGCGGAGCATATCGCTTATGGAAGCTCTCATAATCGCTCTCTTTCCGAGTCACGCCCGAGGTTGTGCGGCCGGAGGGCTAGAGTATCGCGCTTGTTCTTCCTGAAGACGGTAAAGCGGGTGACTGTCGGAGCTGCTCTCTGATACCCGCTTTGCACCCAGCTACTAGCGTGTGGTGCCCAATTCCACACCTATACTTTCATCAACGAGCGGGTCTGAGACACTCGCGTATAATGTCTACTCCGGTGATCCAAGCATTGGAGACCATCCAGTGGAGTACTATCGCTGTACGTACATTTCTCAAATGTGTGTAGCATCATGATACTTCTCGACACAGCTCCCGGCTCCGCCCAATGACGAGCGTGCACGATATCGTTCGTGGCCGGGAAGATGATCTAGCCCTGGGAGCGCGAAGCCAGCCCCGTATCTCAAGAAAGGTATCCGAGGCGCTCCGACGCTACCGCGTGCTTTTCCCGCATGGTGGGACTTTGCATTGTGGGCGTATGAGACCGGGGTCACCCCCGCTTCAACTTGGCCTCTTCCGTCTCGCCCCCAACCCATCTCACCCCTCATCCCGTCCGTTTTGCGTACAATCCTTCCAGCCATCGACGCCCTCCGATGTGATATCAAATACCGCAAAAACCCAGATCGACCGTCGTGCTCGTTGTACGTACGCTCTTCCGATGCTCTGTATCGCATCTGATCATGTTTCCGAAGTTTCTGTACACCTTCCGCAAATCGTGCACATCAGCTCGCACCCGGTATGAGTGCTTACTCTTGCGTGAAATGCGCGTGCTAATATTCGCGAAAGAATCGATGTGGCTCCTGGAAACCGCGCGCGCGAACCTCGTCTTCTTTCCCCAGCCCGAAGACGTTCCCGGAGGCTATGTCATTCTGTCGCACACCTGGCTCGAGAGCGAAGAAGAAGAGACGTTTCAAAAGGTTCAAAAACTGAACGTAGAGTCCAACAGCATCTTCTCCCCGAAAGACCAGCGTCCCTTACTCCGAGCTGAACTCCGATCTCTCGTCTCCCAGATAGTCTCTGAAGAAGCGGCGGTTCTCCGCGACGAGCGCCGTCCTCTCATTCCCGAGGCAGCCCCAAAAGAATCTGCGGGTCGCATGTACCTGAAAAATGCTCTCCATAAATTAGTATCCCAAATCATGAAAACGCTCAAGTGGCTAGCACTATACCTACGACCCATCCGCCGTACCGAGACCTCCGATTCCGTCGTCCCCGATCCCGCCGACTGGAGTAGCCGAGACAGGCCAGTAGCATCCGGTACTGAACGCGAGCCCGGTCAGTGTTATGAAAGCTCATCTTTCCTCCTCGGCGCTGACATACGAGACCCAGATCCACGTTCTCCTGCGATACCGATTTCAGCTACTTCAACACCCGTCCAAGGATTGGCTGAGCCACACCCGTCATCTCCACCATGGTTCAACCCACGCGATCATCTCACTCCCAAAATTCGATCATTCCTTGAGTTCGCCGAAGATCACGGGTACAAGTATGCCTGGGTCGACACGTGTTGTATTAACAAAGAGAGCAGTGCCGAGCTCTCAGAAGGCATCAATTCCATGTTCCGTTACTACGCCCTCTCCGCCATCTGTTATGTCTACCTCAGCGACGTCGACACCGATTCAGTCAAAATGTGGGAAGACTTCCGAAGAAGCCGTTGGCACCGCCGTGGTTGGACTCTCCAAGAGCTCATCGCGTCCCGCTTCGTCATGTTCTATTCCAAGGAGTGGATCTGTCTTGGAACCAAGTACGAGCTCGCCGAGCACCTGGAAAAATCAACTGGAATTTCCGCGGCAATCCTTCGCTTTGAGATTTCGTTTACCAATGCTACTATTGCGACGCGCATTTCCTGGGCGGCACATCGGAGGACCACGAGGCCCGAAGACACTGCCTACAGTCTCTTCGGGCTTTTCGGGGTCAACATGCCGACACTGTACGGTGAAGGCCAGCTGGCATTCTGCCGGCTCCTTATGGAGATCTTGAAGACTTCGCGGGATCCTTCCATATTTCTCTTGGGAGAACGGCGGTATGCGAACAACTTGAGAGACCTCCAATCGGCCCTCCGACAGCATATTCCCCGGAACCGAACCCATCGTCATCTTCTCCCCCTTCAGCCTCCGTCGACTTTTCATTCGTTTGGCTTTCGTCCTGTGCACTACGACCCGGGCGCACGCGCTCAGAGAGGGGGAAATGAGGTACGCTGGTATGGATGGTTCTCTATGCTGTACTACATTGACGACCATTTTAGCACGGTTCGATTGCAAGTGCGACCGTAAAACTCCGTGCTCCGGTGTACTCCATGTCCCCAGATGGGATCGAACTCCACGCGGCCGTTCTATCTCTAGATGATACAAATACATTCCTCCTCGTCGACTTATTCTGCAGAAATCCCGAGCCCATTTTCCTCATACTTGAAAGGGTTGACGACGAGCTCAACGCTGGCCGCGCTGCTCCACTATACCAGCCCGTAGAGAGACCTGTCGTGTATATGAAGGAGCCACGCACGGCAATCACCTCACACGGCTGGAATATGGCCGACCTCCGCGTTGTAGCCCTCCCACCGTACACTGGTGAACTCTCCACGGGCAAAGTCGCACTGGAAATGGAGTTGCTGAGGCGCTTCTCCGAATCCACCACTACCAGCTCCCCCTTTCACATTATCTTTCGTGACTTCCTCCGTCTCCGGCTCGGAGATATCCTGGTCTTCAACAGCGACGAGAGCACTCTGCCTTCGCCTTCTTCCACTGGAGACGTCCTCCTTCAATTTGACGGCCGTTTCCGTGGGCAGAGCCATCCGGCGCTTGTTATCATTCTTGGGATATGCTCTGACATCGAGTCCCCCATCGACAACCACGTACGCTCATCCCAGACTGCAACGACGACGCCGGATCCAGGCATTTCAGGCCGAAAACACTTCTGCGTCCTTCGAGGTCTCTCCTATATGCCCTCCGCCAGTGCCAAAGCAGCAGCAGCAGCCGTACATTCGTGCGAGACGGACCATATCGACATGTGCGGACCGTGGCCGGTGCGGCGTAGAGTGAAAGGGTGGTTTGGGGAATTTGTCTTATCGTTCTCTCCCAGTCCGTTGGGTAAAGAAACGCTGCAAGTGAAAATGGGGAGGCTTGTCTGATAGACGAAGAAATGTATTGATGTATGGCTTCCTGAGGTGTGGTAGTGGGATATCGATGAGGCATAGAGCATGAATATACAAGTTACTGCGCAGTATTCGTTCGGGTTTTGTAGAGCCACCTAACAGTACCATCTATGACTACAGTAGCGCATGGCACCGTCATGACGATGCTGCCACACGCACGTCACACTCTGCGCGGAGAGTCGGGACTCCAATACGGACCTACTGCCACTCCACAATCCAGTATTTAGACCAATATGAAGCGCATGGAAGCTTCAAGCTATCCTGTGGACTGACGAGTGAACGAACGCTCGCATCGACAGACAAAGAACGACCTGCTTTCTCGACAGCATCCTGTTCAATGCAATTGGCACAGTGATGGCGGGAACGCAAGAGAACGCACCTCATACATCAGCGCATGACGTGTGACTGAGACTCTCGGAGATCTGCAGAACTGCATGTGAAGGGCCCATGTGACTGTGATTATAAGACGACTACTTCCATGAACACCAAACTTCGCATGTTACACAGCAACAGTACAGCAACCTCGAAATCAGCGCTTCTCACAAATCTTCATACCGTTCGCACCCCAACAGTAATCACGCCTCGATCCTTCTTTCCGTCGAACATGTGATCCATCCGTACCGCGTAGTTGTCGTGTTATTCAGTCCACCGGACGGACACTTGCACAGACATCGTCGCGCCCACCGCGCGACCCAGAATCCGTACAACCGCGTCACCACCGCGTCCACATAAGAGTTTGGCGGAACCTTCACCTTGCCTGGGAGGAGGTCCACGCGCGTCTGATTCCGCTCGGGCAGTGATTTGCACGTCACGTTGAGCCACAAACTGGGCTCCTTCAGCACCGAGAGCCGGTCTGTGATCATCTCGAGCGAGTTCTGCGCAATCCAGCGCGGATCAGCATTGTCCCACGTGACAGAGCGGGGGACACCCACCAGCCACGAGATCACCGCGCGCTGCGGCACTGCGTCCTCAATGTCCTCCCCGACGAGGCCCAACTAGAGCTCCTCCAGCCGCAGCACGCGCTCGGGCTCGAACGCGCGCACGAAGAGTCGTCGACGACGTCCAAACCCTGAACGCGGAGCGCGAGCACGCGCGGGCCGAGCGCGCCGTCGAACGACACCGCGCCCGTCCACAGCGTGTCCACGCGGCAGCGGAGCGCGAGCCTGTACACAGACCAGAGCGGCGCGTCCAGCAGCTTCAGACCCCTCCACGACCCGTGCTCGCCCTGCCGCGCGCCGTTGGCGTCGACGAAGTCGTCCGGGACAGTGTCGTCGCGCGCCTCGTCGTCCTCGTCCTCGTCGGATTCGTAGTGGGTGTCGACCCGCTGGTAGTCGTCCGAGCCGTGCATCGCGAAGGTGAACAGGTTCGGGAAGAGCGCGATCGCGTTCGGGAGCTCGCGCGCGAAGCTGTAGTGCTCCCGGTTCGCCGCGAACACGAGCCGGAGCCACTGGAGCATGGGGAACTGCAGGTCCTCGACGTCGCGCGCCCCGGCGAACATCCCGTTCCGCGCCCCGTTGAGGTGCAGCGTCCAGAGCGTGCCGCGCATCCGGTGCAGATATCGGAACACGCCAGCGCGTTGAGGTCCCGCGCGCCAAGGTACGCTTCCGCCGCGGAGAGGCCGGCGTCGACCGCGGGGAGCGGCCCGGGCAAGGACACCCAGACAATGGTAAGCACCAACGCGGTGATCGAGGTCCAAACCGAAGGGTGTTTGACGAACGTCTCTTGCATCGGGGACGGAAAGGGTAAGAAAGGGACGCAGGGCGAGCGGGGGAGGCAGGGGCGCACCACCATCGCAGACGCGTCGACTCTGCGTCCGAGAGCCGATGACCCGTGCACCACGATGACCGCCTCTAGACACTCGATCTTCTCGACGCGGCCGGGTGCCAAGCACGGGAGCGCCTGCGCGAGCATTGTCCCGTCGACCTCCTCCAGCACCAGCTGCACCGGCCGCGCGAGTGCCAGGATCGCGGACAGAAGCTCCGCGTGCACTGCGGAGCCGTTGACGTGCAAAGCGCGGGTCGGACAGCGTGGCGCGAGGGTGTACAGATCGATGAGGGGCGCGCCGCGGTGCGCGAGCGAGTTCCACGAGCCGTGGGCGGCTTGATCGCTCGTGTTGAAGATGCAATGCTGGTGAACGAGCGCTAGGGGTCGTCGTGCAGGTCGCGCATCACGTCTGCCCGGATGTTGAAGTCGAGGTGGGTGAGGTTCGGGAACGCGCGGACGAGGGGGAGGATCTGTGAGGTGTCGATGTCCGCGGGGACGAGCCGGGTGACGTGCGGATAGACTTCATGGAAGGGCCGCGTCGAGTCGTCGACGAGTACAAACACATTGTGCGCAACCAGGGAAGTAAGGCGTCGACGGCGAGTTCTTCAACAAAAGGATTGGGTTCTTGGAGTCCTCTTCTGCGCCGTCGTCGACACAGTCTTGAGCAGGTTCACAGGCGATGTCGACCATCACGAGCTGTGACCGGAACTTGTGTAATATCTGCGAGCCCAGACGACCAACTTCTCCGAAACGGATGTGATGGTCGACAAGGCGGCGAACCGATGGGCGAGGCTCGGACGAGTGGCTAGCAAACTCTCGACATCGAGAATATGCAACGTCGTGAGGCGGATCTGGGCTGTGGACTCGCCCAATAACCTCTTGAGCAGCTTGGCAGAGTCCGGCTTCAACGATGGTATGTCGAGGTCTAGCCCTTCGAGGTAGCTGAGGCGATATCCGCCGTGGACGCAGAGGAAGGTTATGAGTGAACGAAGATCCTCGTTCGTGCTGAGAGTGATGAGGCCGTAATCCAGGAGGAACCGAGCGCCATGGTGGTGGAGGTATTTGCTGGTCTTCATGAGGCAGGAAACCGTGTTGTCATCCGAGAAAGCCATCAATTTCACCAGAAGGTTGAATGGGAGCTTCTGGATCTCGCGAGCCATCTGCAACGTTTTGAGTCCACGCCGCGGGTGAGAGCAACTGGACTTTTGCCACTTACAAAGCAGAATTTTTCTCGGTAGCTTGTTTGGTGTGCGACCCGAAGGTGGGGCTGCAGTTGGCGAGGGGGGAGCGATGGTGAGGCGGTCGGGTCAGTCGAGCGGGTTGTATGCACCGGGCTTCATGTCTGCTGGTGCATTGAGCCGACGATCTTTGTTGACGGTACGGCCCGTGTTTTCGTCCCATGGAGCAGACCTAGAGACAAGCCAAGTAAGAACACATGCCGTGTCAACAGCGATAGCAGCCTCGTTCCATCTCAATCACAAGAAGCGCAACAACGTATGTGAGCGTGTACCAGGCTTGCAAAGCTCTGTCTGCACCTTCCGAGCCCGCGGAACGAGCAAAATGACCAAAGGCCAAAATGCGGGGAACAAAAAAAACAATGGCGTGGGCAACTGTGCATTGTCGCAGAGAGCAAGGAGGGGTGGCAAAGTGCAACACGCGATAGAACTAGAAATGCTCACAAGAGAAGGCCCGCCTCTTCAACGACGCCGAACAACAGCCTTTCCGCCCCAGCCATCTTCCTGAGAACCTCGCTTTGATAACTATTTGCTGAGTGCGTGGCGCGGGCTGGGGCTAAGGTCCCATTCTGTGCGTTCGTGTGAAGGTCTTCGCGCTGCAGTGCCAAAACTCAAGGAGTCGATGGTCTTCAAGCTGCCGTGGCGAGAACGGCGGCTGGGCAGGCTATGTTCGTATGCAATTTCAGGCGGTCTTGAGGCGTGCAGATTCACAGAACCGGGTCGTGCATGCGTGGAGCATGGTTGCAGTGGAGGACAGGGAGTGCGAGTCGCTCAGCTGTGGCGCTTGAGCTTGGGAGCGCTGTTGTCCAACTTGGGAAGGTTTTTGTCAGGATCCGGGGGTGGTGTCCCTCGGGTGAGTCTTGAGGCCGTCGCAAATGCGTTAGAACCACGTCTATAGCGGGGATACAACACGAGGGGTAGCGACGATGGTGGTAGCAAGACTAGCGTAGCATAGTATGCCGGAGACTCGTCTATAGTAGTGACCCTAACCCAGGACCGAGTCCTGACAGTTTTGGATCATCATTTGATCATCATCCAGGGATGTGTTCACCCTGCTGCTTAAATCAAGCTCATTGCTCAACCGTCCGGAATGCGGATACATCAGCTTCGTAGGAGAACTAAGTACCTTGCTTTGATGTAAGCAACATGTCCCAACTCTGATACAAATCCCATGGAGGACTCGAAGTTGAACACAGCTAAGAGGCTGGTCATCATGCGTCTCTGGAGGCACGACGAGCGAGAGGTGTTGACGAGATAATAGTAGATCACGATCCAGTCCATCTCCAGAGGAGGAAAACCGCGTCGGTCTTTGCAGCTCTCCTTCGCGCGACGCGCGTGCAGCCACGCCCCCAACGCCGCTAGCCCAACGACAAGCCCCAGTACGCCGACTGCAACTCCAGCTCCCACCTGGGCAGCATTTCGCCTCCCACTCGCGCTCGCATTCGACGTCGCCTTCGCCCATCCCACGCTCGCCCCCATCGTCGACTCTGTCGAGTCCGCCGTCGCCGTGGCTCCATCCGCGCCAGCCGTCTCGCTCAAGCCCCCTCGGCAGACGTCGCCCCCACCCGCGTCCGCCGCGACGAGCTCAACGACGGCTGCCTCGCTCGCCAGCACGCTCACGCCGCGCACCGGGCCCACCACCACCGTCGCCTCCCGTCTGAACTTCGCCCCGCCCTTGTGAGCCCCGCGGCATGGTCCGCGTGGTGTGGTCCGCGCGGGGCACCACCAGCCTGCGCGCGACAACCCGCATGTTCCCAATCCCCCCGGCGATGACGGCGAAGTCGGCGGGAGTCGAGGGCGACGCGCCGGGTGGGGTGCGCACGGTGCTGGACTGGAGCCACAACGAGAGGTCGACGAGGGCGAGGGGCGCAAGCGTGCCTCTCTGGGACGCGGAAAGACTTGCGCCCCCGGCGGAGTATGGGAACGCCCAGTCTTCCACTTCTACATCTCAATCGAGAGACTGCGGAGGTCGGAGGGAGTGCAAGATCTATGCAGGTGCCGGCCGAGCCTGCTCGGCCGGTCCCCAGCGTCCGGCCGAGCTCTGGGCGCCTAGTCCTCAAGCAAATTTCCCGTGCCGTCTGCCCGTCTGTCCGCGCGCCTTCTCTCTCTCCCCCTACATCCGGTTCCCCGCCGTACCATCCATCGTCTTCTCGCACCCACCCACCACTCCCTTTCGCTCGCATATTTTTTCGTATTAGCTGCCTATTGAAATATTTCGCACGTGCCATGGGCTCTCGCCGGACATCACCAAATTGCGGCGCGAGCGATCCCGCCCACCCGGCGGCTTGCTCCGCTCCGCGTCCGCGCCCGGCTCTGCCGGGCCCAGGCCCAACCCCCGCTGTCCGGCGTACGCCCACCGATCTCGCAGAGCCGTCACGCCCAGCGACGAGGCTGGAACTTAACGTTTAACACCCGAGCGCTTGATCCGTTGACCTGACCGCCCACAATGCTTTCCGGCCATCTCCGAAGAATTACAACTCCGAATTGGAGTGCGTTGCCTCAGCGTGATCCAAGCGACCACGCACCCACTCTCGAGTCTCACGCCATCGCATCAGCAGCGCCGGGTCCTTAGTGCAATATCCGTCGTCATAACTCCTTCGACGCCGAGACCCACGTTTTCATGCCTGATGCTGGTGTTTGATTATTAGCTGACGCCGCCGTCTTACCGTGCCGACAGCTCAACGTGTGGGGCATTCTTTCTGAGAAGCATGCACCGGCTTCTGAACAGAGTTTCCACCCGAGTTGTGCCGATGTCAACACTAGGTCCGTGTTTTGTCTCGGACGATTCTTGCTTTCATTCGAACCCAGATACAGCTGCCGACGACAAATGAAGGAGCACTCGTGCGATGCTCAGAGAAGCCACAGCGAACCGCACCACCGGGCGTGTAGGAATGCCAGGGAGTCGCTGATCAGGCCTCTGAGGCTGCCGCGGACATTGGGAGGCGCGAGAGGTGTGGCCGGGCTCCAGGCTATAAAACCTCGCGCCTCCGTCGAACGGTCCTTCAGCGCACAACCCAGTACGCCCTTTCCAGAGCCTCGCAACGTGAGTCTCGTTCGTTCCAACTTCCCATGCTACCAAGATGTTGATCGCCGCCCGTAGCTCTCGAAACCATGTCCGCCACCGCCCCAGGTCATACCCACTGTGTATCCGCTCTACTCTCTCCACTCGCTGACGCACACACTCTCCCGCAGTCCCCTCCAACGACTCGGCGATCACCGACGCGGAGAAGTCGCGCTGGGACGCGCTCATGCCCGAAATCTTCGCGCTCGTCCCCAGGCAGCCCGCGATCCAGTGGAACTACTTCCCGTCCTGGCAGCTGAACACGGACCGGAACTACATGGAAGCGGCTCCAGCAGCACCTGCACCAGTACCGTCTCGTCGTCGATGGTACCACCCTCGGCACGCAATTCGGGTCCCCGATCGGCCCGGGCGGGGAGCGCGTCTCGTTCGAAGCGTTCACCCCCGAAGGCGTCTCGGTCTCGTCGACGATCATGGTGTACGTGGTGAGCCCAGTGTCGAAGAAGGATTATTTGGTGGCGAAGTGGCCGACCACTCCCGCTCGAAGGGCGGGTCAGGAGCTGGAGGCGGAGGCGGAGGAGTGAACGGCGGCGGGAGGTTGGAGTGTAATGCGTACCGCGTTCAATGGTCTCGAATCACGGCAGGTAACTGCCTAGCTTCGGAGCCCGAAAACGCGTAGAAAAAGCCTGTCAAAGCCTAAAGGTGCCTTTTCTGCCGTCTTTTGTGCGCGTGTAAAAAATGCACTAAAATGGGCAATTTCTCCGAGTGCTTTACGGGGTGCCGGAAAGGATCGATAGAGTGTCCTTTGGTACCCATTTCGATAACACGCGTTACTTATCACTCGTACTTGCTTGTTTGTTACTCACATACTACACACGTTCTATTGCCTTTACGATGAATTGTACTGTCTATGTTCTGAGCATAGTATTCTGCCAGGCCGAAAGAAATCGCTCAACACGTCACCTTTCAGAATACTCTACGACACACACAAGCTTGGCATAAAAGTTCGCCTTTCCCACCCTTTTTCTCCCCTGGAAAAATGCCTGCCAAAAATGACTCCTTTCGAAGGCTTTTTGGATCCGTTTTCGACTCCCTCCGAAGCTGGGCCGTTGCAAGCCCGTCGTTAATGCGACTTGCGTTCGGGATCGTGATTGGTGACATCTATCAAGATCGATGTCCGCAAGCGTCGGACGACTCATGTCTATGACCCCACCTGCCTTCCACAGCGTGTCGTAAACACCAGTCTCACGGCGACTGCGGCCTGAGAGCGACTGTGCGCCCACCCCGCCTGCGCCGCGGCCGCGATAACGTCAGCGTACCACTCCGAAGCTCTAGCGGAAAACCAACAGCTAGCACGCCATGACGATGCGGTTCACGGTGCTGAGTCGTAAGCGTCATCCATCGCCCTTCGTGAAAATCGTACAAGTTTACAACAGCCCCGAGTCTACAATAACCGTATGTATTATACACCCATCGTCCCAGCACAACCACGATCCACGGCCCCGCGACCGCGAACCCCAGACCCAGCCCCCGCAAAGATGAGGCCGGACTAGGACTGGTCCGGGAGCACGCAGCGGTCGGCGGAGAGGTTGAAGTCGTTGCCCCACCACTGCGGGAAGAGGTGCGGGGTGCCGCTCGCGCCGAAGACGGCGAAGTTGAGCATGAACGAGATCACCTGCGTGCCGCCGTCGAGCGCCGCGGCGACGATGTAGCTGCGCGCGCGCGTTCGTCAGCCCCGCGTCAAGGAAGAAAGCGAAGCGGGCGACGCACTTGTACTTCGTGAACCAGCGCGGGTAGCGCGTGCGCACCCACCACTGCGAGAAGATGCCGATCGCCATCATCGGGTTCACGCTCGTGTTGATCCCGACGGAGAGGAAGGTGGAGTACTGGAGGATGATCGGGGTCGAGAAGTTCTCGAACCCGGCCTTCGGCCAGATGTACCACGCCGCAATGAGCGGCAGCGGGCAGAAGACGCCGATCGCGAGGCAGAGCGGCACCATGTGGTACACCCCGTGGATCCCGAACATCTCCGGGCCGAGGCCGCCCCAGGAAATCCCGTTCGTGTTGAACCCTTGGGCGTTCTGCCCGGACCAGAGGCGCGTGCCGGAGATGGAGAGGAGCGCGGCGCGGTTGGCGTTGATGATCGTGAGCATCATGATGTCTGCGTTCGAAAGAGCCCGGTCAGCGAAAGCACGGGAGGGGAAAGGGAAAGAGAGCGGACGCACAGTTGAGGACCGCACCGACGATGGTGCCCATGATCTGCATCGCGAACGTGATGCGGGGCGCGAGCTTCGTGTACTGGCCGAGCTTCAGATCGCCAAGCATGAGGATGCACTGGTCCTGCGGGTGCTGCCCGTATAGCGCGCCGTACAGGTTCGCGATCGGGTCCCCGGGGACGAGGTAGGAGGTGATCATCTGGTAAAAGCCGTTCGCGCTCGTGTTGAACTGGAAGAAGCCGATCGTCGCCGCGAGGGTCGCGAAGAGCATCGAGAGCGTGAGAGAGATGAGGAGGATGATGGTGAGCGCCCACCACGGGAGGCCCGAGTGCGCGCCGTAGTTGGTCGCCTGCGCGATCGCGTACGCGGCGGCGAGGAGGATGAAGTACCACCAACGCGGGAGCTGTTTGTAGACCTTCATCTTCTCGAAGTGGGCGTCGTGCACGATGAACTCGGTCTTGCTCCACGGGTTGAAGGATTTGAGGAACGGCAGAAGGTCTTGCCAGTGCCAGAAGAAGACGTGCGTGAACGTTGCGCCGAGAGACAGGTTGGCGGTCATCAGACCGAGGGCATTCGTCGCGGAAAAGAACGCGGGCTAAGAGGGAAAGTCTATGAGCCTCGCGTATACCCTTGAGGAAATAAAATGACGACTTACGCCGAGCTGCTCGTACTTCACCGGGTCAAACTTGCCATTGGTGAGAAGGGCAGTCTGGTTGTACTGAGAGCCGTCTGCGGCCTATCAAAGAGAACGTCAGCATGCTGTCACCTAACAAATCGAGATGAAGACGCACGAAGATGGCCTGCGACATGAACGGGAAGTCCTTCGCGCGCCAGAGGTTGCCGTAGTACACGCCGGCCATGAGGATGTAGGTAAAGAAGATGCCGATGTCCTGGTTGATCTGCAGCCAGAGCGGGTTGAACAGGCACCCGCTGCCGATCAGGTTCCAGTCGAAGCACCATGCGAGGAGGCCCATGCCCTCGTTGTTGCTCGCGCCTCCAAAGATGTTGCGGAAGACCGGGCTGGTGTTGTTCGCGAGGCAGAAGATCGAGAGGCCGGTGAGCACGGGGAAGATCCCTGTCGTCGAATATCGGGCGTAAGCGGCTACAGATGCTCAGGGGTAGGACGCGAGGACGTACACTGAGGAATGATTTCCCAGAAGAACATGACGGTGAAGATGGTCCAGAACAGCCGGACGCGCTTTGACGTCATCTGGTTGTCGAAGTGCAGCGCTTGGAAGAGGTTCGCCGTCGAGACTGCGAGGCGTTGGTAACGTCATCAGCACATACGCCGCGCCGCTCTACGTCCGTAGTGCTCGAGAGGTGACGTACTCGTGCTAGGCCAGAAGCACTTCGTCGGACGGACGAGCAGCTCCTGCAGGAGCCCGGCGTACCCGTAGCCCAGGAGCTGCGAGCCGATGAGCGTGAAGATCGCGAGCCCCGGGTTGAGCGTGTTGTTGTAGTACACTATATGTCCCCAAAGCGGTAACTAGTTAGCAGGCACAGCAAAAGAAAGTTCGATGGCGGGGCGCTCACAGTCTTGGACCGAGATGACCTGAATCGCGGTGGCGGACACAGAGGCACTTGACGACATGATGATGATGGCCACATGCTCCTTGACTACACTGCGGTCAGCGGTGGCGCTCTGGGCGGATAGAACGCATATGGAATACGTACTGTTGAAAGGGCCAGGGTTGATCCAGCGCCAGATGCCGTTGGACGGGAGGAGAGCGTGCATGCCCGTGCCAAACCAGTAGGAGAGGACGAGGAGGAAGAGCGTTGACACGGAGAGCGTCTGCGGCTTGAAGTAGTATATCTGCGCGAGGACACTGTGCGGAGGTCGGCAGAAGCACAACGAGACAGAAGCCTAGGAAACGTACGCTCCAAAGGCGGAGAAACCTAGGCCGAGGAAGAACGTCCGGAATGTGAGCGCGTTGAGCTCCGGGTCGTCGCGGGTAGACAATACCTGTCGCGACGCAAGGAGTCAAAAGCAATCACCAGAAGACAGCGAGAGACACGCACTTTGATCGCGACCTCATAGGCCTCCTGGACGAGGTACTCCTCGTTCGCCGCCTCGTCGTTCTGGAGCCGCTCCTCGAACTCCTCAACCTCTTTCGCCATACGCGCATCGTCGGTGAGCTCCGCTTCAGCCTCGCGCTTCTCGACAGAGCTCTCCGAGACGGACCGCTTCTCCTCGAGCGTCGGGGAGAGGACCTCAGGTTCGGCCATGGTGAGGTGGTCGACGGGCGGGGAGCGTGGCGGGACGGGGGCAAGGTTCGAGACCCTGGCGTGGGACGGGGACGGGGCAGGGAAGTTATACGGTCGCTCCCCAGGCCGGAATTGAGGCACCTCCACTTCCGGAGGTGGAGAGCAGGCACATGGGACTTGTGCTGTGGCGCCTCCGGTACGTTATCGTCTGTCTTGATGAGCGTACTAGCTGTCGAAAACCCGTGAGTCGCGTGATAGCAATCTTAGCACCTGCACGCGCGCACAAAGTCAATTGTCGCCTCCACCCCTGCTCCGCTGTCTCCCGCGCGTGCACACACGCTGTCGACCACCGCAGACGTATCTCGCAGGATGAAGAGATACAGGGTTGTGCGCCTGACGCGGGGACGGTTTGCTAGTCGATTCGGTGTGGATTCGGTGCGGAAGTCGTCGTACGTGACGTGGCAGCCATAGCGAATAGAAGAGTCGTTCAACCTGTTGAAGAAGCACGACGTGAGCAATCGGAGAACGAGACTGTGAGACAAGAAGCGCGCACGCATGAGGGCCCAAAACACGCCGTGAGAAGCACCCCCGCAGCGGAGGATAAGGAGAGTACGGGCTGCGCGAGCGTGGAATCTACGGATCAAGGTAGGTCGTTCGCTCTACGCAGCAACTTCAGACCTGCGATGCTTGTCGCGGCGAGGGAAGGTCGATGCTATTTTTGTTTCCGTGCCTTGCGTGTGACATGAATGGGCATTCCTGGAAAAGAGGTCCAATTCCCCCGAGACCACACTCGACAGACCTGAGATGAAAAGAGGCGCCGTTTGGGTGAGACGTGATAATCACCGTGGAGTCCTACCATGCCGAAGCGGAAGGAGTTGAAAGACGGAGGCACTCACCTCGGAGGGTCATCCGATTCCTGTGCAGCCCCGCGCGCGGCGTATCCCGTGAACATCCTCGATGGCGTGGAGGGCTACCTTCCGTGCAGTGTTGACAAAAGGCGTCGACGTACGTGTTCGCACCTTGCTCTGAATCGAGAACCAGATATCCGTTGTGCGCGGGAGGGCTGACAGGGTAAGTACTCCTTGCTGCGGCACTGCAGTGGCGCATTGCTGCCGTGGAATTTGCATCCCGGCCGTCCCAGCTGCCTGTCGGTCCTGTCTGGGACAACACTCGCACGTTAGCGCAATCACGGCACAGACCCACACCCGGTGTCCTATCGCAGCCCCGGGCGAGAGGGAACAATGCAAGGGCAGACAGATCGCGGTGGGAAGGACGTATGCACAACGTACGGCACAATGAACGGTCGCTCATCATATGCTCAGAGACCCGGGCACCGGAACGCTGGCAGCAGCTGGCCCCAGCTGCGGTATGGTCATCAGGACCGCGCACGTACACTGGACACAGCCGGATGCCCAGCCGCAGACAGGCTTGGAAGAAGCAGCCGTCCCACCGGGAGCATCCACTTCGAACGTCGAACGGGGGAGAGAACGCTACGATGCAGAACAGCCTACACACCTCGTCCTACGCCTTATGTTATGCCTGGCCCTTCAGCATGCCGCCCTCTTGACGCGCGATATCGATTGCAACGTGTCCTCCACGTACAATGCGCTGGGAGGGTTTCCCGGCCGCATATAACCAGCTTGAAGGGACAAGGACCGAAGCTAAGGTCGTGTAGCAGCAAGAGGCGAGCACTGAATGGGGGGTAATGGAACAAGGCCATAGATCCCGAAGTCCGGCGAGCTGCAGCCCTCCCTTGGCGCTCATTGAAGGCAGAGGCGCGCACGCGTCATGAACCCGCGGACTGCCGCGGCGCACCGCACAGTACATGCTAATTACCCACGGTAATAAACTGCCTATTACTAAGTAACTCACCCCGCCACTTGACCAGAGCAAGTCAAATACCACTTCATGCTTACGACGAGGCACCTCAATCACACAGGGAGAATTTCCGAGAAAGCTTCCATTAGAGGGTATTAGGAACACGGGTATATCCGCGCCGCACCCAACGACTACGTTACGACCAAGTCCACCGCACAGGCCAGACAGCTACGGTAGCAAGGATTTTGCCCAACATGCACCACACCCCGGCCGCTCACTGGAGGTGGAGGAGGGAGATGACCTGCGCGAGGTTGAGGTGCAGGATGATGGGGACCAGCGTCTTGAGGAGGGGGACGAGGATGTAGAGGAGCTCGCCGACGATGCTACCGACAAGGGGCAGGAGCACCGCGAGGAGTTCGCCGACGACACCGCCGACGAGCACGAGCAGGTTGAAGACCGTGGCGTCGATCGCGGCGCCGGCGACAATCAGGACGGCGCGGACACCAGTGAAGACGATCTGCGTTGCATGAATCAGATCGCGGTTGGGACAACGAAGAGGCAGGGACGCTTACCGTCAGCAGGCCGCAGATGATGTGCGCGAGCTCTTCGACAGTGATCTGAGCCGTGCCCTCCACAGACGCGAGGATGATGTCAACCGGCTGGCCGACGAGTTCCTTGAGCTCGGCGACGGTGCCGAGGAGGATGGTCTGGATGTCGTGGACGGGGGCAGTGAGGGCCTGCACCGTGCAGTTCTCCGCAGTCACGAACTCTGCGAGGGATCAGTCAGCGACAAAAGCATGTACGTCACGCTGAAGACGCACTGAGGAGATCCGTGGCGGGACCGAGCTTAGCCGTCGCCTGGGTGAGGACCACAGCGACACCAGCGACGTCATGGCGGCGGATGGGGAGGCCCAGGTCACCGACGACAGGGACGTCGATACGGCGGCCGAGGGCGGGAATGGGGAGCGCGCCAAGCGCGTTGACCGGAAGAGCAGCCGGGAGGTCGACGGGAAGCGCGGAGGAGAGCGCGCCGAAGGCGATGGTGGAGAAGACAGCGAGGGCGGAGAAGGAGAACATCTCGTCAGATGAAAGAGTGTGGGTTGCTAAAGAGCGTGGGGGAGTAGGCGTGAGGGAGGGAAGACTGAACTGAGACCGGTGACAGTCGATGCTGTTGACGGTCGAGAGGGCCGGGCTTTATACGCAGAGGAGGGAGGCTGGGGTCGGGCCTCGAGTCCGCGACGAGTTGACGGGCCGCGCCGGATGTGCAAGAAGACGTGCGCGCGGACTTCGCGATGCACACGGTGAAGCAAAGTGGGGCGAAAGAAGGCGCAACCGAGCGCGTAGGTGGCTTGCCGGGCGAAGGATGGACGCCACCATTGGAGAGCGTGTTTGAACGGGCTGAGCCGATCGCTTGCGCTCCACTGAAGTCGACAATTTAGGCCAGCCGACTGCTTCTAGCCGCATGCGGGCTGCGCGCGCTCCCCACTGTCGGGAAAAGCCAGCGGAGCGCTCGAGCTGCCGACCGCGTAGAGTAGGCGATATGACGAAAGATGGCACGCTCCAGCGTTTTCCGCAACTGCCCAACCACCTTGCAGAGGATGCGGATTCGCCGGCGATACCGCTAGGGTTGTCCTTGGAGCCGTCGTGCGGCGCGCGGCCTGCATTGGATTCTCCGCGAGAGGATTGCGTAAATGTTCGACAGCGGACCTAATACCGCCAAGTGCTTCATACCCTGCATCCGAGAGTCAACTGAGATGTACAAGTCCGGTTGAGGGTGTCAGTGACCATGTGGTACAAGTCCTCTCACAGACACTCACGCAAACGTCAATGGAGAAATGGACCATGACACCCAACACGGTGTGTCACCAGAACGTGGTCACAGGACGGACAAGGGCTGGCTACCTTGCCTCCGCCTGAATCGCCCGCGTGACTCGAGGTCTGTCCGAGTGCTTTGAAGAAGGCATCGGGTGACGCGGTTGCGGCGCCGGCTACGATCACCGTCGATCAACTAAGTTTCAGCATACGACCCAACTTTGAAGAGAAACGCAGACTACCGTTAGCGCATCTGGAGGATTAAGCTTTGAAGGTAGGGCGAATGATCGTCAAACGAGATAGCGAAAATCGTCAGCCTGTTCGTCGAGCTCGGTATGAACCGGCATGCGATCAACATGCGATCGATGTCGCTGCAACTGCAAAAAAAATCCATGTCAACACGCACGAAGCATGGTCAAGTGACATATATACGCGACGATCGATGCCGCTGACTCGTTCTCTACCCTTGATCACAGACCTGGGTACGGCACTTTCAGCCAGAGAGGGGGCATCGTGAGTGATAGAACAGCACAACGACGCGGGCGAACGCGCTTGGGTGAGGCTCTATCTTCATTCAGACACTCCGGGCGAAGCTCGCGAGAGTGACGGGTCGAGTGATGAACAGCGTGTACAATGTGAGGATTCAAGCGCATACATGCGACCCGCAGAGAATGGGAAAAAGCAGGTCAGATGCCTGCCCACGGGTCTTTGAGAAGAATCGTGCCCGGGGATCGCGCTACGCTTCTTGGATCTTCACGAACAGGAGGGCGAACCGAAACAGTGCTCACATGATGGTCGTAGCCCATGACCTCTATTCCAGCCAAGAGCCCCGCTTCTCCGAACCTGACAGGAGCGCGCTCCGAGCTTGACGGCAAGGCGATGGGCGTAGCAACGACGCTGTATTTCAAGTTTTAGCCGATGCCACATACTTATGTGAGCATAGAGACAGTACCGACGCAGCTGTACGCCGTACCCGCCAGGCGTATTGGAGAGGACTTGTCCGTCTACATTCTGCAACAGAAGACTAAACGTTCAACGTCAAGCGGCAGTAGCATCAAAAGCGAGGGTGGGGGAGGGGTCGCGGAAGTCGGAATGCTCAACGTCAACTTTGAACCTTCTGGCCGGATACGTCGGAGAGCAGCGTTGTGATGACGGGGCACGACGAGTACAAGGCGCGGCCATGGACCAAAAGGTGAGGTGGGACATGGCGGCGACTGGCCATTGGACGTCTTGGCACTGGCAGGCAAAATGCTCGATTGGGAAGCGCGACGGGCTCGCGGCCCGCCGCGTGACGTCATCGCCCAGAAACAACACAGCGCGCGCTTGATACCAGTTCGATCATGCGAAGTGCGCTACGATACATCACGCATGGGCCACATGCACTGTATGGGTGCTGGGAAGGGGACTGGGACGGGGTGAGCGCGCCGCCGGGATCCCAGCGATTCGCCCATCCACATCCCCCGATACCCAGAAGCTATCTACTGGAACAAAGAAACTACATACCTTACGCTTGCCTGAACACAGCACGATTTGAAGGACACGACGTAACTGAAGAATTCCCTTGGCACAAAAAGAAATACTTACCGTACGCTCGCTATGGAATAAGCCGTCAGCGCACGTCCAAATAAACATACCTACCCTTCACAAAAGAAACGACTCACCTACGAAGGCACCAATGAAAACACCTGCCTTGCGCTCGCTGGTAATTGGACTGTGAGTTCTACTCAAACCAAACACGCACCTTCTGGGGCAAGGGTATTACTTACCTTTGAGCCAGAAAACGACTCACTGGCAGAATCGCCAACGCACACGCCGACGGAAGTCGATCACCCCCCGACCCCACCAAAGGAAACGCGTGCGCCTCTCTCCCTGTAAGATGGAAATAAAGCATACGGTCAAAAAAAGATGCACAAAAACGACTTACCTTGACGATTACCTAGTCAAAGAGAAGGGTCAGAAATAGCGACAAGAGTGAGAGAACGATTCGAATACCTCTGATTCGCATGCGGATGCGCGAGCCGAACGTGACCTGCGACGCCGGTGAGTACATGTCAGAACGTATGTGAAAGGAGACCTGAGATACCTTGTTCGCGTTCGTCGCTATTCTCGGCGCAAGGTCAAAGCCAGAGTGAGCGTCAAGCATACCAAACAGAGGTGACCGGTGACCACGTACCTTTCTACGTCAGGAGGTCGAAGGGATGATGTATGATGCAAACAAACCAATCAGCCACTGTCCACCCTCACGGCCGACGAAACGACCTACCTTCGACACCGACCTGCCAAATGCAGTCAGCATGATGACGTAAAGAAGCGTGAAGGCAACGTACCTTCGCCTCCCGCCTAGCGCGAATCTGAATCATTCGGACGATCAGCTCAGCGTACTTACACGACGAAAACAAAAGGCACATGCCTATGAAAAGAAGCAAGGAGCGTACCTTTCCCGACCGCTAGTACCCCGTCTTAAATCTATCAGGTCAGCAGACGTCAACGAGGTACGGAAGAAACGACTTACCTGTGTGCGCTGCCTGTAAACACATCGTAGTTAGTATGAGGTGCGGCATGTCTGTGAATGTGCACGATGTACCTCTGATCGTCGCCACGAGCGGGTGCCCCACCTGCAGATGATCGATGAGCATGACGCATGATGCAGTGTGACCCAGAGTGGCACTATAACGCACCTGGCTCGCCTGGAAGACCGACGCGTCCGTAACGCAGCCAACAGTCAGTCAGCGTCAAGCACACTGATCAATGAAACGACTTACCTTCCCAACAAGATCCTGTGAATCGAAGTCAGCGTGATAACGGAAGCGAATTGGATGCGACGTACTTAATTTCCAGCGCGCATACACGCTCTCTAGCACATCCTGATGATCAGCGCGATGTATACGCATGACTGGAATGGACATCACATACCTGCTTCCGCGTCCCGTTAACCACACCAACCTCGATCTGTCAACGGCGTGAAGATATGTCGACGAGGTTAAGATGCATAGGTACTTGCCGCATTCAATCATCGTACCAGTTCCTGTTAACAGACAAGTCAGCAGACATCAACGCAGAACGGTACAAAACCACCTACCTTCGTGCGCCGCCTGGAACGGGGCGAAGTCAGTATGGTGCTCAGCGCCTCAACGAAGACGACATACCTCAAAACTTTCACCACGTACGAACACATACCCGTCCTGCAAATGAGAAGTGAGCTTGACGGTTCAGTCGACTCAAACCGACGTGATCACGTACCTTTCCACTTCGACAGGGCGCCGTGCAATGTCCTGTAAACCACTGGGTCAGCGAACGATAGATAATGAAACGACTTACCTTCTCGACAGCATTCTGTGTATTGCAGTCAGCATGATGACGTCAAGGCGAGGAAAGGAAACGTACCTTCAACGGACTCCCGCCCACTATGGTTCTGCTAATGAGAGGCAGTGAGCGCGATGATGCTGTGCGACCCGGGCCGACATGACTGTCTACCTTTCTCCTTAAGAAGAGCGCGACCGCCGCACGATATCCCATCAACCAACGCGTCAGTACACATACACGCTTACATAAAATGAAACGACTTACCTTCCTGGTTGCATCCTAGTCGACACAGTTAGCATAATACTGGAAACAGGACGAACGATGACGTACCTTCTTCTCACGACAATCCGAGACCGAGCCTGGCATTCCGAGGGTCAGCGCGACGCACCAAGATGGCCATGGCAGAACGAACATACCTTGTCTCCCGTCTCCCGCATCCCATCGGATCTTCCGGAGAGGTTAGGAAAAGCTCTAAAAACAGTAAGCAGACAACGTATCGTTTACGACCACGGGCGCACGGCATATATTCATCATCCGAGTCCACTGTAATATCAGCAATACAAACGCAGACAGGAAGGAGAGACTTACCTTTTGCGCTGCACGGAAAAAATGTCGTAGTCAGTATGATGCTCAGGCGTTATATGCATGCAGAAGACATACCTCAGACCATCATCACGACCACTCACACGTGCTACAGATGAGAGGTAAGCATGGCGGGTTCGTACGATGCCAGCAGAAATGACTTCGTACCTTTCCCATCCAGAAAATCGACACGGTCACGAGATATCCGGTGAATCTGCGGGTCAGCAAACGCCTGTATTCAATGAAACGACTCACCTTTCCGACACAATGCAACCTGTTCGAAGATGTCAGCGAGATGACGGAAGCAAAAACACGACGACGTACCTTCAGTAGATCCCCACCCGCCGTACTCCCTCTAAGCCCGACGATCAGCGCGACGTCCCAAAGCGACGAGGGTGAAAGCAACGTACCTGTTTCTATCCCGGGAAAAGCCCTTCGGATCTACCAGCAAAGTCAAACGGAGATCCCGAGAACAAGCACGCAACGTACCGTCGTCAGCCGTACGCCCACACTCATCCTTGTCAGCGAGAAAGTCAGCGGACGAACGGGAAGAAACGACCTACCTTGTGCGCTGCGAAGAATAGTACCGCAGTCAACATGGCGCCCAGATATCGAAGATGAATACGACATACCTCGAGACCGTCGCCGTCAACACACGCACGCACTGCAGACAAGAGGTGAACATGGCGGCGCTACATGTCCCAGCCTGGCAAGATCACGCAGCCCTCTTTTCCAACGCCATACGGAAATCTGTGGGTCAGCAAGTCAGCAAGCAGTACGCCCACGGACTCAACTTCCTATCCATCCAATGTAACGTTGACACTGAACGAAAGCGATCGACACCGGAAGAGCGCGGGAGCAGATACAGGCGCGACAGTCGTGCGCGCAGAGACATGAGTGCGCAGACGTACCGAGAGGCTGACACGACGACCGGGCCATCTGCAAACCGACTCTCGACGTGAACCAAACAGCGCGTGCGTAATCGGGGAGGCGTACCGCGTGGCTGACGAGCTGGAGGCGAGCGCCGCGAAGCGTAAGCGAAGGAGTGGCCAGTGGAAGATCCAACGGAGGAGAGCCCGCTGTTCTGTTCTGACAACGGCGCATCCCGACCTGCCTTTATACGCCCTCGAGAAGCCCGGCAATCCAAGCTCCCGCCGCCCGAGCTGCACAGGAGCACCTGGCGGAAATCCCGCGTCGTGGGAAGCGCACGCACGGTGCATGTGCAGAGCATGCGCTCTCTCTATCTTCCGTGTCGAGTTTGGGTTGGACGGAGCGCGCCCCGCCGCCCGTCGCCCGCTGATTCGCTCTCGAGACCTGGTCAGCCTCCAAGGTGGATTCCATCGAGAATGCGGGGCGAGTCGTCGCGGGTGATTCCAGAAGACCGATCGGTCAGCCGTGCGTCGGCATGTTCGTTTGGTTCCGCCAGTGCGAAAGCGGCCGAAAGTGGTGGAAAGGTAAAGGGCGTCGAGCGCCTAATGCGGATCCGGCCGCAGCGTGATCGGCGAATCGCCCGATTGGGCACTAACACCTAGCAAGGGAATGACGTCATTCCATCGAGCGGACTGCATACGGGCTGCCTCTCTCCGAGCGGTACGAGAAGAACGGAGGGCGGCTCCGTGCCAACTCACGACTACTTCCGGACCCGTATTTCCTGCCGTTGCGGCATAGACTGACACTTTGCGGTCGCGCTCGTAAGCTGCGGCTTGATCCTCTTAGCGCTGTGCGGGTTATGTACTATTCATGCGTGCGAGAGGCTGCAAGGCTTACATAGCGATATGCATAAAGGGATACGTGCGAGGCAAGGACAACCACTGGAGCTGAGAAACAGATGCGCGGTAGAGACGCGGCAAATGCGCGTGAGACGGATCGCGCGAAGACAAGCTAAACGTGCAGAAAAACGGCGACGTGGGAGACGGAGCGAGAGACCAGAGACCAATATGCGCACGGGGCGCTATGTACACTAACATCGAACGAACGCCAATAACGATACCAAAATTCGAAAAGAAAAAAACGACACGAAGGAGAACGCGAAGGGGGGCGCTCAACACGACTTGTGCTTGCCCTTCAAGCGCGCGACCGTCTCCTGCAGCTTGAACGTCTGCTTCTTCTGCTCGATCTCGGTGGCCGTCATCTCCGCGAGCTGGTCGTACCCGACCGGGTGTGCGTCCGCACAGTGGCCCGCGATCTCGTCCCACGGCGCCGACTCCGGAAGAACGACCGGCGGCGGACACGAGCTCGCCCCCAGCTTTCTGACGCGCTCGCTGTGGGACCGGCGTGAGCGGGAGAGATCGGGACACGACGAGGGGGTACGTACAGGCACATCCGGCAGGTCATCTTGCCGTCGCGGATCTCGTACATCAGCGGGATGTGCTGCACCGAGACTTTGAATTGGCGCTTCGGCGCTTTGGAAGACGATGGCGTGGCCGCGATCGATGGCGAGGGGACGGCGGAGCCTGGCCCGGAGACGTCGGTTTGGATGCGGAGCGGGCGAGCACCTGGTGATGGCCGAGGACGGGTATTGGTGAGGGGAGACGGTAATGTTGACGAGGGAGAGGAAGGTGGGCCAGGCTTCGACGGAGGTTCCACTGGTTTGCTGGTCGACGAAGCACTGGATGTTGACATCGACTGGATGATGGACTGCGCCGCCTTCGAGAGAACAGGGAAGGACTTCTGTGCAGCGATGATCGGAGGTGGTGCGGGCTCAGACGGAGTCGGGGGCGGTTTCGCACGCAAGGAAGAGGGCTCGCGCGTGGTGGATGCGCGAGGTCGGTTCGGTGGAGGCATTGTCAATGAGGCAGGCTTCGCAGGGATATTTAAAGACTTGCGAGGGGCAGGCGGTGCAAAAGGGCTGCGACCGACGAAGGGTTGTTCAGAAGCTCGGCGAGCCTGCGGTCCTAATCGTGGATCGCGAGGTCTACGAGAAGAGTCCGCACTGGATGGAGAGACAGGATGACAAACGGCAGTGGGAGAATGGATGGCAGCGGAAGGTGGGACGAAAGCGGAAGGGCTGATCTCGTCGAGGGTACGACGAGAGCTTGAGGGCGACCTAGACGCGAGCATTGAAGAAGCTTCGACGGCGCTCGGAGGGACTGGAGAGGCTTTGGGAGGGATTTCGCGCGCCTTCCCCTTCTCGGCACAGGGGTCTCGTGGTGCATCGCTTGGCTCGAGGCATAGAGGCGCCGCTTTCGGTGACTCGTGAAGGATGCTGAGGTCGGTGATCGTAGGCGCGCTCGCTGAAGGTAGATCGGCCGTGGCTTCCCTCGAGCGAAGGCCTCGCGTGTCCAAGAGCAGAGGGCTGAGGGTCGTAGGCCGAAGCTGTACGTCTTCAGTCTTGCGTTTCTTGCAAGGGCTCTCCTCTTCCTTGAGGGCGTACGGCTCTGGAGTGCGCTTCTTGTCGGATCCGACGTCTATGTCCATCGCAGTGGCGAGCTCTTCCAGAGGCGGGTCGCTGGTTGGCTGTGCCACAGGCCGGGAAGACGCGGAGTCCGAGGACTGGCCGCCACGCGCAGCGTTGATACCGGCCAGGAGATAACTGAGGATACTCTCTGACATCAAGAGAACCTCGGGCTTCTTCTCGGCGGCCGGGACTTCAGTGGCGGAAGGAAGGACCTCCATTGAGGAGTCGTCCAGGGAGAGCGGGGTGACGTCTTTCTCGTTCAATATTCGCGCGCCTGGTGACTCGGGGCTCGGAGGGGCGTACGAAGGACGCTGTGGAGAGGGTTCCTGGATCAGCATGGGCGCGTGACACTCGGCCTCATACGTACCCCCTGCGACGAGATAGTGCGCCGCCTCTTCTTCAGCTCGTGCGCTTCAGCCATGGCTAGAATCACGGAATCAGAATGCGACCAAAAACGCATTCAAGATGGGTACATACCGACTGCAAACTGAGCATCAAGCGCCGTTGGAGATATGGGTGGTCGCATGGCCTCTGTTCCCATAGACGGCGCAACGTTTGTCTCTGGTTCACCCAGTTTGACCTTCATATGCCCCTGCCTCTCCTTTCCGGGGACCGTCCGATGAGACGCATCAATGCGCGCCTCCGCGGCAGCTAACCTCGCCCTCAGCTGCCCGTTGTCCGCGCGTAGCCGCACGACCTCCTCTCCCAGGGCGTTGTGGTCGCTCTTGAGCTCGACGTACTCGACGAACAGCTTCGGCATGTTCTCGTTCACTCTGCGCGCCTCCTCCTGCGCGCTCGCACTGTCCTGCAGCACCGCGTTCCCGTGCCGCACCGCCGCGTCGCGCTCGCCGCGGAGGCGCGCACACTCCGCCTCCGCCTGCGCGAGCTGCGCGGCGAGCGTCCGCTGCCCGTTCTCCTGCTGTGCGAGTTGCGCGGCGAGCCTCTGCTGCCCGTTCTCCTGTTGCACGAGCAGGCGGTGCATCCGCTCGAGCTCCTTCCGGAGCCCCGTGTGCGCCTTGCCGATCGCCTCCGAGATCGCGAGGTGCATCGGGTCCAAGTACGCGTGCACCTGGTGGTGCGCTGCGTCTGTGATCGTTGTGGGGGCCGGCGCTTTCTGGCGCGAGGGGTGCGCGGTCGTGGGAGGGGTCGGCAGCTGGGTGGGGGCGGCGTTCGTGACGGGTGCTTCCGGTTGCGGACGACTGGCGGGCGCTTGGGGTATGACGGGAGGATTTTGGAGAGAGGAGTGGGATCCGCGTCGGTCGGCATGGTGGCTGGGACCAGAGGAGCCAGGTTGCGGCATAGGTTGAATGAAAAGTTGTTGCGAAACCGGGACGTGTGAGTGGGACGAGCCAGACGGCGGAGGGAGAGCGGGTGGCCTGAGCTGAGATGTCGAAGCTGGTGCGGCGTATGCTTGAGGCGGATTCGAGGGCATGGGGAAGTGAGGTGCTCGTGAATCGGCGTTCACGTGCGTGGGTGCAGCATTCTGTCGAACAAAGCATTAGCACAAGTCCGCTCAAGGCATGCGTACACGGGTGAAATTGGCCATAACTCACCGAGAGAGAATGGAATGTCGGCTGAGTGCCTGGAGGTGGGTACTGTGGACGCGAAGCTTGGTGAACGGCCTGAGGCGAAGGAACTGGACCACTCGGCTGGTTCCGTGCGTAATGTGCAAGCGAATCACGGGTCAGTGGAGCGTACACAATGTAAGAGAATCGTCTCTAGAGGAAAAGGGAAGCGATCTCAATCGCGCCCGCATCAGTCCCTCCCCGCGAGGAGCTCAGAAAGTACCTCCGACTCGTGCTCAACACCTGTCAGCACGGCTTCCGCCTCGCCCCCATCCTCAACCTGAACACGCTGCTATAATGGCTTTGGCATCCCAGAAATGCCGTAGCAAATACGACGGCCCTCCTTGAGCTCGCGAAGCTGTATGTCTGCGGCTCGACCTGGATCGCGTTCGGCGCCTCAGGAGGGTGCATCAACATCCGAGTGAGTTGCTCCCTCGGTTCATGCTTGTGGAGTCTCGTTTGCCGAATCGCCCCTGGCACGCGCACGTCCGACAACCATGTAGGTGGTCTCTGTGCGCAAAGTGCACTGGAAAGAAGGGAGTACGCTCTGTACGCTTCTCCTGAAGACTTGTGTATCTCTAGAAACGGTCCTTTGCGGAGGGTCCGAAGGGCGAAGAGGAGATGGAGGGAGAGCACCACGCGCAAGCCGATAAAAATCGAAGCAAATTCGTGGTACTTTGCGGGTGCAGTTTCATGGAAGAAGCGCGCGGAATAAGTCGACAAGATTGAAGACACATACCGAATATGACGGCTGGACGGGAACGGACGGATGAGCGGCGGAGATTCGGGGCACTGGCGAGTGCTGCTGTGTGCATATATGAGCATCCAAGACAAATGACCTTTGGTTAACGATGTCTTTCACGGAGCACGACTGTCGGTGCTCACCGGCATCCTTTGTCCCCCAAGGTTGGCGTTTACCGCACCGGACCCGGCGGCTGTAGCGCCTTGCTGTTGGATATAGCAGGTTTTTGGGTACACGGTCGACATGGTAGGACGCCTCCTGCGCGTAGTGGGTACTGGGTCGCGGCTGGCGCAGGAAGTGGGGGAAGATGAGAAGAGGGGAGCGCGTCGAGAGACAAGAAACGCGCGAGCCATAATGATATAATCGCTGCACGCCAAATGCAAGTCCGGCCCGCGCTTCAAACTCCGCCGAACTCCGGAAGCATCTAGATTATACGCGGGCCTCAGGCCCTAGTGATGTCCCTTAGTTTCATCCCTTCTCCCGCTGTCTTACTCTCCCAGCCGATGCATTGTCTGACAGATGGCGATCTGTGTTTCTACCACTCAGTTGCCCTCGCCGCTCTCTATTTCGTAAATCTCTCGTTTCAGCGCAAGTCTCGTTGCTACATGGGCAGAGGCTAGTTTGACCGCTGACGCGCTGACGGACGGTGGGCTTCGGTTCGGCTGTGGGACTCAATATCGCCTCTTGCGGGCTGATGCGGTTCACAGAACTCTTCAACGCACACGCCACCATGACGCTCCCATCGTGTCTCGGCATGTGCCTCACGGACGACGCGTGCGCACCCTAATTCAAGCCCTGCAAGCCCATCGTGTCCCCTTGTGCACACGTGCCGGCCTGCGGGCTGCCTACAAGGAGACCATGACTCGTCGAATCGTCGAGTTGTCCCAATAGTTGGTATGCACTCCCTCGGGCTTCATCGTGCGTAGTGTACTTTATGTATACTGAAGCATCTGTTTCGCCGTTCTACAGTGGTCGGCCTTGAGCTGCAGCCCGCGATCGACTGGTACCTGCAGTACACTTTCTCGCTCTCCAGGTCACCAGCATTCACGATCGCTTCCCGGGCATCGTGGTTGGGTGCAGGCTCGAGCACCACCCGCTTGTCCGCTTCAATTCAAGCACAAACGACGGCGGGCTCAGGGCATGCGTTTGCTTGTCTTCCATGATGCGAACTTGAGGTAAAGGGATCCGTGTTTCTGCCGCGCGCTGAACGTGTTGAAAGCCTCTTTTCCTGATGCGCACATCCCTCATGCCTCCCTGTCCACGCATACTGACGTAGATGGCAGGGATCTTTGAGGCCTATTATTATGCGGAATGTACGAGGGCAAGTCCTGGGTAGAAAATCTGCACGACTCAATGTGGATCACTTGGGAGTCCTACTGTGCGACTGTAAGAACTTAGAGGTCGCACACATCCTCTTATATGCACCCACGTCTATATAAGTCAGTTTGTCTCAGTGTGTGCAGCCCTCTGCCAGCAGGATATATTGCTGCGATTTGAAGCTTTGAAGGCCGGCTGTGGGCTTCCTCCTAACCCCAGGACGGGGTTTCTTAGGGTTGCTGAGTGTGGCTTTGTAAGCTCCGCCAGAAAAAGCACGCTGCACAAGCGTGCACGCCCGCTCAAAAACTTGACTGGCATTCTCTTGCCCACACCACCACCATGGCCCCCAACGGAACTGCCCCGCTCGACCCCTCCTTGGCCGTGGAGCACCTGAAGACATACGAGAGGTCTGATGGCCTTTCGGTCCAGGATCTTATGGACTCGCGCGTCCATGGCGGCCTCACCTACAACGATTTTCTCCTCCTCCCAGGCCACATCGACTTCTCCGCGGCCGACGTCGTCACCGAAAGCCGTATCACGCGCAACGTTGTGCTCAAGACGCCCTTCTTGAGCAGCCCTATGGACACCGTCACGGAGAGCGAGATGGCTATCGCCATGGCGGTAAGCTGTCTCGCTCCCTAACGTCCCTCCGACCCCAGGTCCGACTTTCTTCCTCCCTGCAGCTCTTGGGCGGCCTCGGCGTTATTCACCACAACCAACCGGCCGCTGCTCAAGCGGCGATGGTCCGTGCCGTCAAGAGACACGAAAATGGTTTCATCACCGACCCCGTCGTTCTCACCCCCGACCATCTCGTGGAGGATGTTCTGGACGTAAAGGGCCGCTTGGGCTTCGCGGGTATCCCCATCACAGGTATGTCATCGTTCTTGTGCATTTACGGGATGAGACAACCTTTCCATAACCTTCGTTCTTCCGAATTAACGCCTACACGCGTGATTTGAGGACTACTAGTGCTTTTCACCTGAACATACCCTCGTCGCTTTTGCTTTTACCTCGAGGTCGCTGACTCCACATTCATCCGCAGACACTGGCAAGCTTGGCGGGAAGCTCGTCGGCATCGTCACGAACCGGGACATCCAGTTCCGCTCTCACTCCACGCGGCTCGCGGAGGTGATGACCACTGATCTTGTCACGGCCAAGGAAGGTATCACTCTTCAAGAGGCCAACGACATTTTGCGCGACTCTAAGAAGGGCAAGCTTCCAATCATTGACTCGAACGGCTGCCTCACTTCTCTCCTTGCGCGCTCCGATCTCCTGAAGAACAAGACATACCCTCTCGCCTCCAAGCTGCCTGAGAGCAAGCAGCTGTACGCCGCCGCCGCCATTGGCACTCGGCCCGCGGACCGCGAGCGCCTCGAGCTACTGGTCGAAGCCGGCTTGGACATCGTGGTCCTCGACTCTTCTCAGGGCAACTCCGTCTTCCAGCTCGAGATGATCCGCTGGATCAAGCAAACTTTCCCCAAGCTCGAGGTCATCGCCGGCAACGTCGTCACCCGCGAACAAGCCGCGAACCTGATCGCTGCTGGCGCCGACGGCCTGCGCGTAGGCATGGGCTCTGGCTCCATCTGCATCACCCAGGAAGTCATGGCCGTCGGCCGACCTCAGGCCACTGCCGTCTACGCCGTCGCCGAGTTCGCGAACAAGTTCGGTGTCCCGGTAATCGCGGACGGTGGTGTCTCCAACGTTGGTCACGTCGTGAAGGCCCTCTGTCTCGGTGCGGGTGCGGTCATGATGGGCGGTCTGTTGGCCGGAACGACCGAAGCGCCTGGTGAATACTTCTGGCACGACGGCAAGCGTGTCAAGACGTACCGCGGCATGGGATCTCTGGTTCGTGTTCACCACCATCTGTTCGCATCCCTTGCGCTCAACGGCTATTCGACCAACAGGAGGCTATGGAACAGGGCAAGCCTGCGGCTCCGTCTGTAGAGCGTGGTGGCAACGGACCCGGGTCGTCGAAGCCCCCCGCAAAGTCAACGACGCTTGAGAACGCGGCGACGTCGCGATATTTCTCCGAGTCCTCGGCGGTCAAGGTTGCGCAAGGTGTGTCGGGTGACGTGCAGGACAAGGGCTCCGTCCACGCCTTCCTCCCATACCTCTACGTCGGCCTGCAGCACTCGTTCCAGGACATGGGTGTGCGCTCCGTGCCCGAGCTCCGCGAAGGCGTGAAGGCGGGCACGGTTCGCTTTGAGTTGCGTACGACAAGCGCCCAGATCGAGGGTGGGGTGCACGGGCTGAACTCGTGAGTGTGCCTCGGCTCTGCTGTGTTGTTCTTCGATGCCAAGACTTCTGCTGACTTGCTTGGCGCCGTGTTTTTCCGCAGGTATACCAAGCGGCTCTTCGCGTGATCGACCGACCACGTCGAAATGTTGTAGCATGTCTTCTCCTCCCTGTGTTGTATCCTTCGGCCTCTGTAGCATCGACCTCCACTAGCATATTCATCGCTATTGCCCCCAGGCTCCGAGTGAACAGGGTTTATCCTGTAGGGGAAGGAAAGTAGGCTCTTAGAGCCGGACTGAATTCAGAAGTGGGTATTCTTGCGTCGCATGTTTTCCCCGAGCGCGGTTGATGCAACGTAGATGCCTCGCGGCACGTGAACAGGCTCTGCCCCTCGGGCCGCCGGTGCAACGGTCCCGCCGCCCGCGTCCCGTGCCCCACCCCTCCTCCCCGGTGTCTATTGCCCGCCGTGATGCGCGCCATGATGTGCGCCATGGCACCAGGGACCAGGATTCGCCGTGGCCCGTCCCTCACTCCCATCGCGCGTGCGTCGTCCATTCGACGACGCGTATGGCCACCCCGTGCGGTTTTACCCCGCATTTCCCCGCACATTTCGCGTTGAATCGAGGCCCGTCGTCAGTGGGTCGTCTGCGCGCGTGCCGGGGGTCTGCGTCAAGGTTTTGCCTCCGTCTGCGCGCGAGGCGGCCCCGAGGATGCGACGAAGGCACGCCCGGCCCCGACGGTATAAAACGTCGGGGCGGCTCGACGGCCAGCCCTCAGCCTCTTCTCGTCTCCAGTGCGACACTAGTGCCCTCTCCTCCTCAGGACAACATGAAGTCTCTCGCATCCATCGTCGCGCTCGCCACCCTCCTCGCCGTCCCCGCGCAGGGCGTCGCCGTCTGGGGCCAGTGTACGTCCGCTTCCGAGTTGTTCTACGGGCGTGGTGCTAACCGTCTTCTTTATTTCAGGCGGTGTAAGTCCCCTTCGATCTTGCAGCGCCACCCACGCCCCCCCGCCCCGCACTCGCGCCCGCCCGCACTGGGGCCGCGCCCCCGGTGCTTCCCAACATCTCTCGCTAACGCGCGTCTCCCACAGGGCATCGGCTACGGCGGCTCCACCTCCTGCGACTCCGGCACGTCGTGCGTGTACGTGAACGACTACTACTCGCAGTGCCAGCCGGGCACCGCGACGACGACGAAGACGACGACCTCCGGGGGCTCGACGACGACCTCGGCGAGCTCGCCGGCGGCGACCGGGCTCGACAAGCACTTCAAGGCGCACGGGAAGGTGTTCTTCGGGACGTGCTCGGACTCGGGCACGTTCAGCAACTCGCAGGACTCGACGGTCACGATCCGCGAGTTCGGCGGGCTCACGCCGGAGAACTCGATGAAGTGGGACGCGACGGAGCCGAGCCGGAACTCGTTCACGTTCTCGGGCGCGGACGCGCTCGTGAACTACGCGACGACGCACGGGATGGCGATCCGCGCGCACACGCTCGGTGCGTCTTCCGCGCGCTCTGGACCGAGGCGGATGCGCAAAGGCTGACCCCCGCTCCCGCACGCAGTGTGGCACAACCAGCTGCCGACCTGGGTGTCGTCGATCACGGACAAGACGACGCTGACGTCCGTGATCCAGAACCACATCGCGAACGTCGCGGGGCGGTACAAGGGCAAGGTCCGCTCGTGGGACGTCGTGAACGAGATGTTCAGCGAGGACGGCAGCGTGGACACGAGCCAGGTGTTCGCGAAGGTGCTCGGGTCCTCGTTCGTGAACATCGCGTTCGCCGCGGCGCGCTCCGCGGACCCGAACGCGGTGCTGTACATCAACGACTACAACCTGGACTCGGTCAACGCGAAGTCGCAGGGGCTCGTCAAGCTCGTGAACTCGATGAACGCCAACACGCAGCTCATCGACGGCATCGGCACCCAGATGCACCTCAGCGCCGGCGGCTCGAGCGGCGCCGCGGCGGTCGTGAAGTACCTCGCGACCGCGACGAAGATCAAGGAGGTCGCGATCACCGGTGCGTCCGCCGTCTGCTTTCTCCCTGGATCTGGGCTGACTGTGCGGTCCCGCAGAGCTCGACATCGCCTCGGCGCCCTCGACTGACTACGTCAACGTCGTCAAGGCCTGCCTGGCGGAGCCCAAGTGCGTGTCGATCACCGTCTGGGGCGTGCGCGACTCGGTGCGTGGTCTCTCTCTCGTGTGTCGCTCGGTTGATCGGTGGCTGACGTGGGCTGGTGCGGCGCGCAGGACTCGTGGCGCACGGGCCAGAACCCGCTGCTGTTCGACGACAACTTCCAGCCGAAGGCGGCCTACAACGCGATCATTTCGACCCTCGGATGAGTGCAGTGTGTGTGGGAATACTTATAAAGTAGCAGGGTTTGAGAACGTCTGTTGTACGGTGCACATCGGCGGAGTCTGGCGAAAATGCAAAGCATCTCGATTTCTTCTCGTGTCAGCCATCTTCAGCCGACGGCCGTGTTTCATTGCGTGCCAGGAAAAACAAATGAAGCATGTGGATCTAGTGGGACTCAGCTAGGAGGCGTAGCAACGTAAGCGCCTGAACGTGAAGATAGGTCGCCAAATCCAACCACCTACCGATAGAGCGCTGATCTACTGAAGAGATCCTCGTCGATTCGTCGGACCGCAAGATTCGGATATGTATCTTCCTCTGTGGTCAAATGCTACTCGGAATGGTGGCAAGTTTGTTGTTTACTGTTTGCACGCGGCGGGCTGACGGTTGATTTCGACCGGCGTATGGTGGTACAGGGGCACTATCATCCCTCTGCCGTTCGACGACAACGGGGTGTACAACGCGACCTTTTTGCTCTTCGAATGAGTGATTATATGCGGAAGACTACGGGACATATGTTGTACGGTAGTCCCGATTTCTGCTCCGCTGGGCGTGGGGGATCCGAATAAGAAGCCAACGCCAGCCCCCGTCAGCCTTCGCGCCCAGAGTATATATCGCCCTCGCCCTCCGCTCTCAATGCTCACTCACCTTTCACCTCGACCACCACTGCCCCACATGCCTTCTTCGCCCGAGCTCTACGAGGACGTCCTGCGCACACTGTCCCGCCTCGTCTTCGCCTGCGTCCCGCCCGGCAAGTCCACCCTCAAGCTTGTCGACCCCGTCAGCGGCTCGCTCGACGAGTACATGCTCCTCAAGATGCCCGGCCCCAGCAAGCACTCCGTGTCTGGTTCCCGCGTGGGCTCGTCCCCCGCCGCCCTGCCCTCCATGCTCTCCCGTGCGTACCTCGACGACGTCCTCGACGCCCTCAAAGACGCCGTCCGCGCGGACGCGCTCTCACCCACCCGCCTCTCGTACGCCTCCTCAGCGACGACGTCCGCCTCCGCGACGTGCGTCTCGCCCTCGACCCCGAGCGAGTCCGACATCTACGACGCGCTCAAGGCCACCCAGGAATCGTACACCGGCACCCCCGCCGGCGCCGCGCCCGAGCGCGAGGGCGACCTCGGCGAGTACACCCTCGCCCTCTTCCCGCCCGCCCCGCTCTCCCCCCACCGCCACGCGCGCTCGCCGTCCCCGCCGTCCATGCTCAGCCCCTCTCCGCCCGGCATCTCCGCGCGCTCGTCCACCACCCCCTTCCTCAACTTCCCGCTCTCGCGCTCCTCCGGCACCCGCACGCCCCCGCCGAAGCCCCGTCTTCCCTTCGCGCCTTCGCCCTCGCCCTCGCACGACGCGCCCGTCCCCGCCTGGGGCCGCCTCCCGCTCCCATCCCGCCCCGTTGGGCTCGGCTTCGAGGGCCTCCTCGAGCACGAAGACGGCACTCCATTCGGACTCGGGCTCCTCCCGCGCGATGTCTCGCCCTCCGAGGCCGCGCGCGCCCGCCGTGCCCGCCGCACCGCCGCCGGGCTCGCGCAGGCAGCAGCGCACCCGGAGGGCCCTACACCCTCCGCACTCGTCATCCCCCGCTCGCCCCCGCCGTCGTACAGCGCCACGGCGGCTTCGCCTGTCACCGGGCGCCGCGTGAGCATGTCGCCGCCGCAGTCGCACCAGCAGCAACAACACCAGCAGCAGCAGCAGCAGCCGTGCCCGCTGGTGAACGCGACGACGCCGGTGTCATACAACGCGCGCGCGACTCCCGGGGCGCCGGCCCGCCGCCAGCGCGCGTCCCTACCGGGGCCGGCGACGTACGGGCGGTTCGCGACGGTGCGCGAGGCGGGCGAGCGCGGCGGGAAGCGGTCGTCGCTCGAGGGCACGGGGGTCGGGATCGGGGACGAGCTGCGGTTCTGGGCGTACTGGATGACGCCGATGAGCGAGGAGCGCGAGCGCGAGCGCGAGAGGGAGAGGGAGGGTGGAGAGAGGGAGCGGCGGCCGGTGTGGAGGCCGTGAGCGCGTGCTGGGAGGGCATGGACATGAGCTTGGGCATGGGCATGAGGGCGCAGTGGAGGTTCGCGTGTCGCCACGAGTGACGGAACTGGATATATGCGTTGGGTTCATGGTGCTTGTTTGCTAGTAGATGTTTGCAATGACGACGGTGCAGTTTCAGTGCTCGTACAACATGCCTGGCTGGAAAATCTTTTCAAAGTCCATGTCAAGCTGGATCCACACAAGACTAGTGTGCTTGCGCAGAGAACGGAACTTCGCACTTGCGCATATGATTACGCTCAGCGACGGGCAGAAAACCAGAATTCCAGACGAAAAACCCAGATACAACATGCTCACAGTCCTTAGAGATCGTCCAACCACCTCGCGATCGCCTCCCCCGCCTCCGCGCTGTCCTCTACAACCGCATACATCAGCCTCGTTCAAACGTCGCGATCAAACGGGAGCTCACCGTGTTGTATGCACCACGAGTGCGACATGTCCACCACGTGGACGTTCTGCCGCGGCCAGCTGACCCTGCCAAGGACGACCCCGCGCGTCGCGGCCGGCACCCAGTCATCGTCGACGGCGAAGAAGAGGCGGATGCGCGCGCGGTTCTCAGCGAAGAGCGAGTCGGGGAACTCGCAGATGAGCTGCATCTCCCCGCGCGCGGTCGAGAGGCAGGCGAGGATCGTGCGGGGCGAACCAACCAGTCGACGGAGGACGGAGACTTGGTGGGCGGGCCAGGAGGGGTGGAGCAGGCGGAGCAGCGCGGTGGGGAGAAGCGCGCCGAGCGCGCCGAGGTAGGAGACGACTTCGCGCGGGAAGGAGTAGAAGAGCCACTACGCACACGCATACACGCTGAGGGGGGAGCTGGGAGACAGGGAGAAGGGAGACGTACGCGAAGATGGCGCCCGTTCGGGGTGTCGAGGATGTGGTGCAGTGTGGGGGTCATCATTACCAGTCGGTCGAGCCCGTCCGGCCGCTGCTTGAGCACCTCGGCCGCGATCCAGGAGCCCATGCTGTGGCTCACGCTCACGACCTTCGCGTTTGGGAACTCGGCGTGGATAGCGTCGAGGGCCTCGACGGCGCTGTCTACTTGCGGGGTGAAACGGTGTCCTGGGGTGTGTCCGAGGCGGGGGTGGGTGAGGATGGCAAGTGTGGAAGATTCCGTGTTGGAGGGTAGATGTCTCCAAGACGTATATACTTGCAACCTGGGGTAAAGAATACGACGATGTCAGGGGCTCCTTGGAGCGAATGGGCCACCACAGAGCGTGCGCGTCGCCATTGAGGTTGGGGTGGGGGAAGCAAGCGTTGAAACATGGGTAGGACTTGTTCAGCCCCGGAGCCGGAGTGGACGCAGAAACGAAGGTACCATGTCAGAGACGCCGAGGGGAACACTGTCGCGGTCACGTTACCGACAGCGTCCGCGCCGAGGACCGCAAGCTCTTCCTTGTTTCTCTCTCTTTCGCAACTACTCTTCCTTTGGCTGGAATAGCCATGGGGAATTCGTAAACTTCCTTAAGATGCGCTCAAATTTGGTTTGGGATCGTTACCGACCCCTCACTCGACGTATTTGGTGCTTCGCGACCTAAATTTACAAGAGCACCCACTGTGCTGAGCGCTGAGTGTGGACAGTTTGCACTTGGTCTTCAGCTATGTGGGTGGCTTTTGTTTTGGAGTTTGTCCTGGACAACGGCACGAAGACAACCATCTCGGACATCTACATGTGACTGTATAAAGCAGTACAAAATTCTACTTCTACCCTCAGGTGTGACGGTTGAGCGTCCATCATACATACAAGCATCCTTCATCTGTCTAACAACCCAGCATCTACTCGCTAAAGTAGGCCGGAAGGATGTACCGGAGCTTGGCGAGGTCCTCCTCCTTCGCCTTCTCCGGGCGCGGCATGATCGAGAACTTCATCGACCCAATCTCCTCGGTGAGTACGTCGCCCTCGGCCGCGGCGGCGTGCATCTCGTCGAGCACCGTAGCGGCGACGAGCTTCGAGAGGCGCGAGTTCGCGTGCAGGGTCTTGAACACCTCCGCCGCCGTCACCGGCGTCTCACCCTCCCGCCACGAGTCGTAGTCGGTGACCGTCGCGATGAGCGCGTACCTGCCCGGCGTGAGCTATCCTTTTCGTCTCGAGAGAATGAGAGGGAGGGGGCACGCACCCGAGCTCGGCCTCGCGCGCGAGCTTCGCCTCGGGCAGGACGCTCATGTTGATGATGTCCCCGCCCCAGGCGCGGTACATCCGGCTCTCCGCGCGCGTCGAGAACTGCGGGCCCTCCATGCACACGACGCACTTGCCCGCGTGCACGGCGGGCGTCACGCCGCGCGCGGTGTGCTCCGCGTCGGCGTGCGCGGCGAGCACGGCGCGCACGCGGCCCTCGAGCCACGCGACGAGCTTGTTGGAGAACGGGTCGCCGAAGGCGGCGTGGGCGACGACGCGCGTGCCGTCGAAGAAGCTCGCGGGGCGGACGCCCTTGGTGCGGTCGATGATCTGCGTGGGGAGCACGAAGTCGCCCGGGGCGAGCTCCTCGCGGAGGGAGCCGACGGCGGAGAAGGCGAGCACGGCGCGGACACCGAGCGATTTGAGCGCGGCGATGTTCGCGCGCGCGGGGACAGCTGAGGGGTTAATGGTGTGGCCTACGCCGTGGCGGGCGAGGAAGGCGACCTTGGTGCCCGACGGGAGAGAGCAGATCGCGACGGGAGACGAGGGGAATCCCCACGGCTGGAGAGAGATGGGTGAGAGGTGAGTCTAGGGAAGACGATGCAAGCTGTACCGTCTCGGGGTTGACGTGCTTCCTGTAAGAACCGTAAGCAACTTGGTCTGTATTTGTGAACCTGTACGCACAGGAAGGTGAGGTTGTCGAGCTCGTAGAGACCACTGCCGCCAATAACACCGACGAGAACTGTCGAGTTTTAGATGAGCAACAGGCGACAGAAGACACGTAAGAGAGCCTCGTGTTGTTCAGCAGATCGTGGAATGCAGCGATGTCACGGTCGCCTCCTTTATGTTCCTCAACGACAAGATATGAACATACCATCTTCAGATCCTTGGGTGTCCATGTTTACTGGCGGTTTTATCTGCGCGCGTGAGATTCGTGCTGGGCGAGCGGTCGCAAGGGCGTTGGAGAAGCTGGGCCGCGATCGTCGACTGATAACTGCGATTTTCCGTCGCGGAGACGCCCAAAAAGGCACCCAGATTTGGACAAGGGCGGCAAAAGCTCACGCGAACGTTCGTCGCCGACTGAGAACACGCAATATTGCGTCATTGTGCGGGTATGGGATGTGGTTAGCGCAACCGAAATATTCGGCGACTGATTTTCAAGACCTTATATGGCGTGCTGTACAGCGTACATGCTTGTCTGTCCAAGTCGGTGCTGGAACAATGGAACTTGTCATTGTCGTACCCGTAAAATCCATCGAGTGAGGTGTCGGCGGCGATCTTCTGGCGCATCTAAGGAGGTGTACAACTTTCTCATAATTGTTCCGGCCAGAGGAAGGGTACTCGAAAGTTGAGAATGATACTAGACGAGAGAGACAGAAACAACTTAACAAGCACTACTACTAGTAACCGTGGCTTGCAGTCGGGACCGCGATAACGTGACCGCGATGCTGGCCTTGCCTCATTGGTCAGTGTCCCCTCGGCGTCTCTGACATGGAGGTGCCTTCGTTCCTGCGTCCACTCCCTCCAGGGCTGAACAAGTCCCACCCGTGTTTCAACGCTTGTTTCCCCCATCCCAACCTCAATGGCGACGCGCACGCTCTGTGGTGGCCCACCCGTTCCAAGGAGGACCCTGAGATCGTCTTATTCTTTACCCCAGGTCGGTACATACGTCTTGGAGATATCTACCCTCCAACACTCAAGTACTCACCCCTACTCACCCGCGCAGGGAACCCTGGCCTCATCGAGTTCTACCTCGACTTCCTTTCCGAGGTCCGCGCGCGCGCGGAATCTTCCACACTCGCCATCCTCGCTCATGCCCATCTCGGACACACCCCCGGACTCCGCTTTACGCCGCCAGTGGGGACCACAACACACTTCAGCCTGCAAGTAGACAGCGCCGTCGAGGCCCTCGACGCTATCCACGCCGAGTTCCCAAACGCGAAGGTCGTGAGCGTGAGCCACAGCATGGGCTCCTGGATCGCGGCCGAGATGCTCAAGCAGCGCCCGGACGGGCTCGACCGCCTGGTGATGATGACCCCCACGCTGCACCACATCCTCGACACCCCGAACGGGCGCCGTCTCCGCGTACGCCCCTCTCTTTCCCCCCCCTCTCTCAGCCCCAGCCTAAGTGTGCGTGTGCGTGCAGTGGCTCTTCTACTCCTTCCCGCGCGAAGTCGTCTCCTACCTCGGCGCGCTCGGCGCGCTCCTCCCCACCGCGCTCCTCCGCCTCCTCCACCCCTCCTGGCCCGCCCACCAAGTCTCCGTCCTCCGCCGTCTCGTCGGCTCCCCCCGCACGATCCTCGCCTGCCTCTCGACCGCGCGCGGGGAGATGCAGCTCATCCGCGAGTTCCCCGACGCGCTCTTCGCCGCGAACCGCGCGAGCATCCGCCTCTTCTTCGCCGTAGACGACGACTGGGTGCCGGCCGCGACGCGCGGGGTCATCCTGGGCAGGATCAGCTGGCCGCGGCAGAACGTCCACGTGGTGGACATGCCGCACTCGTGGTCCATACGGCACGGTGAGCGCGTCCGTTCGATCCCGACGTTAAACGAGGCTCATGTATGCGGTTGTAGAGGACAGCGCGGAGGCGGGGGAGGTGGTCGCGAGGTGGTTGGACGATCTTTGAGGACTGTGGGCATGCTGTATCCGGGTTTTACGTGTGGAGTTCTGGTTTTCCGCACGCCGCTGAGAACAATCATATGTGCAGGTGCACAGTCTCGTTCTTTGAGCAAGCACACTAGCCTTCATGGGGCATAACATAGCTCGCTACGCAGTGCTAGCGACGCGGGCTACTCCGGGCTGCAGCTGTTTCAAGACAGACGACCATGGTCATTAAAGGATGTTCCGGCTAGTACCGCGGTCACGACGGGCAATGCAGGCCTCTAGCCGGACGGAAAGGCTGACGATAGTAGTACGCCTTTCGTCCGACTAGACGTCCACATTTCCAATAGGACGATTTTAGGATGATTGTTAAACTTCCGACATTTCCTGGGCAACAGTTCATGTAGCCGCCTTGGACTAAATGAGGAAGAAATGAGGACGAAAGGAATCCATTCTTCTTTATTCCCCCCGCGCAACAGGAAGCATCGTCGGCAAATTTCCTGAGATGGCATGAATATCGTCCGCATATTGTCCACACTAACACAAAGCTGACATGAAAACTTTTGTGCAGGACGAAATGTGGACGAAACGAGGACGGCAGGTAAACAGCCATCAGGTCGGAACTGTAGACACCCATTCGGATGAAAGACGTACTTTTGTCCGAATATCATCAGCCTTTTCGCCCGGCCGGATTTCTGCATTGCCCGTCGTGAGTGTTTGCTTGGTGCGCTGACGCGTCGCGTCTGTGGCAGCAGCGGGGTCATCGACGACTAGAACTGCGGTGGGCCACACCGTCGAATGGCCGTCCGGCAACGCGCTGGACCCCGGCACCATGAACCTAACGCATATATCCAGTTCCGTCACTCGTGGTGACACGTGAACCTCCACTGCGTCGTTGTTCGTCTCTTCTCGTGTATATCGATGTACAGAGGTCCTAATCCCAACATTACAACCACCATGCGTCCCAGGTCGCCATGCCGGTCGAATCCACGAGCTTCGCAATCCCAGATTCCAGCAAAGCCACCGCCGCAACAAGGACTGGTTGGGTAGTGCGCAGCAGTCCGTAGAGAGGGTGAAGTCGATTCCCCGCCACTGCGGGAAGAGGTGCTGGGTACCGCTCACGCCGAATTCGACGGTGCAGTCAAGCATGAACGAGTGCCGCCGTCGAGCACCGCGGCGACGATGTAGCTGTGCAAGCTCGTCTGGCACATGTCTCACCAAAGCGTTCCAAATTGAGGCGGGTCAGCGAAAGCTTGGGAGGCGAAAGGAAAAGAGAGCGGGCGCGCGGTGAAGGACCGCACCGACGATGGTGCCGACGATCTCGGTGCATCGTGATCGTGATCATGTGGTGCGCGAGTTTCGTATACTGCCTGACCTTCAGGTCTGTGGGCACTAATCCTAGGGGATCTTGATCTCTCGCACGCGCGCAGGTCGCCGAAGACAAGTGGCATTCGACACCATTGAACGTGGCACGTATTACACTCCAATCCCTTCCTCCTTCTCCCACCCCTCATCCACCCCTCAGGCCGCAGTAACAGGCCACTTTGCAACCAGATACTCGTTCTTCGACACCGGGCTCACCACGTACACCATGATCGTCGACGTCACCGAGATCCCTTTGCCGCTGAACGCGCTGAACACGACGCTCTCCCCGGTCGAGCCCATCCCGACCCCGAAGTTCGTGCCCAAGTTCTTGCCGTCGACGACGAGACGGTACTGGTGCATGTGCTGCTGGAGCACCAAGTCGAAGTCGACCGCGTCCATGTAGCCCGGGTTCGAGTTCAGGATCCAGACCGGAGTGTAGTTCCACTGGACGGCGAGCTGCTTGGGGACGAGGGCGAAGATGTCGGGCATGACCGAGTCCCAGCGGGAAATGTCCGAGGCGGTGACCGAGACCTTGGAGGGGGCTGCGGGAGACAGTGGGAGTCAGCGCGTGGAGAGAGGACCGAGGATAGACGGTGGGTATGACCTAGGGCAGTGGAGGACATGGTTTCGAGAACTACGGGCGACGATCAGCATCTTGGTATCATGCGAACGAGTGAGACTCACTTTGCGATGCTTTGCAGGGGGCGTACTGGGTTGTTCGCTGAAGGACCGTTCGGCGAAGGCGCGAGGTTTTATAGCCTCGGGCCCGCGCCTCCCACGCTCCCTATGTCTGCGGCAGCCTCAGAGGCCTGATCAGTCTGGATGCACACCTGCGTTGCGACTCTCCGGCATTCCTACACGCCCGGTGGTGCGGTTCGACTGAGCATCGCACGAGCGTTCCTTCATCTGTCGTCGGGAGCTGTATACGGGTTGGAATGAAAGCAAGAATGGTCGGAAACAAAACATGGACCTTGTGTTCACATCGGTAGAACATGGATGATGGGAAACTCTGCTCAGAGGCCGGCGCCTGCTTCTCAGCACATGTCGCGCAGTGATTAGGATGCTTGTGATTGCGTGAAGAACTGCAGAAATTCGCCCTTCCTCGTCGACACGGTAGAACAGTGTCGTCTGCGCTATGAGTGATAGCCATTAGGATGTGGATCTTGGCACGGCATGACGACGGAATTTGCACCAAAGAACCGCTGTTGATGCAACGGCGCGAGAGTCTGAGGGTGAGCATGTGTCCACCCACCACACGCAGTATGCAACTCCTCACCGCCATACCAGACTCTTGCTGAGAAGGATGACCGGGGTTTGGATAAATTTGAGCAACTTCACCCAGCGCCGATGAGAACACTGAATCATGCTCTTCAATGTCCGAGCATTCACCGTCGCGTTGCAAGGGTCTGCTGCCAAACGAGCCGTCAGCAACGACGGATGATGAGAAGCGCGCGTGAGACGAGCTCGACGTACGCTTGTCGGTGTGTGAATGTGCCGGCTTTGCTGTGCACACGTGTGTGTGCTCGCTGGTTAACTCGCTGAGAATTCGGTGCCCACTTGCAGGCACCCGGGCCGTATAAAAGGTGTGGTGCGATCAAGGGAGCCCCTCAGCGCACACCACCGTACGCTACCTTCAGAGCTTCACAAAGTAAGCATCCTTCACACACGAACTCGCATTCCACCATACTCATCTTTTTCCGCGCAGCTTGCAATTATGCCTGACGATCAAGGTCGGCTCGATTGCGCTGCTTCCATCTCGCCATACCGGCATCGCTGACGACGCTCCCTCCGTCTACAGCTACTGCCAACGGCGCCGCTACTGCCAACGACGCCGCTACTGCCAACGGCGCCGCTGCTGCCAACGGCGCCGCTGCTGCCAAAGGCGCGGCTGTTGCCAAAAGCGCCGCCGCTCCCAACTGGGACGCCGTCCTGCCCGACATCTTCGCCCTCGTCCCCAAGCAGCGCGCCGTGACGTGGGACTACCAGCCCGTGTGGGTCCTCAACTCGAACCCCGGCTACATGGACGCCGTTGACTTCAACGGCGTCCTGGAGCAAGGCCTGACCAAGTACCGCGTCGTCGTCGACGGCACGGACCTCGGCACGAACCTGGGGGTCGGGATGGGAAGCACCGGGGAGAAGGTGGACTTTGGGATGTTCAGCCACAAGGGAATTTCGTCCAAGTCGACGATCTCGGTGTACGTGGAGGGTCCGACGACGAAGAACCTGTACCTGTTGGCGCAGTGGCCGGTTCCGCCTCCGTAGATGAGATGGGGTGTTGGTACCAGAAATAGGGGTGTAACAAGTGCTCACATCGTCGAGTCGAATGTCAGTTGCGTTTGACTATGTTCGCGTCACGAAGCGAGGATCACTTCCAAGGAGTGCAAGAGAAACGGAAGACCTTCTATGCTGCAACGTTCTTGACCAGCCCGGTTGGGCTGCAGTCCGAGTCGAGACGGGCCTCGAGACTCGAGGATGAATCACCCCCAGTCCGGAGTTTGAATAGTTCGGAGATGGCCGGAAAGCACGCATGGTCTCGACAGCGGCCAGTCCACCGCGCGGACGCGCTGAGTGCTGAGCTCTGCACGCCGTCGTGCGCCTTCAACCAGGAGACACACGCGCCCTCTGGGCCCTCACGGCGCGTTCACATTGATGCTCCCGTGGGCGCCAGAGGCAACAGATGATAGCCGCCAGAGCCCCGCTCTATTTTTCTCCTCCTTTCTCGTGTGCCTCGAACTCCGACTCCCTCAACCCCATCAAAACACTCTGCTCGATCTCAAGTTTCGCGGGCGACTCATTCATAGGCAGACGTCCGAGACAGTTTTCTTCATGCCGTTGTTCAGAGACACCCACATAGTTCTAGATACTGGCCGCGCTTAGCACTGCGTGTTCTTGTAAATCTGGGTCGCGAAGCACTGTTCCCAACCTGTCAGCCTCCACAGATTCACAACAGAGCCACACACGCACATTGTAACTGTCTGCATTGGTCACCGCGGGGTTCGCCGAAAGCCCCATGTCGAACGAGCACCCATACCCGACGTCGACCGTGCCCGCCGTCGCGTGTGTCAGCTCGTGGAGGGTAGTACCGCCACGGACGTTGCGGGCCTCGACGGACGTGTCGCTGCAGAGCCGGGCGATCTGGACCTCGTTGTAGAAAATGCTGCAGTAGCTGGGGGCGGAGCGGGGTCAGCGCCGACACGGTGTGACAGTCCCCCGGTACGCACTATATGTCGTTGTCGCCAACGATGGCGGTGTAGGCGATGACGCCGGGCTGGCAGACCCCGTACGGGTCGTGGCAGCTCAGGGTGCGGCTGCTCGAGTTCTCGCCGGCGACTTTTCCGAGAACATTGAGCACGGCGGACGTCTGCGCCGAGCCTCGAAGTTTCAGAGCTGAGCGCGTGCGGCGGGACGCGGGACGGGACTCACGGTGCCGGTGCCGAAGTACGAGGCGAAGAGCGCGTCCTCGCCGTGGCTCTGGACGTAGCTCGCGGCGAGCGCGGCGAGCGACTTGCTCTCCGTGTAGCTCGCGGCGATGAAGTCCGCCTCGGTAGTGGTTGACGAGCAGTTCATGACTGCGCGCTTCTCAAAGGTCTGGAGTGCGTGCTTCTGCACGTCGGACTTGACGTTGACCGTAAAGGGCTTCGTCGAAACCGTGTACGCGCTCGGGTGAGCGTTGTCTTTGACGACCTGGAAGGTGTTGAGCGGTTCGAACTCAAACGACCCCGCGCCGAGCGACTCGAAGTCGAAGAGAGAGGCGACTGCGATGCACATCAGTCGTAGAAGGGACAAGAGTGGGGAAAAGGCACACCGTCGTGATTGACGACGACGCTCTTGCCGGCAGGAATGACGATGAACGCAGAGTCGTCAGCGAAAGTCATATCGACCTGGAGCTTGACCCCAGTGAAGACTGCCTCCACGCCATCCTTGGAGACCTTGAAAGAGCGCGTCGGGAGCGCGCCGTCGAGAACGGAGCCATACTTGAGCACCTTGACGTCTTCCGAGTCGGTGTTAGTGACCGCGACGCTGATCTTGATGTCGCCGATCGACAAAACTTCGGTCGGAGCTGTATCCAAGCAGCATGCATTTTAGCGTCCTCGGGTGTCGGAGCGGGTTAGGGACGCACCGGTGAGCGAAACCTCCAGGGCCGAGGCGCGCTTGGTTGCAGGGCCGGCCAACGATAGCGCTGCGGAGAACGCGAGGGTGACGAAGGCAAGAAAGAACATGGCTGGCAGAGTGGTCGAAGTGGAGACTACTGGCGTCTTCGAAGTTCGCGTCGGCACTCGGGGGTATTAATTATACTGCGCCAGATTGCGAGACGGAGCACTGTATCGGAATGGTGACCCAAGAGCGTACGAATGCGATGCGGCGGCTTGTCAGTGCTTGGGCTGGGAGGGCGTTCTGTCTGGTTGGCCAGAGACAATCAGGGGAAAGCAATAAATAGTATGGCTCACCAGAGGACTGTTGTTGGCGCACCAACTGAGAGGAGGTGTCGGGGGGAAATCTTCGGACGTCGTGCATATAGAGAATGACGGCCACGATATGGAGTCAAGCATACGAACCATTGGACGTGTTTGCGGCATGCTGTCGCCTGTTTCATCAACCCCATTATGCAAGTGAAACAGCGAGGTGGATGAGCTGGGTTACTCAGGGGTAAAAGTGCAGTGGAGCCTGTTCGCTCCTTTGCACGATACGGAGAAAAGGGGTCGCATGACTCGGACTAGCAGATCGTGTCACACAATATCTGATATCTGCAATACTTATTCATAAGCACCAAATCGAGACTGAGATTATATCGACCTTACCTGCAATCTCGACAAAGACGGTGCGGATCTGCGGCCATCGTGATGCCTAGAACGTGCACTGTACCTACCCCTTTCTGCGCGTGACCCGTTCACCTGCCACGTACACGCCGTTCTCATATTCCATTGAAGTTCGGGATGTTAACAGCTGTTGCTCCTGAATAACTTACAAGACGCCTGAGGTTTATAACGAGGCTCGAAAGACGACCTTCCAGAAACCGGGATGAACCCTTTCCCTGCAGAACGTGCGCGTGTTCCGCGCGTTAACGTTCAGCACTGCGTGTTCTGGTAGACCTGGGTGGCGAAGCACTGTCCACGGCGCGTCAACCTCGATCGCCTCAGATCCACAGCACGGCGCGACACGCACGTTGTAGTTATCCGCGTTGGAGAGCGCGGAGCTGGGCGACGACGCCGCGAGGGACATGTCGTACGCGCACCCGTACCCAACGTCGCCCGTGTTCGACGCCGCGTGCGTGAGCTCGTGCAGGGTGGTGCCGCCGCGGACGTTGCGGGAGGCGACGGTCGTGCCGCTGCACAGGCGCGAGGTGGCGACTTCGTTGTAGAAGATGCTGCAGTAGCTGTGGCGCAACGTGATTTCAGCACTGTAGAGAGAGCATGGACCAGCGAGCGAGCGAGCGGGGAAACGCACTAGATGGGGCGCGAACCGGAAATGAGGGTGTAAGCGATGACCCCGGACCCGCAGACTCCGTACGGGTCGCTGCAGTTCAGGGTGCGGCTGCTCGAGTTCTCGTTCGCGACCGCGTTCAGCACGCTGCGCACGGAGGACGTCTGTGCACCGGTGTCAGTGCCGGCCCGTCTTCGGAAGGAACACGCTGCTCACAGAGCTGGAGCCAAAGTACGAGCGGAAGAGCGAGTTCGCGCCGTTGCTCGCGATGTAGCTCGACGCGATCGAGGCCAGGGACTTGCCCTCCGTGTAGCTCGCAGAGATGAAGCTCGCCATGGACGACGAGGAGCAGCTGACGACCGCACGCTTGTCGATCGCCCGGAGCTCGCGCTTCTGCACGTCCGACTTGACGTTGACCTTCAGGGTCTTGACCGAGACCTTGTACGCGTTCGGGCGCGCATCCTCATCGACGACCTGGAAGGTCGTGAGGGGCTCGAACTCGAACGATCCCGCGCCGAGCGCCTCAAAGTCGAAGAGGGGCGCGACTGTAGAACGAATCACGCGTAAGCCATGGCGTTAGCACGGCAGGGGTGAATGTACAGACCATCGTGCTCAACGAGGATGGTCTCGCCGGCCGGAATGACGACGAACGCAGAGTCGCCGGCGAGGGACATGTCGATCTGGAGCTTGATGCCAATAAAGTCGGCCTCGACGCCGCCCTTCGAGACCTTGAAGGAGCGCGTCGCGAGCGCACCGTCAAGAACGGTGCCGTACTTGAGCACCTTGACGTCCTCCGAGCCTGTGTTGGTGACCGCCGCGGTGATTTTGATTTCGTCTATCGACGCCACGTTCGCAGGCGCTGTTGAAGAGTAATGTCAGTATGAGAGTCGTCACGTTGGACGAGGGGCGTACCGGAGAGCGAGACCTCGAGAGCCGGGGCACGCTTGGCGGGACCAGCTAACGAGAGCGCGGCGGACAACGCGAGGGTGAAAAGGGCGAGGGAGAACATGGCCTGTGAACTGGTCTGAGCGAATGCTGCTGGACGAGAGTCCGAGGGATTTGGGTCGTGGCGCAGCAGCATTTATACCGCCCTGGAGTACATTGAGAACACATGCCAAGCGCAAGAGAGCATGCGGTGGGTGCGCTGTATCGGAAGTATGACCTGAGTGCGTTCGAGCGCAAGAGTCTAGATAGCTCACCCTGACTGTCCCCCCCGGCCAACTTAGAGGAGATTCGGGGAATTTATGCTTGGCACAGCTTGGCTGAGCTTCGGCGGGAGTCTATGATGGATGCTCATACAAACTTCTTCGCTGAGTGCACATGCATACACCTCACCGCTACCCTTCTTGGTTATCGTCAGTGCCTGTATCTTATCATGAAGACACTCTACCGGTTTTCTTTCCTCTGCGGTGACGGTCGAGACGGATAAATGACCTAGTGACTCGTGAGGCTGAGCAACGGCGTTTGTTCGCGTCATAGGCTGATTGGGAGGTATCGTCGGGGGATGAACATCGGTCTATCGAAAGGCTGGGCATTCAGGACTTCGCCATCTGAGGACCACCTCACATGTGCGGAACCGCATGGACGATGGGGCCGTAGAGAGGCTGGGGCATTGCTGGATCCTGATCCCTGTAGATTCGGTATCTGCAAGTGGAACACGTGTTTTAGTCAAGCCTCTAGAGCCTTCTAGCTCCCTGTATCGCCGGCAGACGGTCCGCTCATTTGCGCGAGCTGAAGGAAAGGAGCCCTGCGTGCGGAAAACGGCCCCTTGGGTGCTGCATATAGCCTGCCATAGGAGTAACTGGAGAAAACAACGACTGTGTTAATGTTCATCAGCGCCCAGCCTAAAGGGTACATACAGGGCCTCTAAACTTCCACTACGACCATGGTAGGATGGTGGGGATGCAGATATTCCGTTCACCGTCTGGACTCTGGAACATTGAATCTTGATTGAATCGGATCGGTCGAAGCACAAGCGACTGCCAGCGTGGCAAGGAGTTGCTGGAGCCGGACGCCTCGCGGCAGCCCCGTGCCTGCGACGAGGCCTCGCCCGCCCCCCGCGGGGTCGCCGTCGCTACGGGAGAGGGTCAAGGTGAGGACGGAGTGGTCGGCGCAGGCACGCTTTCTTGCTCTCGCCTCCGTCGCCCGCCGCTCTGCGCTTGTCCTTTTCGCCACAGGGAATGGGCAGTTTCTGGTCATATTCGGCCGACAAGGTACTTATCAGCCCCGGATCACGAAATGCTGATTCTGAGTTGATATTGCCATAGCGAACGTCCCTTCGGAGTCTGAACTGGACTTATCTCTTTTCCGCCTCGGCCTGGTATCCGGCGAAATCCCTCCTCATCGCCAACCGCATCGTCGAGCCCCTGTCCTCGCCGCCCGCCGACTACCCGCTGCCGACAGCGCCGCCTGCCGACCCGATGGCCTCTGTTGTGACGCAGGAGAGTTCAGGTGTGTACGCGCCCACCCGTTCACTGCGCGACCGAGCTTATTTTATTGTCCCGCTCAGATTTACGCCTCACGCTTCCGGTCGAAAGAGCGTCTACCTCTCCTTTCCCTTCGCCAGGCTCGCCGTTCTACCCTCCACCGCGCCTCGGCGCACACGAGTTCGCCCTCCGCCCCTCGTCCTCGCGAAGCCCCAACCCCGCCCGCGAGCGCGACGACCCCGCCCCCCGCGACTCCCTCAAAGAACCCGCGATGCCGGTCGCCGATGGCGCCACGACGCCCACCCCTTCCACCCCCGCGAACCCCTCTCTCTCCGTCATCACCACTGCTGCCTCCCCGACAACGCCCACCCCGGGCTCTGTCTTCCAGGTGAAGACCCCGACCGCGCAGATCACCGTTCCCGACCCTCCACCCAACTCCGAGACCTCCGTTTCCCTCTCTGCCGCCGCCGCCGCTCTCACGGCCGCGGCGAGCAACCGCGACTCGCTCACTTCCTCCCGCCCTGCACCCCCTAGCCCCGCCGTATCTCGTCGAGCATCGGCTGCGCTCTCCCGACGCTCGTCTCGCCGCTCACGCAGACAATCAAAGGCGTCCTCCCTCCTCTCCCCACCCCTCCACGAGCCGGAGGCGTCAAGTTCGTCCAGTGTCACTCTCACCCCTTCCACTCCCCCCGCCCCAAGACGCTGCTCTTCAAGATCCGCGACTACGGCTTCCCCCCGACCGACGAGCGCCACCTAGGCAAGGGCCCAGACGTCCCACGGCCGAATCGCCCCCGCCGACGGTGGTCCACGCTCTCAGATGCGTCCACATCCTCCGCTGGGACTTCGCAGGCGGACGACGATGGGGACGGGGACGTCAGCGGCTGGGGCCAGTTCCCGTGGAACACGCTCAACACCGCCCAGATGGGGGGCCAGCGCCTGCCGGGCGAGGGCCCGTCGCGCGCGGAGCTGCTGCGCAATTTCGGCGGGGCCGGCGAGGCCGCGGAGGACGACGAGGATGACGACGAGGACGAGTACGACGACGCGCAGACGGGGGACGACGAGCCGCTCGTGCCGGGGCTCTACCGCGCGCTGTACGCGTTCGACCCCGAGGGCACGGCGGAGATGGCGCTCGAGGAGGAGCAGATCGTGCACGTCGTCGGCCGGGGCGGCGGCGTGGGCTGGGCGGTGGTCGAGAAGGACGGCGGCGGGCACGCTCTCGTGCCGGAGAGCTACCTTGAGCTCGTCGAGGCGGACTAGGCGGGAGGGAGAGAGAGAGCGAAAGAGCAAGCGCACGAACTGGTGAGCGTCGCGAGCTTTTGTTCCGCGCGGGCCGCAACACTTGTATCATCCCCATTCATCCACCGCAAGATCCCCCGCATCGTCCCCCTTCTCCCGCTGAACCCGTGCCCTGAGTGGGCTGCTGTCTCCTGTGCTTGTTGTGCATCTCATCATACATCATAATCTCGTCTGCTCAACGTCCCGTAACATTGCAATCGCGCCCGCTGTGTAGTAGATCATGCATACGCACATATCTATACTGTACATCCGTACCAGGCTCTCCAAATATTATATACGTATCTTGCCCTCTCGATAGTCGTGTCTCCATAGTTTCTTTTTGCAAAAGATGAGTGCTATACCCCTGGCGAGATGGATGTGCGGACTTCTGCTGACGAGCGCATCATGTATTCACCTTCCATCGTTGAATTCGACGTCCTCTCGCCGCGATGAAGTCTACCAAGGGTGAACCGGTTCTGTCCAGTATTGCGCTTGGTCACATTCATGGTGGTGGACCGGATTTTACACAGAAATTCGGCAATGACAGTGAACACAGGGAACAGGAAGGCAGTAGAGCCATGTACCGAAGTTCCCCAACTTCACTCACCCAGCACACAGAAGATCGCATACATGGTGGAGGGATGGTTTGCAATTATATTCGTCATATGTCTGGGCATGACGGACCTTCAAAATATATGCACTAATGTATGCGACCCCCAATGCCACGCATGCAGAGGTGAGTTGGGCGGTATGTGTTTGGAGGCTTGGGGCGTGTCAGGCCGGCGTCCTCGAACGACCATGCGAAGCGTGGGGGGCGGATGAGGGTCTAAGTGGTGGCATTCAGGATGCAAGGCGCTGATTCGTCGACGCGGTCCACGTCGAACGTGCATGAGGCAGGTCACGACTACTTGCTCTTCTTCGCCGTCTTCCTGCTCTCCACAAACAGCACCCGCTGCTGCACTATGAACGCAGAAGCTATGAGTCCCTTGTACGCGTATGCACTGCGGGGTTTGCGCACCTCGTGGATCGTACTTCACCGCTGCCAACCGGGGACCCAACCTCAGCCTCTGCGCCGTGTAGAAGAAGCCCGTCTGCGCGGTGGAGATCATCCGCACGATGAGGGTCCTAGGAAGAGTAGCGCGTCGGTGAGTCTGGTTAGCATACTGCACTACGTGGCTCACTCACCTTGCTTTCGACTTGGGAGCCATGGCGGTTTTGTGAGCAGAGTTCGCAGCCACCACTAGCACGACGGCGGCGCGACAGCGGAGCGTGTGTCACGCTGGTCACAGCTGGGTGGTGACAACGTTGGCCGTTGGGCGCCCCGCGCGCGCGTCTAGTTGCCAGCTACCACCTCCATGCCCAACCATGAATCCACGTTCCTACCCCCCGGATGTCCACTGTATGCGCTTTATCTGAGGTTGAGGTCTGAGGTCACGCCTTTCACTTGTGATTCGGAACACAGCGCTCACACACGATCCCTAGACCTCTTTGCAAGGGTCTCGCTCGAGCTATTATTGTGAATTTTATGGCAGCTTTTGCTGCTTCTATGATCCGCGGGCGCAGGAACGTAGACCCAAGCAACTCTTTTCTTCTCCTGTGCGACGAGGATTGGGTGGTCCAAATCAGTCGCCCACCCCACATGGTGCGGCGGGCAGAAGCGCGTCCCGATGTTCATTTGGCAGGCCCCGTGTCTGCCAGCGAGGAATGGGTGCTGCGTCGCGCGGACTTGGGAACTTCCAGGGGCGCAAAAGCGGCCAGGGACGGCACCACACCTGATCTGCCGAGAATGCAGCCCAGAGGAGAGCGGTCAGGTGAAGGTGAGCCGTCTGAACGAGTGGGAAGGACTGACAGCATGCTCAGGGCGCTCACTCCGTGGCCTGTGGGCGGATTGCGACCGAAGTGGAAAGTGCTTCGTATCCCTGTCACGGACGTATGGTCCCTTGGAGCTCCCCAGAGTCTAACGCGAGCCGGTTCACAACCATCCTTTTCGCACCCGTCCAAGAGAACATGCATTGACGTTTTTTGACAACACATCTCGATCGTTCACTATTCACGGCGAACGGGTCCTTACATGCGCTTCGCTTCTTGTCACCGACGAGCAAACATGTATGGTGAGCTCTATTTGCGGTGTCGTTCCGGAAACCGCGTCCATGAGCTAACTTAGCCTCTTCCATTGCCAGACGCGTTAATCACACGAACGAATTGCTTCCGACGTACACGCTGGAGTCGGCTGCCATGAGCACCTCAGTCGTCGCTTCCCATCTCGATGGAGGCACCGGTGCTCGGCTTGTATCATCCTTCACCTCCCCTATCCGTGCAGAGACGTATAAATGCCGTTCCACGTCTCGTTCAACCTCTGGTCCTCCTGACCTAGCCTCCCCCTCACTATGACCGGCTGCTCTACACTCCTCCTGGCATCTGCCTTCGTGCTGCCCCTTCTCATCACTTCAGCGGCCGCGGTCAACGTCACTGTGCCGCTCTCTCCCCCCTCCAATGCGCAGAAGCTCTCTTCGACGCTCGTCTCGTTCTCCATCGAACAGGATCGGTGGCCGGACTGGACGGGGACGGACTCGCGCAATGAGTTCACGCACGCCGCACTCACCACCCTCGCCTCGCTCACCGGCACACCCCCCAAGATCCGCGTCGGAGCAAACTCGGAGGACCACACGACGTGGTCGCCGACAGTGACGATCGAGCAGGACGCGTTTCCGCCCCCGAACTCGATCACACCCTTCCCCGAAGCGAGCACGATCACCGTGGGCGACGCGTACTACCAGCTCTCGCGCTTCCTGCCTTTCGGCACACACATGGTCTGGGGCGTCAACTTCGGGCTCGACAACGCGACGAACGCGGGGAACATGGCGCGGTCGATCGTGCAGGCGTTCAAGTCCGCCGCGGTCCTCGCCGCCGGCGTCGTCCTCGACCGCATCGAGATCGGGAACGAGGCGGACCTGTACAGCAACAACGGCCTGCGCGCGAAGAACTACTCGGTGAACGACTACGTGCCCGACTGGATCAACATCGCGAGCGCTGCGGTCAGCGCGGCGGGGATCAGTGGGAGCAGCGGGCCCGTGTCCGTGCAGGGCGCCGCGTTCGCAAACCAGGGATTCACGCCGCGCCAGATCTTCAACCTCGGGATACTGGACAGCGCGCCCGGGAAGGCAATCTCGGTGTGCGTATCCCCACTCATATCGCTAGCGCGGGCGTTACTCACGCCCCCGCGCGGTCTCCGCGCGCATGCGCCACAGGATCTCGCAGCACCACTACTCGGCCGCGTTCTGCAACGGGGGCGACTTTCCGCTGGTGTCGTTCATGAACAAGGCGACCATCCGCAGCAACCTGTCTATCTTCACCGCCGACATCGCGGCGACGCACGCGCAGGGCATGCCATACATCCTCGGGTGAGCGCGGATGACATCATTCCCGGTCGGAGCGCGCTGACGAGTCCGCCCCGCGCACACAGCGAGACGAACAGCATCGCGTGCCACGGCGCGCCGGGCGTGAGCAACACGGCTGGGATCACCCTCTGGGCGATCGACTACACCCTGCAAGCCGCGACGCTCGGCATCAGCGAGGCGTTCTTCCACGAAGGCATCGGGTACAAGTACAACTGGGTGCGTACCTCCCCTCGTGCGGGGCCCTCCTTCGCGCACTCACCACCGGCCTGCCCCGTCGTCAGATCCAGCCGATCGCCCTGAACCGGTCCATTGTCGACGGCTCCCCGATCGACCCGCCGACGCCGCCGCACGTCCAGCCCGCGTTCTACGCCGGGCTCGTGATCAACACCCTCGTCGGCACGACGGGCGCGGCGCAGATCGTCGAGCTCGCCGTGGGCAACGCGAACGTGACCGGGTACGCCGCGTTCGAGGCCGGGGCGCTCAGGCGCGCCGTGTTTGTGAACCTCGGCGCGTGGCTCGGGAGCAGCGTTGGGGCGCGGCCGAGCGTGCACGTCGACTTGGCGTTTGGGGGGGAGACGGCGGGGCGCGCGAGCGCGCGGCGGCTCGTCATCCAGCACGCGGACGACACCGCAAACCTGACGTGGGCGGGGCAGAGCTTCGAGACGGCGGACGTGACGCCGGCGGGGGAGGTGGTGACGGAGGACGTGGTGCTGAGCGAGGGGCTGGATTTGCGCTCGACGGAGGCGGTCTTGATCACTTTCTGAGCGCGGGCTGCGACGGGGTCAGTCGCGCTGTCTGTGGTGTTTTCCACGAGGGTATGACGATGATGGTGATGATGATGAACAACGTATTACGGAGATGTGGTGGATTGGTGATCGGTATTGTTTTTGCTTTCCTCGCACTTCTAATGGCCCTCCAATCGCGTTGTAGGTACCGAAGCGCTGGATGTTGAGGTCGAGTGAGGTGCCGCGGCGCCGCAGCTTCAGCGCGGGCGACTCCTGGGTGTTGTGGGACTGACTGCAGAGTCTACATAGATTCGGGACAGAAACGCATCGCAACATGACGTCAGTGTGTGCAGGTATAATGACAGAATGCATCATCTGCTTTTCCGTGTGCAAGCAAAGCGCCAATCGCACGAGGGGCTTCGCGATTGGCGAAGGAAAAGTGGGAATACATGCCAAACAAAGGCACTACAGGCAATTTGAATGAGGTGGGTTCAAGGTCGTGCACGGTCTGCTCGCGTTCATAGCCCTCGCGCACGCTGGCTCGTTGTCGCGCTCGCGAACCAGACGGATCGGTGACGCGACACGGAGGGTGGAAAGAGGAAGGTGACGGGGATAAGGTCTGGTCTTCGTTTCCTGAGGTCTAAACCCACACCTGCGCGGGTTTATATACATAATCATAGGTGCACAGCATAATCATGATGTGTCAAGGTCGGGTTCGGGGGGATCTGTGGCTCGGATGGACGAAGAAAGAGGGTGGGGGCAGATTGGATTACAAAAGGGATGTGCGGGAAAGAGGTGATGACGGAAACGGGCGGCGCGGAGATGCGCATCGTCACGCTCGTATTCAACGCATGGCCCCGATGCGCGTCGCCGTGCCTCCACCACGACCGGTCATGGACGTGTGCGCGGGTCTGGCGGTGGCGGTTCGGAGGACCCGCGGTTCACTCCTGTAGAGGAGACGTGGCGTGCGGACCACGAGGTGCGTGAGCGCGAGCTCGAACGTACGCGAGCGGGACCGGCGCATATTCCACCCTACCTTTCGACACATTCACCGTGTTGCACCCGCGACGTGTATACGTGCATGCAGCTCGTCTGTGTGCACTCGTTGATTGGAGCATGATGGAAAGGGTGCCGCGCGAAGCGGGGCGACGCTTGTATATGTATATAAGGTCGACGCCGTTTGAAGCCGTTGCGGCCGCGATGGCCAATCTGGTCACGTGGCTGACGCGATTGTGGCTGAACTTTGAGATGATTCGTTGTGAAAGCTGACCACCACAACGGCTTTCTTCCGCACCCCCCATCTAACTGTACAGTGCATCCTTAAAGTCTGTCTGCCATCGAACCTGGGCATCAAAGCAAGCACGAAGGAAAGCTCGACAGGGGTCGATGCGACTGCTGGACTGGTGAGTGTTCGCAGCGATGTCGCTCGGCTAGCTTCGTCTGGATAGGAGCAACTATCGACGTGCACGATGCAGGACTCGTAGGCCCGCCGATTACACGAACAATGAACACCCTTGCAACGAGGACTTGAAGGTGAGTGCGCACGGCTCCTCCGCGTGTATCACAAATTGCCGGAGGTCGTTGCGGTGCCGGCACTCGCAGCCAGTGCGCGTAAAAGAGCGGCAGAGCGAGCCTTCGACGCAGCATGTGTGTCCAGACGATTCCCGGGTTCGGGGGCCGGTTACCCCGCACAACCCGCACAGCTGCGCTGTGCAATAGACCGCTTCGGTGCGCATATACACACCTCTGATCGGCGACCTAGACCAGGGGAAGGATACATAAAGTCGGGCTGCGCATACAGCCTCGTGGCTTGCGGCCTGTGGCTTGTGGCAAGCGGGCGCATGGCCACCAAACAGCGCTCACGCGCATTGGCAGCTCGGCCGCCACCTTTCCCAAAAACGGTCGCCGCGATGCAAGCTGACGTCTTATGAATTCATAGAACACGGCACGGATTTCTGCCCGGACGGGCTGGTGCGGCCACAACGTGGCCTCCACGCGTCTTTGCGCGCGCGGGTTCGCGAACGGCCGCATAGACGACCGCGGCGGGGACGCGCGGCGCACGGTGGGCCTCCATCGTCATGCACGCCACCGCTGATTTCATTCCCGAGCTGTAGCTGTCTGCTCGCGAGCATGGTGCGCCGCGCGGGCGCACCACCGAGGCGCAACGTGCCAGAGGGGCGCGCAGACATGAATGGAGCATGGGAGCGCGACACTGCCCGGGGAAGCGCCGCGGGGCGGACCAGGCACGCGGGGGGCGCGCACGGCCGACGCGCGACGACCTGGAGCTTCTCGAGCACGCAGACGGCCGTGGGGGAGGGGGCGGACATGGGCGCGAGAGGCCGCGAGGCGGCGGGCGCGGGCCATGGGCCCCCTGCGGGCTGGATGGGGGCACCGGACCGGGGCCTTCTGCGGGCGGTTATCAGCCTCGAGGCGTCCACGCCTGCCTTTCTCTGCCCGTCGCTGGACGGGCGTCGACCTTGTCCCAGCACTCTCGTCCGCCACGTTGGAGCCGCGAGTACTGCGAGGGCCGGCTATGAAGGTGCGCTCTCTTATCCCCTGCACACTCTGCCCGCCTCACGCGCCACTTGCTCCCTTCCCTCGCCCGGTCGCCCGCAGAGCCCGTCCTAGATCATGCCCAGCATCTCGCCCCATCGTGTTCGCACCCTCGCACCCTCTCCACTTGGTCAAGCTGGTACGTCTTCTTGTTTTTCGTCCGACCCTCTTTGTTCTTCCGTGGCGTCGCTTCCCCTCCTCCCCGCCAGAATGTGATGGTCGCTGGTGGATATTGTCTCATCGATTGTGGCCGGGGCGCGTCTGTAGCACATCTCCGGTCTGACAACCACCAATTGTGTGCACGTTACGTCTTCGCAGCTTAGTCTATCAACCGTTTGCCAGTATTTGAGCCGTCCGTCTTCTTGTCCGACGCTTCTTCCGTTCCCACCCAGCTTATCGTCGTCCCCTCCGCCTCGCAGGTCCGATGCAGAACATGATGCCCCGCGAGCAGACCCCTTCGCCCTCCTTTCGTGAGAAGCAGCAGCGAACACACAAAGCCCACTCCCTCCCCAACGTCCCCTCCTTGAACCAGATTCTCGCCAACTCGGGCGGCCAGATGATGTACCCCCAGCCCTCCCAACCGAGCCCGACCGCCTCCAACTCCTCCCACCAGTCCCGCCGCTCGCCCCCGCCCACGTCCCGGATATCGCCCACCGCGGCCAAGCTCCCGAACGAGCGTGTCGCCGACCTCCAGGGCTCGTCCCCGCCCCCGCTCATGCACTCGCACAGCACCCCCGCCGTCCCCCAGCACGCCTCCGCCGGGATCCCGAACCCGCACCACCCCCGCCCCATGCCCCGCGGCGCCCCGCCGGCGTTCATCGCCCAGTTCGCGACCGCCGAGGACAAGTGGGCGGTCACCGAGGGCCTCATGGCCGAGTTCGAGCGCAGCTCGCAGGCCGGCGCCGCGGGCGTCGCCTACGCGGGCGGCGCGGCCTCGAGTGGCTCGGTGCCGACGATGAAGCGTCCTGGGCAAGACCCGGCCGGGGACCGCATGCGCACGAGCTCCAAGGACGGCGAGGGCGCGCAGGGCACGGCGAAGCGGGTCGACCCGCGCGAGATGCAGCCGGCACGCGAGAGCCCGCAGACGCGCGAGCGCTCGAGCACGGGCGGGTCGCAGCAGCTGGGGGGCGAGGGGCATGTGCGGACGCCCGAGTACCGCGGGTCGCCGCAGTACCAGGCGCCGATGGCGTCCCCGGGAGAGCGGTCTGCGGGTTACAAGCAGTACGTTCCTGAAGGCTATCCCTCTCCCCCTCTCGGCCCTCAAGCAGGCCCGGCGCTGCAGCGGAAACCGACTACAGCTGACGCGGCCCCGAGCCGTCTCACTCCCCCCGCGGCCTCCAAGCTGGCGTCGTCGACACACACTCCCCCGCTGCAGGTCATGGGCGGGCGTCCGCCGGATCGCTCGCTTCCGCTGCAGGAAGAGGACAACGGGCACGATGAGGATCACGACGAGACGGAGTACTCCCCGCGTACGCACGGCTCGCCGACCCCCTCCTCCGACCTGTACCCCGAGGGCCACCCGATCCGTTACGACTCACGGCATGAACACGACGACGATGACGACGAAGGGACTCTGAACAACGAAGACGACGACCACATCAAGCAAAACAAGAGCGAAGACTCTGAAGCCGGGTACACCCCCCGCTCGCCTTCGACGACCCTGCCCGAGCGTGCGCGCGACGGCCCCTATATTAATCAGTACGACCAGAAGACGATCCGACCGAAGCATCGCAGCGGGATCGCGGACCAGCTCGGGATGCGCACCTTCGACCCGGCGATGTTCGAGCGCGAGACGGTCAACAGCCTGCGCAACGGCCCCTCGACGGACGTCCCGGCGCGCGTGGCAGAGTCTCCGAGCCAGGCATCGACCGCGCCGCCGGCGTCCGAGGCCGCTTCCTCCGAGCACCAGCACCCGCCGCACTACGATCCCAGGGAGTGGACGCACGGTATGGGGCGGATCCTCGACCAGCGGATGGGGTACAACTGGGCGGCGTCGAGCGCGCAATCCCAGTCGGACGACATGCAGAGCCTGCTCGACGACCCGACGTCGTCGTACCTCCAGACCTTCCTCCGCTCCTCGAGCGCGCGCCCGGGCGCGCCGATCCCGCCGACCCCGCAGACAGGCCCGTCGCCGTCCCCGCTCATCTCCGCGATGCCGTCCGACTTCGAGCCGCGGCAGATCGGCTCCCCGTACCCGTACCCGTTCACGCACATCCGGCGGTCGACGATGTCCGGGCCGCTCCCCGCGCCGTCGACAAATTATGACGCGCACAACCCGGACGTGATCCGGGAGCAGCTCGCGCTCCAGCTCCAGATCTACGCGCTCAACAACGGCCTCGCGCCGCCGACGTCCGAGTCCGCGTTCTCGCCCTCGTCGACGCCCTTCCCCGGCCCCGGCTACAACCCGTGGGCGTTCGTGCCCGCCGGCGGCGGGCTCGGGCTCGGGCTCTCGCACCAGGCGATGATGGGCCGCGACGACCGGAGCATGGCGTCGAGCCCGTCGCACGAGCCCGTCGCGCCGCCGCCGATGCGCGGCACGCGCCGGTTCCGGCCGGAGAAGTCGCACCTCTCGCAGAGCACGGTGCCGCGTGGGGGCGCCCGCCGCGTGAAGCCGCCGCCGCGCGTGGACAGCACGCAGCCGCGGGAGACGAGCCCGGAGCCGTCGTCCGGGGAGGAGACCGCGGGCGAGGAGCGGTTCGCGCCGGTGTTCGCGCCGAGCAAGGCGGGGAGCGTGACGGACGAGTGGGAGGAGGCAACGCCGGTGGGCGCGGCGGACGACGAGGGCGAGTGGGTCGAGGAAGGGGAGGAGGACGGAGAGGAGGACGACCTGCTCGACCTCGAGTTCCACCCGACCTATGTGAGCAACCCGCAGAAGCGCCGGCGGCGGTTCGACACCCGCTGGGACGCGCTCGTACAGGCGGTGAGTCTCTCTCGGTGTTCCCCTTTCTTGACGGCGCGCTGACGACGCGTTCAGTTCCAAGCCCTAGACCGCGAGACGGACGCGACGCTCGTCCTCCTCGCCTCCCCCTCGCACTCCACCAAGCTCCACGCGCTCACCTCGCGCTCGGTCCGGCGCGACGCCTCCCTCGCAGGCTCCCCCGCGCTCACCAGCGCCCGCCGCGCGTTCGCGCACCTCGCCGCCCAGCGCCGCGCCGCGCGCAAGGCGCAGCGGATGTCGCTCGCCGAGCGGCTCTCGACCCGCTCCGCGTCCTCCGCGGACGGCTCCCCCGGGGGCGGCTCCCCCGGCGAGCTCGACCTGCGCCGCGCGCTCGAGACCGCGCTCGGGAGCCTCGGCGCGCTCTCGTCGATCTACGACCAGCGCGAGGCGCGCTGGCGCGAGGAGATGCGCCGGCTGAACACGGACCGGGAGCAGGTCGAGCTGCTGCTCCGCCAGGCGCTGGGCCCGGCGACGATCAGCGGGCTGCAGGCGGGCGTGAACGGGGCGCAGGTGAACGGGCACCTCGCGACGAACGTGAATGGGAACGTGAACGGGGTGGGGGCTGGGGTGGGGGCGCAGTGACGGTTCGGGCGGGTGCGCCCAGGTTATAAGTGCGGTGTTGGATTACTAGGAAGGATGGGGAACGCCTTGTACGCGCGTGTACGCTACCGACGGCGCGGCTTCGGACGACGGCGTCCTCGACTGTGGGGGGCGTCGGTGTACTGTACAGTACGTGTACCGGTCATCGGCATCGACGTTTAGTCACCGTTATACATAGTAGGATACGGGACGGAGTGTTAGTTTAATCGACTCGTTTATGGTCTCGAATCGCTCTCGGAGCTCTCGCGATCCTCGCTGTGTTCACCGCTGTCTTCCTCATCCGCCACGGGCTCGTCGTCGCCCAGCGCCGCTGCGGCCACCTGAACCTCGGGCGCGGGCTCCCGCGCGGACTCGACGGGTACGACGGTGTTCCTCAGCGTAGACCCGCACCTGCAGCCTGAGCAGGTTGGGCCCTTCACTGCGGGCCTCCTCGAGCGCTGCGCTCTACAAGCAGCTCACCAGTACGGGTACGGGGCTTCACAGGGCGAGGGAGGGGGGCGTCTGTCTGAAGAACGCGGGTTCGTAGGAGCAGTTTGTATTCGCAAGATAGCTGGTGAGGGCCGTGCAAGTCGATGGTGTATATATACATGATGTGGTGTTTTACAGTACTACGTACGGTCAGACAAAGTATGCAATGCCGCGGTGTTTCCACATCGGCGTACATCAGTAACTTAAAGATACGTCTTTTGTAGCTATCAAACGTCGCCTACCACGTTGCGATGGAAGTGCACGCCCCCGCGCAGATCCGACCATACGACCACCGACCCGTCTTGTGTGACCGCGACTCGACCAACGTCCTGTTCGTCGTCGAGGGCAGGAGTTCGGTAGAGTCTGCCGTGCAGCGTACTCCAAAACCACCCTCCGTGGCACCGTTGACCATGTGGCCCCCAAAACCGCTCAACATCCGTTTCGACGTCTTCACCAATGATTACCGAAGGCCGCTCGCCTCCGAATGGCCCCGACAGTATCTCTCCGGTGGTGGTGTCCACGACGCAGAATTGCGGCCCGGCAGCGGTCGGAGAATCGGAAGGCCCCGCCGCGTCGACGAAACACAACGCACGAGTTCCGTTGGCGGATAAAGCTTGGGGAGTGAGTCCGTGGCCCAGTGGTGATAGCGCCGGAGGCGCGGACGGTGTAGAAGAGCTGAGCGCGTCCGATTCTTCGCCGCGGTCCACCACGAGGGCACCGTCGCCCGTCAGTGCGAGCACAGTGCAGTCGCCGCGCTCGGGGCCGCATCGCAGCACGGCGGCCTGAAACACGGCATCGTGGAAGTTGCTCAGACCAGATCGACGACATAGTAGAAGTAATGACGGGGGCCAAAGGGGAAGGAGGGTTCGCTTTGCTCGATCAGAGCGTAAGGGGGGTTCACCGACATTCGAGCTCTGGTAATTGGGCCTGGTAAAGAAGGGAATTCAAGCAGGCGAAGGAGAGTCAAGCCTTCCGCATCCCAAATGTGAAGGTCCATCGAGGACATCAGGGCCAGGATTTGGACGCTATCCGGGGACCAGCTTGAAGCGACGATATCTCCGATTTCGGGTGCCTTGATTATTCCTGTTTCCTGAGGCTTGCTGTCAGAGCCATCTCCAGGCTCCTTTTTGATGGGAGGGAGATAGAAGGAGACGATTTGATTATGGAAACAACCAAAGAGGCGAGTGTTTGACGGAGAGAAGGCTAGCGTATCGACGTTCCAGTGCAGCCGTTGATCGTGATACCAGTGCTGTAAAGCGAGCCGCCCTCCGGCCGCGCGAACATCCCAGATCATCACTGAGTGTTGTCTGGGTATCGCCGCTGAGTGTGCCATGCTGACCGCCCACCTCCCGTCCCGAGAGATGGTCAGATAGTCCACCTCAGTGGGATGTCCGTACAGTTCGGGTGAGAACCGCTCTGTGAATTCAGGATTTAGCAGAGGTTGGACGATTGAGAAGGAAGAAGGATACGCACCAGAATACACGAACTCAACCTGCAGAAGCATCAGCTTGTGAAGTGACGCAAGCGCACGCTCCAACGATTCCCTCCACGTGCCATCCACGAGATTCCGCGTCGAGTCTCTGACTATAATTTTGACTCCGTTTGTTCCAAGAAAGATATGATCCGTCACAAGCCGTGTGAAGTTGTGGAGGGCCATTTGTTGGTCGCTGCTGGGCTCCGACACAATGTAATAGGCCAGAGATCCGTCTAGAGTGATGTCCAGGGACCGTAGCGATTGCGGGAGACCAAGGCTCATTAGCGTGTTCAGCTTCTGGAGAGACGAGGGTGCGGAGAAGAGCCGCGCATCGTAGGGTGTGCCAGTCAATTGCACAGAGAGATGTTCAATGCTGGTACAGCTCGCAAGTGGTAAGCCTGCAAGTGCCGAAGAGGGTGAGTCAGAAGCCCCATTGTGTGGTGAACACGTGCATGTACCTTCTACCGTGAGCCATTTCAGGCTGAGGTCAAGGTGCGTCAACGTTGACCTACTTCCGGAAAGGATATTGACAAGCTGTCTGGGTAGTGGTAGAACTTGTTGGTACGGGAAATCGTCGTAAAACTGCGGAGCTCATAAAATTCAGTCTTTTCCATTGTCTTCGTGCGATCAACTCGGCGTCTCGTCTCACCTTGAAATGCGCTAGCCTCCCGCGCATTTTTATTGAGGCGAGTGCTTGTTCGGTGGAGGGAGCTCCGTAGCTGGTTCGGGATATTTCAAGCGACTGGAGGGCGGGGAACGCATGAACTAGTCGGTACATATGGAGCGGTGTGGGAAATCCAGAATCGTCGATGACCAAGGTCTTGACTGCGGTGTATCGCCCAAAGCAAGCCAAGACAGCGGAAGGAAATCCATTTTTACAGGATGAAATTTCCCATGTGTCGATATGTGCGAGATACGGAAGGAGAACGATAGGTGCAACCCAGGGGGCTCGCTGCTTCTTCCACAAGCTGAGCCTAACGGTGTGGACCAACAAACGCAAGTCCGGGGAGCGTTGAAACGCTTCGTGAATCGAATGGAGTGCCTCCAAGCTAGATACGATGACCTTTTTCCAGAGGTGGATGCGACTTCTGGTTAACCATCTCGTATGGACTCGGGCGCAGGAAGCGAGCGTAGCGACTTGATCGATTTGGACGCCGAGTGCGTCGATCACTTGCTCGGCGACTTCTATGGGGAGACGTTCTGAGGCCATCGACGAGCGGCAGGGTGGGTTTCGAGGGCGGATTGCAGACCGATCGGACGTAGATGTGGTAGTGGGTACGCCGGGTTGTGCGCGCGCGATTCAGGCCAGGGCGGGCGCCTTGTCGCGGCATTGCTCCGCGCCAACCGTGCACGCAGGCCTAATATTTGGCACGCCCCGCGGTCTATTGCCCCGGCCCCTTAGCGGAGCAAAGTTGTAACCGTCCACGCGTCGGTCAGTGAGAGGACGTCGTTGTTCAACAGCCCGTAGGGGTAGTACATCTAGAGCGGCGTCTAGAGTCCAGCCAACGAGTCTGGGCGAGAACATGAAGGCGAGGCGATAGCATACAGCGATGTGGTACAGGGACAGCACGCGATGGTGAGACGATGAGACATGCTGGGAGGGAAGACCGAACGAGACGGCTCACGAAACCTTCCTCCTCGGGCCCGTTTCTACGAGGCGCACGCGATGAGGGGAGTGGAGTGGCCGAGGCGTTGGGGGCGGGTAGTAGTGGGGGGTGACATATGCGGCGGTGGAGCGATGATGGAGAGAACGAGACGGTCCGGAGAGCAGGGCAGTATCTACGGTAAAAAGCAATAAGGACTATACACAAGAAACACACAACCGACGCACAGCGACGGCGGCCGACGCTCAGTGGAACCCGCTCTGGAACTGGAAGCCGCCCTGGCCGGCGAAACCACCCTGCTGGAAGAACTGCGCGAACGGGCCCGCATTGAAGCCGCCGCCCTGGTGGAAGGGCCCGCCGCCTTGCTGCGCCTGCGGGTCGTTCGGGTCGTCGCCGTTGTCGAACCGCTGGCGGAGCTCGGGGTCGGAGAGGACCTCGTACGCCTCGTTGACCGTCGCCATCTTCTGCTCGGAGCCGCCCTTGTCGGGGTGCGCGGTGAGCACCGCTTTCCGGCTGGAAAGGCGGAGTTGGAGCAAACGCGAGAGGGGTGAGGACGGGGAGAGCACGTACTATGCCTTCTTGATCGTCTTCTGGTCCGCGTCGCGGGCGACACCGAGGACCTTGTAGTAGTCCTTCTGGCGCGACTGCTTGAGGAGCTTCTGCGCCTTGACGTACCGCTGGTGGATCTGCACGCGCGCGCGCGACGTAAACGCACGAACGACCTGCCCGACAGACGGCCACGCACCTCCCGGTCCTGCCGTCCGCTCGCCTCGAACGCGCGCTCGAGGACCCGCACCGCCTCCTCCCACTCCTCCTTCTTGAACAGTGCCTCCGCGTAGCCGATCACGCCGTCCGCGTCGTTCTCCCTGCCCTCCATCTGCAGCAGCGCCCCGCACCACTGCTCGCCCTTCTTCGCCTGGTTCGTCTTCACGTACGCGCGGCAGAGCGCCCTGAGGAGGACCGCGCGCCGGGGCGACGTGCGCTTGCCGTCGGGGAGGTGCAGCTGCGGGTGCAGCTCGAGCGCGTCGCGGGTGACGTGCTCGTCGAGCGCGGCGTCGTACTGCGCCGCGAAGCCGTCGGTGCCGGAGAGGTCCGCGCCGAGGAGGAGCTTCATGACCGCGCGCCAGTCCTCGGACTTGAGTGCCTTGTCGAGGGCTTTGAAGGACTTGTCGAACGATTTGAAGAGGCGGTGCATCTTCAAGCATTTGGGCGAGTCGGGGTCGTAGTGGAGGCACTGCTTGATAGTGGGGAGCGCGGGAGAGGAAGGGTCGTCGGGAGCGTTGTAGGGGAAGAGGAAGTAGCCGATGCGTGCGGTCTTCAGCCAGAGGGATGTCGTCGGGGTCGTGAGTTGGGCGAGTCGTCTCCAGGACAGTCAGCCCCACACACGAAAGAAGAAATCCAACCGTGCTCACGAGAGGTCTGCCACCGCGCCTTCCATGTCGCCCGCCGCGATAGAACAGTCCGCCCTCTGCAACCGAAGCTTCGCCGAGTGGGACGCGGTCGCGAGCGCCGAGGTCGCGGCTTCGACGCACGCCTGCCAGAGCTTCGCGCGGATGGCCTGCGAGACCTTCTTGCTCGCGGTTTCGCCGTCGGTGATCGCCATCATGACCTCCTGCGACGCGGCGTCGCCCTTGACCTTGGTGGTGTACTTGCGGAGCGAGTCGCGGGCATCCGACCAGCGGCCTTCCTTGGCGTATATGCGCGCCTTCATGAGGTTCGCCTTGTCAAAGGAGCCGTTGGTGAGGGTGAGGACTTGGTCGAAGTCCGCGAGTGCTGAGGCATAGCGGCCAGAGGAGTAGTAGGCGGTGGCGCGCTTGTAATAGAGTAGGTATTCATGGGCGCCCTCTGTCGAGCAGTCAGCGAGCTGGTTCAGGAGCTGGAGCGCCGCCCCCTCCGAAAGCCGTAGAAAGAGGTTGCCACTGCTCGTGGCAACAACATGAAAGCGCAGCCGGCAAGAGGCGCTCAACGGGGCGGGGCAATTTCAACCACCTGCGCACCACGACAGAGTGTGCAGGCAAACGCACGTTCAGGGAGGGGTGAATCGACAGGGGCTGACGTCCTCTCCAATTGCTCGCACAACGGCTGGACTCGAACCGTTCCAAACCACCTATGGAAGATAGAAACGGTGGCACTTACCGATGGCTTCCGAATACGCCTGCGCGGCGTCATTGAACTGACCCGCAGTGAGGAGGGCGTCAGCACGGGTGATGAGGGGAATGAGCTCTTCTGGGTAGAGAGAGCTGCCGGCTATTTGCTGGTGCTGGGCGTTGGCCGAGCAAGCTAGCCCAAGGAAGAGGATAGGTAGTAGAGCAGACAGTCGTAAGAGCATGGCGGTGCGGCGCACGCAAGGCTGAGTGAATGGATGCAGGCAGCGAGGAGAGGGAGGGACAGGTCCAGCAAAGGCCTGCAGAAGGAGGAAGACGTTCGAGTTCGAGTTGTGGCCTGCCAATTATGGCTCCTGGACACGTTAGCACGTCACGTGCGCGGCGCCATCGGCCCTTGCCCGGCCCGTCCTGGGACCCAAACGCTGCCTCTCCTTGTCTCTCATCTGGAACTCTAACAGGATATCGCTGTCACTACACTGATATACTGAACGCAGAATCAAACCACACGATTAACGACACATCTTCAAGTTCTGCCATACTAAGGAGGGAACTGGCGAGGAGTAGAGCTGGGCTCGTGCCATCCCCCGTACACATGGGGCTTGATGGTAAGTGAATCGCCGTTCCCTGGGTTGTGTTCCGTTTTTCCGCGCGCGGATCAGTCCAATGTGCCCGGTCATCCGCATTTTTTGCATGCCTGCGCGTGAACGCAGAGTAGTCGAGCCTCAATCCAACGAAAACGACGTAGCGCTCTTTCAAACCGTGTCCGCTCGATCATACGCACCCCGGACGGCAGGGGTTTCTGCTAGAAACCCTCTCTATTTCTCCGTGATTTTCTGGTGGCCGGTTGCGCACGGGTGCGGCCTTCAGAAGAAGGGCCGAACAGTCTGCGAACTTATCCCGGTCGCTCTTCGGTGGACGGCGTGTGAACTCACGCACTGTTGAGGTCTGGCGTGGCCCCGGGATACGTGCCCAATAAGAGCGATACGGCATTTATCTTCGGGTCACAGCTATTCTCCATGCGTCCATACGGCCCCGTGTATACAATCGTTAAGTGCGATCACTCGTTCTGCATTGCTGTTGCACTGGATGACAGAAGAAGGCGAGGCGTTCTCCTGGTCCGAACACAGTGCCCACTGGAACCGTGCCTCCGGCACTAGGAGACGGCGTCGGGCAGCTCCACGATCCCCGGTCCCCGCGCGCGGCGGGGGAGAGGACGAACGGCTCGTGGAGATGACGTTGAGCTGAACGCGTCGCTGTTGGAGGAGTCGGCGGAGTCACTAGAGATATCCGAGGAGGCGTCGCTTGAGTCGTCGCCTCCGTCTCCGTCTGAGTCGGAGGAGTCGGCGTCGGCGTCGGCGTTGGCCACTGCGGCGTCGAGGTCGACGTCCGCGACAGGCACACCGGGGGGCGCGTCCCGCGTCCCGCGCTGCTCGAATACGCCGAGGCCGAGGTTCTGTGGGCGGACGAAATGCGATCAGAGAGACCATGGGGCCGAATGGAGCGCAGCGCACCATTTCGATGTATCCGTGCTGGGACGGCTCGAGGCTCTCAATGTCCACGCTCCCGGGGTCCTCGCGGGCACGGCGGAGCAGGTCTACGTTTGCGGCGGCTAGCTCCGGTAGGAATGCCTGTACGCGGGCGAGCACTGCGATGTGACATCCATGTGAGAAGGGGTATTGCCGAAAAAGAGAGACGTACGTTCGGAAGGAGGTGCGGGCACGAACGTCGTCCGGTCTCCAAAGTCGAACGGTGTGCGCGACGCGGGGGCAGCGGAAGGACTGGTTAAAACAGGCGCGGAGTTAAGTCGCGAGAACAGTTCCTCTAAAGGCGAACGAAGGTGAGAGGCGGCTCAGTGGTAGTCAAGACTGGCATCTTACGGATGCGTTCGTGGCGTTGTTCTTCGTCTTCGACCTCGAGCAGCTCGGTTGCAGGCTGCTTCGCGTCTCCATTCTCCATTCCGTGTGAAATAATGGTCTCTCTTGGACGTATTAGGGTGGGCGGCTGGAGCGAGCGTCCCAGACAACAAACGGGTTAAGATGAAGTTCGGGAGCAGTGAGCGCCCGTTATGAGAATTGCTGAGCTGCAGCCGCCAGAAGATAAGATAAGATCGGTTGAAATACAGGCGCCAAAAACTTCGGGGACTCGCGAAGCCCCGCAAAAATCACTCTTTTACACCATACATCTGCGCGCTAATTTTGGTACCACAGAGAATCTGTCTCACAGAAAACTTTGACTTTTCCGCTACATAGGACTGAGCAAGATCGTGATCAGTGAGTGATGACGTCACGCGACAGGCGTCAAGCTCAAGCGCCACGAACGCGTCGCGGTTCCAAATCGGGTATGCGTGGGTATCCCGCCGACTCTCAGAAGGGCCTGTTCGGCCAGGGATCACCATGTCACTTCCCCCGAGTACCCGTCTCTTTGTTCACCTTCTCACACGACGTTCACGACTTTCACGCCTACCACGACGACGGCCTCCGGAGGCTTCCTGGCTCTCGATACCCCTTGGTTGCGCGAGTTTCGGTCAAGCTCCCTGGTTTCAAGCCGGCGTTGACGAGCAGGACGAATGCCGCCTACCGAGGAGAACATGATGCTGCCCACCTCTCCTGATGAAAGCGATGCGGCGAAGGCCCTCTCTGAGCGACCTGCGACTCCGGAACGTTCAAACTCGGTCCCTTTTCCTTCGACGCCTGAAGAACAGAAACTGAGAGGTCGGTATATGCTGGCTATATGCGCTTTCTGGCGGCACTGACTTAAAGACAGAGTCTCAGTCGACCACATCTAACCTCACGAGCTCGGACAAGCTCACCGAGCTCCCCTCGCAGTCGTCTCAGCCGATGTATGAGCGCATGCGCACTCCCACCAATCGAACTATCCGTCGCAGTATGGACCCGACTGGCTCCCTCACATCTCTTGACTCGGCCTCGAACAGTTTGCGATTGCAACCCCTTCCTGGACCCATACGGCAAAGCGAGTCGGATTCATCGGTTATGGGGAGGGAGACGCCGAGGTTGAAGAACGAGAGCGAGCGGTCGTTACCTACTGCTGCGTCGAGGCAACGTGAGTTATAGGTCTTCTCCCCTTCGTCATCGCGTATAGACCGCGATGCACTGATCGGACTGTCCAGTGCCTCTTGGGGGTCGTGCCAACTACAGTGATTCTGCCGTCGGCTCACCATCCCTTCGATCGCGAGACAACTCTACGCGGGGACAAGCTTCCAGGCAGTCTTCCCCTCCGTTGAACCAGGGCAGAGGAAGAGGGAATAGCATCGGTGGTCGCCCGCCAAGTCACAATCTCTCTCCTTTCCATAACAAAGAGGCCTTTCCGACTCCACCGTCTCGCTCCCCTGCTCAGTCTCGTGCTGCATCGCCTCTTCGTATCTTGCAAGGATGGAACTTGAACCGCACGCATACCCGAGATGAGCCTTTCGTTCTTGCCGATCCCTTCAATTCGCACATCCGCTGGTTTGGCATCGGTCGCCGCGAACACTCCCCGTCTAACCGACGCTCCGACGAGACGAAGGCCAACCTGGTTTGCAACCCGCTGCCATTCTCCATCCCTTGTTTGTGCGGGCCTCGTAAGCACAAGGACGACGAAGAAGCCCCAGTGACCACCGCGAAGAAGAGTCCTCAATGGCATCTCTACGTCAACCATACCATCCTCTTCTGCACGTATATCCTCCCGAGGCGATTATATCTCTATTCGCTTCTTCATCTCCCCGCTCTCTACTGGCAACGTGTGGCCCGGATCTTTGAGGATGCGGAAGTCAGCCGACATGAAGTGCAGCGGCTGGTCGACGCGTGCGGCGACGTCGCGATGGCCTCAACCGTGGATGCGGCGCTCGCCAGTGGATATGCAACGCCTCCACAAGGGGTTCATCGAGCGCTCTCGCGGGGGATACCATTCCCTGAAGAATGGGAGCCTCCGGTTGTTTCACCTGCGCTGGCGCGTTTCAAGATATCCTGGGAGCAGTTCATTGATAGCTTGTTGAGAGAGTGGAAGACCTTGAACCTGGTTTCTGCATTGCTGCTCGCGTAAGTTATTTGTCTTTCAGATGCCTGCATAGGGACTGATCTTTACTGTAGAACTATACTCACTATCTTCCAGATACAGGACGCCGCGAACGACCCTCTCACTCGATGGGCTTCCCTTATGTCCCTTGTATTCGCAATCTGGAGTCTATGTTACGGATGCGTCTACATCGTTCAGTTCAATACCATGCGGTCTATGGATAAAGCTTCACGATGGGCCGAGGTATGTCAGATGTCCCCATTCTTGACAATTACTCTTCTGACCGTTGTCTTTAGGAAGCCCAACGCACACGAGCAGCGGTGTTCTGGAACATCTGGGTCCTCCTCGCGACTCCCGTCGTCTGGCTCGCCTGGTCAATGATCGCATTCTGCATCGCCATCCTCTCCTTCATCTGGCGCACCGGCTCCACGAACCAGACCAACGGGTACCCGCCACTCACCCCCGAGCAGGCGCTCGGCCCGCGCGTCGCGATCTCCGCCGTCTTCCTCCTCGGCCTGTTCAACTTCTGGATGATCCTCCGCTCTTTCAGCAGGTACACGCACACCTCTGTCAGGCGCGACCGCCGAAGCCGCTTCGGGCGCGGGGACCGCGACGACGAGCGCGGGCGCGGGCGGGTACGCAACGAGGACCGCGACCGGATGCACGGCAAGGTCGTCGCGGCGCCCGAGCCCCGCAACGCGGTGGGGAGCATCGGGCTCGGGCTCGGGCTGTCAGGCCTCGGCGGCGAGGCTGGGAGCAAGCAGGGGTCGCCCGCGACGGGCGGCGTCATCCTCGAGAACGTTGACCTCGAGAAGGGCGAGGCGGTCTACTTGGCGGGGGACAGGCTGGCGGGTGGGCAGTTGCCGCGAGTATCGCCGAAGCTGTGACGCCTGTGGGGGTGCGTGCCTTTGCTCCTGCTGCGCGCGCAGCGTGTGTGGGCCCTGGTGCTGACGCGCTCGCTGGTTACACATAGGCGGAGGCGGACTGGGTCGTTGCGCTCGGGCAAAGCTCCCGAGGGTTTTTTCTGCGGTTCACGGCGGACGCGGACGCTCACACTCAAGCACGGTTCGCGGGCTTCGGGCCCATGTCGTTATGTTATCGATCACTTGGCACGATGCAAATACTAGCACCTCGCACACGGACTCTGTGCGCAGATTGTTGTGAGCATGCGCATACGCCCACTCAGCCGTGCGCGTCGGGTCCCGGGTGGCCTCCACTGGGCTTGGCGCAGCAAAAACAACAGCGAGTTGGTCAGCGCGGCTGCATTTCAAGTTATATCCGCTCGTCAACCGCTCGCCGCTCGGCTCTCCGTGTCCGTTAGGCTTTCGTTGGGAACGCGATGCCCGTAAGAGTTGCTGTTTGATTGGAGCTGAAGGTGAGTGGCGCCACTAGTGCAAGGCAGTCGACTTGAGCTCATTCTTTCAAAAATTCCAGTTGTCGTGCGGGCTTATAGTCTGCGGGCAAACTTCGCATTAACCATACCAGAGCATCGGACGATCGATGACGACATGTCACGGGACTCTTTATCTTCTTCCTTGTTCCCTGCAAGGCACTAGGCCGATGGCTTACGTCGCTCCGCAGCACACGCCTGGCCGTATGCCCCGTATTGCACGCGCAAAGTGTTCAACACGCCAGCACGAGACACCCTCGATCAAGCCGAGATTTCCCACCAAGCACGCGCACACGACGAGTCCCACACCGCTAATGTACAGCCAAGCAGGCCGAGCATCACCCAACAAGCGTGGCGGACCCACACCTGTCAAACTCTACGCCGCCCGTCCTCGTCGTCGGCCGCGTCCACGGACCACGGTCCGTGCCAAGTGCGCGGGCGGGGGCTGTTGGGTGCCCTTCGGTCGCGGGGAGGCTCGGATGCGGACCCTCTCGCTCCAGTCTCCGACCTTCTGGCTTGGGGTTCGTCGCTGGGCTTGGCCTCCGCATCCCCTCCCGCATGCGCGCTGCTCACACGACCCCACCGCAGGGTGGGCGGCCAAGCAGAGGTGACGGGCCTGGGAGTGCGCAGCGGGCGGGGCTTGGGGCGTGCTGTCCCGCGGATCGTCGGCATGCCCAGCAGGTACGGGTCCTGTTTCTGGAACGCGGACGCAGGTCCGATCCAAGTGGCCTCTGTGCGCGGGGTCAGCGAGTGCCTAGCGTCCTCGAGCGAACCTTGCCGCGCGCGTGTGGTGGCGGTGTCAAAGCTTACCGGTGAGGTGCTAGCGCAAAGTTTTAGAGTGTTTGTCTGTTAACCACGATCCCTGTTCTCTCCGCGCAGCGCGGTGCAACGTCCTCCCGGTCCAGGATCTCGTGCAACGGAAACAGGCGCGGAGCCGTTCGCGTCTTTCGGAGCACGCCCCCGAATGCGCTCGAACAGCTTCACAAACGCGCCACACTCCCGCCGTGGGAAGCCCCCGACCTGCAGCCCCGCCGTTCCCACAGGCGCGAAATCCCACCGAGGACCCGCAGCGGGAATCTTCTGCAGCCTTTGGGCGGCCAAGCGGTTGCGTGCTCGTGCGTGTCCTTCCATCCGTCCGTTTGCGACACTGATCCCGATGCTCAGCAGAGCGTGCGTTGCCTTTCGTGGGCCGCATCTACGCCCAGCTCCCATGCCGGGTGCATTTGTCGCCTACGCTCGGGTCTCTTCCAGACAGTTTCAAGCACCGCGCAGACGGATGGCTCTCACCGACACCTCCCGCCCATTCGGCTGGGGCGTCCGCCGCGACGGTTCGCGCAAGACCTTAGGAGTGAATGGCACGGCACTACGTCGCTGACCGCATGCGTTTCCTACGGCTCCTTGAGAGAACGCGCGGGGAGCATGGAGCGTTGAGTAGAGAGGCGAGTAAGTGACGAGACTTTTCGGACGCACTAAAATTAGTGGCTGACCGAGGGCTTCCCACAGGCCCGCCAAGAGCGCAGGATGGAGCGGGAGGTTGCTGTGAGCTCGTCTCCGTCGCGCCTGTCTGCGTCGCGGTTCTCAGTGCCAAGCAGATGAGGGGCTGCTACCCCTGTACGCATACCGCGTTGGCGCAGGCGCTGCGCGGATGCCGATTGAATCAACATCGCGCCTCCTCTGGGACGAGAGGTATAAAGGGCAGGGGGCGGGGCTCGGTGGTCCTTCAGCCTCTCAGCTCCAGCTCGAGTCCTCTCTACCACTGCCGCCTTCCAAGCCGTCCACGCTCCAACCAGCGACTTCTACGCTCTTCTTCACCTTCACAAGCTCTACTCCTTAAGCAAACATGCAGTTCAAGAAGAACTTCCTCCTCTTCGTCGTCGCCGCGGTCATCTCCTCGGCTTCTGCCATCCCGGTGAGCTCCCTTGCGCCATGGGTTGCGGCGGCGTCATGCTTACCGAGCATCTGCAGGTCCCGGCTAGTGTCACCGGCCTTGCTCCCATCTCGGACTTGGCTGGCAAGATCGACGTGGTCGACGTCCCGTTCCGCGGACGGTCCACGGAGATTGTCAAGGTGTGCAATATTCTTCTCTACCCAGCCTAAGAAGAGTGTACTTATGAACGCCATCGCAGCTCGGTGCCCGCCGCCACGGCGACTCGCAGAACCGCGGCGATAGCCACGGCCGCCGCGAGGTACTAAGATTCCTGGCGCTGGGCGCATACGCAAAGGCTAATCGAGTTCGATGCTCACAGCTCGAGGCCCGCCGCCACGGCGACTCGCAGAACCGTGGTGACAGCCACGGCCGTCGCGAGGTAAGCACGAGAGCTCGCTTGTGGGCGCATGAGAGCTAAGTTCGTCGCACAGCTCGAGGCTCGCCGTCACGGCGACTCGCAGAACCGCGGCGACAGTCACGCCCGCCGCGGGGTAAGCTTCTCTGCTCACTTGTGGGCTCATGAAGGGTGACCAAGTTCGTTGCACAGCTCGAGGCTCGCCGTCACGGCGACTCGCAGAACCGTGGTGACAGCCACAGCCGACGCGAGGTGAGCTTGCGGGTTCACTTTTGGGTGCATGCGCAAAAGCTCATTGAGTTCGATGCGCGCAGCTCGGTGCCCGCCGTCACGGCGACTCGCAGAACCGCAGTAACAGCCACAGCCGCCGCGAGGTAAGTATCCGGGCTCGCTTGTAGGCGCACAGTGAGAACTAAGTTCGTTGCACAGCTCGGTGCCCGCCGCCACGGCGACTCGCAAAACCGCGGTGACAGCCACAGCCGCCGCGAGGTGAGCTTCCGAGCTCACTTATCGGATCATAAAAGCTGATCAAGTTCGTTACGCAGCTTGGTGCCCGCCGCCACGGCGACTCGCAGAACCGTGGTAACAGTCACAGCCGCCGCGAGGTAAGATTCCGGGCTATGGGCGCATGCGCAAAGGCTAATCAAGTTCGTTACGCAGCTCGGTGCCCGCCGCCACGGCGACTCGCGAAACCGCGGTGATAGCCACAGTCGCCGCGAGGTAAGCTTCCGGACCCGCTTGTGGGCGCATGAAAGCTAATCAAGTTCGTCTTACAGCTTGAGGCTCGCCGCCACGGCTCGGGTTCTCGCAACCGCGGAAACAGCCACTCTCGTCGCGATGTGGGTAATCTCTTTAGTTTGAAGCCGAGTGGTCTTTGCTAACTTCCCCTATAGCTCGAGGCTCGCCGCCACGGCTCAGGGTCTCGCAACCGCGGAAACAGCCACACCCGCCGTGACGTGAGTAGTTGATATGTCGCAGATGCCAGGCCGTCGCTCACGCTCTTCTGTGTACTAGCTTGAGGCTCGTCGCCACGGCTCGGGCTCCCGTGGCCGCGGCAACAGCCACAGTCGTCGCGACGTAAGTTTGCCCTCCATTACTTTTGAACACAAACTGAGGGCATCGTATCTCTAGCTTGAGGCCCGCCGCCACGGCTCTGGTTCCCGCAACCGCGGAAACAGCCACTCTCGTCGTGATGTGAGTAATCTTTCTAGTTTGAAGTCGAGTGGTCTTGTTAACTTCCCCTATAGCTCGAGGCCCGCCGTCACGGCTCTGGTTCTCGTGGCCGCGGCAACAGCCACTCTCGCCGTGATGTAGGCAATCTCTAGCCGGGCATTGAACAGTCCTTGCTTACTCTCTCCATAGCTTGAGGCCCGCCGTCACGGTTCTGGTTCCCGCAACCGCGGAAACAGCCACTCTCGTCGTGATGTGAGTAATCTTTCTGGTTTGAAGTCGAGTGATTTTGTTAACTTCCCCTATAGCTTGAGGCCCGCCGCCACGGCTCTGGTTCCCGTGGCCGCGGCAACAGCCACTCTCGCCGTGATGTAAGCAACCCCGAGCCTGATATCGAACAGTCCTCGTTTACTCTCGCCACAGCTCGAGGCCCGCCGTCACGGTTCTGGTTCCCGCGGCCGTGGCAACAGTCACTCCCGTCGCGATGTGGGTGGTATATCTTGTTTAAGGCCGAATTTTGCTGACCTATTTCACAGCTCGAGGCTCGCCGTCACGGTTCTGGCTCACGCGGCCGCGGTGACAGCCGCAGCCGTCGCACTGTGAGTAAACCCAGCACTTGACTCGGCATAGTTGTGACCTGATCTCCCCATAGCTCGAGGCTCGCCGCCACGGTTCTGGCTCCCGCGGTCGTGGCGACAGCCGGTCTCGTCGTGATGTGAGTTGTGTATGGGCCCTTGGCCACCCTCATCTAACCACCGGGTTCCCACAGCTTGAGGCACGCCGTCATGGTTCCGGCTCCCGGGGCCGCGGTGACAGTCGCTCCCGCCGCGGAGTAAGCGCACCAGTACCCTCCACAGCCCATTTCTCCTGACTTCCCGTTTTCCAGCTCGAGGCTCGCCGACACGGCTCGAACTCGCGCGACCGCAAGTGAGCGCGGCGAGAACGACACTCGGCACAGCTTGCGGCTCCTGCCCCAGCGCACGGCGACGAAAAAACGGCATCTTCTACGACCTCGGTCCCGGTTAACGTATCCACGGCCTCGAACGCTCTCCTCACGTACTCTCGTGCGCTCGTCTCTCCCTTCCCCCCTCCGTCCTTTTGGTGCGTCGCTACCTGCCTCATAAACGGGCAAATCAATCGGGGCGGCACGTCGGGGCTCGGTAGGGGAATCTGTACTTCATAGCTGTAAATGGCTTCCCTTGGTCTCGGCTCCTATCGCTCTGAACTGTCCTGTGTTGTTGTACGCTAGCACCGGTCGCGCCGAGTTCTCCGATTACGGTTCTCGGTTAGGCATGGTGATGCACTCGTGTACTTGTAGTCCCAGAAAGCGATACGAAGTGACAATGGCATGTGATTGGTTGGATGCAATTCTTCCTCGCGCTTTTACTTGCAGCCCTATCGAGGACAATTTGGCTTTCAGCCTTTGGGCCTCATTGGCTTCCGGATGGGATGAAGACAGTCGACAATCGATCAGGCTCATTATAAGTGGCGTTGCCATCTAGTGCAGGTAGTCTCTACGAGACATGAAGAGACTTAGTACTCTCCACCACCAAACAGCCGATGACGCACAGTACAGAGATCGGTCTTCCACGAAGCCCGTCATCATCATAGCAGATAAAGCCGACAAGCGGGGCATATACGGGCTACCAAGAAGGACGAGCACGTACAAAATACATCATTACGCATTGATCCGCGCGAACAAGTCAAGTCTATGCCGGAGCCCTCCACGAACCTCCAACCTCCTAGTGCTCCATGCTCAAGCGACGTCGCCGCACCCTTCAACGTGTCTCTCCAGCGCGTCTCCCTCCGGACGTCAGTCTACGTCGTCCATCCCATCGGGCTGCCAGCCGAAGAACCCATCCTGAGGCGGCGGCGGGCCGTTGAACAGCCCCGCGTAGAACCCGAAGAGCCCTGCAGGCACCGCGGCGATGGGCTGGGGTGCATGTGCATGTGCATGCGCGGGGGCCGGCGGCGGCGGCGGCGCGAACGCCTGCGGCAGCGGCGCGGTCCCCTGCGTCGGGGTGACGGGCTCGAGAGGCGGCGGCGGGGTTTCCGCGCGGTCGTCCTCCACGGTGACGGGGAAGGGTCCGCCGGCGGGGTTGAGGAGGGGGTCGAAGACCGCGGCGGTGGGCATGGTGAGCGGCGTCGCGGTGCCGGGGGTGGTGGAGGTGGAGGCGGTCGCGGAAGTCGCGGGCGCGGCGCGCTTCTTCTCTGCCCGGGACGCGGAGAGCTTGCGGCGCTGGACCTTGGCGAAGGCGCAGAGGGCGTCCATGGCGTCGACGAGGTACTGCTTGCTGGGCTTGTCCGCGAGACTGGAAAAGGAGCGTCAGAGACATAACGACGTCGCTGCATCACACGACGCACCGGCCCGCCATCTCCTCGACGACGTCCGCGGCGCGTAGCCACGGCATGGTCTTGACGAGCTCCTTGTACACCTTCAGCGCGACTTGCGGACCGCCCGGAAGTTGTACTGCAGTGTCTGCCCAGCCTTCGAAGCGCTGCTTCAGTCGAGGACGGAACTCGTCGCGGAGATCTTCGGTGTCGGGGTCGTTCGGGTCGATGTCTAGATACCCTAGCATGTCCCCATCATCTGTACCATCGAGGGCCGGGACGAACATGCCCATGACCATAGCCGCGAGCGCAAGAGGGTTGGCGTGCTGGGCGCCCGGAGTCGAGATGTTGTCAACCCAATGCTCGATGCGATCTTGGCGGCCAGGTGCGGAAGACCGGAGCTTGAGGATCGCCTCGAGTTCGACGCGGTTCTCCTGCATGTCGACAAGGGCGAAAGGGCCCGACAGCGCAGCCCGTACGGCCCGCGCAGTGTCTAGCATCTCCTTCTCTACCATCTCCAGCGCGCGGGGTTGATGCACAGGATCATTGGCGAGGGAAAGGATGGCACCTTGAAAGGCCACAGCGTCGCGGGGGCGTAGGAGGTGGGAATGGGTATTCAGTAGTGAGATGAGTTGGGCACGGTTGCCTTCCAACGAGTGGATGTCAATCGCGGCGGCGAAGGCTTCTGGGCAAGATGTAGCATAGTCGGCGAGCCAACGCATGAGCTCGGAGGAAGTGGTGTCGGGGTCATTGGAGCTTGCAACGAGCGAAGAGTACAGGCGGAGGGAGGGGTTGACCTTGAACACAGTCATCATAGCAGCATGAACATGTTGTCGAAACTGAGGCATCTTCATGCTGATGCGGGGGGACCAATGCTTCGCATGAGAGGGTGATGACTTAGGCTGGATTGGATACGGCAACCAGTTGTCCAGCCCATTGACCGGATCGTCCAGGTCGCTGTCTTCGTCCGTGTAGGCGTCCTCATCGTCCTCGTCGGAGTACGAGTCTTCAAAAATCTCATCCGGATCATCGACATCGTGGGGACCTGCACACGCCGTGAGCAACCCGGAATGGTGCACATAATATGAGTACGCACATTTCCGACCACCATACAACAGCCGCTCCAAAGCCGTCCATCCCAAAACATCCTCAATCTCATCAAGCATCTCCGGGATCTTGCTGATGAAGCGTTGGTTTCCCGTGGCCAGGAGACTGAGGAAGAGGTCGCGCCATATGAAGTGAAGTACTTCGTCGATGTTATGCGCCCCGTTGACATTCCAAGATTTGATGACCTTGGATGTTCGGGTCTTGAGCGCGATCGGAACATACATGCTGGAAAAGGCGCAACGACAGCTGAGCGTGTGTCAGTCTCCTGAGACGGAAAGGGATAGGAAATTAAGAGTGAGTGGTTGAGGAGACGAAACAATACGATGCATGTACGGGAATACGCAAGGGAATATCCCAGTGTATTCACGTCCTCGACCGGAACGAACCAGCATTGCCTCATGAATCACAAGGGAAGAGGAAGGAAATACTCGTGAAAAACCGATGGTGTACGAGTCCCGCAAACCAAAGACCTAGAATAGCCGTGAGACTCACCTCGCACGCCCGTGTCCCACTTGATAGAGGGTGTTCACGGTGAACAGCAGACATCGATGCGCGAGCATAAAGTCGACGTTATGCTCGTAAACGACCCTCCAGATGTCGTTGAGCCAGGATGTCACGCTCTCAACCGTCTCCTCGAGGAGCTCTGCGCGATGTGAGCGCTCCTTGATGAAAGACCGCTTGGAGTCGCGATGGAGCTCGTCGAGGAGGGAGTTGACTTCTCGCTTCTTGGCCTTAATGTCGAGAACAGGAATGTTCGCGTGCCGTCGCTTCATCCTGGAGGCGCTTTTGAGAATCTTCCTCTTTTTGCTCTGGCTCGTTGAGTCCAAAAGAGGGATCAATTGCTTCTGTACAATGGTATCCTGTACATCGCGAGGGAGGGCGTCGAAGACTGCCGCAAATCTGATACAAGAGAGCCATTCGATCAGAGCAGTGGGGCGAGTATATGCGGCAAAGACTCGTACTTCGCACTAGGAAGAGCCATGCTCCAGCGCACAATATGCTTTGAGGTAAACGGAGGGACGAGGAGGAATGGTACGGCGAAACGGAAGACGAGGAGAGTGGGGAACGGAGGCAAGGGGCAGTGTGACGAAGGTCACGCGCTCGTCGCCGGCTTTGGCGCGGTCGGTGACGCGCTGTGACGTCACGCGTTGACGCGCTGTGGTAGACGCGTCGCACTAGTGCTTGACGCGACGCCGCACGCGCGACCACCAGCCACCTTCCCCTCGTCATTGATACTCGTCTCTGTCGCTCTGCTTACAGCGTTCTACGATGTCCAGCAAGGCAAAAGTTCCTGTCAAGTCTCATGGGAGCGATATCCGCGGGTTCTTTGCCAAGGGCTCAGGCTCAAGTACACCGCAGCCATCTAGGGGCCCAGTGAGTAGTTTCCTGCCTCACACGTCGGAAATATGTACTGACGCTAGCACAGGCCGCTGGAAAGCTGAAAACCTTGGCCATCGATATCAGTGAGTCATTGCGCGTCAGCGACCATGAGAGCGCTATTTGACTGTTCCGGAAACAAGGCGAAGATGAGGGCGAGAGGTGGGTGCGCACTGCGTTCGTTGCCCTCCCTCACGCTTAAAATGATAATCAGCTCGAAGAAAAAGCCCGGTGTAGCGTATGTCGAAAGTCCACGAGGTTCTGGAGCCATGTTTCCTGATACCGTTATGGATGTGTCCGTAGGAAGCCAACTAAGGCAACCCCTTCCAAACCCGCTCCTGCGAAGCCTACCCCTGCAAAACCCGGTCCCTCTGTGAGTCATCCGGAACACCCAATACAGATCCTCCAAGCTAATCTCTTACTCCAGAAGACCCGGAGCGAACGGGCGATGGAGGTGGACAGCGATAGCGACGTTCCGAAACGCACTGCCCCGAAGCGGAAAGCCAGAGTCGTTGAGAGCAGTGACGAGGACGAAGAGACTGGTACGCCCCCAAAGAAGAAGCAGGTCGTGTCTGCAGTCCCGCCCCCGAAGCCCCGCCCAAGCACGTCCGAGCCCAAACAGCAGCCCGCCGCCCGCCGCCCGCTGAGTCCTCGCAAGGCAGTCGCCGCAGCCACCGCACGCAAGAAGAAGGCACAAGACGATGATTTCATCGTCTCGGACGACCACGTGGACGATGACGACGATCAGGACGATGACTTCGAGATGGACGACGAAGAAGAGGGCTCGAAGAAGAGCAAAAGCAAGACCAAGCCCCCCGCGAAGAAACCCCCGGCGAAGGCTGTTCCGGCTAAGTCTACTGCTGCAAAAGCCACTCCTACGAAGTCCGCGCCTGCCAAAAAGAAGACGGAAGAGAAGAAGCCAGCCAAACCCGCAGAGAACTCGTCTGCGAAGACGGAGGACAAGTCGGCCGCAAAGTCGGAGGGCAAGAGCGAGGAGAAGCCGGCAAAGAAGCCAAAGTGAGTCCCTCCGCCGTTTTCCAGCGCGCACAGGAGTCAACTTGCCCTCCAGTTGGATAGCGATGAAGGCGGGACGTGCCGGTCCCTCCGACCCCGGCTCAAAGGAGATCCCCATCCCCGAAGACCCGAATTGTCTAGCCGGACTATCGTTCGTCTTCACAGGCGAACTGAGCAGTCTTTCTCGCGACGAGGCTATAGAACTCGCGAAGCGCTATGGGGGCCGTGTTGTCGGGCAGCCGTCAACCAAGACATCCTACGTCGTCGTCGGATCCGATGCCGGGCCCAGTAAGCTCAAGGCGATTGAGAAGAACAAGCTCAAGACTCTCGACGAGGACGGCTTCCTAAATCTCATCGCGACGCGGAAGACGGACGAGAGCATGCTGGATGACAAGACGCGGAAGAAGATGCAGAAGGAGGACGAAGCGATCCGACAGAGTGCGAAGGAGATGGATATGCGCGAAAAGAGGGCTGCAAAGGCGGCAGCGTCTGGGTCTGCAGTGTGCGTCTCTTCCATTGTCTTATATTGCACACATGGAAATGAATGTGTGCGCCGAAATACAGATCCAAGCCAGACCTCGGCAGCCAGCTCTGGACAGACCGCTATGCGCCACAGTCTCTTAAGGAGATCTGCGGCAACAAAGGGCAGATTGAGAAGCTTCAAGGTTGGTTGAACGCCTTCGCGGCGAGCATGAAGTCGGACTTCAAGAAACCGGGCAAAGACGCCATGGGTATCTTCCGCGCAGTCATGATCACCGGTCCTCCAGGGATCGGGAAGACGACGAGTGCGCACTTGTGCGCGAAGCTGGCTGGCTACACCCCTATCGAGCTCAACGCTAGCGACGCGCGAAGCAAGAAGCTCGTAGAGAACAGCACCAACATCATGAACACCTCGCTGGATGGGTGGATGGGAGGCGGCACGGTAAGCATCCCTGTCTGCCTGCATTTGACTTGCCCTCACTCCCATACAGAAGACAAACGCCGCCGGCGTCGCGATCACGGAAAAATCGTGTCTGATCATGGACGAGGTCGACGGAATGTCGGCCGGAGACCGTGGCGGCGTCGTCGCCCTCGTCGCCCTGATCAAGAAGAGCAAGGTCCCGATCATCTGCATCGCGAACGACCGCGGCGCGCAGAAGCTGAAGCCGCTCACCGCGTCGACGTTCAACCTCACCTTCAAACGGCCCGAGGCCGCCGCGATCCGCTCCCGCATCCTGAGCATCGCGTTCAAGGAGAAGATGAAGATCCCCGCGAACGTCATCGACCAGCTCGTGCAGGGCGCACAGTCGGACATCCGGCAGGTGCTCAACATGCTCGCGACCTGGCGGCTGTCGAGCGCGAGCATGGACTTCGACGAGGGCAAGGCGATGGTGAAGATGAACGAGAAGTACGCGGTCATGACGCCGTTCGGGGTGATCAACAAGATGCTCGGCCCGCAGATGTTCTCGCCCACGGCGCGGGAGACGCTCGGGGACAAGATGGAGCTGTACTTCCACGACCCGTCGTTCGTCCCGCTGTTCATGCAGGAGAACTACCTCAAGACCCAGCCGCACCGTGTCCGGAACGTGGAAGGGCCCGAGAAGACGCTCAAGCACCTCGAGCTCATGGACAAGGCGGCGCGCTCGCTCTCGGACTCCGACATCGTGGACAGTCTGATTCACGGGTGCGTCCCATCCCGCTGCGCGGCGCCCGCCTTCTCGTGCTGAAAACTCCGCAGGCCGAACCAGTACTGGTCGCTGATGCCTCTCCACGCCGTATGCTCGACTGTCCGACCGGCCTCCTTCCTATACGGCATGGGCGCCGGGTACGGCGGCCCCAACGCCATGTCCTTCCCGCAGTACGTACAACCTCCGTCGCGACCGTTCATGTGGCGCGGAACTCACTCGCGCGCTCGCCGGTCAGATGGCTCGGCCAGAACTCGAAGCAGAACTCGCTCCAGCGGCAGCTCACCGACATCCAGGCGCGCATGCGCCTGAGGGTCTCCGGGGACAAGTCCGAGATCCGCCAGAGCTACATCCCCGCGCTCTTCCCGCACCTCGTGCAGCCGCTGATGGAGAAAGGCGCGGTACGTCCCCCCTCGCGTGTCCCTCCCCCTACCGAGTTCGAGCTGACCTGCTGCTGCCCCTCTGCCCCCTGCTAGAGCGCGGTGGACGACACGATCGAGTTCATGGACGGGTACTTCATCTCGCACGACGACTGGGACACGCTCGTCAAGCTCGGCGTCGGCGCGCAGGCCGAGGCGGCGGTGCTCAAGCAGATCTCGACGGCGACCAAGTCCGCGTTCACGCGCAATTACAACGCGCGCGACCACCCGCTCGCGTTCCACAAGGCGGAGGCGCTCGGCAAGCCGCCCAAGAGGCTCGCCGCGGCGGGCGCGGCGCCGGACCTGGAGGAGGCGTTCGACGTGGAGGACGAAGTGCCGGCAGATGAGGAGAAGGAGGAGGCGGACGACGGCCTAGATAACGATAAGCTCATCAAGGCGTCGAAGGGGAAGGGGAAGGGCAAGGCGGTGGCAGTGGTGGCGAAGGGGAAGGGGAAAGTCACGAAGAAGTGAGGGCTGCGCTGGTTGAGTTCGCTCGTCATCATAGGACATCTCGCTATCGCTTGTTTTGTGTGTTATGTACATTCGTATAGTTGGCTAGCGCATCTAGAATTCGTACTCTATGCCTTCGCCTTTCGTTTAGGCCGACGACGGCTCCGCTGCGCAGGTTCAGGTTGGACGCGCGAGATCTCAACGCAGATTCGTTGCAGCTCCTCGTCGTAGCCAACGCACTTCATTGTCCACGCCCGGATGCGCTGCAGAGAGCATTCCATGTCAGCAGCGTCCCGCATGCACAAACACACTGATCAGTGATCACCTCTAGGCCATCATCGAATGCGGCGGCCACTTGATCTTGCGTGACATCCCTGAAGAGCCCCTTCGCATTGTCCATCTCGGCGCGGGTCGGCTCTCTCCCAAGAGAGCCCCGCAGGCTGATGCGAGCACGAATGAACGACCCCCAGTTCTGCTTCGCGATCCCAGAGCTCCACCTGTTGCGAACCTAGCGGTACATGAGCACGTGAGCCTGAGCGGCCTCCAAAACCACGGTCCGACAAGTGAAGCGATTGGCTCACCCCCTGTTTCAACTGCCGCCACTTGTCCACTGAGAGCACGCTGGACGACGTATCCACGTAGTCGCCCATGTACTGCCACTTGTTCGCGTTGAGGCGAACGAACAGCGCCTGTCTCCGAAGAGACGGCGCGTCATCGGAGTACGCCACCGTGCCGAAGGAGAGGCCGGGGAACCCAGGGCGGGTCGGAGCGTGGGGGTTGTACATCAGGCTGAGGCACGCGAAGTTGCTGCGGCCGTGCTGGGCGAGGAGCGCGGCGCGGGGGACGGGATACGTGTCCTGAGGGTTGCCCCCGAAGCGCGCCGAGAGCTGGTAGCGGGTGACGGTGACGTCGCGGATCTCGTCGGGGACGTCGACGGGGAGGGGCTCGATCGCGTCGGGGTCGAGGACGTCGAGGATGGCGTCCTCGTCGAAGAGCTCTTCTCTTTTGACCTTGATGTCCCGGGGAGGCTGCACAAGAGCGGGGTCAGTTTGAACTTTGACATCCTCGAGGGAAACGAGACGTGTGCACGAACATTCGCGAGACGGGCCACCGCCTCGGCCTCCAGCCGTGTCAGGCTGTCGGGGTCGCGCTTGAGTTTGATGACTGGCTTGGTGTCGACCTCGGTTTCGTCGTTCAGTGAATCAGGGTATGAGTGGTCGTCGACGATGTTCTGTACCTCCGGTGACCTGGCGTCGGAGTGCGTGGGCTTGACGTCACCACCGGCCTCTTCACGCTTCATGTGCAACCCTGAGAAGAACGCCTCGTCTCCAGCCTGCAGCGCAGTGCTCAGAGGGATGTTGCCAGTGGTGGAGTCCTCGCGCTTCTGTGCGGCCGGCGGCTTGACGTCGCCAGCAGCGTCCTCACGCTTCCACGCAGGTGGTGGCTTGACATCGTCACTGGCGGAGTTCTCGTTTTTCGTGTGCAAGTAAAATGTGGCGTCCTCGCGCTTTGCAGAGTGAGAAGAGCTGGACCGCCGCTTGACAAGTTCTCGCTTGATGCGTTTGCGGCCAAGGCTCGCCGGCTTGTGCCTCGAGTCCGCGTCGTCCGACTCCGAGTCCGTGAGTTCGATGACATCATCGTACTCCCTCTTCGCCGAAGCCCGCCGACGGGCTGCTGTTTTCGCGCGCCGGTTGAGGCGTACCGTGGCCGTGAGATCCGAGTCGTCGGAGTCGCTGATCTCGACTGGGTCGCTGAGGCTTCCGTGGGCGCCGGTCAATCTGTTCGCCATCACAGGTGAGAATGTGGGTGGAGAACAAGTCTGAAAGCTGCACGGGAAACCGATCCGTGACGTCGACGCGCGTGGCCGGCGCTTCCAAATCGAACTTACGGCAACGCCACGCCAAGGCTACTAGCCTTCGTGGGACACGACATCGCTCGCTACGCAGTGCTAGCAATGTGCGCCATTCTGGACTGCAGCACTCGTACCTGCAGACGGTAGAGACGAAGATGCGAGATGGTGCCCCGCGCGAACTCTCAAGATCTCAAGCCTCAAGGAACGTGTCTCGTCGTATCTGTCATGTGATGACTAGACCACCCGGAAAGTCGTTCGCTGAATATCTCAGCTACGCCAGACCTGATCCACACCAAACTCGACCAGAGTGCCGAATCACATCCTAGAAACATGTTTTGATTGTTATAAATGCAATACGTACATGTGTGTGCGGCGGAGAAGGGGATTAGAGGAGCCACCATCCTGTTGGAGTCTAAGCGCCGAAAGTTACATTTGTCCTTGTTTGGCTCCCCTGTTCACGCCCTAAGCACTGAATTGCTCGCTGCGCTCGCAATAACCTCCCCTCCGCGCGTACGTACCCACAAGTGCGGAATGCAGCCCAGGATGTCTTCCTTCAGGAGGTTCTCGCGTTCCAGAGGCTAAACGTTTAGCAGCAGCGTCGGAGGCTGATGCCGGATCTCTGTGGCTCGGACCTCTTCCACATGGCAGCGTGTTGATGTGGGCGCGCTGGGGTGGCGGGGGAGCTTGCTATCCGACTTCTCACAGTTTGGCCGCGAGGTCGGAGAAGGTGCGGATATGGGATGGGCTGCGCGTGGACTTCTCGTCGAAAAAGCGGGGGCGATCGGAAGGACCGGGAAGCCGGAAGCGACGATATACAGCGCAAGGTGAGATGTTGAAGGTCCTCATCGGCCAGTGCGCGGGGCTCCGTCTTCACGCCCGCCTGGCTCATACGTACGCGGGGCGTGTTTTACACAGAAGCCTCCGAGTCGCCACGCGTGCCTCGCGCGTTCGACGACGTTTCCGCGCTCACTCCGGTCGCTGCTCTCTGCTGCTCCATCATTCGAACCAAGACCGTCACCGTCGTCTGTGTACCTGCTTGACGACTTCTGACTTCTCGTGGCCAGCGCGCGTGCTCTGGGAGTCCCCATCGTCGAGCACGCGTACGACCCTCCAGTGCTTCCAGCCTCGCGTCTTCACACCTGATCGCTTCCACAGCAACGCATCGTGATTCTGCCCTCCAGCCTCCCCGGGCATCTGGACGACGTCCGCATGGTATCGACAGCATCCGCCTCAGCGAAGACTTGTGGTGTTCGCGTGCAAACAAGCTCGCCCAATCCGTGGTAGAAGGTACAGCCATCGGGGAGATCGGAGCCTCGAGAAGAGCACCAACGGGCGCAGGCGTGGTCGGCGTGCGAGGGGCAGTCGTCCTCGCGCCTCGGGCGCAGGAACCGCCGTGCTGACGCAGTGCGTCCGGCAGCCGGTTTGCATGGGAGTTGGCGGCTCGGTCGCTCCGGAAATGGACACCGGACGGGTGGATCCGGAATCCGCGGTCAGGGTGCTTGCTGCGTCGACGGCGACGAGGGCCACAGTCCAAGTTGCAACCCGCCACCGGAGATCGGAAATGTGGTTCGAATGAAGATGCGTTTCGATAGAAATACAATGCGAGGTGACGGGTGCCTGCACCGAGTGTCGAAAGCTGTTGTGATAGCGTCTAAGAAAGCACTGGGACATAGCGAGACCGCAACGCAAAACGCCTGAGGGAACTCGTTAGCCGTTGATCTGCGTGAGAACGGCAAGTGGTGAAATCTGACCCTTACGAATATACAAAGCGGTCCACGACGTGCAACAGACCTGTCATGACGGCGTTGCTCATACCGTCCACTATCCTTGACACGGAAGTTTCGTTCTTGCGAATCAAGTTCCGCGACGATTTGGTTTCACCTGCGGCACGAAGCGTCTTCCACTGGTCGATGACGTCGTCAATTTGAGGGCGTGCCGTTGGGTCCTGCTGTCGCATGTTGCTGACTATTGGATCGAGAAACCCCAGATGTTGATAGACCTGAAAACGTCCATACTCCGGATAATGACGAAATCGACGCTTGCAGACGTACCTCCGTGAACTCTTCGAAGTACAGATTACCCAGAGAGAAGATGTCGACTTTGAACGCGTTGTATGGCACTGTCTCGGAAAGTTCGGGAACTTTGTTGTATTGGCCAACGTCGCCAAGTACCATAGGGGATTCTTCCTCCTTGAAGAAGCTTGCGCAGTCGAAGTCGATGTAGTAGTACTGTACGGGATGAGTTGTGCGCGAGAGGGCCTTCACTTCATACAGGGCGTCGGGGGAAGACCCCAGTCGGACGGGATGGTGGCCACCAGGATAGAGCGGATGGGCGTCCATCATCACATTCAAGGGGCATATGTCGCTGGTATGTTGGGGCTAAGCGTCTGCAGAATGTATTGTTGAGCTAGAGCTTACCGGTGCGCTATACGGTGTCTGTGGAGAAAGGATAGACCCTGTTGAGAAGGAGTTAGGGCGATTCCTAGACCGAAAGGGTATTCGTACCTCTAATGTTTGGTCAATGAAGGCGAAGAGCTCCCCCAACTTCTCCATAGGCGGGTTGTTGAAGGGCCGAAGATAGGGCATCACCATCAAGACGGTGCCAGGAACCAAAGAGTCCCGAAATACGTCTATCACGGGGACACAATGGTTCTGCGGATCTTGTAATGAGGTGACATATCGAGCGATATCAAGCTCCCACTGAAGGCGGGTTGTCTTGATGACCACGAGCTTGCCGTCTTTGCGTCGGGTAGCGTCCATGACGTTACTAGTCTGACCATCCTATCGTATCAGGAGCGGAGCGCAGGAGAGCATATTTGAAACGCACGAGAGGTGATATTGAGTCCTCGCAGTACAATGCATGGCGGTTCGTACCTTCCCAGGACGGCGTCCATCCGGGGACATAACGCGGCCTGAGCGAGTATCCACGTTCGTACAAGGCGGGTTGCCGGGCGACCCATGGCTTCTCGCGCTCTCTGAGACTGTAGGTGCCGGCCTGGATGAGACGGGCTTGACTCTCGGCCGCGCTCTGATCCAACAGAAGCGCCCAGAAGGGCAGTCTCTGAGGGGCGGCGGAGGACATCGGGGCGGATCGAGGGTCGCCTGGTGCGCGCTTCCGTTCGCCGTCGCGACAACCTCGAGGGCGAGCCGGATTCGGACATCGGTCCCGTGCTTCGGCGCTTGTATTTGGCGCTCCCTCCCAACTTCAATACACGCGGCCGGTCAGTACCGGTCAGTGCGCCTGCCCCGCGCACGCCCTTCTGATCCACGACGCACGACCCACCAGGCCGGCGGGCACTTGTCGTCCTTCGGCTGCTATGCAGCCCGCATTAAATATGTGTGATGCCCCTCCACGAGCACACACCTCGCCACTGCCCTCCGCCACTCGCGCTTCATCCTTCCTCTCGACCTCCAGCTCACCACCAGGAGACGGAGTAACAAGTGCAATTCACACCCCCTCGCTGTGACCCTTCCCTCCTCTTTCGGTCAGTTCTACCAATACCATGGCCGACTTTCCGACCGTGCTTGGAATCGTCACCGGCATCATCGGTCTCCTCGTCACTGCATTCACCATCTACGTGTGGTGCACCCCATCCACCGCCTTGATCAGCCAAGCAGAAGCGTATTGCGACGGAACAAGAGACTACCTCAAGAAGCTCTTCGCCGATGGACTTCTGGACTATGACCGAGTCGCCGAATTCTCTTCGGAAATAGCCGCGTGAGTACCTCTCCGAATGAGCGGCGCCGTCTGCAGTTACTCAGCCCGCGTGCTGTATAGCATCGAGAATGCGATATTGGAGCTGCGAGGCGAATCGGCTGTCCGCCGTTGGTGGTGGAGCTACGTGCTCTTCTGGATGGCCACCTTTTCCATCATGCGACAAAAGTGTGCCCAGTTGGATGCGATTCGAGCCGACATCGCGGTACGCATTGGTGCATCCTGAAGGGTGACGACGTCTCACTCCAAGTATCCAGCTTCGTGCATCTGCAACTCGCAAGGCGCTCCGCCAGCGCCTCGGCGGGGCAGCCGACCCAGAACGGTCCCATGTTTTTCCAAACTGTCAGTGCACTATTGCGGTTTTTGCGCAATTATTAGGCTGACTCTTTACCCTCAGGGTTAGCGAATGGGGATCTCAAAGTCCTCGACGTCGACGCTGGGAAGAGTTCTGTCTTAGCAACCAATGATGCCGTCCTCGAAAAGCTGGAATGCGGCACACTCGCCTCATCGTTCGCCGTGGAGAGCTCAGCAGTATCTCGCCCCCGCAAATTCACCTTTATGAAGGTGAATCTCAAGCGCTACTGGTTCACAGTACGCGCCCGGCTCGGCACGCCACGCACGAGCAAGCCCGCATTCAGCCCATCCGGCGGGGTCGAGAAGAGATACAATGCTCGACGATTCACCAACACCACACTCGTTGAAACCCTTGATGATGTGGCTGAGAAGCAGAAGGGCAGTGCTATGTCGCCGCCTTCGCGATCGTCCCCGTACGTAGACATCAAAGCCCCTCCCGGTGTTCCTCCGCCACCCTTATCTCTCCCAGCCTCCCCGACGCCACCCCCCATATCCCCTTCGTCGCCCTCTCGAGCACCTTCTTCCCGTACACAACCGCCTTCGCCGCCGTCATGCACGGAGTCGTGATTCCCTGGCAATAGCCTATCATCGCGTCCTATCGTCACTCAAGGCCGGTCTTGTACCTGTATGTCCCCACCGGTCCAACTTCTCCGCATCGCGCTCTTCACCCCTAGACTCCGCGCCGCCGTGGTCGCGTCGATCGTCCCCGAAGATACCCTATCCGCGCTGGCCGTTCTTGGCCGCATGAGCACGCCTTGAACCATCTCCGCATGACCTCCCACTCAACCCGGTCTCGTCATCTCCTTATCTTCACCGGCAACCCGTCTCCCCGCATTGCGCTGCTCCGTCCCGCTTGTTCCGTCTTCCCTTGTCCGCAAGTGTTGTAGTATTTATACTTGTTGTCGCTTCCGCTGTCCTTTGCTCTGCATCCGTCAATGATCCTGTATAGTAGACCGTAGTATCTTGCGCAACGTGTAACTGGGTTCGGCGATGCTGCACGCGAACGCTCTGGCGGCGAAAGATGCGCAGAGGACGGCCAGCCTCTGGCGTCCAGTGCGGGCTCCTTCGTGCGACCGCACCTGGGCCCCGACCAGTTGGCAGTGCCGCCCGACGTGCCGCGAGGGAGTCGCGCGGCGCAAAACATCTCACGAGCACCCACAAACCACTAGCCGAGACAGGCCCGCTCCGGCCAGACGGCACATACATCATCTGAGAGCCTCGCGGTCCCCCGCCGTGCCCCGTCCTCGTTACTAGGGCAGCCCCGTTGAGCTGCGGGCGAGGCCTCGCGCACCGTGCAGGCTCGCATGAGAGACCGTCAGCGGGCACGTTCCTGAAACGCCCGCGCCAAAAGCCCTCGAAGGAAGCGGGGCGGTGCATGGGCGCACACTGAAAAGGCTTCATTCCCGGCGGTGGACCGGGCCTCGAGCCCTGGGAGGTCGTGGGAATGTGTGCAATTCCCGCCGTCCGCCGCACAGAGCGGGGACAGCTTCCGCATGCGCAGCGGCATCAGCGGGAGACGGGGGTCAAGGGTGCTTGACGGATCCGTCGGACGAGAGCTGGAGTCTGAGGGATCGTCGATGCTCCCTTGAGCTACCGGCCTCTTCACAGCCACTGCACCGACTGACAGTGACTGAGGGTCTCCGGGGACAAGTCCGAGATCCGCCAGAGCTACATCCCCGCGCTGTTCCCGCACCTCGTGCAGCCGCTGATGGAGAAAGGCGCGGTACGTCCCCCCTCCTATCCCTCCCCCACGGAGTTCGAGCTGACCCGCCTCCGCCCCTCCGCTCCCTGCCAGAGCGCGGTGGACGACACGATCGCGTTCATGGACGAGTACTTCATCTCGCACGACGACTGGGACACGCTCGTCAAGCTCGGCGTCGGCGCGCAGGCCGAGGCGGCGGTGCTCAAGCAGATCTCGACGGCGACCAAGTCCGCGTTCACGCGCAAGTACAACGCGCGCGACCACCCGCTCGCGTTCCACAAGGCGGAGGCGCTCGGGAAGCCGCCCAAGAGGCTCGCCGCGGCGGGCGCGGCGCCGGACCTGGAGGAGGCGTTCGACGTGGAGGACGAGGTGTCGGCGGATGAGGAGAAGGAGGAGGCGGACGAGGGTCTAGAGAACGATAAGCTCATTAAGGCGGCGAAGGGGAAGGGCAAGGGCAAGGCGGTGGCGGTGGTGGCGAAGGGGGAGGGGAAAGTTGCGAAGAAGTGAGCGCTGCGCTGGTTGAGTTCGCTCGTCATCATAGGACATCTCGCTATCGCTTGTTTTGTGTGTTATGTACATTCGTATAGTTGGCTAACGCATCTAGAATTCATAATCTATGCCTTCGCCTTTCGTTTCGGCCGACGACGACTCCGCTGCGCAGGTTCAGGTGGGATGCGCGAGATCTCAACGCAGATGCGCTGCAGCTCCTCGTCGTAGCCGACGCATTTCATTGTCCACGCTCGCATGCGCTGCCGAGAGTATAACCCGTTAGCGACATCGCGTATGCATGAGCATGCGCCAATCACCTCTAAGCCGCTATCGAACGCAGCGGCGAGATGATCTTGCGTGACATCTCTGAACGGCCCCTTCGCATTTTGAATCTCGGCGCGAGTCGGCTCTCTCCCAAGAGACCTTCGCAGGCTGACGCGAGCACGATACAACGACCCCCATTTCTTGGTCGCGATCCCCTTGTTCCACTTCTTGCGAACCTAGTGGGATGTGCCGCGTGAGCAGCCGCCTCTAGGACCATGACAGGTAAAAGTATCAATTGGCTCACCCTCGGTGTCAGCCGACGCCATCGCTCGACCGAAAGCACGCTGGAGGGCTCTTCCACGTAGTCACCCATGTAGCGCCATTTGTTCGCATTGAGGCGGATGAACAGCGCCTGTCTCCGAAGGGGCGGCGCGTCATCGAGGAACGCCAGCGGGTGGAAGGAGAGTCCGGGGAAGCCAGGGCTGGTCGGAGCGTGGGGGTTGTACATCAAGTTGAGGCACATGAAGTTGTCGCGGCCGTGTTCGGCGAGAAGCTCGGCTCTGGGCACGGGATGGGGGTCTTGAGGGCTGCCCCCAAAGCGCGTCGAAAGCTGGGCACGGGTGACGGTAACCTCGCGGATCTCCTCGGGGACGTCGATGGGGAAGGGCTCGATCGCGTCGGGGGCGAGGTCGTCGAGGATGTCTTCCTCATTGAGGAGGTCTTTTCGTTTGACTTTGATGTCCCGGGGAGGCTGCACACGATTGAGGTCAGTGTGGGATTCTCGAGGGAAACAAGATGCGTGCACAAACATTTGCGAGGCGAGCCACTGCCTCGGCCTCAAGTCGTGTCAGGCTGTCGGGGTCGCGCTTGATGATCGGCTTCGCATTTTCTTCGTTTTCGTTGATCAGTGTATCCGGGCCACATGAGTGGTCAACGACGATGTTCTGTACCGGGGGCTTGACGTTGGAGCGCAGTACCCGGGGCTTGACATCCCCATCGGCGTCTTCGTGCTTCACGCGCGACCTTGGGTGGAATGTGTCGTCTTTGGCTCGCAGCGTGCTCAGAGGGATGTCCGAGCCAGCGTCGTCCTCGTGCTTCTGTGCGGCCAGCGGCTTGACATCGCCAGCGGAGAGGCCCTTGTTCTTCGTGCGTATGTTGGGGCCCTTCCGCGAGTTCAGGGGTATGTTGCCGGTAGTGGTGTCCTTGCGCTTCGCAGCGCGAGGCTTGGATGGGCGTGTCGGAGGGCCGGACCGCTTGGCTTCTCGCTTGACACGTTTGGTCCTCGGCTTGTGTGTTTTGTCCGAGGCGTCCGAGTCGGAGTCTGTGAGCTCGATGACCTCGTCATATTGCCTCTTCACCGGGGCCTTTAAGGGGCCACTCAGGCTATCCCGTGCGGTCAACCTATTCGCCGTCGTCGCAGATTTCGTGGGCATGGCTCGGGAGCGAGGAGCGAAGAGCGTCAAGAAAGCCGTTCGCGATGAGTGACCTTGAGCGTTTTACCGCCTCTTGGCTGCCTTGTGTCGTTGCGTGGAGGGGAAGAAAAGGCGGAAAGGGGGCTTGGAATGTGGGCGGAGAAGGACAAGTCCGAGGCACCGCTGCCCCTGACATCGACGCGTGTGTCCGGCGCTTGGACAACAGCTGATTATCGGCGGCGATTTCTTCCCCGAACCACATGCATGCTTGAGTACCAGCGCTGACGACTTGGAGGGCTCTGCGCGACATGCTTAGGCCACAGAGGGAGAAGAATAGTGAACATGATGGCAGGCCGATACCGACGATTCACTACAGGTCCGTGTACATGGAGAGCTCGGACCTGGGAGTGCGCGCGCGCGGGGAAAGTCGACGGTGGAAGAAGCGCCCACACGTTCGGAAAGAACCCCCCTATAGCTTCCTACCTGTTTCTCAGCTCCGGTATCTTTGAAATACAACGCCTCAGAAGGGCTGTGGCAGCGACGGCGGGGGGGGGCATGGGATCTGAATCCAAGATGAAGGTAAGTCTCAGGCTTGAATCACTCCACTGGCACCTTTCCGCGCGCGCGACGGTCGGACAAGTGGGCGGAGGCTGCTGTGATGTTTGAAAGCAGCTCGCGCTGCCAGAATACGTGGACCCGTCGTTTCTGTCCGAGGCCTGTGCAAGTTCGGGGTGCTTTTGCCACCGTCGGGAGCGTGTTCATCGATTCATCTTCGATCGTGCCACAGAAAGGACTGTCGAGGCAGGAGCGCGATGAGAAGCGGAGGGAGTCACACGCAAAAAATAAGGCTCGGCGATTGAGGCAAACCGCAAGAAGGGGGGCTGCGAAGCTGGCGGAGGTGAGTACGTCGTCTCGAGTCGCCGATCCCATCCTTGTCGTGCCACCGGTTCAATCCTTCTCGAAGGTCCAACAAGCAGCTTCCGCTGCACCCACCAACTCGGACATTGCCCCTGTTCTTGAAAGCGGAAAAGTTTCAGAAGATGGGGAGTTTGAAGAAGGTCCACAGCCGTGGACATTCTCGGAGCTTTGAGCAGATCGGGGAGCTACGTTGCCCTATGACGGTACAGTACTCGGCGGCCAGTCCCATAGAATACAGAGCAGAGGTAGGTATCGCAAGGTCTAGGTATCGCAAGCTGGGATGGGAGAGAGGGACCGGCCGCCGATGGCGTACATAGCGTAGAAATCCGGCACGAGACAGCATATCCAGAACATAGTACACGGTGAAATCGAAAGACTATAGCCCTCGCGAGACATGAAGCAATTACCTATAAGATACACATAGATCCCCTCGAGATGAACAGCAGGAGTCGGACCGCGAGCTCACGAGTAAGGCACCCACACCTCCGGGCACCCCTTCTTCTTCTCCTTGACCACGTCGCGGCACGCCGTGCACACGTAGTGCCGCGCCGACCCGTTCGCCCACTTGTTCTTCCACGCGTGCCGCGCGCTCGCCCGGCACCGCGTCTCGGGCGTCGCCACCGGGTGGTCCGGCTTCGGGAACCGCGACACGAGCGGCGGGCCCGCGGCGACGGCGGGGACGTGGGACGAGCGCGCGGAGCTGGTGGCCCCCGACACGCGTCGCGTCGCGGTGGTCGCGCTAGAGACTCGGCGGGGCTGCGCGTGGGCGACGGGGCTCGAGCCGTCGTGGCCGTCGGAGACGCGGCGGAGGCCAGTCAGGCCGAGCAGGGAGCTGGGTGCGTCGGAGGCGCCGGACGTGCGTGCGGACGAGCGGCGCGTGTTGGAGGCGGGGCCAGTGTGCGAGGCGGCGGGGACGAGAGAGGAGTGGGTGGAGCGAGGGGTACGCTGTGGGGACCCGATGGCGGACTCGAAATCGGAAGTGTCGGTGTCGATGTCGGTGTCATGCTCGTAGGCGACGACCGAACCGGCATCGGAAGTGCGCTCTTGAGCAGTCGTGTCCACAAGCATGGAGGGGTAGTGCGGAGGCGATGGTTCGGGGCGCGCCGAGTTCGCGCGACGCTCCCTCAGCGTGACGCGCACCGGTGTCCAGTAGCCATTGTCCTTCTTCTCCTTGACCTCAACCTTGCACGTGAGGCAGAAGTACGTCCGAGCGTACGCGTTCGCCTGGATGGTCCACTCGTGCTGCGCGTTCCCGGTGCACGGCTCCGAGTACTGCGTCGGCGCCCTTGGCTTCGGGTTGCTCTCCACGGACACCCGTGGGGGTTCCTGGCACCGGCGGCGCCGGGGTGGATCGGGCTCTGCGCAGCGTCGGGCCCGCGCGCTCGAGCAGCTTGCCAGGTTGCGCGTACCGGCACAGCACGCGTCGTCGGGTGGCACGCGGTCGACATCCATGGCGCCGTCGGAGTCGATCTCAGTCGCCTCGTCATCGGAAAGGGTCTCGTCGACGAGGGTGGCTTGCGAATCCGAGCGTGAGAGTGGCACAGACGAGGACATTGTTGAAGGCGCGGTGGAGGCACCCACGAACATAGGCGGCCGGTTACCGTTGGAGTGCCCTAAGAGTACTCCAGTGAGCAAGGACGAATCTTGCGAGCCGAGTCATACAAACAGGCTTTGATCTCGTTTAGGTAGCGTTCACCAAGCCACGCGAAAGCGGGTTTGCCTTGAGTGTAGCCGTAATGGTACCTGAAGCACCGGTTGTACTAGCCTACTCAAACTCGAACCAATGAGATCATTCACTCACCAGGCTGATGCACGCATCCGTTGCTCGCTCTGCTCTTTCCGGGATCCACCTGCCGGCAAGTTAGTAACGAAGACTGGAGCGATGGAAGAAGACATCCCAACCTCCGAAGTACTTGTCTTTGAACTTTCGCGTCACGACATCTGGGGGCTTAGACGGACTGGAATTATTGAAGTGGTCATGCCGAGACGACGATGACTCGTAGTCCGTGGCAGCTGACACTTGTCTCAGCATAGCTCTGCCACATAGGATGGGTTAATGACAACTGACATTCCTGTGAGGCGATCGCGCGCGACAGCTCCTGGTTGAAGGCTATCATGACCCGGACCGCCTCCGTGTTGTGGCGTAACCAGAGAGTCGTGTCCTCGCTGCGCACGATGAGCGCCGGATCGCATTTGGAGGCGTCGATGACTTGGTGATCGTTTTGCTCGCCCAGAGGAATCATGTCGCGCAGGGATCGGATGGGGCCGACGAAACCTGCGGGGGGCCGAGGAGGCTGTCCTAGCCCTTTGAAGCGACGCTTGAGCTGCTTGTAATCCTCTCCGGACTTCATGATGTCCTGTATGACCGCCTAGTCAGTTACGATGACGTCGGTATACACGGGAGACCCACCAACGCAGACTCGATCAGCGGCACCAGGCCTAGTGCGTATGCGCTCTTTGCAAGATCCGGTGTCTTATCGACGTTGTCCGACCACGTTTTCGAGATCGAGCCCAGAAGTGTATTGAACTTCAGCTGCATGAACGTGTCCACCGCGTCTTGCGCCATGTTCGAGATTTGGCGTCGTGATGTAGGAGCTGTGGCTGTGGTGCTCGTGCGCTCGAAGGGTGCGGCCTGATCTGGGGGGATAAGAGACTGGTTCCACGTCACGAAGTAAAGATCTCCGTCGAGGTCGCCAGAGGACATCGAATCGGGAACGGAGTGCGGGGCGGTCGACGAAAACACGATGCAGTTGCGGTGATGCCTGAGAGAGGGGCGATCCACCGCGCGGAACTTCCGAATATCTGCAACTCGATATGTTGGCTTCCGAAGTCCACGGCCGATACGAAGGACTCACCGCCAGGGTGATGTGCCGGGCTCCGCCCGACGACCACCTCACGAACGAGCACTCCGTTCCGAGACGGAAGGTTAATGTAGACCTCGTCTGGGCCGAGAACGCCATCCTCATCGACGACTCCAAACACATAACACGACTCCGGGATGCGGATGCTCAGCTTTTCCCGGAGATTATTGTACTGCGTTCTCTGGTAAGTCCGCAGGCGTGACTGCAATTGAGGCTCCGTCAGCTCCTGTCGGGCGAGGAGCATCGCGTACACTGCATGCATTGAGCTCAAGGGTGGACTGAGGCAGTGCAGAACCACTCACAGCCCTGCATGAAGCCGTCTTCGATCCCCGAGTCGAGCTCCCCGCGGATGTAGTCGAGCGCTTTCTCTCGGTTCGTCAGGATGCACCCAATGAGATCGAGCTGGTCTTGTACAAGGCGTTCGAATACTGGAACAGGCACTCTGAGGGTAAGCAGGAGCACCATGAACTGTACGTTGAGCCGCGCCGCGCCGGGAGCAGCGTTGTACTGGTTCAGCTCAAGGCACGTGGGACCTCCGGCGTACTTGTACATCGACGGGCGGTAAGCGATGACAGGCTGGGTGCTGGCGCTGGCACGGGTGCGAGGTCGCGAGCGGCCGGTGAAGTTGTCGAATTTGCTGTCGGGATAGCGGACCAGAAGTCCTTTGATCCCCCCTCGACGGATTTGGAATACTGTGAAATGAAGCGCATGAGCGTCTGGAGCGCGTGGTAGGTCGGAGCTAAAAGGAGGAGCAGACATTCGGCAAAATAACCTCTGCCGCGTGGGTTCTCCAGGAGTCATCTTTCGGATTGAGGATAACTGATTTCTTACCCGTTGCGTCAGGCGGTAGCCCGTGGTGCGCGCACACCTGCGCCGCAAAACTGTCCCGGATCATACCGCACCCATCGCTGTGGAGAGAGCCGTCTGCAGCCACGAGATCAGGGATCTCGAGCGCGAAATTATGGGGAACCTAAAGTCGTGGCATGAGATGCTGTCCGCTCCAAAGTTAATGAAAGAAGCACATCAAGTGACTGCACCGTGGATGAGAAGGACAGGCCAAGGCGCGCGGAATATTTGCCGTATCCGGACTTCAGGTACACGCCAGGCAGATCTCCGAAAGCAGATAACAGGCGATCCACGGTCCATTCTTCGTCCTCGTGGAAGAACATGAGCCTCCCGGTCTTCACTTGTGAGTCCGTGAAACCGAGAAAGCGGTACCTGCCGGGTGGTGGGGTTAAGATAGTGCACGATGCGGAGGACAGGTGTTTAGTGCACGTACGAGATCCCACTGACTTCAATTCCCTCATGGACCATGCGCCGTAGTTCTGGACGCAGAGGCCCGTCTTCTGCACGTTTGGACACGGAGAGTAAGAAGAAACGCTCGGAGTCATCTACCAGACGCGTCGCGCGTGACGCAGGATGCCTCTGCTTTTCGACATGGTGTATAGTTTGTCCGTCTGAGGTCCGTCCTGTATAGATAAAGCTATGGTCTTTCACAAGCATGTGGGTATAAAGGCGAGGGAGTGGGAGAGGACAAGCCCAAACGACGCGCCCTCTGTGCTGCGGCAGAAGTGGCCAAATTCAACTTCCGCCCGAATTGTTAACCGAGGGCTTCGGATTGGCTCCCAGGAAACCCATTACGTAACGCCAATGTTGACGCCTTTGACGGAGCCCATCAAGGAGATTGTATCCGTGGGAGACCATTCATTTTCTCTCCTTCACCCCCAGGTTCGTGTTGTTCTTCCGTGACTTCGCACCGTTGCCTCTGCGCCTCCCTGAGCGACTCGCAGAAACATTGGTGGTGTGCGCGCACAGCGCTTCCGCCGGTGACTCGGCTTAGTTTGATATCGTACACGCCTCCAGAGCATCTGAAATACGCCTTGAATCGTGCTGAAATCGACCATTACAATGTGAGGTCGCTTTTCGGGCACATGTTTCCCTCTGGTTTCGCCACGACATACTGATCGATATCCCGGACAGTCCATATTTTGATCACAACATGCCATCGCTTCTTCCTCTACCCGTTTTCACCCGCGAACATGAACATATGATCCCAGCGAACAACCAGTGAGGGTGCTCGTCGCGTCATCGCAACTCTTCAGTGTGATGGCAGTGGACCCTCACTGTAAGCTCCGACGCCATATGACACGCCTACTCTCGGCATTCTCAATACCTGCTTCCCATGTGCTGGCTCCTGGTCTCAGACTACAAAGGTCCGTCGGCGCACAGAAGATCGCAGGCCGTCACGAGTGGACGCAGGTGTCCCACCATGGACTACCAACGGGCCAGCTGAATGGTCAAGGCCGTGCGCTGCGCGCGCCGCCATCATCTCTCCCAGCCCGCGTGCCGCGCGCGACGTCGCGGGCGCCGAGAACGCGCCCAGGTCAGCTGGTGTGCAACAAGAGCTTGCTCACGATCTTGAGCGCCTCTCACACCGTCCATTCTCCCGAGCTCTCACGAGAGAGGTTCGCCAATAGCGAACGTACGTACAGGTGCGTCCCCGCTCCCCAGGCACCCCCCAAGCTCCACACTCGACTTATGTTGCGGTTCACATGGATAGCGCTGCGGATGCTCTTCGCTGTTCTTCAGTCAGCAAATGCGTCTCTTCGCGGTACTTGTATTGGTGGCTTCTGGGAATAGCAGCCTGGGTAGCATTGAGCTCATAGAGAGGCTGGAGACGACTTCGGACTGCCCATTCTCTGCGCCGATCGGGCTATCCCGGTCTTCCAACCTCCGCAAGTCGCACCACCCCACCAATGAGCACGGTCGCCAAGGACATACCGTCACCATGTGCAGCCCTCAACCTGCACGTTCGGCTGCGACCGGGTCCGATGGTGCGTCATAGGTTCCAGTCTGCCGAAGACGCTCAGCATCCATGGTGGGTTTAGTGCCCCGCATTTTCCCTCGGGAAGCTTCTGAATGCGGGGTAACCGATCGGGGCGTTATTTCACGGCCGTAGTGTTCCTTTCTCACTCTTTCTGCATCCCAATCAAGTCCCAACTCAATAGGGAAGCCCTACAAGTCTCTTTGGTGGGTCACCTGCCTCGACCTCATGATCGGCGACTAGCTGCTTGAGCTCGCGTTCCCGCCCGGTTGCCCAGGATTCAGCACGGAACTCCTCGGATTCCTGGTGCGCGCGTTACCTATGCGATGCAGAACTTGCCTAATCCCTCCGATATACACCATACCACATACAGTCATTTGCCCTGGAAGGCTCCGAAGTCACCCGAAGAACCCGGTAAACCCTGCGGTGTAAGTTCGCCAACCTCACTCATAGCGATTGACAGTTCCATAAACCAATCCACAATCCGCCCAGGGAACGCCCAGAAGGCCGCCCTTCTATCTTCACATTTAATTGCGGATCCTATGCCGGTGGTGCACGCCCTCAGCTTCCGCTGCTTACGGCTGCCCACCGCCGGCCCCCGTTCACAGGGGCGGGCTATTTGCGTGACCCACTGCGGGCCCACTCCCAGTGGGGACTAAACCATCTTGAGCGCATCTTACCAGCTGACGCTTCTGCTGAGAGAATGATGGGAGAGCCCATGACTTCGCGAGTGACCTGGGTGCGACCCCTATGGCCCAACGCGATAACGTGCGTGGCGGGATATAAGGCCCCGAGAGAACCTTGGAACCCTCACCTCGCTCGAGGCTCCCATCCCTATTCTTACATCTGCTCACCTGCTCACCCCTCGTCTCTGATTCAATATGGGTCACCCAGAGGAAGTCGATGTCATCGTCTGCGGGTGCGCCGATGTGCTCCTCTTCTGTTCTTCGGGATTGCCCTGCTGACTGACGTATGCATACAGTGGTGGTCCCGCCGGTAGCGTTACCGCCGGACGTCTAGCCTATGCCGACCCCACTCTCAAGGTCATGCTTATTGAGGGTATGTGCCGAGTCATTCTAGCTCGAGACGTTGACGGTTGACGAATGCGAGCACAGGCGGCGCGAACAACCGCGATGACCCTTGGGTCTACCGGTATGTCGCTCGTGGCCCATAGCGCGTCGCCTTGTTGACATCATCTCAGTCCTGGTATCTATGTCCGGAACATGCAGAAGGACGGCATGTAAGTCTTCCATCTCCTTCACGTGTGCATGCGCTTACATGTCCCTCAGCAACGAGAAGGCGACCTTCTACACGGACACCATGAAGTCGTCTCACCTCCGTGGCCGTCAGTCTATCGTCCCCTGCGCCAACATCCTTGGCGGTGGTTCCAGCATCAACTTCCAGATGTACACCCGCGCCTCCGCGTCCGACTGGGGTGCGTTTTAGCCCCTGTGCGTCAGATCATTGAGCTTACTGATCAAGTGCTTCAGATGACTTCAAGATGCCGGGCTGGACCGCCAAGGACCTCCTGCCGCTCATGAAGCGCCTCGAGAACTACCAGAAGCCGACGAACAACGACACGCACGGCTACGATGGTCCCATCGCCATCAGCAACGGCGGCCAGATCACCCCAGTGGCCCAGGACTTCCTGCGCGCCTCGCATGCGATCGGCATCCCCTTCAGCGGTGCGTGTTCGAACATTTGATTCACGGGTAATAAAGGTACTAAAAGCTCCTTCCAGACGACATCCAGGACCTCGAGACCTCTCACGGTGCTGAGATCTGGGCGAAGTACATCAACCGCCACACCGGCCGTCGCAGCGACGCGGCGACCGGTACGCCGACCTCTGCTCTGAGTTGAAGTAGATGCTGACAAACACCGCGCAGCGTACGTGCACAGCGTGATGGACGTGCAGAGCAACCTGTACCTCCGCTGCAACGCGCGCGTCTCTCGCGTCCTCTTCGACGGCAACAACACCGCGGTCGGCGTCGCCTACGTCCCCTCCCGCAACCGCGCGAACAACGCGGAGGTGAAGGAGACGATCGTGAAGGCGCGCAAGATGGTCGTCATCTCCTCGGGCACCCTCGGCACCCCCCAGATCCTCGAGCGCTCTGGCGTCGGCAACGCGGAGATGCTCAACAAGCTCGGCATCAAGGTCGTCAGCGACCTCCCGGGCGTCGGTGAGGAGTACCAGGACCACTACACCACGCTCTCCAGTCAGTCTTCGCCGCGTCCTGCCCGCCGCCACCGCCGTTGCTGACGCGCACGCTCCAGTCTTCCGCGTCTCCAACGAGACCGTCACCCTCGACGACTTCCTGCGCGGGGACAAGGAGGTGCAGAAGGAGCTCTTCGCCGAGTGGGAGACGAGCCCGGAGAAGGCGCGCCTCTCGTCGAACGCGATCGACGCCGGCTTCAAGATCCGCCCGACCGAGGAGGAGCTCAAGGAGATGGGCCCCGAGTTCAACGAGCTCTGGGACCGCTACTTCAAGGACAAGCCGGACAAGCCGGTCATGTTCGGCTCGATCGTCTCCGGCGCGTACGCGGACCACTCGCTCCTCCCGCCCGGCAAGTACATCACCATGTTCCAGTACCTCGAGTACCCCGCGTCGCGCGGCAAGGTGCGTCGTGTGCTCTGATGCCTTGGAGCGGGAGGAGAGGCTGACGCGTGCGCGCGCAGATCCACGTCAAGTCCGCGAACCCGTACGTCGAGCCGTTCTTCGACAGCGGCTTCATGAACAACAAGGCCGACTTCGCCCCGATCCGGTGGAGCTACAAGAGGACGCGCGAGATCGCGCGCCGCATGGACGGTGAGGCCCTCCCCACGTCCCTCTTCACCGCCACCCGGGCCCGCTGACGGCGCCGCTCCCCCGCAGCGTACCGCGGCGAGCTCACCTCGCACCACCCGCGCTTCCACCCGAACTCGCCCGCGGCGGCGCGCGACATCGACATCCGGACCGCGAAGGAGCTCCTCCCGAACGCGTTCACCGTCGGGATCCACATGGGCACCTGGCACAGCCCGAGCGAGCCGTACGACGCGAGCAAGGTGCACGAGGACGTCAAGTACACGAAGGAGGACGACGACGCGATCGACGACTGGGTCGCGGACCACGTCGAGACCACCTGGCACTCGCTCGGGACGTGCGCGATGAAGCCGCGCGAGCAGGGCGGCGTCGTCGACGAGCGCCTGAACGTGTACGGCACCAAGAACCTCAAGTGCGTCGACCTCAGCATCTGCCCGGTGAGTGGCGCGTCTGGTGCTTGCGCGCAAGGACGGGGAGGCTTATGCGCGCTGGGCAGGACAACCTCGGCACGAACACGTACTCGTCCGCGCTCCTGGTCGGCGAGAAGGGAGCCACCCTGGTCGCTGAGGATCTCGGTCAGTGCTTCTTCGGGGCGGGTCGTGCTCTTTGCTGACGTGTTGTGTCTTCAGGCCTTAAGCTCCGCTTCCCCCACGCTCCGGTCCCCCACGCGCCCGTCCCCGCTGGCAAGCCCGCCACCCAGCTCGTCCGGTGAACGTCGTCGTCGTCATCTCCCTGTGTTGCTGCCGATTAAGTATGTGCCGCGTACACTTGAACCAAGTCTCACACCATCCTGCGTTTCGTCCCCGAGTGTTGTTGTAGTAACATCGTTGTATCACCACGCTGTATGCTTGTATGTACGAATAGATAAGAATGGGCGCCCTGTGGGTTTTATGGCCATCTTCTCGAGGGAGTCAACGGCGTGAGCCGAGTACTTCTGCCCCATCTTCGTTCTCGTCTAAGGCGTCGATTTTCGTCCTGAATTGACGTCTTCGTGCTTGATTCGTGAAGGGCGTGCCCCTCATGACGCAGCTTCAGCGACACCCAGAGCGTCGTCGTCGGCGCGACGACTTGGACAGTCTCGCATGTGCCATCAAGACACGATCGCGTGCAACGTTGGTGCCCGCATGCTCGCGGAGGTTTTTCTCAGGGGGGTGGCGAGTGCTGCACTCTGAGCCCTCGCGAACTTTTCGCCTTGGTAAGTACCCTTAATGTGGCAGGCATTTGGCCTTTTGGTGACGCGGGTGACCCTACCGCCGTGGCGCTCACTATGACCTTAGGGTCAACACCAACACCCTTATGGTAACCGCGAATTGGCCAGGTCGGTGGCGACTATTTGGAGCGCTCACCTGAGACCCGCGCAAACAAACCCGCGCGCCACGCGCGAGATCGAACGCAGTCCTGACAGCGCAATCCTTGTGCGCGCGTGACTATCGTTGTCCGTGCATTTCTATCTTTTCCCGCGCCCGGACCCAGCAATGTATGCGTCCGCGCTGGTCTATGCGCACAACTACCGGATGGTTATACGCGCGTTTGAGGCATGGGCGGGCTGTCCCACGGGGATGGAAAGGTGATCGCGAGAGCGTTAGGCGAGATGCCACCAAAAGGTCATAATTTGGGCCACCAGAAGGTCATTATGTGGCCATCAAAAGACTCATTTCAGGTGACTAAAAGGCCATCACTACCGTGATGATAGACCAGCATCGTTCCGGAAGGATCAGGCGCTCGACGGATTTGAGAGGAGACGCCCGACGCGAGTAAACAAGCGCTCAATCATTCTGCGTGCCGTCGAGCGAGATCAAAGCCTTCGTTGCGCATGGGAAACATGAAGATACATGGCATAAATTACATGGATGGAACTAGAACGAGAATATATACGTATATCCCAACTTTGAAGCGAATCGGGGGTGGTTCACAGAATGGTGCCACCAAAGGGTACTGCACCATTTCGATCTATTCGAACCGGGGGCCGGCCCGGTGTGACCGTCCCGGAATATTCGAACTGGAGGTTTTCAAACGAGCCGTGCGCACCGTTGACTGAGACACAGAGCACTTGGCTATGCCGTGGATTAGCGCAGAACATGCCTAAAAGGTCGAAAGCGCTGTGGACACGCGAAACGAATGTGCATGTATTTAGGCGCCCACACATCCGTGTTTCGAACTGCAGCGAGAGACAGTGTGTGAGGGGTCTTCCCCACGCGAGGGCGGCGATGAAGGCGCGGTGTCCTCCTTTTTTTCTCGGGGATCCTGCACTTTGAAGTTTGACCTCCTAAATGGAAATTCAAACGGCGGTGATCCGGTGCTGAGTGCTGTCGGAGCACCGCGCGGCTGTGCACGCTTTGAGCACGACTCCGCCTCCCTTCCGGCTGTCCTCCAGGCTCCCCCTGCTCATCCTACTAGGTTCATCCAGTCAGCGCACACGTCGCGTCTCGCAGCTCGTCGTTCGCTGAGCGCAAGACATCCGTATTACCGTGGCTCCTGATAGTATGTCACCGCCCCCTGGGCAACTGCGTTTGACGCCGTCAACGTCGCCCCTCTTTCCAGCCTCCGCCGAGCCAGGCAGCGCCAGCAGGGCATAGCGAGCGTCCTCCTGAGTCGTTCGCTCGCTCGCGGTGCCCCCGACGAGCGATCTCACCCGGCCACACTGCCTTGACAGCTTCCGTTGGCATGCGCCCGCGCCTAGCGGCGAGGTCGGGCATCGCCCCCCGCGGCAGCGCACCGCACGCGCTTCATATCTATAAAGATCTGCCACCCGTCTGCTCTCGACCATCTTCCTCTCCCGTTCCCTTTCTTGATCGGCGTCCTTCCTTACCGCGCCGACCTTTTCTATAGTTTCTTTCCGTTTGTTTTCTTGCCGGCGACGATGCTGTCGACGACTATACTTTCGCTCTCTCTTCTCTCCTCTGCGGCTGCACTCCGCTCGGGCCCACCCTCCACCCACGGCCTCCTCCGCCCCGGCAAGGGCAGGCACGGTATCCAGACGCTCGATAACCCCTCCGACAACGCCACCGTCTTTCACGTGCACTCTCTCCAGCAGATCTCGACCTACAACGACGCCTTTTACTTCGACCAGCTCATCGACCACAACAATCCGTCAAAGGGGACGTTCAAGCAGCGCTACTACCACAACTACGAGTACTACGACCCCGGTGGACCGGTCGTCCTCATGACGCCCGGCGAGACCGATGCCTCCGGCTTCACCGGCTACCTCACCAACAGCACCGTCCCCGGCAAGCTCGCCGAGCTCCTCAACGGCACCGTCGTCATGCTCGAGCACCGTTTCTTCGGCAAGTCGCAGCCCACCGGCGACCTCTCCACCGACTCCCTCCGCCTGCACACGATCCAGCAGGCGATCGACGACATCGACTACTTCGCCCGCACCGTCGTCCTGCCCCAGCCGGAAAACGCTACGCTCGGGCCCGACAAGACCGCCTGGATCATGGTCGGCGGCAGCTACCCCGGCGCGCTCACGAGCTACGTGATGCAGAAGTGAGCACCGCCGCACTCGCGCCACCGGCTCATCAGACCCACGCTGACATTCTGGCGACGCAGCAAGCCCGACCTGTTGTACGCCGGGTGGGCGTCCTCCGGCGTCGTGCAGGCGATTGGGTGCGTCGCCGGTCTCGACTGCGATTGCTGGGCGCGCTGATCTGAACTTACGTGTCGCAGTGACTTCTGGGGCTACTACGAGCCCGAGCGCCAGTATATGCCGAAGAACTGCTCTGCAGACATGACCGCAGTGATCGACTACGTCGACTCCGTGTTCGAGACCGGCACGGACGAGGAGATCTGGGCGATGAAGCAGAATTTCGGTCTCGGGGACCTCGTCTACGGCGATGACTTTGCCGAGGCTCGTGAGTGCAGACTTCCTTGCGCGAGTAAAGACGGCCGCTGATCGACTTCGTCAGTCTCGAACACTCCTGGTTCCTGGCAGGGGGACATCTCTGCCGTGTACGACTTCTGTGATTACATCGAGACATCCAACGGCAAGAAGGCTCCCGCCACCGGCTGGGGTCTCGACCACGCGTTCAAGGCGTGGGGCACGTATTGGAACGAGACCCTCTTCCCCAGTAGTACGTGATAGAAGTCCCATCGCTTGTGGGCGGTTCTGCTGACCTCTTCACGTGTAGTCTGCAACGGCTACGACAACGCGACGTGCGTGCACGGGACTTCTACGCTTCTTGGCGCATCGAGCTCACCTTGCATTTACAGTGCGTGCGGTCTCGCGTACATCCACGACGCTACGGTCTTCAACTGGGCTGTCGACACCGCGCCCGACGACGACCGGTCGTGGACCTGGATGACGTGCGTCGGCTCCGTGTTCTTCTCCCTTTCAGCCCTCTGAACTCCCGTGTCTCGCAGCTGCAACGAGTTCGGCTTCTCCATGACCGGCGCCCCCGCGGACCACCCTTCCCTCATCTCCCGCCAGTTCACACCCACGTCCAGCGAGGCACGTTCTCTCCCCTCGCTTCCCCGCCTCGTCCTGCCCCGCTGACCGCCCCCACCCCGCAGATCCTCTGCAGCTACCGCTTCCCGGACACCTTCTCCGGCACGAACGCCTCGCTCGTCCTCAACGCGCTCTCCGTCAACTCCCGCTACTGGGGCTGGAACGTGACCACGCCGCGCCTCGTGTTCGTCAACGGCGAGCAGGACCCGTGGCGGGAGGCGACGGTCGGCGCGGACGGCGCGAACCCGTCCTTTGATTCCGCGCTGCAGCCGCACCTGATGCACGACATGTTCCACTGCTCGGACCTGATCTTCAGCGCGGGCAACACCGACAAGATGCGCGAGGTGCAGAAGGAGGCGCTCGAAGTGATCGTGGGGTGGATGCAGGACTGGAGGCCGAGCAATGCGTCGTCGTCGTCGTCGGCGTGAGGGGGTTAAGGGAGACCTTTGGGGCGGCAGCACGGACTTGATTAACGTTAATGATATTGCATATTGTACGCCTACGGGTAATTTGAACTGCTTTTTCGCTTTCTTTGATGTCTGTGGACCATAGCTGAGTGAGTTCTGTATATCTCAGCGCAAACACGTCCGATTCAACCTGTTGCAACAGTGACACGCATATAAGCATCTCTCCGACGATCGCCGCGGAGCTCGGACTGTGATACAAGAGCCTCCGCACGTTTTTGACCGAGTTCTCAGTATGCACCTGCCCAAAGGACAGCGCTCGGTGCGCGAGGAGATGCGGGTGGCAGTCACCATGCCAACGGAAGCTGTTAAGGCGGTGTGATCGCTCGTCGGGGGCACTGCGAGCGAGCGAACGACTCAGGAGCATATCAGGACGCTCGCTAGCTTTCAGATGCCGTGCTGGCGCTGCCTGGCTCGGCGGAGGCTGGAAAAGGAGGCGAGGTCGACGCCGTCAAACGCAGTTGCCCAGGGGGTGATTGTTAGAAGTCGGCGGCTCGGACGAGGTCGGACGAGGGTAAAGGCAATAAATACGACGCGATTGGTCCCTATGGGCACCGGGAGGCGAGTACAGACGGACGCGGGGGAGAACGAGGTGGTGGGGAAGGGCAAACGCGTGAAGCGAGTGCGGGACGAGGGACGAGGGACGGCGGCTATCTACGTGATGACTAAGCGCTGGTACTGTACGACCGAGCTTGCTAAGTATGCGGGCAGATTCCAACAGCGATGACATACTATCAGGGACCACGGTAATACGGATGTCTTGCGCGCGGCGAATGACGACCTGCGAGACGCGACGTGTGCGCTGACTGGATGAACCTAGTAGTAGGATGAGCAGGGGGACTTAGGGAGGCGGAGGCGGAGTCGGCGCTCAAAACGTGCACAGCCGCGGCGCGGTGCTCCGACAGCACTCAGCACCGGATCACTGCTGTTTGAATTTCCATCCAGGAGGTCAAACTTCAAAGTGCGCGATCCCCGAGAAAGAAAGGAGGACGCCGCGCCTCCATCGCCGCCCTCGCGTGGAGAAGACCCCACACGCACTGTCTCTCGCCCACGGGTTTGACAAAATGTGACATCCATGATTAGGCGTTTGCGACTCTGAAGTGAGACTGAAAGCGCTTTCACCGCCGCCCGACCTCCAGAGGGCTCCTCCGATCTCGAACACAATGTGGACCTCCCCTATTCTCACAGGGTGCCCGATCAGAACCGGCGATCTCGAGGTCACGAATCGCACAAGGAAGATGCAACAAAGCAATAGCAATAAAGGTCGCGCAGAAGGTACAATTTATAAGCGCATTTAATCTACTAGCTCTTATTCGAGTCCGATGGAGACACCCACTGCAAGCTCGCCCCTCACGACGACGACGACGACGACGACGACGACGACGACGACGACGACGACGAAGAGGACCACGACCACGATGAGGACGACGTCGAAGAAGAAGAGGAGGAAGACGATGACGATGACGATGAGGACGACGAAGACGACGAGTTGCTAGACTTCAACTCCTGCACCCACCCCACGATCGCATTCAGCGCCTCAGTCTGGACCTCGACCATCTTCTCGGTGTTGGAGGGGTCGATGACGAGGTCCGAGCAGTGGAACATGTCGTGCATCAGGTGCGGCTGCAGCGCGGAATCGAAGGACGGGTTCGCGCCGTCCGCGCCGACCGTCGCCTCCCGCCACGGGTCCTGCTCGCCGTTGACGAACACGAGGCGCGGGGTGGTCACGTTCCAGCCCCAGTAGCGCGAGTTGACGGAGAGCGCGTTGAGGAGCATGGAGGAGTTCGTGCCGGAGAAGGCCCCCGGGAACCGGTAGCTACACTTGAGCTGTGAGGGGCGTCGTGAGGGTCTGCGCTTCCATCTCGATGGGTATATGTGGCTCACCTCGTCAGCGGCGACCGTGAGCTGGCGCGAGATCAGGGATGGGTGGTCACGCGGAGCCCCGGTCATCGAGAAACCGAACTCGTTGCAGCTGGCGGAACCAAAAGATTGAGTACAGCAGGGACGACCCATGGAAAAGCAGATCGCTTACGTCATCCAGATCCAGGAGGTGTCGTCGTTGGGTGCGGTGGTGTTGGCCCAGTAGGTGTAGTCAGGACGGTGAATCCCGTCCAAGCCGCACTCGCTGCGTAAATGTGTCAGAGTCTGTTCTATAACGGAAGCGGGACTTATGATGCTGACGTTGCGTTCGTGACATTGCCGCACTCTGAGTCAAACCGTCAGTGGACGATCCACACCCAGGATATAATCGTGGCACATACTCTCAGGGAGAGTCACGTTCCAGATTTCACCCCACTTTTGGAAGGCGGTCTCGAGACCAAAGCCAGCCTCTGGCGCCGTCTCGTTGGTGGGAGAAGTCTCGAGGTAGTCGCAGAACGCATACACCAGCTCGATGTTCGACTGCCACAGTGAAGGAATGGACGCCACTGTGACCGAGATACAAGTGCGTGAGAAGACGAGCGAAAGAAGTCTCGGGGAGGGCGTCACTGACGATTGGAAGCGAAGTCGTCATTGTACGTGAGGTCGCCGAGACCGAAGTTCTGCTTCATCGCCCAGATCTCCTCGCTCGTACCGTTCTCGAACACCGAGTCGACGTAGTCGATCACTGCGGTCATGTCCGCAGAGCAGTTCTTCGGCATGTACTGACGTTCGGGCTCGTAGTAACCCCAGAAGTTGCTGCATGATCAAAGGTGAGACAGGCTTGATCGGAGAATGCGCAACGAGAAAGGACATACGCGAGAGCTTGTACGACCCCTGACGAGGACCATCCGGCGAAGAAGAGATCCGGTTTGCTGAAAGATGCCATTACCATCAGCGTCGCACAGAACATGGGGGGTTCAGAAACACGCACTTTTGCATCACATAACTCGTCAGCGCCCCAGGGTAGCTACCTCCCACCATGATCCACGGGGTCTGAGACGGACCAAGAGTGTCGTTATAGGGCTGCGGAAGCACGACGTTCTTGGCGAAGTATTCGATGTCGTCGATCGCCTGCTGAATCGTATGCAGGTGCAGGGACTCTACGGAGAGGTCACCCGTGGGCTGAGAGATGCCGAAGAACCGATGCTCCAAGACAATCACGGATCCGTCGAGCATCTCCGCAAGCTTCCCGGGAATGGTCTCGTTGGTCAAGTAGTTGGTGAACCCCGAGGCGTCGGATTCCCCGGGCGTCATGAGGACGACAGGTCCGCCGGGTTCGTAGTACTCGTAGCTGTGGTAGAAGCGCTGCTTGAACGTCCCCTTTGACGGATCGTTGTGATCGACGAGTTGGTCGAAGTAGAACGCATCGTCATAGCCGGAGATCTGCTCCTGTGAGTGGACATGAAAGAGTGTGGTGTTCTCGTATGTCTTGTCGAGCTTCTTGATACCATACTTCCGAGGACGATTCAGAGCATGATGGGGAGGAGAAAGAGCATGAACAGTGGAGGCGAGAAGGGAAAAAGCCAGCGAGGCTGAGAAAAGCATGAGGATAGCTGAGCGAACCAACAGTCTACCCGGGGAAGGAGAACGAGTCAAGGAGAGAACGGGTAGGGATGAAAGTGCACGACGGCCGATCGAGCTTGCCTATAAGCCGTCCAGCAGCCGCATGCATTATGCAGGTTCTGATATGCGGTCTGAGTCTAACACTGCCCCCCGAACACTGCCCCAGGCGTGATTGGCACGCGTCGATCAACACAGTCCTTCTTTGACAACGGGGGATAGTAAACCTATGCCGGCTGTAACACCCCAGAAGGCGTCGCCATGTTAGTAAGACTTGGCACATATCCTCGTCGACTTGTTCAACCGGCGACACACGCCCGCCCAAGTCCTACCAAGCCCCCGCTCACCTGACTGCTCGCCCTCCACTTTCGCCACGCGCCCCTGCCAAGACCGCCACGCTCTGCGGCTTGCCGCCGCTGCCACCGCTCCGTGGCGTTCCCCCGCTCCTGCGCAACCCAGCCTCGGTGATATCCGGTCCCGTTCCCGACCGCCATCGCGCCCTCCTCCCCGCCATGCCTTTCTCTTGTACAGTGTGGACGTCGAGGCTTGTGTTCTGCAATGCGGAACTTGACCTGTCAGCCCGAGAGACTCCGCGGAGCCACCGTTTCGCGCGCCAGCCTTGATGCCCTGTGATCCGAGAGGAAAAGATTCGCCTCGCGCTGCATCGCGTCGTAAACGGACCCGCCCAGCTCGAGGCGCATGACGCGCGTGCGTCCCGGGTCGTGCGCGCACCGCACGAACGCGAGCCGCACCGTGCGCTCTGCGTTGCCGAACGCACGGCCGGCGCGAGGCCAGGCGTCGACGTGGTCTTGCGCGCACACGTGTGCGCCCTTCGCCCAGGGCTGTAGCCACATCGCGCTGTGCACGGGCTCTGCGAACGCCCAGTGGCGGGGCTCGTCCAAGGAGGAGGCGTTGCATAGGCCGAGTCGGACGCGGACCATCTCGCCCGACGCGGTGCTTGCGAACTCCAGATACATTTCGAACGAGGAGGAAGGGTCGAGGGAAATGACACGGCCGCCCGCAGGGAGGAGTTTGAGCGCGGCCAGCGCGCCGAAGAGCCAACGGGGGATGCGGAATGGTGGTGGGTCCGCAGCGCGATCGGCGAGGGCGTAGAGGACGAGGTTGGCGGGGTCGGTGCGGAACTTGCCACTGGGGACGGCGTGGATGAAGATGTCGCGCCAGCGGGCGTGGACGCGGTGGCCGAGGAAGTGGAGGTTGTACAGGTCGTCGCCGAGATGGGCGATGCGGTACTGTATGCACGCCCCACTTTGCGCGTTGACGATGGCGTTGGTGGCATAGTACATCGGCTCCTCGAGATCGAATCGCTCGTTGTCGTGAGATGGGTTGAGGAAGAGGCCGATGTGGTGCTGCTGCCGAGTCTCCACGAGAAGGACCGCGATGGCCATACCGTCTACTTCGGCTACAGGCAGGCGGCACTTCATTCCTCGACTGGTGATCTCGAATCTCGGAAGCTCGAACTTGCCGAACGGGCCTTCGTCTGTGGAATGCACAAGGGATGGTCTACGAAGAACAGCCGTGGGGTTGTGTACCGGGGTGTAATAGCGAGTTTCTCCAAGAAAGTCACGAGGAGACGACGCAAAGAGGAAACACGAGTACGGGGAGAGTTCTGGCCTCTGGTAGAAATGGATGTCTTCGTAGTCGGGCTGTGCCGTTGGATCGTGAAGCAGAGTGCCGTCGTGCACGATGCCCCAGGCGAAGAGGGAGGTGTCTATGGAGTGTCGTGAAAGCTCTAGCTGAAGCCGATAGAACGCTTGGCGACCTTCTCCGTACAACGGGGGCATCTTGACGTCGAAGAGACCGAGGAGGCAGTAGGCTTCGTCTTCTACGCGCGTTGTCGTACGGCTTGCGGCCCAAGACATTCTCTCCGCGACAGACGCATCCAAGAAGGCCTTCTCGCGCTTAAGATGCGCCCTGTCGATCCCTGTTACTTCGGAGAGGAGGATGGAGAGTTGGTGCTTCGTCCCGATGGGCGTCCAATCTCGCGACATGAACACCATGAAGGTGGGCGCGAGGAGTTCTTGCAGCGTCCACCCTCGTGTATGCCATCGAGATGTCCTGAACTCCGAGCCCACGGCTCCATGGTCTTCATCGGCACCGACATCCTCCAAGTACGCGTAGCACACCTCGGAGAGGACGTACCAGTTGAACATGGAGTTGATCGCCTCCGAGAGCTCCGCACTGCTCGTCTTGTCGATGCAGCAAGTATCCACCCACACCCATTCGTATCCGTCGCGCTCCGCAACGAGACAGCAGTTTCGAATCTTGTCGGATACATGATCGCGTGGATTCTTGCCCTCAGTGGCGCATCGTTGGAATATGGCTTGAAGGTCTTGGAAGGTTTGCTCTGGCCGCGCTTCGGACCGGCTCCATGTATGCGATAGAGTCGCGTATCCTCCCAGGACGGAGGAAGGGTCGGAGAAGAAGTGGAGCTCGGCGCGGTTGGTGTTCAGAAGCCACATGTTATGGAGAGGAGGGCAATGGCATTGGTCGCTCTTCCAAGATCAGCCGAAGGGGGCCAATGGGGAGAGGAAGAAAGAGAGAGAGAGTTGAGATGCATGAAGGTGCAAGCGCGCGCTCGAGCCCCTTCGCGTAGAGTGCTGCATTTCATCAAGCTATAGGAGGCTGTTAGGAAAAGATTCTATCACATTGCGAAACTACTACACTAAATCGCACACAGAACAACATGTAGAGTAGTCGAAGACCTTCATCGGGGATCGGCCGAAGGTAGTTGAGGATATTAGAGGCGGTGTCCAATGTGGGCTACATAATATCTAATACCCATCGCTCGGGTCGTCAGCTAGGAAGATCAACTTGAGGCGGACGTGGTAAAAGGTGTTAACTTATTTGAGTTGCGAAGGTCCATCTACTAGCTATGTTGATTTAGCGGCTGAGCTAGCTATGGGGCGCACCATGAGGCTTTCACAACGAAGTTCACCTAGAATATTGAGTGCCGTAGAATAGACCGATAGTATACCAGGGCCACAAGAGCGTATAGTCTACCAATGTCCATCATAACGCTGATGTTAGTGGACCCATCCGAAGTCCTCCACGAACCAGTCCACCATGCGCTGAATGGCCGTCTGCTGGAGCGCCTCGATCTGCTTGTTGCTATGCGTGATGAAGGAATCGCTGCAATGCGCGCCGTCAGCGATGAGGCGAAGCTGCTTGTCGCTGTGGGACGCCTGGACACCGTCGGCGGCGACGGTCGCCTGGCGCCAAGGATCACCTGCAAAGCTCAGTGTCAGCGGGACGGATGAAATTCGTAGGAGAGCAACGCTCACGCCAGCCGTTCGCGAAAATGAGATGCGGGCGAGTGGTGTTCCAGCCGTTGTGGTCGGAGTTCACCTTGAGCGCGTTGAGGACGGGGGAGCGGAGCGTGCCGTGAAGGGCGCCCGGGAAGTCGTACTCGCAGCTCCTCTCGGAGTGGTCGAGCTTGAGGAAGCGGGAGACGAACGATGGGTAGCCTTCGGGTGCCCCGACGGGGAAGAAGCCAAAGTTTCGGCATCTAGAGGGACAACGATAAGCGACGCGAAGTGGAATATGATCGGGTGGAGGTGGACGCACTGCAACCACTTCCACGACCGGCCGGAATTAGGTGCCGCCGTGTTGTTCCATCGAGTTGAAGATGCATTGTGGGTACCGAGGCTAGACCTGAAAAGCAGCTACGTTGGAGCCAAAGCAGGGACACGATTCCAAGGGTAAAACATACTCGGCGTTTCTGGAGCCATAGTCTACAATGAACAGTTAGTGGATATTGGAACAGTCACGGGAAAACATACAGCGAGGATAGTAAGTTTCTTTCCAGTACTTGCCCATGGCCTTGAATGCGTGTTCTTGGCCGAAACCACTTGCGGGAGCAACACTACCGTCATCGTCAACCTCGAGCGCATCGCAGAACTGCTCGTAGAGCGTGTGATTTGACTGGTAGTAGTTCAAAGGACTTTTAACTGACCGAATGCGATCAGACGACTAGCTCCAATCTATCAATAAAAGCCAACGCACGTGCAGCCACGAAGTCGTCCACGTGTACGACTTCCTGTAGTCCGAAGTTGGCCTTGACAGCGTGAACTTCGGCCGTGTCGTTATTCTCGAGAACAGAATCCACGTAGTTAATCGCCGCAGCGATGTCAGCTGAACAGTTGGCAGGGGTGTTCTGGCGAATGGCGTCCGAGTAGCCCCAGAAATTGCTAGTTGACATCATCAGCAACGAATCTTGAGACAGAAAGTCAGAGCATACGCGATAGACTGAACAACTGCAGAGGCAGCATAGCCTGCCCAGAAGACATCGGGATGACTGCGATATTTAGTTAATGCGATTCCAACGGGATGGAAGGCGGACAGTTATCGTACCGATCTACCAAGAAACTGGTGAGTGCACCGGGGTAACTGCATCCCACCATGATCCAGGCAGTGTTCCCGGGCGCAAGTTTGTCTCCACCGGGTTGAGGAAGTTTGACGTTCCTTGCGAAGTAAACCATGTCTTCGATCGCTTGTTCGACAGTGTGCACCAACAGGCTTTCGGATGAGAGGTCGGGATACGGGTTGGATTCGCCGAAAAATCGGTGCTCGATGACAACGCCAGAGCCATTCAGAGCGTGTGCGAACGCGCCGCTCATGGTGCTCTTGTCCAAGCGGGAGGTGAAACCTTTCTCGACCTTCATCAGTCAATATAAGAGAGTGTGTGGAAGAATCCCTCCCACCATCAGCTTTCTGTTCTCCTGGGGTGAAGAGGACGACGGGGCCGCCTAATCGAGATATCTGCCAATGAACAACTGAGGCAAAACGAGATGAAACAGCACTCACCCGACTTGTAATACTCATCGGAGTGCCAATAGCGCTGCTTGAACGTCCCCTTCTCGGGATGAAAGTGATCTATGAGTTGATCGAAATAATAGGTGGTCTCGTGGTCTTGGACGTTCTGCTGAGTGGTGAAATGGCTGAGCGTGGTCGTCTGATCACCATCAGGGTTATATAATGGGTCAAGCGGCATACTAGGCTGGAGAGAGGACAGGGCTAAGGAAACCCAAAGCAGAGTCGACAAAAAGAACATCGCCGACGGCATTGCGAAGAAACCAGGGGCAAAGGGGGAGGGAGGAAGGTGACGTTTCTAAATGCCAACCTTCCGTCTTATACTTGGGGTCGTCACGCACTGCAAAATGCGCCTCGCGGCAGTCGCTTCGCCGCGGCTTGACAGCCCGGTGCAGGATGATGAAATTCTTAGCAGCGCGCGCCGCCCGTTCTGCATGGCCCACCGGGAGGCACGTCGAAGGTGACAATGAGAGCGTGCGCCCCAGTTCACGAAACTAGCAGCAAAGTGATGGGCGCCGCCGTGTTATTCTAGGGGCTAGTGGGCGGCGTTTGGAGGGTGCCTGTCGAGAAATTGCGGTGGCAGATGCTCTGAAAGCATCGGCGGCGGCAGTGGAGGCGATTGATTATGGGCGTGGCCGCATGAGACCGTGATGACCGGGATCGGGGTAGAGGGCGATCCTTGGCAGTGGCACAGAAGCGGTGTCCACCAGAATTTCTTGGCTGCTGGCACTGCTGCATGAGACCTTCCGTGAGTCAAGTGCCTACTAGATCACTTAGCTGCATATCACACCGGCGCGATGGCAAACTCCTTATGACGGTCTCGCAGGGATCGGTCTGGCAACAAGAAATCATGTATTGTGTTCAAGCACGATCTCCATCTCATTCACAGCGTCATCTGGCCCAACTCTCGACGTAAGTGCGTCTCCGCCAGCCGCAAGCGAGTCGATAAGCATCGCCAAACGAGACGAGGTCATGTTCGGTTCCTGCGCATATACGATATTCATATGCACCAGGGAGTCAGAGCTAAGATGAAACGCACCTTGCGGATCTCCTCCAGGTCGTCCTTGAATGCATCGGCTACCGACACCATCCAAAACCGCCTGAACTTCTCCTTCAGCATTTGCTCGTCCGCCTTTTGCATTTCTGCCGAGGTTTTCTCCGACATAAACGTCGGGATGGCTGTCGGTGGAGGGGTAGGTGATGCGGGACGCCTTGTAACTTTCGGAACAGGTTTTCGAGCATCTGTGGGTGGCGTAGGGTCCCTCTCATCACCCATCCGCTCATCTTCAGCTTCGCTGCTGCTGTCCCCACTGTCCTCGGAAGACGATGAGGAAGAGGATTCCGCCTTTGTCTCGGGAGTAGGCTGCGCCTTCTTTGCCCCCTTTATGGAGACGCGGACGACCGCTTGCCGGGGAGCATCAGAGTCGGATGACGAGTCTGAGGAAGAGTCTGATGAGGAGGAAGAGGCAGCACGGCGTTTCCTCTTGCGCGTTCGCTTGCGGGCGGCGGGGGTCTGGGCGGGAGGTGGGGCCATGACGGATGAAGGAGGGAGAGTCAAGCCAGAGGAGCTTCCAGGAGGAGGCTCGAGCGGACGTCGGCCCGTAAAAGCCTAGTGGAAAATGGTGAAGGCGCCGAAATCTTGAACAAGCTTGCGTCTTACCACCACTCTTCCCCACCTTCAACGCGACTCAGCGAGCTCGTCACCAGCATGGACAAGGTCGTTGGGATACTAGGTAGAAGTAAGTGGCTCGTCGCATTAAGCCGTCTGTTTGCTCACCCAATGCCTGCAAAGCTCTTTTCTTCGCCCCCAACATGCTCGTTCACACAAAACCCACCTCTCAGGCGGCGGCCAGCTAGGCCGTATGCTCGGTGCCGCCGCGTCGCTCCTCAACATCGACGTTGTCGTTCTCGATGTTGGTGACCACGGTCCCGCCAAGCAGGTCCTCGCGCCCCGTACTCCCGCGCTCGCGCACATCGATGGCGCATTCACCGACCCTGTCAAGATCCGCGAACTTGCAGCAAAGGTCGACGTCCTCACTGTGGAGATAGAGCATGTGGGAGTTGACGTCCTGGAAGAAGTGGAGAGCAAAGTCCCGCTCGGCGTTCACCCCAGCCCGTCTACGATTCGCGTGATCCAGGACAAGTACGCGCAAAAGGTGCATTTGCAAGCCGCTGGGTGCGCCATTTCCGACTTCATGCCCGTCGACGCGAATGTTGCCTCTATCCGTGCCGCCGCGGAAAAGCTTGGCCTGCCCCTCATGCTCAAGAGCCGCACACTCGCTTACGATGGTCGCGGCAACTACGTGCTCCGCGACGTCGCTCACGCCGAAGAGGCCATCGCCGCGCTCGGAGGACGGTCGTTGTATGCGGAGAAGTGGGTACCCTTCGTGAAGGAAATCGCGGTCATGGTCGTGCGTTCGCGCGATGGGCAGGTCGCGTCGTACCCGGCCGTTGAAACGGTACACCAAAACAACATCTGTCACCTCGTCTTCGCCCCCCTGCGCAGCAACGACCCTTCTATCGCGGCCAGAGCACGGACCGTAGCGGAGATCGCGGTCAAGACATTGCAGGGTGCAGGCGTCTTCGGTGTGGAGATGTTTCTCATGGCAGATGGTGCGTCTCTCGTTTCTCAGTTGCTTGATACATGCGCTGCAACTACCCATAGAGACCGTGTACCTTAACGAGATCGCACCACGGCCACACAACTCGGGCCACTACACCATTGAAGCATGCGAGACATCGCAGTACGAGAACCACCTCCGCGCGATCCTCAACCTCCCTCTTGGATCCACCGCCCTCAAAGTCCCTTCTGCATGCATGCTCAACATCCTAGGCGCATCCTCTTCCCTCCCCGACGTTACTTCCTTCGCGCAACTCGCGCTCACCGTCCCGGGGGCGCGCGTCCATCTCTACGGCAAGGCAGAGTGCCGCGCCGGGCGCAAGATGGGGCACATCACCATCGTCGCGCCTTCCGACGCAGAGCTTGCGATCCGCCTACGCCCGCTTCTGGAGCACCTCCCTCGCTCTTCCGTCCTAGACGATGACAGTATGCAGCTCGAGCTCAGCACGTTCGCCCCTGTCTCCCCACAACGCGGGTTTTCGCACAAGCGCCCGCTGGTTGGGGTCATCATGGGCTCGGACTCGGACCTGCCTGTGATGCTTCCCGCGGCCGACATGCTCGTCCGCTTTGGGATCCCCCATGAACTCACGATCGTCTCCGCCCATCGCACGCCCGACCGGCTCGTCGAATACGCTCGCTCCGCGTCTGCGCGGGGGTTGCGTGTAATCATTGCTGGGGCAGGAGGAGCGGCGCATCTACCTGGCATGGTCGCAGCGATGACAGGGTTGCCTGTTATTGGCGTGCCGGTGAAGGGGAGCACGCTGGATGGCGTAGACTCTCTTCACAGTATCGTCCAGATGCCGGTAAGTTTGCAGTCACTTCGTTTGCGACTCCTCACTGATAGCGGATATGTTCTAGCGAGGCATCCCGGTCGCAACTGTTGCGATCAACAATGGGATGAACGCAGGGCTGCTCGCAGTCCGCATCCTCTCAGCCGGTCAAGCTGAGTTCATCGCCGCGATGGAAGGGTATATGAAATCAATGGAGAGCGAGGTGCTAGGGAAGGTAGACAAGATTGCAGAGATGGGCTGGGAGGAATATGAGAAGGCAAGAAAGGCACACTGAAGACGAGTACACTCGTGAAGAACGCGGTGGTTTGTGAGAGCCTTGAAGATGTCAACGTCATGTATGAGTTTGCTTAGATCAGAAAACGAAAGTGCATTGCCTGATCTTCATTATCAGGCCTTTTGTTCATCGTACGGAGCGCTAACCTTCTCTGCGCTTCCGCGAGGACTGAAGTACTGAAGTCCTCCTGCGCTCGTGCCGGCCCTGAACAAAGCGACCTCACGCACCCGTGACCTGATGTCGACCTCGCGGTCAACACGCGCTTCATATGTTGACGTCCGTCCCAGCCCTCGTTCACGGTATTGAACTTCCGACTCCGGCCATCTCCCCTCATGAGCCTCAGTAACCTTTTCGTCGGTTCCAACAAATGCTCCACATGTGGGTTAAGGCCAGCAGATCGGATGACGCTGAAAAAATGCAGTGGATGTCGGTCGGTCAAGTACTGCTCCCGCGATTGTCAAAAGGAAGCCTGGCCAGTACACAGGTCCGTTTCTCTCACCAATCACATTCTCTCCGTCTCTGACTTGCCGTCTCAGGCTCGAATGCCGACCGTCCGCAAGCTGTCCTGATCCAAACGCAGCCTACATTAGGTTTGGCTATCCCGCACGCAAAGCTCTCACCGACGCCATCAGCGAATGGGCCAAGATTCAGGAGTACTCCCTCACGATCATCATCAACATCACCGTCCACCTCCTGGAACGCGAGCCCGGAGAGACGATCGATGACCTTGTCTTAGCGTCCGACAACGCCATGATCTTCACCATCCGCCCAGTTGAGGGCGAGCCCCTGCCACTCGTATCTCCTGCGGACCGCTTTGTGCTGCACGGTTTTGTGCTGCACGAAAAGCACGACGCCCTCCGCGAGGGCTTTACCCTCGAACAATGGGACAAAGCCGTGGCGCGCCGGGACGAGACGAACGCGCGATACCTTCCCACTGCGCCCAACGCCATCGGGCACTTCCTGAGCTCGTTCACCGTGGCCGGCACCAGCTTCTCCGTCGCTCACCAGACCCCCATCTTCCGCCTTCGACGCCCACGACTCAGGCAGAGAGACCGGGACGTGCTGTACGACGTGCGCGAGGTGTTAAAAGGGTTCACGTCGTCCAGGTATATCGCAAAGCACGAGGGACCGCCGCTCGCCACTGTTGGGAAGATGAAGACGGTAGGGAAGAAGTGGGTGTTTGCCGAGGATAGCAACTGGAGCTGGGCGAGCTCAGTACCGGGCTTTGTTGTACGCGCCTTTCGGTCGAGGCTTTCTGTGCCAGCGGTGTTCATGCGTCTAAGAGAGATCCTCGCGTTACCTTGACGAAAGGCGGGGACGACACTTTCTCTGCGGTTGTTTGGGGACAGTCTTATTATGAAGACAGCGCCTCGGGGTGTATTTGTCTCACATGTACATAGAGACACGGCCAGAACCAGAGGATGGTCTGCGGATGTATATCAGTTCCTGTGAGGCTGCAGGGGACGAAGAGGACATGTCGCCATTATCTGCCATCTCTCTCGAGGCGTGCAAGTACTTTTGATACGAGAACTAATCCCAATCTCACTAACTTTCGCTGGCCTTGAGAGTAAGCACTGTTTAGAGCCAAGCGTCCTCTGGAAGATATTTAAATGGACGCTGTTGATTGTTCCGGATCCGAAGCCGGCGTTTAATGTCTTGAGTCAATGCTGGGACGATGACCTCATCACCATTCATCTTCCTTCCCTCCTCCCACCTGATACCAACATGCCACCTCGGCTCAACAAAAGACAACTACGGGAACAAGAAGAACTGTTGGATCTCCAGGATGCTGTTGAAGATGGGTCTGAGGAAGAGAGCCCGGTCGCGCCATCGTCGAAACCCCAACTAGGAGGATTCGCCGCAGTGAGTATCCAGACCTGGCTCTGTACGTGGAAGTTGTTTATAACATCTGTCCCAGCTCATGTCGGGACAAAATGACGACGACAATGATGAGAGCGAAGAGGAGACACAGACCCGTTCATCCAAGTCCAAGAAGGCTCGTGAGCTCTTTCCATTTGCTCCTGCGCGTCCTAATTCCGAGGAACACACATAGAAAAAGAAGAAGAAGAAGGGCGCACCTTCAACCCCCGCCGCACCTTCCCCCGCTCCCCCATCCCCAGCTCCTGTCGCTGTCCTCCTTCAACCCGCCCATGAAGCCCCCTCATCGCCGGCAGGCCCCTCTAAGAAAGAGCGCAAAGCCCTCAAGAAGCAGAAGGCGAAGGACAAGGCGAAGGAAGACGAGATGGACGATGTCGACAAGGCACTCGCCGAGCTCTCCGTCAAGTACCCCGACTTGAAGCAGCAGCTGGTATCCTCCGCCGCTGGGCCTGCGTCCTCCCCGGTGAGCGCGCGCGATCTCGCAGCGCTCCTCGCCGTATCGGTGCAACATCTCGATAGCGAAGCGGAGCTCCGCAAGTTCTTTGGGTCCAAGGTCATCTCCGCAGCGAAGGTGTCCTCGTCGAACCCACATACACCCGCCCGGCAGAGCGCCGCGAAACGATCGAACCTTACAAGACCTCAACCGGACTGGTGGCCCGCGCAGTTCAGGGAGGGCCTGTCGGTACAAGTCCTTACGGAGGATGACATGGAAGGGAGCCTGAAGCGGCATCTCAGGCAGCCGGTGCATGGGGAAAAGGTGTGGACCGTGGAGTACAGCAAGAAGTACCGTGCGGTTACGTTCGACTTCATGCGCACAGTCATGTCAGGAGGTGCGTTTATGAGGTCTCCCTGCGCATATACCGAGGTGTTCATTTTGCTTGGCAGATCCCGATGGATTTTATCACATCCTCCGATTGCTCCCCTACCATGCAGACACGCTTCTTCAGCTGTCTGAGGTTTACCACCACCGAGAAGGTTTGTCATTCGCGCGACCGTTCTTAGCGAACTCTTCCTGAGTGTGCATTGGTAGAGCACAGTACAGCGGCAGATTACGTCGATCGGGCGCTGTTCACCTACGAACGTGCCTTCGTCGGAGCATTCAACTTCACGAGCGGCTCGAATCGGCTCGACTTCGACCGCATCGAGAACCGCCCCTTCTTCCTTGCGCTACATCGACAGATCAGGTGCGTTCATCTGTTTTATGGTTGCGAAATGAAGCAGACTATGTGCACAGCGATTTGCAGCGTCGTGGCTGCGTCCGCACATCTTTCGAATTTGCTCGCCTCCTCTACGCCCTTGACCCATGGACCGATCCTCACGGCGCGCTTCTACATTTGGACTATCTCGCGATCAAGACGAATATGGGCCAGTGGCTCATTGACCTATGGGACGTCTTCGAATCGGAGATCAAGAAGGAGGCCAAGGATGGTAAGTCACCGTATGTCAGGCGGATGTTACCAAACCTTCTTCCGGGTATTGCGTATTCGCGTGCGCTTGCCTTGTTCATTCGAGAAGGCGACATGGTACGTCGTATTTTGCTGGAAATATTGGTGTGTCTGAGACACCATGTAGGACCACGAACGCAGCACGGAGGCGTTAAAGGAGGCCATCCACACCTTTCCTTCCGTTGTCCCCCTTCTCGCCGACAAAGCCGACATCACACTAGGAGGCAACATCCGGCAGCACCCATCCTTCAGGATACAGGTTGACAGAAGTTCCCTGTTGTCGGACAGCTTAGCCATCTTGCACCTGCTCTCCCGCCTCTACGCTAACCGCGCCGGTGCACTCTGGAAGTCCTCCGATCGCGCCAGCTGGTTCTCCAAGACCGTCGCCGTGACCTACACCGCCCTCCCGTCAAGCTCGCCCGCGCCCCCGAAGGCCTTCTCCGCGCGGTTCGACGCGCCCGCGCTCTCCGCCGCGGTCTACCGCCACGTGCTCGTCACGGAAGCCTCGAGCCGGTCGCTGTTCACCTTCCTCCCGCGCGCGGTGCTCGACGGCCGCGCGCTCGCGTGCGACCCGCTCCCGCCGCCGACGCGGACGACGGAGTACGACGGGAACTTCTTCCGCGGGGTCGAGGAGCTGCTCGCGGCGCGCCCGCGCTCGCGCCGGCAGGAGGCGCGGATGCTCGAGCGGCTCGTGCCCGACGGCGCGTTCCGCGCGCAGCTGCTCGGCTTCTGGGACGCGCACCCGACCGTGCAGCAGCGCTTCCCGGGCGGGGTCGTCCAGTTCGCGCAGTGGGCGGGGCAGATGCCGGAGGAGGCGCTCGAGGACCTGTTCGTCGAGATCGAGAACCAGCCGCTGCAGGAGGGCGGGGAGATGCCGGGCGGGATGCCCGGAGGCGAGTTCATGGTGGACTTCGTGGACCCGGGGGACGTGGAGGAGGCTGCGGAGGAGGGTGGGGTGCAGCTCCGGCGGCCGGCGGAGGCGGTGGCTGAGGAAGATGACGAAGAGGAGGAGGAAGAGGAAGAGGAAGAAGAAGTGGCGGTGCGTCTCTTTTTCGTTGGTTCCCATATTCGCGCTCATCATCGTCCAGGCCTTGTCAGTGCGGCTTCTGCGCAACGTCTTCAATCGATTCTGGGGTGGAGGACAGGCCACTCGTGAGGACTCATCCGACGAAGAGGAGCAGCTGCGAGACACTGGAGGCGTTGACTAGTCACACTCGTGCAGACAAGAATGCATGTATTCCAGCCGATATCTTGTAGCGATAACTTGCACTATTCAACGTACACTACATTCCCGCTGTCGAAAGCTACTCGCGCGTCGATCCATCAGTACAGAAGGCATTCTTGCCGACAAGGGAGGACACGGCCGTGCGGAAGCCGTGGGTGAACATAGGGGCGAGAATTTGACTGAGATGGCCCAACGGGTGAGGCCTTGAGGGAGTACGAACATCGAACGAGTCTTTAAAGACGTCACATTGGTTGCCATCCATGAATTTGATGATGAGCCCTCGGGCTAAAGTTTGGTGTGTTTGAGGTACAACGCGCCATCGCACGCACTGATATCTTCGTCGCTGCAGTCGTTGATCGCCTTGGTAGGACATAGGAAGTGGACGGTGCCGAACTCCACTCCTTGGAGCTGTCGGCCGTGTGGTATCGAGGCGAGCTTGGCAAAGGCGGTATGAGGGAGACCGGGGGATCGGGGAGGTGTCCTCTCGGAATGGGGCCGGGGAGGTTGGGACGAAGATGGTCGGTGAACGCTGACAATGAAGCGCGAAACAGGGACAAGAGGAGGATTATTATTATTATTTTCATTCTATCCCTATGTGTCACATATGCACAGGGGACAAGAGGAGGAGGTGGTGCTTACAGCGTCGCCGCCAAACGTCACGTGCTCGACTCTCGGACTTGTTCGCACCAGTGTTAGTTGGCTCTTTCCTCTACAAGTCATGAAGCATTCTCGAGTCTCGACATCCACACCCCACCATGCTCCCCCACTCCCGCGTATTCGAACTGTGCCCTCTCATACAGCCTCTTCGCCTCACCGTTTCCCGCCGCAACTTCCAGCCACACCACCGCGCACCCTCGCCCTGGCCCTTCTCCCGACCCCGCATCCTGCGCAACCCAGTCGAGGGCGTGCGTCAACAACATCCGTCCCACGCCGTGCTGCCTCCACTCCGGCCGGACCCACATCCCGAAGACGAAGTAGGCCGTGGTCCTCTCCGCTCCCGCGGGCAGCGGAACCCCCGGGACGGCCCTCGCCGCGATGACCGTTGCGCTGCCCACCAACCTCCCTGCACCCTCGTCTTGGCTGTCCTCAGCGGAGCGCGGCTCGTGTGCGACGACCGTCCTCCGGCCGGACCCGGTGATGCGGGCGCGCCATGTTGCGTCGTCGAACGCGGCCTCGCGCGAGTACGTCGATCCGAAGCAGGCCGGGTCGCTCTTGAGCGCGGCGAGCCGCAGGTCGCGGTAGCCGGCGATGTCGGCGGGGGATGGGTCGTTCGGTATGGGAGAGATCACGAAAGGTGCGGTGTGGGTGCCGCGGGAGTGCATGACGCGGGTTTCGCGAAAGTGAGTTCGAGGCCGTTCGACACATATGTTGCTCGAGAATCAGTCAATATATTTCCTTCCGTCTTGACTCGACTGTGCGTCGTTAAGACGGAGTGGTGGCTCTCTAGTCATTGTGACTCGGTGCTGCGACGTCGTGTCAAAGGGCCCTCAAGCTTTGAGACCAGGCCGAATCCGGCTGGCATTTGTGTCCTCCCCTCGCGCCGTCCCTGCTTGCTGCTGTTACTCACGCGTTGTTAGGGAAGGTACGTCGAGCAGATTTGAATGGACGCAGGAATCTTTACTCACAATCTGCAACGCAGGCGTGCTTTTGGAAGCTGGGCGCCTCGGATGTATGTGTACTAGCACTCCCAGGTCAGTACTTACCTGGACCACCCGCCTCCTCCTCCTCCTCCTCCTAGCCAAACCAATCAAGCCTGTGAGGTCGAGGTGCACGCACCTTGTGCACCGGATTGGATCCTGCCAGATTCTGACATGAATTGAAGGGTCCTTTGGGCGTCATCTGAGTACGTCTTGCCTGCCTCACTTACCAAAGCGTGTGGAGGAGACCTTGTACTCATCATGTTGAAGATACGCGCGGAAGCGCCGGCTACGATTAGATTAGATTACGCTATGCGTTCGGATGATACCTTTGTAGTTCCTTATCTCTTAGTTCAGTCTATCACGCCTTACGATACTCTTAGGTCTTTGTTCTTGTCATGTACTATTTACAGCGCGCGCGCATACAGCGCTAATCAAGCTTCGTTTTCCCTTCCCCGAACCTGCGCGAACTTCTACAGGTTATGAGCCCTGCTTCGTTCTAAAGCAGTATCCACTCAGCCTCTTGTACACACCTTAGCTTGACATCTCCACTCACTATGACTTCCAACACCGACAAGATCAACTCGTTGCTCCGGGCGAAGATTGAGCCACTCTCGGGATCGAGCGACTATCCCCGGTGGCGTCGGCAATTCTCAGGGCTTCTCAAACTCGCGAAGATCTCGGACATCGTCCTCGGTCACGAGACGCGCCCGAAGCTAGCCGACGACAGGAGCAACAGAGCCGACGTCGAAGCCTGGGAAGACAAAGACCTCGCGGCGCTTGTCGGTATGCAACTCAAGCTCGGGACGGCGGCCGCGGCGCTTGTATCGGACGCGGATACGAGCCACGACGCCTGGATGAAATTGGAGAAGAACTATCAAGTACGCGGCGTGGGACGCATCATCGAGATCAAGAGGAAGATGATGAACTCACAATACTCTGATGGGGAGGACGTGGACGAGTGGGTGCAGAGGATGGGTGTGTGGCGGTCGGAGTTAGCGGACATGAACCGGACGATCTCAAACGATGAGTTCTCACTTCTGCTTCTCTGCGCACTCCCGGAGTCTTGGCGCGGCTTCACGAGCTCGATTCAAGAGAGCGCGCTCCAAGACCCGGACACCATCATCGGATCAATACGCGATCACGGAGCGCGCACTCACGCAACCGAGGCCGCGTTCCTGGCGAAGCAAGGTGGGACCGGCGGGAAGCGGAGCGGCGGGCCGCCGCACTGCTGGAAGTGTGGGAAGGTCGGGGTGCAGAGGGATTGCCCGAACCATCGTCCGTGGGGCGGTGGCAAAGGGAAAGAAAGGGAGACGGGAAAGGATGAGAAGGCGTTGACGGCGAAGGAGAAGAAAGGGAAGGCGGAGGAGAGTTCGGACGATGAAGGATACGCCTACGCTCTCATCGAGACGGGCGCCACGATCAACGAGGTCGCGCTTACCGCTATGAGCGCCGGCGCATGGATCGCGGACACCGGCACCACATCGCACGTCGCGCGCGAACGGCGCCTCTTCACCACCTACTCACCCGTCACTGGCAAGTACCTCCAAGGCGCCGGAACCACCCCCATCCTCGGTCGCGGAACCATACGTTTCACTTACAAGCACGACGGGAAGACTACCACTGTCGACCTGCTTGACGTCATCCACGCACCCGGCATTCCGCACAATCTCATCTCGATCGGTCGCGTCGAAGCGGCCGGACACACGGTTCAACTAGCCGGCGGGGAGATCAAATTCCTCAACCGGAAGGGGCGCGCTTACGCCTCTGGACGCCGCGGGGGCGGCTACCTTTACGAAATGGACGGAGCACCGGAGATTCCGGAGGTATCGTACCCGGGCGCTGTTTCCAGACCTATCCGCAAACGAACTTACGACGAATGGCACGCCATACTAGGGCACCCGGGCTTGAAGGTCGTGGACACGATGATGCGGAAGGAACTGGTGGACGGACTGGTGGTGGACAAGGGGACGCCCGCGCAGGAGCAGTGCGAAGCGTGCGTACAGGGGAAGCAGACGGTGGCACCATATCCGGCGGCGTCGGAGACGGAGGTGGGAGTGATCGGGGAGTTGATCGTGCTGGACACGTGGGGACCGGCCCGGACGGAGGGGATAGGACACGAGCGCTACGCATGGGTGTTCACCGACGTGCACTCGCGTATGTCGGAAGCGGCTTTCGGGAAGGAGAAGTCTGAAATCAAATCACATTTCCACGAATACCGCATGCGCCTGCAAACTCTCCACGGCGTCACCATCAAACGCGTCCGCTTCGACAACGCGAAGGAGTTCCTCGGGGGAGAGTTCGGCGCTTACCTCAAGGAACACGGCATCACGATCGAGACTACCGCACCCGAGTCTTCTGGCCAGAACGGGATTGCCGAGCGCGTCTTCCGGACCACCTTGGAGCGGTCGCGCGCCATGCGCATCGCTGCCGATCTACCCAAGTTCCTATGGCCACAAGCCTTCGCACATGCCATCTTCCTGAAGAACATCCTCCCGACTCGCGCACTCAAGGACAAAACACCCTACCAAGTGTGGCACAAGCGGAAGCCCGACGTCTCCGAACTCCACGCCTGGGGTGCTGAGTGCTGGGTTCTCACGTCAGCAACGAAGCGATCAAAGCTTGATCCGAAATCGGAACCGATGCGCTTCGTCGGGATGGCTCCGGGGAGCAAAGCCTGGCTATACTGGGACAGGCACGCGCGGCGGATCGGAAAGTCACGCAACTTGGTCTTTCGCGTACGGAAGCCCACTCCGCCCACGGACGAGGACGAGGACGTATGGGAGTACATGGAGTACTTCGCCCAGCCGCTCGAGGGGGAGGATGTGGAGTCTGGCGAGCGTCAGGACGAAGAAGAAGGGGGAGAACCCCGAGGAGACGCGGACTGGACACCCGCACCCGAACTCGCGATCGCGCCCGCGCCTGAACCCGCGACCGCGCCTGCGCACGCACCTGCGCTCGCGCCCACGCTCGCGCCCGCGCCCGTACCGGAGGTCCCGCGTCGCGCGTCGCGATTGGCAGGCAAGCCACGCCTAGACTACAAGGCACTTGCGCACAACGGCGAACGCGTCCCCATCACCGACGAAGCACTCATCACGTGCTTACTCTCACTCTTCGGCGTTGAAGGGGGAGCGGGGAACGTCATCGAGCCGCGCAACTTGAAGGAGGCGCGCGCACAACCGGAGTGGCCAGAATGGAGGCGCGCGATGGAGAGCGAGCTCGCGCAACTCATCAGACTTGGGGTCTTCGAGATGGTGCAGCTACCGGAAGGGCGGAGGACAATAGGATGCCGCTGGGTCTATCGCCTGAAGGTCAACGCGGAGGGCATCATCCTTCGATTCAAGGCACGGCTGGTCGCGCTCGGGTACAGCCAAATCTTCGGGCTGGACTTCTTCGACACATACGCGCCAGTCGTGCGAATGGATGCACTTCGGGCCTTGATCGCGATCGCAGTGCACAAGCGACTCATCATTCGGCAATTCGACGTCGTCGGCGCTTACCTCAATGCCGACCTCCAGGAGGAGATCTACATGTGCCAGCCCCCGGACTTTGAGGACGGGACCACGAACGTGCTCAGCTTGAAGAAGCTCCTCTACGGACTCAAGCAAGCCGCCAATGTCTGGAACATACACATCGACGGGGCACTCGTACAGGACATGAAGTTTATTCGCACTGAACCGGATCAGTGCGTCTATGTCCGGCCCGGCGGCGAGCACGGCATCGGACTGCACGTGGACGACATGGTGGCTGTGGCTCCGAACGAGGCGGAGATGGACGCGATCAAAGAAGGTCTCGAGCGTCACTGGACGCCTATCCGTAATGCCAGGTCGCTCGGATTTCCGCTCGATCACTCTGGACGAGATGGGATCTGAACTCCGACTGTTTAACCGAGCTCGGCTATGGCTGGAGAGGGGGTCGGACCCCCTCTCCAGACTCATTTTTAAGACTCCGAAGATAGCCGAAGCTAAGCGACAGTGATCGGGAGCGGTCTGACCAGCCCCCGCGTTGTGGATAGGCGTCCAGTGATCGGGAGCGGTCTGACCAGCCCCCGCGTTGTGGATAGGCGTCCACTACGAGATCACGGATCTAGGCGAGCCGCGTCTACTCCTTGGACTTGAAATCTCGCGCCCTATCGGATCACCTGACGACCTCACGCTGCGACAGACGAACTACCTACGTCGCGCGCTTGAAGCACACCACATGTCAGAGTGTACACCGGTGAAGACGCCGATGGACCCGAACGTCAAGCTCCTGAAGACGAGCGAGGATGAGGAGGTGACCCCCGCACAAGTCCATGAGTACCAATCAGCGATCGGTACCTTGATGTACGCGGCACTCGGCACGCGACCGGATCTCGCGTACGCCGTACAGGCGCTGTCCCAATTCTGCTCGCGCCCCGGCCCAGTGCATTGGACGGCCCTCAAGCACGTCTTCCGCTACATCAAGGGGACACTCGACTACGGTATCACTTACCACGCGCAGGGGGAGCTGGTAACGAAAGTGGCGTACCAGCACTTGCGCCTCGAAGGGTACACCGACGCGGACTGGGGCGCTAATCCGGTGGACCGGCGATCAATCTCCGGATACGCGTTTCTGATCGCCGGTGGACTTGTCGCGTGGAGCTCGAAGAAGCAAGCGGTAGTAGCGCTATCGTCGACGGAGGCGGAGTACATGGCGGTGTCGTACTGCGCGCGACACACGATCTGGATGCGCGCACTTCTCGCGGCGCTGTATCTGAAGCAGGAGGACGCGACGGACCTCAATGCGGACAATCTCTCAGCCATCGCGCTCTCCAAGAACAACGTGCATCACGCGCGTACCAAGCATATCGACATCCGGCATCACTTTATTCGCGAATGCGTAGAAGCCGGTACTATCAAACTGAAGCACGTACCTACGGAGGACAATGTCGCGGACATGTTCACGAAGCCGCTTCCACGCGACCGCTTCCACATGCTGCGGCGGCAACTCGGGATCCTCTCAGACGCCGAGTTGAGGGGGAGTGTTGAAGATACGCGCGGAAGCGCCGGCTACGATTAGATTAGATTACGCTATGCGTTCGGATGATACCTTTGTAGTTCCTTATCTCTTAGTTCAGTCTATCACGCCTTACGATACTCTTAGGTCTTTGTTCTTGTCATGTACTATTTACAGCGCGCGCGCATACAGCGCTAATCAAGCTTCGTTTTCCCTTCCCCGAACCTGCGCGAACTTCTACACATCATAGCTTTGCTTTTCTGACCATTCCTTCCCGTAGAAACCTCCATGGTCGAGCGAACATTCAAAGCTCCAAGGCGCTGTCACCAAGACCGTGCCCAGAAGAGGTTTCACGGCGCTTGGCGAAGCTGCCCTGGATTAGTCCCTCGTCCTCAAGCATGAGGTCTTGAGGCCCTGGCGCCGCCCACAGAGCAAGTGAATCTGTGAATTGCGCGTCGAGGATGGGACCAGGGCCGACAAGGGCAAGACCGAATCGGGCCACAACGCCACTCCCAGTGCGGAAAGAAGTCTCCGTGGGAAAATGTCAAATCTCGCCTGCTCTTCCCCATTTCTTTCTGCCGACCGTGTTGGGTGAGCGCGGATACAAAGACAATGCATCTCGCCCTTCGCTCGGCGCACATGTTGACGTCCGACCCCATTTAGACGCACCCCGGGCCTGATCCAGTGGCCAGATATGGCCGAGCCTTAGTGCCAGCCCCCCCGGCGACTTTGCAGAACAAGGCGAATTCCCTTCGGGGCACAGGCGAGAAGCATACCCCGGCGCGCGCGTATTCCGCTATAAGGGTGCAGCGCAGGCGTTGCCACCCGCAACCAGTGCTCTCGTCGTCTGTTCCCTCTCGACACGCCTGCTTTGCTGCGGCTTTGGAGTTTGGAGCTCGCTTTCGCTCTCCTCAACAACGGACTTTCCCGCGCGCGCACTTGGCCTCTCTACCGCTTGGTATTTAGACCTGCGTCGTCCGTCCCCCGTCGCCCTTCCCCTAACTATTCGTATCTATTCCACCCACCACCGCCCCTTCTGCCACACTCTTTCGACTCGCACCCTATCGACCTCTACACCATGTTTGCCTTCCGTACCGCCTTCATCTTCGCGCTCATCACTCTCGCATCCATCATGCGAGGTACGTCTCTTACTTTAACATCCGCTGCATGTTTGCTAACTCCGCCAACAGTAAGCGCGATTGTGCTACCTCTAAACCGGTACATGCTGGACGTCATCCCCGTGGGCAACCCGGACGGCATCGCTGATGCGAGCACCAACGTCAAGCCGTCCCACCCGACCACTCCCGACGCCGACGTGCCCGTTGCAGACTCGTCCTCCCCATCCACCACGGACGAGAACGAAACAACGACCGACGCGGCGTCCAAGGCTGCCAACCTCGCGTCTACCGAGCCGACCGACGCGGAGACCCCCGACAGCGAGTCTGCGTCTCCCGATGCTTCTGTAAGCTGCTTTGTACTGGTTGTTTTGGGGTACAGCGCTAACCTTCTTACGCAGTCGAGCGGGTCCGCCGATGCCTCCGCGCCCGCGCAGACCAACGGCTCCAGCCGCGTTTCCCTGAGCAGCGCGACGGTCCTCGTCGGCTCCGTCGTCGCTGGCATCCTGCTTTCCGCTTAGATGTTCCGTCGACCCCGTCTCCCGTCTCTCGCCTCTACACCTCGAGCGCGGCCGCAGTGCGCTAGCCGCCCTGCCGGCATGCCCGACTCGACGCCACTCGTTTGCAGCTCCTTCTTCATCGGTCACTGTATGTAGTAATAGTCGATGGGCCTCGTCCGTCGGCCTATGGTTCGCGCCTCGCCGCTGACATTATTACCATACTTGCGCCCCGGCCTTACGTACCGGCCTTACCGCCCCCTTGCCTCTCTACATTGCTAGCTTTACTGTTTCCATAGCTCCTCACCCTCCTACCCCACCCACCTATCCAGGCCCCGGACCCTGCGTTCATGTAGCTTTAGACCTTACCTTTTCGAGCACCCGCAAGATGCTTGTGATCTGCATATGCTGTATGTGTTCGCCCATGGTGTATCGATATCGTTGACTCTATATCCGGTGTGCGCGTTGGTGCGAAGTATTGAAGCGCTATCATTACGCGGTGAGCCGACCCGACGGGGAGTGCGGGGAAGGCACGCCGGGCGGCACTCCCGGACCGGGGCGTTATCAGAGGCGTCTACGCTGCCACGCGCTCGTGCCACAGGCCTTGCTCCCCACCCTCGCGCCGCCCCGCTCCTTTCTACTCTACGCCCGCCTAACTGATACTCTCCCGGCCCACTCCACTCCCCCTCATCCTAGACCCCGACGCAATATACCAGTACACGCGCATACACCGCACTCCAAAGTAGACGGCATGCTCCACGGCGGCCACGCGACGCATCCGCCTCCTCTCCTGAGCACGGCGCGAGTCACGAGCTTCGCGACATGCATCCTCGTCGCGCTCGCGTCCGGGACCAACTATGTATGTCTGTCGAGCGCCCGTGCCCACGACGATCGGAGGCTGACCGGTCGTCTTCGCAGGTCTTCTCAGGTAAGTTGGTGCGCAGTCGTGCCGCTGAATGTGCTGTCCGTCGTCGATAGGACGACGGGCGCACCGCTCTGGCCCCGATGGCCGCCTGTGAGCGGCTGGGCCCGCCAATGGCCTCGGGGACTTTATGTATGCTCCTCTGCTCCCCGAGGAGGGAGTACACTCGGAGCCGCAGGCTTCCTTCGGCTACGGCTGCACAGTACAGCCTGTGCTGAACATGAGGCTATGTTCGTCTCGAGTTCGGCGCTATGCTGCCTCGGGCAGTGCTGATCTCGCTGCAGAGTCTCTGTTCGCGAAGCCCTGTTTTCATTTTGGGACTCCTTCGATGTGGTTAGGATGCTGACCTTGCGCTCATGCAGCTTACGGGCCCCAGCTGGGCGCTCGTCTAGAGCTCACGCACACACAGATCAACCTCGTTGGCCTCGCAGGCAATAGTGCGCAACATTCGTCGTTCGGACAGAGCAGCCACTGATGTCTTTCACAGTTGGCGTGTATGGAAGCGCGCCATTACTAGGAGGCATTGTCGACCGCAAGGGTCCTCGCATTATGATGGTCCTCGCCTTCTGCGCGCTCCTCACGGGATACCTTGGCATCCGTCATTTCTACGACTCCGGCCTGCCTGAGGGCGCGACGACCCTCTCTAGCCTTTCTCTGGCCGCGCTTATCGCCTTCGCCTTCTGTACTGGGGTGGGGGGCAACGGTGGTCTCGTCAGCTCGATGAACGCCACCGCAAAAAGCTGGCCCGACAGCGCAGTGCGTGAGCCCTTCCCTCCGCCCACGGCCCCGACTGACGCACCCCTCCCGCGCGCAGCGCGCGACCGCCAACGGGATCGTCATCTCCGGCTTCGGCCTCTCCGCGTTCCTGTTCTCCACGATCGCGCACACGCTCTTCCCGGGCAACACCTCCGAGTTCCTCCTCGTGCTCGCCGTCGGCACCGCGCTCCCGATGATCCTCGGCTTCTTCTTCGTGCGACCCATCCCCCCGCCGCACGTGCACGACGGGCCCCCGCGCGCGTCCCTCGAGCACGGCACGCTCGCGGACACGACCGACTACGGCGTCGTCGAGGGGCTCGTCGCGGGCACCCCGACCGCGTTCGACTCCGCGAACAGCAGCCAGACGCACCTTCTCGCGCGCGAAGAGGGCGAGGACGACGAGGACGACGGCATCGTGGACGAGGAGAGCGGGCTGCTCGGGGGCGGCGACGAGGACGACTTGCCCGCGCCGGCGCACCGCCCGGGCGCGTCGGAGTACGTCGTGCCCGCGACGGCGGACGCGCTCATGCTGAGCCCGACGCGGTCCGCGAGCCAGCCACGGCACCGGCGGTCGTCGAGCCGGCGGAGCGCGCGACCGGGCACGGACAAGACGGTGGACGGGATGCCGAACGTGTACGGGAAGCGGCTGTTCATGACGGTCGACTTTTGGCTGCTGTTCGCGATCTGTTCCCTGCGTGAGTGTGTCCTTTGCCTGCTTGAGTGGGATGACGAGACGACCCGGCGTGTGCGGTTGCAGTCAGTGGGACAGGTATCATGTGTACGTGTTCTCGCTTTTCTGTTCTGTTCCGTGGCTGACGCGAGGGGCGCAGACATCAACAACGTCGGCGCGATCTCGCAAGCCCTGTTCGCGAACAACAACCCGGACTACGACGAGGTCGAGGCGTCGCAGTGGCAGGCCGCGCAAGTCTCCGCCGTCAGCGTCACGAACTGCCTCGGCCGCATCCTCATCGGTACGCAGCGCCGTCCCCGTCTCCGTCCGCGGCACCTGGTTCTGAACGCCCCGCGCCGCGCCGTGCAGGCATCATCGCGGACGCGGTGAAGGCGCGCCTGCGCCTCCCGCGCACGTTCTGCATCGTCGTCGTCGCGACGATGTTCATCGTCTCCCAGGCGGCCTGTCTCGCGATCGACAACGTCGCGGACCTCTGGAAGGCGAGCCTCCTCCTCGGGCTCTCCTACGGCGGCCTCTTCGGCCTCTTCCCGACCCTCGTCATCGAGTGGTTCGGCCTCGGTGCGTCGCGCGGCCCGTTTCCTCCTCCCCTCCCTCCCTCCCTCCTCGCCCTCCTTCCCTCCCGGTGCGCCCGCCCACGCTCACACGCCCGCGCAGCGCACTTCTCCGAGAACTGGGGCTTCGTCTCCCTCTCGCCCATGATCGGCGGCAACGTCTTCTCGATCGCCTTCGGCCGCAACCTCGACGCGCACGCGGACGGCCCCGGCCCCGCGCCGAACGCGACGTCCGTCACCTCCGCGCTCTCTGCGATCACCTCGCACCTCTCGGCGGTGGCGGGGACCTCTACGGCGGCGGCGGCGGCGGAGCTGGGCGCGCGAGCGGGCGGCGCACCCGCGGCGCACCATTGCGTCGACGGGCGCGCGTGCTACGTCGACAGCCTGCGGATGACGGTCGGCGCGTGCTGCGTCGCGCTCGCGCTGGGCGTGTACGCGAGCTGGCGGGACTTGCGGCGGCAGCGGCTGCAGGCGCAGTGGCGCGGGGTTGGCGCGGGACCGACGGTCGTGGTGTGGGACGGCGAGGAGGATTAGGTGGGCTGGGACGTGGGGAGGAAAAGATGGAAGGGTTGCGTTCAGTGGTTTATAGTTTCTGTCGTGCTCCAATGGATTGGCTGTTGGGTACGAGAGTGGTTGCTTTGGCACGAAGTGATTTTCGGTTGTGACGAAGGAGACTGGGAGAATGCTACAGCATTTCTCGTATATAGTACTCACGTGTGGACGATCAGCAAGGACTTTGTCAGCTACCGACGCGTCGCGCACGTGACCGAATCGCACCTTGAGCACGCCATCCCTGCGCCATCCTCGAGAATATGGAATACGGCCTGGTCACCCTCTCGCTCGACGCCGTCAGCTCTCTTGCTTTCGCTCTTCCACCATCCCACTCTCTGCTCTCCTCCTGGCCCTCTTCGCCGCCCCTTCCCCCGTTTCTTTTGCTTTCCTCACTCTTGCTGCCGACTCTCGACGCCCTCGACGGCCTGAAATACAAATCGGCGGTGTCCGCGTCTTCTAGATCTCCCAATTGCTGGCACCCCATTGCTCGACGACTCTCCCCCTCCTCTGCCCTCGACGCTCCCGCGCCCATCCCCGGCGAGCACGGCCCCTTTCCGCGTTCGTAGCGCTCTCTGGGGTCCTCGCTCAGCGCTGCCTCGTGCGCGCCCGGTGCGGCGGTAATCACGTCCAAGTCGCCGATCACAAGAATGAAGGCGTCGGCACATCGTACGATCTCGCATAGGCTCCAGTGCCCAGCCCTCCCCAATATTTTGTCCTCAAGGCCTCAAGCGCGGCTCAAGGTCTGTTGCATGTTGACTGGACCCTGGCACCAAGACCAGCTCTCAAGATCTCAATACCCCAAGGCGCATATATTCGAGGAGGATGAGCGGACGGCGGTGGTCCTTGTCGCTATCACCCTGCTGGGCGTTCGTGCCCTCCCTCGTGGCCGATTGGGCGGATGCGACGATAGGCCGGGAACGTTATCCGTGGCCTGCCATTCGATCAGCTCGGTCTCAAGTGCGCACTTCCGTCGCACGCGCCTGAACGGAGGATCCGACGAAGCGTCGGGCGCAGCAACGAGGGCGCGGAAGGGTGCCCAGTCGGGCTGATAACGTGAGTATCGGGCTCTCATGTGTCAACGCGTGGTCTGGGTTGGCGACACGGGGCTGGCGACCGAAGAACATGTGGCCAACCATTTGTCGTGAGCGGCAGGTGTCTTCGCTTGCGTGCCTATGCTGTCGCCTGCATTTCGCTGTGGGGTCGCGCACGTTTCGTAGACACGGTGTCCGGGTTCCTGCATGTCTCTAGCTACATCGCGTATAAAAGCTTCAATTTTCCCCTCATTGCTCGACACTGCTGGAGCCTGCTCTCTCAAACCCACTCGATTTGAACACCACCATGGCCACCCGCTCCGACTCCCCTTCGTCCTCCAGCTCTTCCTTCTCTACTCCCTCCACTGCTCCGTCCACTCCCCCATCGGGTCACTCGGGCGCGTACTACCTCGTTTGCGACGCGGAGGTCTTGAAGACCATCCCGGTCAAGCAGGGTACCAGCGACCGTGTCCTCTTCATCCAAGGCCAAGGCTCCTTCAAGACCCTCCTCGCCCAAGCAGCTGAAGCCCTCGATGACACCACCCTCCTCGACGACGCCCGCTGGGAAACCGTTCACGCTGGCAGCACCTACCACAAGACCAACAATGCCATCTCCACCGTCTGCAAGTCTGCAGTCGTCTTGGGTGCGCTTGAATGCAGCTCCTCTATCGTAAGCACTGTCGTCAGAGACCTCATCGTCCCCGCTCACGTGCCCTCCGCCAGCCTTCGATGGCGGACTCGCTGAACCTCTTCGCCGAGTCCAACCTCCGCGCCGTCGTCTCCTTCACCGACTCGACCGTCGCCCTCCACGTCCTCGAACGCCCGCCCTTCACCTACCCCCTCCTCTCCGCCACCGAGCCCACGACGCTCAACCCGACCGCGAACCCGTACAGCATCCCGTCCGTGCCCGAGTTCGAGCGCAGCTGGGCCACCTGGGACCTCGTCACCCTCGGCATGATCCCCAAAGACCTCCTGCACTCGAAGCCGATCGACCTGCGGCACAAGCCGCTCTTCTACATCGGCCACCTGCCCACGTTCGCGAACATCCTCCTCTCGCGCTGCCTGCAGGCGAAGCCGGTCGGCCCGCGCCCGTACCTCACCATCTTCGAGCGCGGGATCGACCCGAGCGTGGACGACCCGGACCAGTGCCACTCGCACTCGGAGGTGCCCGAGCGGGACGAGGACTGGCCGGTGATCGAGGACGTGCTCGCGTACCGGGACGACGTGCGCGAGAACGTGATCAAGCGGCTCATCGGCGAGATGGAGCGCGGCGAGCGGCCGCTCACCCGCCGCGCCGCGCGCACGCTCATGATGGTCCTCGAGCACGACGGCTTCCACATCGAGGTGAGTCTCCGTCTCGCCGTCCTTCGCTGCACACGGTGGCTGACGGCGCCCCCCAGACGCTGTTGTACATGCTCATCCAGCGCGCCGGCACCGGCATGCTCCCGCCCCCCGGCTTCGCGCCCCCGCCCTGGGAGACCCTCGCGGCGCAGTGGGACGCGACCCCAGCGCCGCGCACGGCGACGGTGGAGCTCGGGCCCGCGACGATCACGCTCGGGCACGACGACCAGGAGCCGGACGACGAGCTCCCCGCGCTCGCGGGCGACGTCTCCGCGCACGAGTTCGGGTGGGACAACGAGTCGCCCGCGCGCGCGGTCGACGTGCCCAAGTTCCGCGTGGAGTGGCGGCCGGTCACGAACGGGGAGTTCCTCGCGTTCTGGCGCGGCGCGGGCGCGGGCAAGGTCGACATGCCCGCGAGCTGGACGACGGACGGGTGCGGGGCGGGGGAGGCGGACCCGCGCGTGCGCACGCTGTACGGGCCGGTGCCGATGCGCTACGCGCGGCATTGGCCATGCCTGACCGCGTACGACGACCTCGCGGCGTTCGCGGCGCACAAGGGCGGGCGCATCCCGCGCGAGGCGGAGCTGCGGCTCTTCCTGGACGCGTACCAGGTGTCGTACGCGGAGGGCGCGAACACGGGCTTCCGGCACTGGCACCCGCTCCCCGCGACCGCGGGCGCGGACGGGCGCGGGTCGAACGGCGGGGTGTGGGAGTGGACGGCGACGCCGCTCGCGGCGCACGAGGGCTTCGCGGGCACGACGATCTTCCCCGGGTACTCGAGCGACTTCTTCGACGGGGCGCACATGACGGTGCTCGGGGCGTCGTACGCGACCGTGCCACGGCTCGGGGACCGGCGCACGGTGCGGAACTTCTACCAGCACAACTACCCGTACCCGTGGGTCGCGGCGCGGGTCGCGTACGACTTGTGAGGGCGGTGCGGGGGTGTACGATTGGTAGCACTTGTAAATTATCGCTACGTTGACATCGGCTGGAATTTATTAATCATTTCTGTTCCTCTTTTCCTGAGCATGAGAAGGTTTACACTCCAGGTACCCCTCGTCTACATCCGAGTGACCGAGTCGTCCCGGCGGATGTCCGCGTTCGCATCGCCTGTATTGGGTTGCATGGCGCGACGTGGTGTACCCGACATGGAGCATCGACGCGCGCGTGCATCTTTGAGGAGTGCTCGGATGTACTGCCAGGCGAGGATGAAGCGGGGCGAGGTTACCCTGAAGGTACCGCTGGCGGCGTAACCGGACGCGAGGAGTATATGTATATGGGTGTATATGGGAGCATATGGGACGGCAAAGTTTGACGAACCTGGACTCGGAGTACTAGCCTGGGGAGTGTCACTGCAGTCAAGTGAAACTACCAAGCCAAGTGGTCGCTTAAACAAACAGAGACGTCAAAATCGATGTGCCTTAAGAGCCCCCGTTGTCTAATGGTTATGACGTCGGACTTCTACGACGTTCGTTACGTAATCCGGAGGTTGCGGGTTCGAATCCCGCCGGGGGTAATAGTCGCGTTTTGTTCCCGGGCAGGATGGAATTTTGTACGTGAGGGAAAGTACTAATACACAAGCGTTGTTCTCGCTGCTACATCCACCCTTGCAACAAGTCTTCGGCAGCAGCCACCTCTTTCTCCAGGATCTCTGCTGCTTCGGGGAACCGGACACGCACTGTGAACTTGGCTTGGACCGGTTTGCGCGTCAGACCTAGCGTCTGTTCGCCGTTCATATCCGGAAGCAAAGGTTTTCCAGTCTCATCTTCAGCAGGGATGAAGTCGAAAGCCCACAAGAACCTGCGCATCGGTGGTGTCGGCTCCATGCTCCGAGTGCGTGTACGCCCACTCACCTCGAGAGCACGATGAAGAGGGACTGCTGCGCGAGCGGCATGCCCACGCATTGGCGCCTTCCGAACCCGAACGGGGGAGTGAACTCCTTTGCGGCGGTCCCGTCGTCGGACAAGAAGCGCTCCGGCCTGAACGTCTCCGGCTCTGGGAACTTGCGCGGGTCCCGGAGGATGGAGCTGCGCTCGAGTGAGCGCGATTCTCGGGAGGCACTCGGAGAACGAAAGAGCGCGCTCACTACAAGTTGGCGACGACCGTCGAGCCCTTGGGGACGTGCGCGCCCCCGTGGTCGTCGTCCGCGGTGACCGCGTGCGGGACGCCGAGCGGGGCGACGGAGAACCAGCGCGTGAGCTCGCGGAGCCAGGCGGCGACGTACGGGAGCCGCGGCTCGTCGGCGAACGTCGGGAGGCGCGCGCGGCCGACGACGTGGTCGAGCTCGGCCTGGGCCGTGCGCGTCGCGGCGGGGTTGCGGAGGATCGCGCCTGTGGGCGCGGGGGGTGAGCGTGGTGCGCGTTCGGGCGCGCGGATGGGGGAGGGGGGGCGCACATATTCCGGCCTCGAGGGATCCGGCTGTCTGTGTCGACGGCGCTTGGTCAGGACTCAGACTTTGGAGGGAGCACGAGCGGGGGCGGGGACGTACGGTGTCGATCCCGGCGCCGAACGGTGCGCTGACGGCGAAGGCGAGCTGGAGGTGCGTCCAGCCGATGGACTGCTGCTCGGTGAGGCAGTAGGCCGCGAGACAGTCCTTGGCGACGCCCTTCTCCATCTTGTCCTTGACGTCCATGAGAAGCTTCATGTACAGCGTTGCCGCTCTCTCGTAGGCTGCGTCTGCGTCGCCTCTGAACCACTGCAAGAAGCGCTGTGGTGTCATCGGTGAGCCAGGACTCATCTGGTGCAATCATAATGCGTACCGGAAGGTAGAGGAGTGCCGGATACTGGGTGCGCCCGTCAGAATACTTTCGTAGTCATTACGCGGGGCCGCGCACCTTCTCGACGATGCTGTTCGAAACGCTGTGGATGGGCCGATCATCAGTTCGCGGTCACTCGACGAGCGAACATCATACCTGGCCTTCTGGAAGTCTGTGGGCAAAGTTAGTCAAAGCCAAGATACGCACGCGAGGGCCAAACAAATACCCTTGATACACAGCAGATGCGACTTGACCCAAGCGTCTTCAAGGTCGCTGACCCGAAAGCCGTACGAGATGGACATGACCACGTTCGTGGCAAAGCTGAGACTCGGCTGGTAAGTCGTTGTATCGAGTCCTTGAGCGAGTCGATCGCCACGTACAGCGACAGGTGGTAGGCGTAGTCCCCAGGCTCCCGCAGGATCTTCTGCAGGAGAACGGTGGCTTCCAGCGTTTGATGCTCGCGGTATCCCGAGGCTGCGCGTCCGCTGAGGCCGGCGGATTGGATCTAAGCAGAAGCGGAGTATCATCAGTTGGCTGGACACGGAAAGACAGCGCAAGGAAGTCCTGCCTTGCGCCAAGTTTGCCACTGTTCCCCATAGGGCATCGTGAGTCCGCGCATGCCCCGAGACAGGATGTCCTGGGCCATCACGAGGCGCGGCCGCGAGGAGTACTTTGCGCCCCGTCGTTGCAAGAGGGACGTGGCGTCGTCGAGGTTGTTGAGCACTTTTTCATGGATCAGCGCCATCCCCCTGCTGTGAAGTGGGATAAAAGAGCGCACCTACGACCCGGGTCGATCCTCTCATGAAGGAGAAGACGTCACCTAAGATGTAGGTGAAGTTGAGATCGCATGTACTTCGTGGACGCCTCTTGTTACCAACAGGCTCACTTACCGTACTTCTCCTTCAAGGCGTCGAACATGACCCATTGGGGGGCTTTCGGGCCGACCTGGGCTACGACCTCTGCAAATGACTCTGGACCTCTCGGAGGCACCTTTCCACTCCCGTTTCTTTGGGTGACATAGTACAAGGAAGCCCCTACGAGAGCTGAGGCCACCGCGTATGTCAGTGTGTAACGACTCGTGTCCCCTGCTAGGAGCCGGTCGACATCCAAGGGCCATCCTGCGATGGAACTCATCTTGGAGATGAAGACGGGGGTGTCTGCTGAGGCTTTGGGTCGGTGGTGAAGTGACCGGTTGACCCCTGGGAATGGGGGCCCTGCGCACGCGATCACAGCATTGTCGATTGAGTAGAGTTCATGAAAGTAGCGCCCGTCCAGTCTCACTTTGGCAGGACCAAACAGGAAGTTGCCGTCATCCGGCCGTGCCTTGTGTGCTCGACAATAATTTCTGCTGAAGAACGCATCGATCGCACCTCAAATTCGTTGTGTTACGAAACAGAGCTGGCGCATGTATCCCAAATAACGCTCGTCGTCGTCGAACGTGGCCTACACACCCGATAACATATTTCGAAGTTGAACGGCAAGTATCCAAGGTATATCCAACAAATGTCCAACACGTCGAGTGCAAGACAAGACACCCGCCCGTCATGGCATGTCAAAGATGTCTCGAAAACGCATGAACAGAACCGGCACAGAGAGCCTCGACTTGAAGGAGCGCACGACGTAGTGCGGCACCGAGTTCGACCAGTTCCACCGGGGTTCCACGGCAAACACCCACTCCCTCCCCTCCTTCACCACGTGCCCGACGTCGGGAAACACCGAGCGCGACTGCTTCGGCAGCCGCGCGACCAGCCGCGTGGACGCGAGCCCGCTCAGCACCTCGCGCACGTCGTGCAGCACGTCCGCGTCGCGCGCGCCGAGCGGCTTCCGCACGCGGAACACGGGGTACTCGCGCGCGACGGACACGCGCGAGCCGGCGACGGACGTCGTGGTGAGGAAGAGCCCGACGACGTTCGCCGCGTCCGCGGGGCGGTGCGCGGCCCACCGGTCGCGGCGCGCCTCCGCGGCGTCCCACGCGGCGCGCGTGAAGCCGAACTCGTCGTGGAGCGCGTCGGGCTTCGCCTTGAGGAGGGAGGACTGCCAGGTGAAGCGGTCCGCGGGGGACTCGCGCAGGGGCTCGCGGCCGATGGGGTTCAGGGTGATGACCATGGCGACGTCGGAGTGGACGAGGTCGTGGACGGTGCGCCCGAGCTCGGCGGCGAGGAGGTGGACGAAGATGCTGACGATGACGGTGATCGCGTACTCGTGGAGGGTGGACCAGTCGCGGATGGCGTCGACGACGGTCTTGCGGGCTGGGTAGCCCAGGTTCTGATAGATTGGGTGCGGGTCGGGGCAGGTTGGGGACGGGCGGCATTCGAGCCTGAAGTGGCGAGTTAGGTTCGATGGTTATAACATACACGGTTAGCAAGAGGTGCACATACCTGTGATTGGGCCAGGCTATCTTCTGGCACTCGCGGGAGCAGTACTTGGCAGCCTGACATCCGCTGCAGGTCTTCAACATGCGCCACCGTGCGGGTTGAGATCCGCATGTTGAGCACCTGCGCACGTTGATCGTCAGGTTTTCGCTCGAGTAGTACTCCCTAGAACCGATGTTAGGGGGGAGGCTCATGACGGGAAGAGCGTAGGAGAGGGCACCGCAACAGGGGGCGTGAGGCGGCTTCTCGGTTCAAACTTACATAAAGCCCACTTCAGTACGGTATCTCACAGCAAGACGTCCGCTACTTACTTTTCCCCAACGTCCGCGGGTTCGCCGGGGTGATGCCGCACGATGAGTAGTTTCTGACTGATAGGCCGTCGTCCGAGATGTGGTGTATGCTCTGGATGGTGTCTGCTGACATGACGAGGTATGAAACAGGTATGGTTTTGGAGGTCAATGTAGAGGCTGGGAGGCAGGCGCTCAAGCGCTCTCAGGTGGGCGCGTCTCGCACGTGGTGACTTCAGGGCAGGCTTGAGCATGTGGCCAAGAAAAAAGCCGGCGTGCTCTGCTTTCCACCCAACTTCCCACTTCGTCCTCAGGCCTCAGTTTTCCCTTTCCTTGTCCACAATAAACACACTGCTCCTCATCTTCGCGTGCATCGTTTCCTTTTCGACCTCATACCCCCCACTCGCTCATGCCTAGGGACATGGCGTTCAATGCCTTCGTCTCCTTTACTGGTGACGTGGAAGATCGACTGCTCTCTCCACGCTTGAACGTTCGGACTTCGTGTCGACACCCGTGGCCGTTTGAGCACTAAGAAGAGCATACATATTCGTGTGTTGGTGCACTGGTACGTAGTCTCGACGCTTGAAGATGTATGTATCTGTGTCCCCCCGTGTACTCGTCGTCGTCGTCAATACATATCTGTTCTACCAATTCATTATGTACGCATAGCATGGACTGCGCGTATTGTCGTGCGTAGAAAGCTCCGGGCTTAAACAGTACCGAAGCTATGCTCCAAAGAGAGTAGAGGATGCACCACACAGTACTTTCTTGGTGCGTAACAAGAGACCCAGAGTTGCTCATCGGACTCAGACACTGTTGAAGCGTAATCTTTCAGTGCCAATGCCCACATAGCAATCAGAAATGCCCACCTTCTCGTCCACTAGGGCATGTACATCAAGTCCCTCAAACGCCAGAACACCTGTGTCACAGACAACTGGGACTTGAGAGCGACCGACGTTCGAGACAAGATTGGTACGCTCTGTTCTTCCGGGAGTTTGGAGTACACCCACTTCTTGTTGTTGTGGCCAACCGATCCAATCTCAAAGGGCAGGGTGCCCCCCTGCTCGGGAGCGCGGACGACGAGCGCGCGGACGAATTGCATGAGCGCCATACTCGCGTCCTCCAATATGGTCCTGTCTTCGTCCCTCAGCGGCCCCGAGTTGGAGGCGGGGTGACGGAGGCGGGAGATGTCGTACGAGCGTTCTATGGAGAGATCCGAGTTCAGCAGGACGAACGCGGCCACGTAGCGTCCGGCCGAGTTGGCTGCCCGGGGCTGGCCGCGGTCCCGTGCTTCGAGCGAGCGACGGTGGTTGAGCTGATGTGCCCAAAAGGCGGTGCCGGGGCACCTCTGCTGGACGATGGCCTCGGTAACGATGCTACAGGTCAGAGGGCGGAACCGACATGCGGGGCTTGTGTTCTGCGGACTGCTGTCGCCGGTGGCCGAGAGGAGGTCGACGATCATGGTTCGACCTTCGCACGCGACGAAATCGTCGATTGTCTCGTCCGGGCGCCGCTCGAGGTGGCAGGTAACGGTGACGAGCAGCTGTAGTGCGTACCAGTGGATGATTGTCCAGTCGCCGATGGCGTCTAAGCAGCTTATGCAGGCCGGGTAACCGAGCTCCAAAAAGCCGGAACGGTGGGGGTCGGGCCGGTTCAGAGATGGACGGCAGAGGGATCTGAAAGGGCTGTTAGACGTCGTTCACAACGCAACAACTCGAAGCGGTACCTGTGATGTGGCCAGTCTGCCTTCTGGCATTCGCGAGTGCAATACTTGGTGGAGAGACACCCGGCGCATGTTTTTAGCGTACGCAAGTTTCTCGGCGTCTTTCCGCACATTGCGCAGGTTCGCCTGACTGGGAGGCCATCGTCGGAGAGGACCGCTTTGTTCATGTCTGGAATCAGATGGATGAAAGCAGGCACTTGGTGGCAGGGTGGGCGCCCTGTTGCCAACAGGACGTCCAGGTCACGTGAGGCTCCTAGGCGCCGTGTGAGCGTTTCTCCACTGTTGCCAGTGCTCATCGACATCCCTCCTTCCCCATCCCCACCATGAGCTTTGGCACTAAACGCATCCCCTGGCCTCTGTCAGCGATGCGGAGCTGCTGCGCGCTTCCATTAGGCAGTCGGAGACGTTCACAGGCTGTAGGCGTTTTCCACAAAACGCACGGAAATAGCGCGATAACGCGCATATCCTGCACCATACGGACCGCCTCGCTCTCCCGGCATCCCCAGTGCATCACATGGCAACTCCGCCCATAACGTATCGCGCATGCTCCCCCGTCAATTCACTGATCATGAAGCGCGTGGAACTCGGGTGCGCCGGCTCTGCTACTTGGGATATAAAGGAACATGTACCTCCCCGCCGTCCTCCCCGCGACCGCCGACTCAGGCTCCCCGCGCGTCGACGTCAAGCCCTCGGCCACCAAGATGCTCGGCCCCATCGCGCGCGCGTTCCTCCCCCTTCTCGCCGCGGTCACCGCGTTCGGTGACTACGCCTCCGCGCGCATGCTCACCCACGCGGAGATCCAGGCGAAACAGGCCGCCGCAGCGTCCCGCATCCGCGCGAGCATGTCCGCCTCGAAGGGCTCAAAGAGCAGCGGAGTGAAGAACATCACGTTCTCGAACCCCCGCGCCTCCGGTGAGTCCCCTTGTGCCCTCGCGCGTCCCCTCCACCTTCCCTCTGAGCGCGTTCCCGGGCAGAGTTCTACGTCGACGGAACGACCATCCCGGACGTCGACTGGGACATCGGGCCCAGCTGGTCCGGCCTGCTCCCTATCAGTGCCGATCCCAACGAGACCCGCAAGGTGCGCCCGCCCCCATTCCGCGCTCCATGCGGGCCGTGCTGAGTGTGGAAGCTCACCGCCCACGGTGCCCGCGCGTTCTCCAGCTCTTCTTCTGGTTCTTCCCCCCCGGCCCGGAGGGGAGCCTCGACGACCTCATCTTCTGGTGAGTCACAGTCGCCTATCGCACCGCGTGGGGTGCAAGTGGGGTGTGAGCGCAGATGCTGACGTGATGTGTGAACTTGCAGGACGAACGGTGGGCCCGGCTGCTCTTCCCTCGAGGGCCTCCTGCAGGAGAACGGGGTGAGTGTTATCTCATGACGCGTCTTCCGCGCTCTCGCGCTCCCCAAGTTTCAATCGTCGTTCCATGGGGCAATGTTGGGGGTCATGCGCACAAACAGTGTCTGCGGGATGCGGTGTATTGTATTATTCGGCATCATGCGCCTCGCCTCGCTGTGGTCTCGTAACCAGCATGTCATAGAAGCACCTCGCTGACTTCATTCGGGTTCTTGCATAGCCTTTCCAATGGTCGTATGGGCAGGCGCGCCCGACGCAGAACGAATTCAGCTGGACGAACTTGTCGAGCATGATCTACCTCGAGCAGCCCGTCGGAACCGGATTCTCGCAGGGCAAACCCAACGCAACAGTATGTGGTATTTACGGCGTCTTCCATAAACTGTATGCTGACGTGCCCTTGGTGCGAACAGAACGAAAATGACATCGCAGCACAAATTGTAGGCTTCTTGCAGCAATTTTTGGACGTGTTCTCCGAGATTCAGGGCAAGAATTTCTACGTATCTGGCGAGAGTGTGAGTATCTTCGCGTGATGATGTTCTTCGATTCACATTGATGTAATTCGGCGCAGTATGCGGGGATGTATGTGCCCTGTGAGTCCACATCTCGAATACTCGTCGGGATGAGTTACTCAGACGTCTCTCAGACTTGGCCAACTTCATCTACGAGAACCCCGGCGCACTCAACCTTTCGCTCAATGGGTTCTTCATCGCTGATCGTACGTGTCAAATATCCTGGTATTCGTCTCCTCAACTCACATGGACACGTTGTAGCTGTGCTGGGGTGGGACGTCGTTCAAGAGCAGATCCCAGCTGTCAACTTCGTCCACAAGTATGAGAATGTCTTCGCCTTCAAGTATGTTGAGTTTCTGTTATCCATTGCACGCCACTCACTACTATTCATCGTAGCCAATCCTTCATGGCCGAGCTCGACGCTGTCGCAGAAAAATGCAATTACGCCAACTACATGGCTGAGCATGTCACGTACCCACCGAAGGGTCTGCTCCCCCTACCCGGGAAGAGCACCGAAAACGACCGGGGCTGCGATGTCTGGGACATGATCTTCGACGCCGCGGTTGATATCAACCCCGCGTTCAACATCTACCGCATCTTCGACACCGTGCGCCCTTTTCCTCCCCCACACCTACCCATCTCACCTTCCATCCTCGTAGTGGCCGATCTTGTGGGATGTCTTGGGCTTCCCTGGGTCGTTCATGCAAAGCCAGTCCCCCATCTACTTCAACCGCAAAGAGGTCAAGGAGGCGATCCACGCACCCGTGAACGTCACTTGGGGCGAGTGCTCCAACGTCCGCGTCTTCCCGCACGGAGACGCGTCTCTCCCGCCCGCGTTCACCGTGCTCCCGAACGCGATCGAGAAGAGCAAGCGGGCGGTCATCGTCCACGGGCTCGCGGACTTCATCCTCATCGCCGAGGGCACGGAGATCGTCATCCAGAACATGACCTGTGAGTGCCCCTCCAATCGCCTCGTGCGGGGTGGCCGGAGGCTGACGCCGACACCGCGACCGCGACCGCAGGGAACGGGATGCAAGGCTTCCAGACCCCGATCCAGAACGACAGCTTCGTCGTCGACGGGATGGGCGCGCTCGGCCGGACGCACACCGAGCGCGGGCTGACGCTGTTCGAGGTCGCGCTGAGCGGACACATGTGCGTCGCCCCCACCTGTCCTCCCCTTCTCGCTCCCCCGCTCACTGTGGTGGACGTCTGTGGTACGGCGCGCGCTCCGCAGGGTCCCGCAGTTCTCCCCCCGGGTGAGTGACGTCCGCGCGCCCATCGTACCGAGCGAGGTCGCTGACGCCGGCCGTGTTCGCTCCCCCGCAGGCCGCATTCCAGATCATGTCCTTCCTCATGGGCTTCAGGGAGACCCCGTAAACGGGGCCGTCGCGACCGCGCGTCGGGACGCTTTGTACGAGACACACAATCGATGCCCCGCCCCTGTCTCCGGACCTTGCCGTGTGCCGCTCGCCGCCCGGTGCCCGAAGTTTTGTGGTCCCGTGTCCGTAGAGTCCACGCCGTTCCGTCGCCGACGCCCCGGCATCGCGCTATTGTCTCGCCGGGCCGTCAGGTAGAGTTGGGACAAAGTCCGAAGCTGAGTCCGATCGGCGCCTAAGAAAAGCGTACCACACAACGCTGTCGCCCGACGTGCTGTCTTTCCGAGACATCGCGGCGGGCGGCGGCGCACCCCAGGCGTCGTGAGCGAGTGGGCGCGCGACAGGAGCGCAGGCCGGGGGACGTGCGCAGGAGGGAGGAAGGGCGGGCCTACGCGTGGGGAGGAGGGGGTCGGGACGAGGCGGGGCGAGACGCACGTCAAGAGTTGCAAAAGCCCCAGCTGTCCTCCATCCTGAATGGAGTGTCGTCCTCGCGGCCACAGAAAGACCAAGCGACGCGCGGTGGCGTCCGTGGGCGCAAAATAAAACATAAGGCTAGCGCTCCCACCAGCTACCCAGTGCGGCAGCTGGTAGCTCCCGGCGGGACGTCTGACGGGCGGTGACGCTTGGTCGCAGTTGTGGCGGCTGCTTGGGTCTGCAACGCAAGACGAGTGTCGTTGCCCGCCGCGGGCGGGGTGCGGGGGATAAATAAAGCGGGGTGTGGGGGGGAGGAGGGGCGTCGATCCTCGCTCCTCGATTACCTGGTCGGCGGCTCGCGCTCTCCCCTTCCTCCGCTCCTCGCTCGAATACCCGCTAATCGCATACCCCCCTGCGTCTCTCGATTGCCTCGTACAACCTAATCACCCACACAACTTACTACACCACAACACCACACATCGAGACATGGCTACGTTTAACTTTGACGGGTTCCCTGGGTGAGTCGGTTTTAACCAGTTTGCTCTTCGCGTTTTGCTCATCTTCTGACCGTCTCTTGCGCAGCTTCTATCCTTCCGAAAAGCATGAGAACAATCAACCAAACGAAGTCTTCGCCGATGTAGTAAATTGGTCGCCGGAACGACCTAACGAGGCCGACGAGACGTACCTCACGCAGGGACAGATACCTGAGTCACACTCTAACTTCCCGTACGTACATTCTCTTTTATCATGCGTCTCGTTCAGCCAACAACGAAACCGAAGATACAGGCCAGAATACCTCAGTGGCATGCACCCTACGCACTGCGCCACCATGGGCGCCCTGCCCGCTTTTCAACCCCCCGCTCAGTACATCCGCACGCTCGCGCCCCAGCCCCAGTGGGGCCCCCTCTCGGAGGCGTGGGCCTCCTTCCCCGGGACCCCGGTCAATAACCCGCTCTGGAACCCCGCCGCCGGACAAGCGGTCCCCACGGGCGGGTGGCGCGAGGCCCGTGCTCCGTACGGCGTCGAGTATGTCTCACTCCTCTTGTCTCTCCCAGCACAACGGCTGACCACCTCTCCATTCTTGCAGGCCGGAGCCGGCGCCGCTGCCGCACGCACCTCTCGGGGGTGGTTGGGACGGCATAGACTTCGGGCTCTCGGAGAGGTGAGTGCTTCTTCGTCCGTCCGGGGATTCTCCAGCCGCTGACGGGCGTGCTCGGACAGCCTGCTGACGATGAGTCCGGCCGAGACCATCCGGGGGAACACCTTCTCGCCCCCGCCGCCGGCGTACTGGGACACGCGGTTCCCGAACGTCGCCGCGCACATCGACAACTACCCTGGGGAGCAGCAGCTCGGCATGTTCGGTGGCTCCTTCGCCACCGTCGACGCCCTCGCGCCCGTGCCCAAGTGGTCCGAGCTCGACCTCCACTTCCCCCCGGTGGCCGAGCGCGACTGCTCCCCGCTCTCGGACCTCTCGGACCTCTCGGAGCTGTCCTCCTCCTGCTCGCCCGAGGCCGACTCCCCCGCCTTCTCCACCCCAGGCCCTTCGTACACCCCCTCTCCCATGCACTCGCCCCGCCGCACCTCCAAGGCCGCCCTCGGCGTGCACGCGAAGCACAGCCTGCGGGGCCCCGGCAAAACCACCTCCTCCACCTCCCGGCGGGCCCACGCCGCGGCGCCCCTCCCGCCGCTCGACCCGCGCTCGCCGCACCACCCGCGGGACCGCCGCGGGCCGCGGCGCGCGCCCGCGGAGGCGTTCCTCGACGAGTACGACGGGCGGGCGGGGTGGACGGCGCGCGCGCCGCTCGCGGCGACGCAGGTGTGGGTGCACCGGCTCGACCCGCACGGCCCGCCGCACCTGTGGGACGGGCGGCCGCTGCCGGCGGGCGTGCACCCCGCGGACCTGCCCTACGCGCTCGCGGGAGGGGGACGGCGGGCGCGGTGCGCGTTCGACGACTGCCGGACGCCGGTGCGGAGCGCGGGCACGCTCAAGCACCACCTGCAGAGCCCGGAGCACGTGGGGGCGAAGATCCTCTGCCTCGAGTGCGGGTTCGCGGCGCGGGAGGACAACTTCCGGGCGCGGCACGGGGCGGTGTGTCGCCAGCCTGTTGAGGGGGCTGGGGCGGCGGCGGGGCAGAGGAGGCGGGGCGGGCACAAGCGGCACCCGCTGTGGGTGACGATGAGGAACTCGGGCGAGCTGGAGGAGATGCTTGCGCGGCGGGTGGCTGAGGCGGAGGCGGGCGCGGCGCAGCAGCAGCAGCAGCAGCAGCAGCAGCAGCAGCAGTAAGTGGGCTGCGCTTGGGGAAGATGGACTTGCTTGTATTATGGTGTACTTACTCTGATCTGTGAGGTTTGCTTAGCCTACGTTCCTTTACGCCGTTACCTCTGTTTTTACTGTACATATCCTGTCTCTATAATTCCACGAGCTGCTTCACCGTCTGTGGCACGAGCGAACCCCGGGCACGAGGCCGAAGGCACCTGTCGGAGTTTGTCGAGAGTGCCTATCGGGGCAGATCGGGGCCGAGGAAACGGTGCCTCCGCCCGGCTCCTGCCGGGGGACGTGCGCGGCCTGGGCCCTGGGAGTGGCCGGGGGCCGTGTCGAGTAACCTCCCCCAGTTGACCACTTCCGCGTCCTCCCGCGCCCCAGCGTCCGCTCGGATCATCCGTGGGTGCGGATGCGTGCAAGTGGCCGACGGTGGGAGAACGCCTCCCCTACGGCCATCCTGCTGCCCTCTGCGTCGTGTCCAATGTCCGCATCGGCGAGCTCCGGGCGGCGCAGGCAAATGTGCGAGCACTAGCCACAGTCGTGTCATAGGTGGCAACGCCGTCGACGGTCGGCAGACGCGAGAGGCCGAGGCCAGGCGCGCCCTCTGGAGGGACCACGTCAGGCGTACGTTGTAGACGGCAGCGAAGATATGGTAAGGTTTGATGAACCACTCTCCGCGACATGCGGTATGGCGGCGAACCGCGGCCGCCTGCACTTCGATCCAATCATAGACAAAACATGGGTCCTCCGGCCCACCCTCGCCCCCAGCGTCGCGGGAGCAGCGCCGAACTCGCTCGATGCGGAGGACGGAACCACCCGTCGCCCGTAGCGGTAGTCTGCGGTGCCAGCGCACGTACAGGCGCGGTGAGCGGCGCGGCGATGCGACCCGGTGACCGACGATGGTTAACTGAAGTGGCCAGCCCACGCGCACGTGCTGGGCCCGCGCGGAATGCGCTTCCGCGCGAACGCAGCCGGGTCGGCCGCGCGTGGGATTGATGGGCTGGGCCCGTGCGCGCGGGGGCCGTGGGATGTGTCGAGGGGCGGCGCCTGACGTAGCGCGTCGGCTAGCGTCGGCAGGGCGGGACGTGGCCAAAGACGTCGGTCCGTGGGAGGGGATGGGAAGGCATGCTCGCCGCGGCGGGCGCCGGCGACGGGGGCGATGGCGACGGCGATGGCGACGGGCGGGCGCAGGCCCCGCCGTCGTCGGCGCGGTGGCAGCGCGGGTGGGCGTGGGGGGCGGGGGGCGCCGAAGGGGGAGGAAGAGTAGATCGCGGTTAACCCCCGGGCACATGACGGGTTATCTCTTGATGCCGCGGGCGGTTTTATCGCCGACGCCTCGTTGCGCCGGGCAGGGCGTTACCACTCTTACCTAATCCGGCAACGTATTTGAGGCCCAGCGTGCCCACATTGTTCTTCTCGACAAACCAACACCATCCTCCCCGCCCGTCCCCCGCCCCGCCCCGTCCCCTCCAGCACCCCCGCCGGTCTCGCCTGGGCCCAGCAGTTCCGCCCCAGCCACGACAGGCGCCGTCCACGCGCCCGTCACTAGGTGACAAATCGATAACCACCGCAGACGCCCATCGCGGTGCGTTCTCTTTGTCCCTTGAGCTGGCAACGTGGACCGCGCGTTCCGCCTCTGCCTCGCTTCCTCACGCCACCCCACTCGCCACTCACCTCATCTTCTGCCAGCACGGGCGTCCATCTTCGTATCGCGCCGTCCCGAACGTCGCTTTAACCACCAGGGCGGCTCGCTTTTCGCACCAGCCTAACCTCGACCACAGACGCCATGCCCATTAAACAGACCATCACAGCGGCTCAACGGAAGGCCCACCAGGCGCCGAATGCCTCATGCGCCTCGGCTGCTTCCCACGCCGGTCCCCACTCGTCGGATTCGGACGACGACGACCCCATGCACGACACGTCCAAGGGGTCAGTTCTCCGGTACATGACGCTCCGGGATCGATCGTTGCTCACCACACCTTTCATTCCGTCGACAGAGCACGAGCAGAACGCCCCCGCCGCAGCACCGTGCTGGCGGGCGACGCTCGTCGGCCGATCAACGTCGACGATTCCAACTCCGACATGTCTGACGACGACCAGCCTTTGAATGCGAGGTACACACGCCCCGACGACCGCACGCACGCGGCCGTGACTCACACGTCGCGCTCTCTCTTTTCTGTCCAGACGCGGTCAAAGCACCGGGACAAAGCAGCCCGCGGCAAGTGCGTTGGGCGCTACGAAAATCTCCCCACTGCGCAAAGGATCCTCGTCGACCCCGAGCTCGGTTCGCCAGGACGATCCGATGGACGTTGACTTGAAGTGCGTGCGGCGCGGCAGCGTGTCGGTCTCGCGTGGCGCTGACCACGAGTCTATCATCACGCCATCAGCAGGCGGTCCACACGCACCCCCATCGGTCTGGACACGCCCCCCGCGAGCACGCCCCCGTCCAGTCCCTCCAACGGACCACGAACCGACCTCGAGAGCCACTCGCAAGAGGAGACGGCCATGGACACAGACACTGTCGTGAGGTGTGTGGTTCGCATGTACCTGACGTGGCGGTTCTGACCTGCCTCCGCCACTCCTCGGGCCGCACCACACCTCCAGCGCGGTACAAAAGGAGAGCACTGGCTCTGCGCGGGGCGACACCGGAGCTCGACAGCCCCTTTCGAAACCGACATCCACCACCGGGAGCGCGAAAGCGGCGAGCAGCGCCACTCGAACACCCAAGTCCTCGCCAGCAGGCCGCCGCCAGCAGCGTTCTAACGACATGGATGTGGACCATCAGAGGTCTGTGCGCTGACATCTGTGACTGTTCTTCGTCTGACTTTCCTGCCTGGAGCAGCACGAGCACCGAGGAGAAGAACTCTGCAGCCCGTGCACTGACGGAGGCGGTGAAGCACATCTCGTGCCACACATGGCCGCCCTGTGCAGTGTGCGCTCGCATCGCCGGCCTCACCCCCGCGCAGCTCGCCGAGATCGTCAACCAACACAACAAGGCGTACCTCGAAGAGGCCAAGATACGCAAAGCTCTCGCGGAGAAGATCGCAGAAACGATGCTGCGCGCGTACCCGCCCCCGCCACCCCCGCTCACCGTCGCCGCGACCACGGCCACGGCGCACACCGTGCGGCCTTTGACCGGCGTCATCCTCCCCAACTCCTCTCAATCCGCTGGGGCTGGGCCTTCTGGACCCGACTCTTCGCCCGCCAACGGTTCACGCGCGGCGCCTGCGTCGGCGTCGGCTTCGGTGCCCCGCGCTACCCCCGCTCCCACGGCGTCCTACCCCGACATACCGACCTCCGTCTACGGCCCAAACTACGAGCCCAGCGACTACCCGATGAAGCCCCTCTACCTCTCCGCCGGGTACGCTGGCGGGAACCAGCTGCTGCATCCCGGCCCCAGCCCGTCCGCCAACCGGGCCATGGCCCCGCCCCCGCTCCTCCCCGGGCGCGGCCCGTTGACCACCCAGCCCCTGCAGCGCCAACAACAACAGCAACAACAGCAACCACCACCCCCAGGCGCGCTCCCGATGGGCGCGCTCCTCCCGCCCTCGCGCGCGATCACCGTCCCGCGCCCGGGCACGATCACCGTCCCGCCGCTGCGGGTGACGAGCACGGTGGACGGCGGCGGCGCGGGGCCGCTGCCGGTGGGCGCGCGCCTGCCGGCGACGATGCGGCAGCCGGCGGCGCTCCGGCAGCTGCTGTACTCGCGAGGGCCCGCGAACCGCAACGCGCAGGCGTCGTCGTCCGCGATGCGCGTGGAGGACATGGAGCCCGTCGGGAACCCGTACGCGCGCGGCTTCCCGGGGCGGCTCGCCGCGCCCGGGGCACCTGGCGGGGCGGGCGACGCGCCGGGGCCGGGGCCTGCGGGGGGCGAGGGCGGCGTGCCGGGCGGGGCGGGGCTGGGACTGGGGCCAGGGCTGGGGCGGGGCAAGGGCGTGCGGAAGGTGATGCGCGCGAAGCGGTACAACCGGAAGAAGCGGGAGGAGTGGCCGCCGCAGGGGTGGATCCCGATCTGGGAGGAGGAGCGGCCGCGGATGTGGGGCGAGCACACGATCCCGGACGAGGTGCCGACCGGGGAGGTGTACGACCACCTCAAGCGCCGGTTCGACCTCAAGAGCGCGGGGATGTGCGCGTGGGTGGGGTGCAAGCCGGCGGACCCGGACAGCCCGGAGTACAAGATGCTGAAGCGGCACGTGGAGACGGTGCACCTCGGCCTGAAGCTCGTCTGCCAGCAGTGCGGGGTGCGCAAGCGGGCGGACAACCGGCGGAAGGCGACGCACAAGCGCGGGTGCCCGGAGCGCGAGCGCGAGGAGGCGGAGGCGGCGGCCGCGGCGGTCGCGAAGGCGGCGCGGCCGCGGCTCGTGCCGGACATGGGGATCGCGATGGGCGAGATGGTGGTGTCGCTCGAGCTGGGGCCGCAGCCGGCGGAGGCGGAGATGGAGGAGGACGAGCTCGCGGACGACGACCCGATGGCGGAGGACGGCGAGGGGGGCGAGGAGATGGAGATGGAGATGGAGGACGAGGACGAGGACGCGCTCGAGGAGGAGGTGGACGAGCTCGAGGACGACCAGCTGTACGAGTCCGAGGACGAGTAGGCGGAGACGGGCGACGGAGGACGGTGGGTTGGAACGGACGGGGCGAAACGGACCCCTCGACGAAGGCTACAACGCACAATTTGGTTCCGCGCGCTGGGCATACTACTGCTGTCCGCTACGCTTTCGTGCACATGCTGTACATATCGCTTGTCTACATGCTCTCCCCTTATCTATCTATCTCTGCGAACACCCCGACCGGGGCACTCGGCACTGGGGGCGGCCAGGAAATAACCTCCCGTGTGGTTTTCTGGACCTCGCGGGGTTCGAACTCTGCGCGATCCCATATCTGGTCTGGGGGCGCGCGCCGCGAACCCAGACCGGTCCAGGCGGGCGGCCGCGGGAAAAACGTCAACCGCGCCGTTCCGACACCGTTCCGCTGGTTCGACTCCCTTACTTGACCTTTTCCTTCCTCGACCCATACCTCCAGAGTCCAGAACTCCGCCACCGGAAACGCCGCGGCTGGCTGTATGCGTTGGCTTCGGGCTTGCGCTCGTACCACAGGTCCGTTGCTTCCTTCCTTTGAGCCCCTCGTTGTCTTCTCGAACGGGCGCGAGGGCGCTTGGTGACCAAGAGCGGGACTCTTTTATGTTGGTTCTTCAAGCCCCAGGATCCGCACCTCGAACGTTCCAACGCGGAGAACAACGATGCAACCCGTCAAGCCCTTTTGCGGCCTCCACTGGGCCGTTGCTCGGAAAAGGTGTGCCCACCACACCTCGGCTGCGCTCGGCTCGGGCTCGGCAACCGATTGCCCCGCCACACCCATTGTCGACCTCGACGAGAACAAACAGGCCCCGGCCCCAATGCCCCTGAAGCTCGACGCTTGAAGCCCTAGTACGCCCGTTCAAGCGGCGCGGACGCAAGGCGCCGAGCTGGTCGTGGGTGGGCGGCGGTATATATGCGACCTGGGTGAACGGTCGGCCGGCGCTCTCCTCTGCTTCGATCCTTCCCTCTTCCACCCTCTTCCACCCACTTCCACATCCGCATCTTCACTATCATGCCCTGGCATTCGCAGCCCGTCGAAATCGAGGACGACGGGGACCGCGGGCCATCGCTCGCGAGCAAGACTGGGCAGGCGGCCTCATTGGCATTGGGGACGCCGTCGTCAAAGTACGTCCACTGACCACCAACCACCACCGCCACCCGAAGTGCCCGCGCGCCTCACTGACGTCTACCTCTCCCGCGCTCTCTTCGCAGGAACCCTCGACGCGCCCTGCAACGGTCCGCGACCTGCAGCCAGTTCCCCGCGGGGGTGGCCAAGAAGTCGAAACCCGCCGCGCTCGCGAGGAGCCGGACCAGCTGGAGCCGGAGCCGGAGCCGGGCCGCGGGCCCCGGTGCGTGGGCGGAGAAGCCTGACCATGTGCGCTCTGTTGCTGCTGCTGCGACGGACGAGTCCGTCCAACGGTGCGTGCGGTCTTGCGCTCTTTAGATATGTTATTTTGACCGTCTGACATGTTCGCAGCGGCGCGCCGCCCACTGGGGCTCCGGCCGTGGTTGCGGCTCGTGTCGGCTTTGTATTCGATGGCCGAGGACCCGATGTGCGCTCTGGTCCCGACACAGCACGGTCCCCGTCCGTAGACGAGCGAAGGGACGAACACCCCAGCATTTGGTGAGTAACGCCGTCCCTCCCTTTCGTCCACAGCACGATTACTCAGTTTTTCCGCAGCGAAGCGCAAGCGCCGAGTTCTCCGACCCCCAGTGCGAAATCTAGCCCCCCTGCTTCGAGCGTGGCGTGCGCGGCGCGGCGCGGGCGCCGTACGAAGGGGATGCTCTCCTTGCCGGACAGGCAGATCGGGAACCAGTGAGTGTTGGGGCTTTGTCGTTGAGTGCTATGCCCGTTTCTTCCCCGGGCCACGCGCAGGAAACTTCCTCGATTGTGGGTCATGTGGGTCTGCGTGGTAGTATGTTTGGCGCCTTCACGTACAACGGAAATTCCAGGGCGTCCTCGGCGCCACTTATTCATGCGGAGCGCCGCCTGTACTCCATGTAAGATCGTATCGTTTAGGGATTGTTTGCCCGCACGTCAATAGACCCATACTATGATACATCTGTATGCGTGCTGATGAGGTGTCGAAAGGGGAGCTGCACAGCACAACCTTTCCTGCAACAGACTCAACCGCCCATCCTATGCACTCCTCGAGGCGGAGTGGAATGGGGTTCCACCAGAAGGAGAACCGGCCCCACATGCACAAGTACGTCCCCACTCGTGTGTACCTCTCTCAAGCCCCAGCTCCCCTCACAGGTCCACCGTCGCCCAGAATCCGCCGTCGTCACTGTTCCTCTGCGAGCTTTCCGGACTTCAGCGACTTCCCGAACTTCTTCGGGTACCCCGCGCCCGCGGCGAGTGATCCACGACCGGCGTGCAGCACCACGTCGCCGCTCTCCTCCTCTCCAGCGCCGTCCGCCAAGACAGTACGTGGTCGCAGCTCGTTGCTGTCCTCGCACTGGCCTGATATGGGCCGTGCGAAGGGCAGACGATGGATCGGATCGCTCGATGGCATCGGTCTCGCACAGCGTCCTCCTTCCTGCCCCGGTGGGCATCGCTCGCCCTGCTCCAGCGACAATATGGCGAACACAATGGACCCCTGGGCGCTCGGCGGACAGCCTTTTCTCTCCGCGATAATCACGAGCGACAACAGGGACGTCGTGCCCGTCAAAGGCTTCGTTGCCCCCCGAGACCGGTGCATGCGCTGCGGGTGCATGCCCGGTGTCAGCGCACTCATGAAATGCGGCGGGCGCATCGTCACCAAGTACTGCAGCCACGAATGCCAGAAGACGGACTGGGCCGCCCACAAGTCAGTCTTCCCGCACTCCCAGCCGCTACCAAGCACCCGGGCTCACCTCGCGCAGAGCCGTGTGCGTGGCGGGGCTGCAGCACCGCGGGCTCTGCTCGGACAACGCCGCCGCCGGCTTCCGCTGCCCCGTGCAGACCGCGGCCGCGATGCGCGACTGGGCGGAGCACTTCCGGTACGCGATCACGCTCGCCTGCGACGCCGTCGTCCACGCGACGCGCGCGCAGACGGGCGAGCCCGTCGCCCGCCTCCTCACCCCCTTCCACTACTTCTGCCTCGAGATCGCCCCGGCCCCGGCCCCAGGGCCCGCGCGCCCGCCGACGGCGCGCTTCGCGGTGCGCACCCACGCGTGGAGCAAGGTCGTCCTCCCGCAAAACGCCGGCCTGCGCCTCCACGGGGAGGTCTGGGGCCGCGCGCAGGACATGCGCCCGCACGCGCTCCTCAGCTGCTTCCCGGTCGTCATCTGGTCCCCGGAGCTCCGGCACATCCTCGTGGGGACGTACCCGGTCTACCGCCTCCGCCCGGACGCGGGCGGGCGGGAGCGGAGGCTGGAGGAGGAGGACAAGCTGGTGATGGAAGACGCCCTGCACCTCTTCGCGCACGTCGTTGGGTACAAGAACGACGGGCCGGATCGGCTTATGGTGGGGCCGCCGAAGAAACCGTGGAAGCTGCCTGTGGTGGGGTACGTGCGGCGCAATGGGAACAAGTGGGCGGTGAAGGAGGCAAAGGATTGGGATTGGGACCGTTGGCCGGGCCGCGCTCACATTTCGCCCCCCTGTCAAACCGATCTGAAGACGTCGGAGATCATTCGACGGTTTAGAGAGCTTGTGGAGGTGCCGTGAAGGTGAAATTTTATATAAGTTTGACTAGTAGACTTTCTGGAACCAAGAGCTCCTAGCTTTACAGGTTATCTCAATTCCAGTGTAATATAATACAAGAGATATGCCAAGCCGTGTTTTCCGAATATCTGATGTCGGCGTTGTCGTGAGCTAGTGGAGGAAGCTGTGCAATCCGAGTCAAGCATCCGACCATAGTACTATTTCCCGCCCTCCAGGGCATCTGTTCCAACGACGCTCTTTTTCTTCCGCTCTACAACCTAAATCCTTGTGGTAATTCATGTAGATCACGCTAACATACGGCTCTTCGTTAAAAAAGGACGACCAAGAAAAAGCATATCCAAGATTCAGAATCTCGCCATCACGTGACTGGCGCGCGCGACGCGCCACACACGAGCGCCCAGGCCTGCCACCTGCAGTTGGACTGCGTTCATCTGCTCCTCTCCTTCATCCGCCTTCTCCGCTCCACGGTTGCCCCCAGCTTTACGCCGAAAAGCAAGCACACACATCAACACGCATACACCCATGATTCTCACACCCGCCACTGCTCCCCCACCCCTTTATTCTGTCCACCCGCCTGCGGCCTCCGCATCTACCTCAGGTGCATCGTCCACTCAGGGTCGCGGCATGAACCTGGAGCCGCCCCTCGAACTCCCCTCTGCAAACTGCGCCGTACAGCCCCAAGATGCCTTCTTTCGAGACCTGAAAGTGCCGACGGTGGTCCTCGACACCCCGACCGTGCCGCCCACCATGGCTGCCGCGCTCTCCCTCTCTCTCCTCGGGCACACGCTCTTCCTCAAGAACCAGGTGCCTTTGTGAGTCCGTGGCCTCTCTGTACTGCGCGCGCGAGGGTTTTGACGCCCGTGCCCGCAGCCCGGTCGCGCAGCTCTCGCGCATGCCCGTGGGGAGGTCCAACCCGAAGGTCGCCAGGCAGCGCGACGAGCTCGTCGCGAGCCTCGACACCCTCGCGTCCCACCTCCAGACCACCTTCGTCGCCCTCTCCACGGCGTACGCCCGGTGCCGGCTCGCGAAGGGCAGGGCGGCGTCCGTCGGCGCGGGGCGGAACGAGGGCGAGAGCGAGAGCGAGAATGCGCGGCCGGAGGCGAGCGTCGCGACAGGGGCAGGGGCGCAGGGCGCGGACGAAGGCGGGCTCACGCACGCGCATCTCGTGTTCGTGCTGGGGCCTAGCGCGAATGCGGCGCGGGCGAGGATCGTGCTGACGATCGACGGGATTCAGGTGCGGGTGTGGGGCGCGCGGGAGGAGGCTGACGGGGAAGAGGGTGGTGAGAGCGAGGAGGAGAGCGACATGGACGACTCAGAAGACGAAGACGCCTCGGAAGACGACTCGGATGAAGACGACGACGATGAGCAAGGAGAGGACGACGACGACGAAGCGACCGACGAGACCAGCGACATCGAGTCCTCCGACGCTGGCTCGGGCCCACCTCCCTCACGCAGCCCGTCGCCCGCCTCCCCGCTCGTCCGGTCGCAAGCCCCGTCCCCCGAGGTCCTCCCCTCGCCGCCCACCACCACGACGCCCTACGCCACCAGTTCGTTCACCATCATCCCGCCCACCACCCTCCCCACCGCGTCCACCTCCGCGTCCCGCATACAGCAAGCGCTGCCGAGCCCCCCCTCGCACGACCCCTCTCCGCCGCCACGCTCTCCGTCCGCACCGGCGTCCCCTGCAACGGCGGCGCTCTCGTACGCGGAGGAGCAGCGCGCGCTGCGCACGGCCGAGCGGCTCCTCTCGCGCACGCTCATGAACGCGTGGGTCGACGGCGAGGGGGACATGTCCAGCGAGCTCGGTGCGTTCCTCTTCCTCTTCTTCTTCCCCTGTCCCCGCCCCCTGTCCCCCCGCTCTGCGTGTCTGTGTGTCCCCTCGCTCCGTCCGCCGTCCTGACCCTCACGTCCCCCCAGCCCCGACGCAAACGCACGTCTTCCTCCGCGCCCCGCGCCGCTTCGCGCACCCCGCGTGGAGCGCGCGCCAGAACCTCGCGCGCGCGCTCGACGGCGCGCTCGCCGCATTCCTCGAAGACGTCCACGCCGTGCCGTCCGCGGCCGGCAAGAGCAAGGGCAAGCCGAAGGCGGGCCGCGGCGTGCGCACGGAGGGCGCGTGGATAGGGTGTCAGGGCGGGTCCGCGTTCGCTGCGAGGCGGAGAGCGGAGGAGGGGCGGGTCCGGGAGGGGGAGCGAGAGGTGGGAGACGAGGACGAGGACGGCGAGGAGATCTGGTGGGCATGGGAAGGCAAGATCGTCGGGTTTGCGGACTGGTGAGGCACTGTCGGTGAGCGGTGCTCGGTCTCTCCACGACGAACACTGCGCATTCAAGAGCATAGGCCACCCCCCACACTGTTCGCAATCCACCCTTGAGTGCACTTCATATTCATCATCTAGCACCGTCAGTCCGAGAACAACATATATTACATTCAGCATCGAAGTCTTCAGCGTCAGTTCAGCAGGTTAATTTCGAGTGCGGGAGAACATCCTCAGTTCACAAATCACAAATCGAGGTCCACCAGCGTCGGCGGCATCTTCCCGGAGAGCATCCCCCTGTCGTGCTTCTCAATCGCCGCCTGCAGCTCCCCGCATATCCCGTGGCTGAGGTGGGCGAGGTCTTCCGTCCCGTGGATGATGCTCCGCCCGTACGTCGCGTACTCCACCTCGAGGTCGACGAGCCGGTTGAAGTGCTCGATGCTGCGCGCGCGCGCGCGTCAGCCACCAGCGGTGAGGGAGAAACAGGGAGAAGCGCGCACCTCTCCTCCCGGAGCTCGTCCAGGTCGGCCGCGGCGTCCTGGAGGAGCTCCATGCGTCCGGCCTGGGCGTCGTCGCGCACGCTTTCGAACTTGCCACCGAGGGTCTCGATGACGGCCTGTGGCAGAGGCTGGGCGTCAGGCGGGCGCATACGACGCGGTCGGGCAAGGGCGCACGCACCTCGTTGATCTTCTTGAGGACGGCGATGATTTCCTCCATGGGGTCTTTCCTACGCGTCTCGGCTGCGACGGGCTCCTCGAAGTCTTCGTCATCTGTGCGGGTGAAGCCTGTCGCCTTGCGGCGAATGCTCGTGGGGATCTTTGACGGTGTTGAGCCTGCCGCAGAGGTCAGTGGCTGGAAGTGGTAAATGAGGCACTCGAAGGCTTACTTGACGATGCATGCGAGATCCGTTTCCCTGGCATAGGCTCGATGCGCAGTGGGGACGCCGGACGTCTCTCGTCCACTTTTGAGGCGAATCTGACCAGGCGCTGAGGTCCGCGCGTGTCGCGGGGAGGTGGCCGCTCCTTATGGGGGATGGCTACGTTTACTTGCAGATTCCCGTCAGCAGCGCGGACTTCGTTGACGGTGGGTTCTACCGGAGACTGAGAGGCCTTCGGCGGAGGCGGGGGTGGCAGTGGAGAAAGCCTCTCCTTTGAAGGGATAGTATATTTATGGTTCATGGACTCTGGACTTGACGGGTCTAGAGTAAGATCGATGATGATGGCCTTCTTGGGCTTTGGTAGAGGGGGCGGAGCTTGGCGAGTCTGTGTAGCCTTGACGTCAGGAGACGATATGCACCGTGTAAGAACTCCACTCACCGGAGGAGTTAGTATGCGAAAGTCCGAAGTCGTGTGGGGATCATTGGAGCGGTCTAGCTGCTCGCTGAAAAGGGCGGTGTCGCCAGCAGGAGGCGAAGTCCGCGGGACTTTGACGTTTGGAACGGTCTCTAGCTGTGTGAGAGTTGGCGGTTCCCCGCCGTGCTGATCGGACAGTGAGGAGAGACCGAGGTCAGCTGCTGCGTCCCATGGAGTTTTACTTCCAGACTTTGACTTCATCGATGAATGAGCATCCCGTTCAATTACCTGAAAACACATCAGTCGTCTCCCTTGAACGCGAAGATAGATTGTACCGGAGGAGGAAGGCAAGCGTCATTCTTGGCAACCGGCGGGGCGTCGGAAGAATCTCCAACTTCTTCGATAGACGGTTGAGGTTCATTGAACTCATCGGGGTCAGCCTGAGCGCTGTCTTCGTTCACGAACTGTGCGAAGGCATAAGCATAGGACGCGGGAAACAACAACCTACTAACAGTTATGTCTGTGTTTTCCGCAAGCAGATCGGAGCTTAGCTCCAGCCTGAAGTGACCATGTTCCCTGTCATCGGATTCCCACAGCGTTGGACCGGAGACGTCCACTTCGCTTGGTTTAGCCGTCGATCCAGCCGGTTTCTTTGTATCTGCATCGGGTGGCGAGTTAGTCTCCTTATCGCTCTTCTTGGGGTCCGGATCCGCCGCGGGCTCGTCGGGTGGACCTTTGTGCGTCTTGCGCGGTCGAGGCGGAACGCGGAAGCCTCTTGCTGGCACTGGAGGTCTTTTCTTGGGAGCCTTGGGCGCCGCGTTCGTATCCACCGGCGCGTCTACAATTCCACACTTGTCGGCTTCGGCTTCCACCTTCGATCTCGATTTCTGCGTCGCATCGGTGATCGCAGGTTTTGTACCTTGCGGATCGTCGTCCCGTGTCGCGTCTTTGTGCTCATCTGTTGTTTTCGTTTCCTTCATCGCCTTCGTCATCTGGCCTTCTTTCTTCACGGTTTTCTTCGCACCGGCTCGAGTTGTGTACTTCTTCGTTAACGCAGTAGGGGAGCCTTGTGTCGGAGCTTTGGTTGGAGCAGCAACAGAAGCGACAGGAAGCTCGTCATAGTCGATCCAGAGATCAGACTTCGGTCCCAGCTCAGAGCCATCAGGGTGTGGGGAAGACGTTTTGCCCTTCGCACGGTATCTCTTCCCGGCGCGCACAGTGGGTTTCAGCAGTTTGTCAGCGTCCGAAGCAGCAAGCAGCAGTATAGTGTTGTCGTCGTCGAGCACAGCGGGAGCTTGTAAGTCGTTTATAGAGGAGCTTCGAGCTCGCTTTGTTCGCTGAGGTGGTGGCATCATATCGTCTGGAACTTGTGTTTCGGATGACCTTGCTCTCTTCAGGGGCTTTGGGATGACAGTTAACGCTTCTCCAGTCTTGCGAAGTCCCTGTTTGACGGGTCTTCGCACCGCCGGACTGGGAGAGCTGGACGGAGGAGCTGGAGGAAGAATGAGCCCTGACCAAATCTTCAAATCGTTGTGTACTGACCTAAGTCGTCAAATACTTGGTTCGCCCGCAGAGCAGCTATGGAGATGGAAGGCCTGACGAGAGCAATGGGGGCGGAGGGGTTATACAACGGATCAGAAATAGCGTGACATTCGATGTCCGGGAGGGCAGAGCGTGTAGAGAGAGATCTTTTGAGAGTTGAATTAGGCGCAGCGGGTGGAGACGAGACCGCGGCGTTGAAATCTGGAGCAGGGATCTCCCTGCGAGAAGAAGGAAGCGGTGCATTCTTGATGGTGGGTTTTTGTCGGTTTGGAGGACTGGCAGTGACGAGTTCGTTGAGGAATGGTTGCAAGACTAGAGAAACCGGAACGATGGAGGGAGGGTTGCGTTCAGGTCCTTCAGGTTCAGGTTCATCGAAAGTAGATCGAGTGGATAGGGCTATTTTCGCTGTGCGTCCGGTTCGCTTTGGTGGAGAATCGTCGTCAGAGTCCAAGATTACAGCTCCCAGGCCACCGCGAGCTAGGCGAGCAGAAGCATTTGTCGTGAAGCTTGGAACCATAGGCAATCTTCCGCGTATGCGCACCAGTGAAGCGGTTCGATGTTGTGAAGGCCGAGGTCTTGCTGAAGGAGAACTAGACAGCTCAGAGAGATCAGTCAAATCCGAGTCCATAGTGTTGTTGCGTTGAGGCTCGTCGATGTCGATATCGTCCTTATCGTGCGGATCTTGAACCATAGAGCGAGAGACTTCATCATCGCCGAAGTCTTCGATGGGCGAGGATGACTGGTCGAAGGGCTTGGGTATTTCAGTGGTGTGTTCAAAGCCGTTTGCCGATTGAATATCGTCGCTGAGAACGTCGGTTGCGTAAACTGTGCCATCATGAGTCGTAGTTCGCCAGAGCAGTGTGAAAACTTACACTTCTGCACGTCCTCGATTCTCTGATCATCTAGTTAGCAGATAGGTCTTACTCTGGAGTAGGAGTCTCACTTCTGTTTGGCTGAGCCTTTGCACAAGCTTCCCTTCGCCATTGACCTCAAGATAAGCAGCGTGCGTCGCTAGGGACTGTTTTTGAGGGCGAGGGGACCGGATGTGTACAAGACTTTCCTAATAAATCATGTTAGAAACGTCAAGCGTGTATATCAGATCACAAACCAGCGTTCTGCAGCGTATGGTTTGTCGGAAACGTGACTCTTCCTGGGCTGGAAAGGTGAACAGCACCTTATGCTCTGTAGCAGGCGTCATTTTCAGATGATCTTTTCCTAACCGTGGCGGCGCATTGAGAACAACCGATACACGGGTAGCATCACTTGCTACTTTGCCAATATCAATCGTGACGACGGTATCATATCCGATCTCCAGCGTGTCGAACTGATCTTCCTATTTGCAGGGGTTATGAGGATCGCACAAACATTGACGAACACGACGACTCACTCCAGGAAGCAACACATTCACCAGAAAGGTCTTCTCGTCCATGTAAATCCGATCAGTGGTATACTTTTCCCCGCAGACTAGAGTCTCTTCGACTGAAAATGGCTGAGGGCTGCAACAACACAGATTCAGTGCACATCGTTCACAATGCTGAAGATGTGCTTACAAACACAAATCGCTTTGAGCTGCGAGGACGTCGATAATCTGTACGGAAGTTTCATCCCATTTGCTCGTAGAAACGTTGTCAAGGATATTGCATATTTGCTCAGCGGCACCCTTATAGTCCAAAGGGGATGTAGACTTGAATACAGAGCTGATGAACGAAGATCTTTGAGCACGACCGGCTGCGCAATCATTCGTGGAGGGCAAAGCTCGAGCCACGATGTTCAAAAGGCATTCGAGAGGAAGGTAGTCTAGGTAGACGTCACGCCGGGGTTTCCAAAGATTGCAAAGAACTACGTGCCTCGTGTCCCCCATATGCAGGATCCCAAACGCGGTCCTCCAAGTACTGATGTATCTCGCAGTCGGCGTTGGTTCGCCGGATATGAGGCTGATGCATCGCATAAGATGTTATATGCCTATAATGTAGCGCATATAGTCAGCTAGTGTTCCACCTTCGTCTTAGATATGGGGTCTTACGGTGTATCTGAGATCCACCCCTGTTCTGGGCGCTGATAAGGAGACGCATATATCGCTGAGAACGGGGAACAGCGTCTGCCCAATGGCTTCTTTGGCATCAGCAGAAGCGTGTTCATCCAGATAATCCTTGAAAGGGGATGAGAATCTCGAGCGACACCGTTTATAGAACACATACCAGAACCCCAGACAGTAGCGCATACAGCACTGACATCCATCTATTCTTTTGTTCATGTTGGCCGCTTGTAATTGCCGAAAAGATACGCTCATGATATACAGCTTCGAATATGGTGGCTGCCAAACGCAAAGAGGGAGTAGGTAGGATAGCGTAGAGTACACGGAGGGATTCGCGAAGGAAGCTTCTCAGATTTTCTGCTATTTGCTCAGATATCGGGGAAAGCTTCTGAACAAAACATGAGACAGGGGTGGTGGTTATTGAATCTCAGAGTAGACCTACCAGTAGGACGAGATGGGTGGATATTTGAGCGGCGGTATCTGCGAGACGCTTCTTGTCCCTCCCCTCGAGCTGGCTCTGCGCAACAGAGGACTTGAGGTGGTGCAGAGCGTCGTCGACCGAGTCCATAGCAAAAGCGATGTCCGGAGAGTGAGTCCGAAGATAAGATGAAGTCTGCGACGCGGTCACGGCGAAGAGAGGCACTGGCAGCACGGCCCGCGACGCGTCTGTGGCGAACAGACGCCTACAAAAATACGAACAAACAGACACAACTTGCGAGTGGCGAGGGTCACGCTTCGACAACGCTCTCCTCGTATCCCTAACCCTTACCCTCGTCCCCCTTGTCCATGTCTGAGCCAGACCCGGTCGAAGCTCGACCAATGTCTCAAGATCCCCCCAACGGCTCCGCCCAAGAGAACGGACAGCCGCAGATATCCCTGGACATTCTCAACGCACTTCGGCAACTTCAAGGCTCACCTCTAGCGGCTACTACTCCTCAGCCCAGTACCGGTCAAGTCACGCAAGAAACAGCTCAAGATGCGCCCATGCAGCCCGACCATGCTGAAGCAAAAATGGAGCCCACTCCACCCCCTCAGTCAGAGTGGGACCAGCTTCGTGCACAACTGCGTGAAAAGCCTGTCGACGCCGATGGATGGTTGAAACTAGTTGATCTCGCTGAAGAATCTGGCGACATTGAGAAGATCAAGGAGACCTACGAGGGCATGCTCGAAACTTATCCTAATACTGTTAGGGTTTCACGTCCACTCTTGGTGAAGTTGTCTGACTAGTCGTGTGCAGCCCTCCATACAGATCGCGTATCTTCAACACTTCCTCGACGACTCTTCGCAGTTCGGCTACGCTGAAGCTCTTTTCAAAAAGTTCCTCTTGCGGACAACCCCTTCCGTGGAGCTTCTGAAATTCTACCTCACGTACATTCGGTATGTTCGCCAATCGTTCGCGGCCCATCTGCTCAACATAGGTTGCTCCAGCCGCATAACTACCGGTTCCAATGCGCGAGAAGTTATCCGGAAATGCTACGACTTCGCTCTCTCCTTCGCTAGCCAGGACAAGGACAGTTACGAAATTTGGCAAGATTACATCAACTTTCTCAAAGCTGGAGAGGTGAGTTGTTCTTCACCCGACATTATTTTGCGTTTCCCGTCTCCCCCTTCTTCCCTAGCCCGCGGTTTTGTCGCTGTGGGCATGTCCAACGTCGAAGTCGAGGCTGGGTATCGGCCGCAGACGAATGACCTCGAGTCCTTCGTTTGGTGGCCGATCCTTTCCGCGAATTCCGGACAGCAACCTTCTTCCTTGTTGTCGCTACCGTTGTACCATATAATATACCTTTCCTTCCCTCACCCTCCGCGTGCCTGTTCAGTCCCGTGTGATGAGTGCTGCTTGTTGCGACCGCGTGATTACGAGTGCACTACTGACGCGATCGTGTGATAGGCTAGTACCACTTGGGAGGAACAGCAGAAGATGGATGCTGTTCGACGAGCATACCAACAAGCCGTGCAGATACCCATGGAGAACGTGAAGCGTCTCTGGGAGGACTATCAGGATTTTGAGAATGGCTTGAACAAGATCACTGTGCGTCTTTCCTATCTCTATACGCCCACCTCCTTCTCCAACATCCCCTTCTCCCGCCCAGGCGAAGAAGTTTATCTCCGACCTTCAAGAGAACCACATGCAAGCCCGCACTGTCCTCAACCAGCTACAGGAGAACCTTTCCGTCCTCATTCCTGCCCAGCTCGCCAAGAAGGATGGTCGCTCAAACATCTGGCTCCCCCGTCCCCCCACATTTAACCAAGGCGACAAGGCCGTTATTGCACGATGGCGCCAGTATCTCAAATGGGAAGAGAACAACCCCCTTGAGATCGAGGAAGCCAACCGAAGCATTCTGCTCACGCGTGTTCAAGCCGTGTACAAGAAGGCGACCGTACGGATGAGGTATTACTCGGAGATCTGGTGCGTAAAACAGCAGACTCGTACCCATGTGGTACTAATGGCCCGCCCGACCGTAGGTTTATGGCATACGCGTGGACAAACAGTATTGGTAAGACTGACGAGGCTCTTGCTTTGCTCAAAGCGGGCATCGACGCGAACCCTGCGAGGTGAGCAGCCGTGATGGGACCGTGCGCAGCGTGCTCACTTCCGTATAGCTTCGTCCTCAACTTTGCCTACGCGGAGGCGCTTGAACTCCAGAACAATTTCACTGAGGTACACGCTACCTTCGAGAAGTTCCTCGAAGTCCTCCGCAAGGACCTAGAGGCACTTGAGACGAGGCTCGGTAACGCCAACAGCACCGACGGCGCTCAAGGCTTGCAGCCCAGCCAAGGCCAAAGCAGTGGCCTGCCATTTGATGCGCCCCCATCGGCGTCGTTCAGTACTTCTTCGTCCGACGACAAGCCTCCGAAGAACAAGGAGCTTACTGACAAACGCACTGACTACGGCATCGCGTGGATAATGTACATCCGCTTTGCCCGGCGTGCGGAGGGCCTCAAGTCTGCGCGGAACGTATTCGGCAAAGCGCGCAGAGACCGCTGGACGCCGTGGGAGGTTCACGAGGCTGAAGGTGTGTCCTTAATTGTCTCAATTGACGCTTCTCCTAAAGAATTTCCTATGTCTAGCATTGATGGAGTATCATTGCGGAAATAAGGACCTCACAGTCGCCAGCCGTATCTTTGAGAAAGGTATGGAACTGTTCGGCGACGAGCCCGAGTATGTCCTGCGCTACCTCGGATTCCTCATCTCCATCAACGACGAGAACAGTAAGTCCCTATCCGCCCCATGTGGCTTCGTTCTGACATGGACTTCGAACACTGCCCAGACGCAAGGGCATTGTTTGAACGTGTGATCGGTACTTTCACGCCCGAAAAAGCCAAACCCTTGTGGGATCGGTGGACTCGTTACGAGTACCAGTATGGCGACCTTGCGACAGCGCACAAGCTCGAGAAGCGCATGTCGGAGATCTACACCAATGGTTTGCCAGTCTCCTCTCAGACGTAGGCGAGCTCGCTAACCAGTACCTCCTGCAGACCCACCGATCAAGCGTTTCGCTGAGCGACACAAGTACCTCAACATCGACTCGATTGCAGTGCGTGATATCGGATTTGTGCCCAACAAAGGAGGCGGGCGCAGCAACGGTAGCGGCCCTCTCACTCGCAACGACACGGCACAGTCAATCATGTCCGAAGCATCCAAGAGCACGACAACACCCAACCAGAGCTCTACTTCCAAGCGCGCATCGTCCCCTGAGCACAGAAGGCGTGAAGAGACCCGCGACCATCCCTCGAAGCGTGTGCGTCAGAACAGCCCGCCAGCACGTCGTCGTGAATCCGAGCGCTGGGAGACTGGTGGTAGTGGTAGTGGTGGAGGCGGTGGTCGTCCCCGTCATTCGTCATGGGAACGCGAACGCGAACGTGATATCCCCAGACGGCATGTCAAGGAAGAGCGCGAAGAAGACAAGGGAGTGCAGCTCCCGACCATACTGAACTGGTTTATCGGCACGCTCCCGGTTTCAGGCTCGTTCGATGGTATGTGCTCCCGAATCGGGCTCCGTGGCAACATATGTTGACCATACGCTGGCAGGTCCCATTTTCCGCACCGACGATCTAATGTCTGTCTTCCGCAATGCCGTCATTCCATCAAGCACATCCGCTCGAGCTCGTTCTCCTCCCCCTGCTCAGCGCGCTGCTGGTAAGCGTCCTTGAATCGTACCATCATCGGCGTGGCTGATTGGATCTGTCGTTGAAGGCGGTGGACGGCCCCCTCCGGACTACGGCCCCTATCAGGGTCCAGGTGGCGGGCGTCGTGGGCGCTGGTAGTCTCTCGTACTTCGTACCTCGTAGTGTAGACATCCCTTTCGTATGCATTCGCTATGTTGTCTGTTTTCTACTATACGTGCGTCAAAGACCGTCGAGCGCCGGCGCCTGTTTCGCCAATGTGGCAGCAGCGGAGAACGTGCACGGTGGGAGAGAGAAGTTGCGATTCACCACTGTCGGATCCGGCGTTCGTGTTGTTCTAGGACCACCACCTTGTCCCGCTCTGTCTTTTCCCCCTTGTACTACCCTGCTCGTGCGATCCATCTATATACCGCTTAACTATGCCAATCGAAGGAACAAATCACTCGCCATCGGTCTCTGACCAGGATCCCTTCTTTGACTCATTGACAGAGCTCGATCAACGGGCGCCGCTGGTCTCGAAATTGGAGGGTGTCCTTCCTTACACACCGCGTACTGATGTCGATGGCTTTCCTCGGGCATCCACAACAGGCAAATTACTTGTGAGGTTTTTTTCGCCTTGATCACTTTTCGTATTCGAATGACTAACCGAGAGTCTGTCGATCTCGTTCACAGGTTTGCCATGATTACAAGGTAAGTTTTTGCCTTGCCAACAATCGTCAGCATGATGACCTGTGATCTTCAGGGAGGATACACTGAGTCGCCAACAGCTCCAGCATATACGTTCAACTACTGGCCTTACTGTGAATCTTTCGTCTAGTCAGCCCATCCCTCGTCTATGCTTACCTACAGTCAACTAAACCCTCCTCCATTTTCAGCTTCTCCCACCATAGAGTCACTATACCACCCTCTGGGTGGTCCACCGCCGCTCATCGCCAGGGAGTGAAGATGCTTGGGACGCTGTAGGCATCCCGTCGCCCTCTTTGGTCCTCGTCGCTCATCGTTATCATTCCAGGATCTTTGAGCATGCGAAATCCGAAGCCGACTGCCTGCGGCTTTTGGTCGGCCCCCTGCCCACCTTTACTGAAACCGGGCCTGCGAAGCCGACCCAATTCACAGCACTCCCGGTGTCGCCTCACTATGCACGCACGCTAGCCGAGTTGGCGTTCCGCCGTGGCTTCGACGGGTACCTTCTCAACTTCGAGGCTCCACTGAAAGGAGGCGTCGAGCAAACTCGTGCTCTAACTATGTGGATCGCGATGCTCGAGAAGGAGATGAAGATGAAGGTCGGCCCACACGCCGAAGTAATCTGGTTGGTCTTCAAACCTTCCAGTAGCGCCTGACATATCTCATTCTCCTCGTTTAGGTACGACAGCGTGATTGTCGATGGCCAGCTCCGATGGCAAGATCGGTTGAACAGCACAAACCTCCCTTTCTTTCTCCCATCGACGGGCTTCTTCTCGAACTACACAGTGCGTACTATCGGTTGTCTTCTTGATATAGACTGATGTTTCCTCCAGTGGCCATCCGGTCACCCCAAGAGAACTGCGCAGTACCTCCTCAGCCTTGACCAGACTCACTACCGCCAGCCCAAAGAGCTCCAGAACCTCTTTATTGGCGTCGACGTTTGGGGCCGCGGCTCACACGGCGGCGGCGGGTTCGGCATCTACAAAGCCATCACCCACATCGACCCTGCTTCCATGGGGCTCAGCGTCGCACTCTTCGGACAAGCCTGGACGTGGGAGAGCGAGCAAGACAAGCCAGGATGGACGTGGAAGCAGTGGTGGGACTACGAGAGCAAGCTCTGGATCGGGCCGCCCACGGCAGACGAAGACGTGCCCGTGCCCGAGCCGCCGCCGCCGCGCGAGGGCGAGCTGCCGTGCAAGCACGGCGCGTTCCAACCGATCGCGGACTTCTTCCCGCGCCGACCGCCGCCGAACCCGGCCGCGCTGCCCTTCTTCACGTCCTTCTCGCCCGGGGTCGGCTGGGGCTGGTTCGTGCGCGGCGCGCGCGTGTTCCGCTCCGAGACGGGCTGGACGGACGTGGACAAGACGACGACGGTGGGCGACCTCGCGTTCCCGCGCCCGCGGCTCGCGTGGGACGACGAGGGGCGGACGGACGCGCTCCCGGAGGCGCGCGCGGAGCTGTCGATGGACGACGCGTGGATGGGCGGGAGCTCGCTGCTGGTGACGATCGCGGCGCCGGGCTCGGACGCGGAGGACGCGTTCTTCCGGTGCGTGTGGCTGCCCGTGCAGTCGCTCGCGATCACCCCGGGCAGGTCGTACCGTATGTCCGCCGTCTACAAGGTGCACGAGGGCCCGGTCGACGCGGACGTGGGCGCGATGGTCAAGCCTCTCGCGGACGGGGTCGAGGCGACGTTCGACGTGACGCCCGTCGCCGCGCCGGAGGTGCTGCCCCACGGGTGGGACGAGCTGGTAGTCGACTTCGTCGTGACGTCGGAGCACCCGCTCGACGTCCCCGTCGCCGTGGGGCTCGTCGTCGGCTTTGCCTGCGAGGACCCCACGGAGCCGGTCGAGTTCTCCCTGCTCGTCGGCGCGATCAGCGTGTACGCCAACCCGGTCTCGCCCACGCTGACGGCGCTCAGCCCGAAGCTCCTGTGGGCGGACTTCGTCCCCGAGAAGCATTTCGTCATTTTCCAAAACCCGAGCTCCGTCTATGGGACTGTCAGGTGGGGCGCGGGTGTGTCGCTGGGACCCGTGCCCGCGCTCACGATGGGCTCACCCGAGGACCCAGAGCCGTCGTGGATTCTCGACCACGCGATCCCGGGCCTTTTGTACTGCAACATATACGTGCTCGGGATGGACGGCGTCGGCGCGGGAGTGGCAGCACAGCCGGAGGACGCAGTGTTCATTGGGACGACGGGGCTCGACGGGCGTGGTGGGTGGTTCTATGCCGACTCGCAATGCCTGCCGGAGGCCCTACGCGAGGCGGACGCGGTGCGGTACTATGTGCAGGGGGTGACGGACAAAGGGAGGGTGCTGGATTGGGAGGACTGCGTTTTTGTGACAACTCCTGACTATTCGAAGCTGTACTGAGGGCAGGCGGTAGGATTGGTTCAAGGTCTCCTACACGACGAACATGGTTCTAGATTGTTTGTGTATGATCAACATTAGGTGATACAGAACGGTGGCAGAAGTGATGCTACAAACAAATGTCTACATTGTCGTTTCAGACACATGAATGGACCGGCTACTCTGGCGGGGGCGAGCTGATAGAGAGCGTGGGAAGGACGCATTCTTGCACAAAGTATTCGTGGAACCGGTGGTCCTTGGTCAGCTCCGGATGGAACGTCGTGAGGAGGTGGAGGCCCTGGCGCAGCGCGACAATCGTTCGTGGATCACGGGGGTCTGTATCGTCCTCGTCTATGGGAACAACGGTCTGCGAGGCTGGGAGGAGGGAGGCCGAGATGCGCGACAGAATCTGAATGGGTGGGTCCGTCGGGGAGGGGCTCAGACCGATCACCACCTATATACGTACCCGGTCAGTTCCAGACATATGGGCATACTGCAAGCGGTAGGCACGCACCGGGGCCCGGATGAAGATGCCGTGGAAGGCACAATTGGATTCGCGGAGGCCCTCGACCTCGAGCGGGGCCTCGAAGGATTCGACTTGAGAGCCGAAGCCATTGCGCTCGATGGTAATGGAGATACCTCCGAGGAGCTCCTGGCCGCCCTTCTTTGCGCCCTCGACCCAGCGTGCAAGGAGTATTGCGCCGGCGCAGGTTCCCCACACGGGCTTGGTCTTGAGGAACTCGCGCATCGGCTCAAGGAGCCCGGCGAGACGTGCGAGGAGCGCGATAGTGGTCGATTCTGGGAGGACAAAGAGTAGCGGTGAGCCGAAAGTAACGATGAAGTCGAAAAACATAAGATCTACCTCCGCCGGGAATGATGAGGCAGTCACACTTGTCGAGATCCTCTTGTTGACGCACGAGGACGACGACGACGCGCCGCTTCAGCGACAGCTTTTGCAGCATCACCTGATGCTCAGCGAAAGCGCCTTGCAGAGCTGTGGTCGAGGGGCGGGGTTAGCTCTGAGCAACGGCAAGGCCAAGAACAAGCCCACCAAGGATGCCGACGGTGACATGATCGCGAGGGGGCGAAGGCTGCATCGCTCCCGTGACCTGCTCTAGATTACTCGATCGCTCGTCCGCACGGCGCAAACCAAACGGTCCTCCCCAGAGACCTGTATGCAGGAGCACGGTTAGGAAGTCTCTAGAGCTGAAACAGAACTTTACCTCGTGGGTTGGGTGAGAGTGGTTGGACACTGTGGTGGGGAGCGGAGTTTGAACAGGAGAAGGTGGCCATCAAATCTTGATTTTGCCACGTCATACAAGGCATAAAGCAGCAGCCCCGATTTTAAACTCCGAAAGCAATTTCTAATGTGGAGTCATTGCACGGCTCCGCGGGTTGACTTCTCTCGTCTCTACCACCACCTCTGCTGCCGTCTCCTTTCCCTCTGTCCACTATGTCCGACCTCGACGCTGATTTGTACGGCGGTGCGTGCCTTTGCTCTCTGCAACTGCCCATCCACTCATCTTGATCATCTTTGCAGACCTTTACGGCAACGATGAAAACGAGTTTGTTGTCCCGACTGATTCTACAGAAATCGCTCCTGTAAAGGTAGAGCAATACGAATCGACAGACCCTCCACCGCCCGTGAAGTCAGAGCCCATTCCGTCAAGCATGTCAAGTCCTCCGAAGTCAATACCAACATTCGACTCAAATCCCCTTTCTCCTACCTCGACCGCCCCCTCAGGCACAAGTGCCATCCCCTCATACACCTCACTCTCCACCCAACAAATTCCGACATATCAAGAACGTCAACCAGATTTCCGCGAACCCGCCCCTCCCCGACATGATACCTACCAGGGAGCCCCAGGGGCAGACCGGCCTGTTCGGCCGTCGGAGATGAAGGAAGAAGGGTTAGTCGCTTTGTTCTCTCTCCTTGCTGACACGCGCAGTCGCAATCCTTTCGGCGCGACGGGTTGGGTGTCGACGCGGATGCGGTGGTTGAGAGGTGTCGTCAATACGCCCGCAGTAGTCAACGTCGCCTCCATCTAGCTAGCACTAGCATGCCCTAGCACGTCGACTCTTCTAGGTCTAGGCTAGCACTGTCGCACACAGCAGTAGAGTCGTCCATTCTCTCCTCCTTGTTATGACCGCTCTTTGTTCTAGGTAACAGGATGCTAATACCAGCGCTTTCTTTCCATGTACACCACCCTTGTATTCGCCTCGTCGCGTCTCGTCTCGCGTGCTTCCAATCGGCGACGGCGGTGACCCCCGTGCAGGAAAATGTTCATCGGTGGCTTGAACTGGGACACAACAGATGGTACATTACGACTATGTTTCTGTGTTGTATGGTAGTACTGAACTGTCGTCCCAGAGTCTCTGAAGAAGTACTTCACGCAGTTCGGCAAGGTCGAGGCGTGCACCATCATGCGGGATGCTGCTGGCCGTTCAAGATGCTTTGCGTTCCTCACGTTCGAAGATCCGGCGTCGGTGAACGCCGTGATGGTGCGGGAACATTTCCTAGATGGCAAAGTTGTACGTCTCTGGTGATGTGCGCGTCCCTGACCGCATCTGACTGGTGCTATCATGTACGCAGATTGACCCCAAGCGTGCGATCCCACGGCAAGAGCACCAGCGCGCGACCAAGCTCTTCATCGGTGGCTTGCCTGGCAGCGTCACCTCCGAGTCCATGCGCGAGTTCTTCTCCCAATTTGGCAAGGTCGTCGACGCGACCGTCATGCTCGACCGCGAGACGGGCCGGAGCAAAGGCTTTGGCTTCGTCTCGTTCGAGAACGTCAACGTCGAGCCCATGCTCGGCTTCGGCAACCTCCAGATTGACGGCAAGCTGGTAAGTCTGACCCGCCCCTCTCTCATGCTCACCACTCACCCTCCACCCTCCACGCTCTGCAGATCGACGTGAAGCTCGCGCAGCCGCGCTCCCAGCGCGAGGCCTTCAACGAGAACGGCGGCACGGGCGCCGCCGCCGCCGCCACCAACAACGCCGGCGCGGGCGGGCGCAACAACTTCTCCAACGGCAACGGCGCGTACGGCGCACAAAACTTCGCGGGCGGGAACGCCAACGGCGCTGGGGGCGGCGCGGCCGGGGGCGCGAACGGGAACGGCAGGGCGCCGTTCGACCCCCAGGCGCTCGCGCAGCTGTACACGCGCATGATCTCGCAGATCGGTGGGATGAACCCGATGATGGGCGGGATGGCCCCGGGGATGATGAGCGGCATGGGCGGGGGCATGGGAGGCATGGGCGGGATGGGTGGAGGAATGGGCGGCGGGATGGGCATGCGCGGTGGCATGGGCATGGGCATGGGCCGTGGAGGTCATCACGGTGGGATGGGCGGCCATGCAGGGATGCAGGGCCCGGGGTCGCTGGGCCCGAACGTGCCCAAAGGCCCGCGCAACGCCGCGCCGCCGACGGGCCCTAGTGGAGGTGTGGGCCCGCAGAGGACGGGGAACCGCAGCGGGCACGGCTACCACCCGTACGCGCGGTGAGTGGTGCTCTGTAGAGTGGTTAGAGTGGTATGGTGTGGACATCGCGGACAGATGTTCCAGTACTAGTGATATTTGTACTGTACGTTAGTTGATCGTTTTGGCGTTGGTTTCGTTGTGTATCTCCACCTCTTACAGCAATGCGCGTCCGCTCACATACTAATTCTCAAAACTACTCGTTTGAAGCCAAGTCTACTTATGTCCGCGAAGAGGCAATTCAGTGGCTCGGCGCCGAGCGACAATGAGATGTCAGCTTATAAGTGGCAAGCAGTCTTAAGATCTGAAGGCTGGGTGCACAGTAAACCCAACTCAGTTCGGCGCCTAAATAGGATGCAAGTCTCTCCTGCACAGTCACCATCTTCCGATCCCTCTCTCTGTCTCTCTCTCGCACACACCCTGGACGCTATTCTCTCTCCTACCTGTGCGTCTTCCAAGCTGCACGAAGTCTCGCAGGCTCCTCGACGTCAACATAGCGACCTTCCTCGGCCTCCACACCCTCCCTGGAGCACTCCGACATGCTAGACCCCTCGCACAGCGCGTGATAGCGCGGTACAAGAACACCGCACTCTCTCCTCACACGCAAATTCTGCCCAAAGATGCTCGTCGCATCCGCGAGCCGTCCCCCGTCATGCTCGGGCTCAAGCGCAAGTTCGAAGAGGAGGGTGCGGCCGCGGCGGTTGCATCCTTGACGGATGCCCTGGACGGCAGAGACGGGGCAGCGGCGATGGACAACGCGACGCGCTTCGACCTGTGCGAATACTCGCTCTCCTTCTTCCTCCGCCGCGGCGAGTTCGCCAAGGCCTCTGTGCTGCAGCTACGCATGACCCGCGAGGGCTTCATTCCATCCCCTTCCCTTCGCGCCCAGTTCGATGCGGCTGAACTGGCCGCCCACAACCCAACGGACAACCAGCTCTTCGCCGCGATCGAGCATTACCTCGCGGACAAGACCTTCGACGAGGGTGCGTTGCGCCGCCTGCTCCAGTTCTTTCATGAAGGTATGGCGGCCTCGCTCTACCTCATCAACCGGGTTGCGCACGCCTACCTCGACACGCGACCGGGCCTCAAGTTCTCGGTGCACACGATCAGCTACCTCGTCCGGGTCCACGTCCGCGGCAAAGACACGGATGGCGCATCCCGGTGGGCGACGGAGCAGCGCAAGCGGCCGGAGCCATCCCAAGTCCACCTTCCACACCTCATCGGTCCCTACACGACGCTACTCAATGACCTCGCGCACGCGAAACCGGAATACTCGGCCTACAAAAAGGTCATCGAAAACATCCAAGCAGACGACCCCAGCTTCCAGCCAGACATGGACTTCTTCAGCGTGCTGCTGAAGCACGAACGCCTCAACCACCGGTTCGAGGCCATGTTCGATATCTACGAACGGCTTCTCTCCATGCGTTCGCCGGCGATGGTCCCCCACGGCTACATCTTCAGCACCATCTGGGCGACGCTCAACCTGCACCTCAGCTATCATGGCATCAAGCGACGCAACAAGCGCGACTTCCGGCCCCCGCCCAACATGCCCTCCGTGGAGACCGTGTTCCAGGACATGCTGGTCTGCCACGCCGACCAGCAGGGCCTGTACAAGTCCCTCCCTCCAGTCGGCCCGCGCCCCGCGCCCGTGTTCAGCGCGAAGACGATCACGGCCATGCTCCACACGCTCGTCAACCAGCACGACTACGCCGGGATGCTCGTCGCCCTGCGCACGCTCGACCTCGTCCCCGCCGCGGACGCGCGCCTGGGCCCGCTCCCGAACCTGCACCTCTACCAGCTCGTCGTCGGCTCGCTCCTCCACCGGATCCGGCGCCAGTACCTCGCCGCCGTGTTCTCGCCGCGGCCGCAGAACTTCTGGGCGTGCCGCTTCCTGGGCCTCGCGGAGGCGGCGCCGCGCGCGATCCGGCGGCACATGGACGAGGACATGGCCCTCGTCTACCGCATCCTCAAGATGGGCACCGAGAAGACGCCGTCGCTCGCGTTCGTCGACGCACCCGAGTTCGCGGACGCGCTCGCGCACGAACGTGCGCAGGCCAAGGCCGAGCTCCGCGCCGAGCGTGCACGCGAATACGGTGTCAGAGGCGGCAGTGGACCGGGGCCCGAGCTCGAGGTTGAGGGCGAGGGCGAGGGCGAGGGCGAAACCCCGCGGCTCCGTCCGGTGGCAGAGTCGCTCCAGGTCCATCCGTACTACCACGAGATCGTCGACGAGAAGGAGTTCCACCCGTACGGGCTGCCGAGCCCGCTCGAGTGCGTGGACGGCACCTCGGTGCCCGCCGACCAAGGATTCTCGCGCGAGGGCCTCGAGCGCATCCTGATGCGCGCGACGCTGGCGGACTTTGAGCCGTGGAGGCTGCGGGAGATGGAAGGCGACTACGACCGGCTCGTCGCGCATGCGATCAAGGTCGCCGAGGGGCGGATGTACCCCCCCTCGCAGGGACCGGTATTGGTGGAATAGCGGAGTGGACGGCAGTAGGGTGGTGGGGCCCCGGACGGTGGGCATCGTGTTTGCTTGTCTTACTCTATAGTTTTCCATATTGCTTTCTGTTAGAACATGTAACACCACTCTGACCCCTGCGCATATAGCTTACTCGACCCTATAAGGGACCTACTCAATGCACTCGTTCATTTTCCGGCCCTCGTCGACTGTACATAGTACTACTGCACGGCGACCTTGACGGTATGGCTTAATGACACGGTCAAAACCTTGAGACGCGTAGTAGCCAGCTCCTATCGCGGTGGTGTCACAGTGTATACTCCTGGATGCTCCCACTCTACAGCGAGGTCAATGAAATGTGTGCAGTGCAGTGTAGCTTCAAGAAGTCCATCTATAGACGATGTGCTGAGATAGTGGCAAGCATCCCAAGGAGAAGTACAGATCTTCGACATGACGGGAGCATTGATCCTGACACATGCCCGATATGACACCCTCAACCCAGATGCAGACTCCCCACCACCTCTCGCCTCGCCCACTCCCCCGTCGCGCTCCCTCCCGGCCCTGCCACCGCCCGCCACACCAACAACCGGGACGACAGCGCGTCCCACTCCCCCGTCTTCGACGCGCAGGCCATCGACGCGCGCCAGAGCGCCTCCGTGCACTCGCCCCAGACTTGGATCGTCGGCGCGTCGTCGGCTTCGAAAAGGCGGTGAGAGCGGTGGACGCGCACGGACGTCGACGCGGGTGTCGGGTCGAATTTCGACGAGATGTGTCCGGGTGGCGGAACTGAGACGTCGGTTTCCATCTCCGAGAGCCGGCGCACGGACGCGCGCAGCAGGGAGGGCAGACGAGAGAGTGCAGGGCCGGGGAGGAGCGAGAGCCTCAGCAGCACAGGAACCGCTGCAACAAAGACCGTTCGTGTACACCCTGGAGGGTAGAGAGGTCAGCATCGCGCATACTAGCACAAGCAACACTGGATCAAATACCTTGATGGTTGAGGATAATCTCGAGGCAGCGACCAGTAGTGACACGCCACTCGCCACTGGTCGCCGCCTCCATCTTCACAGCGTCCACGACAGCCAGGACGTTCTCGAGGATCCTCGCCCACGCGATCGCCTCTTCGCTCCGCAGCGTCTGCAACTGCATTTCGATCCAAGCCAGCAGCGCATGCCGCAGGACGAGTGACGCGGCCGCTCGCGCATGGGACGTCACGTTGGCGAGAACCTACGAGCGGGCGTCGGACGATGAGCGACGAAAGGCAGTATGAAAATGTCCGCACCTCGAGCACTCCGCGCCTCAACGTCCGATCGCGTTCCTCGCTCTGGAACAAGCTCGCAAGTAGGTCCCACGTATGTCTCCGCTTGAGAATCCGCCACTCGTCTGTGCCGACGATGCCATCGCTAAGGAAGCGCACGATCCACGCCCGCTCCTTCTTCCAGTCGTCAGAGGCGCTGTAGAGCATGCCGTACAACATCGGAACGTCGGTCGGATCGAGGGTTGGGCGCTGCAAGAGGAAACGCGCGGTGAGGGGGTAGATGAAATTAGAGGGGTAGAAGAGTGCGCGGAACGCATGGGCGAGGAGAAGGGTGGTGTATGCGGGCAGTCGGGGGGCTTCGTCCGCCGAGGGGGTCGATGAGGTGAGATCCTTAAGTAGATTGAGGATGTGCAGAACGTGTGGCTTCTCTTGCATGTCCGCGTTCTGGAATTGTCTTAGTGACGAAAAAGCAACGTGACTTGGACTCGATACGTACCTCAAGTGCTCGATAGAGGGCAGCCACTTGGGCCCATGCTACGTCCCGCATCAAGGTGTCCTTCGCGGAGAGGGCCCGCATCAACAGACTGGCGACGTTGGTGCGGAAGAACTGGACCCATTGCAGTGCGGATGACGGGGCGCTATCCGAAAGCATCTGCGCGAAGAGCAACAAAACAAAGACGGGGTCATACAACGCTTCGTTCATTGGTAATGGGGCTTCATCGTCTCCAGTCATCTTCCGCGCGTCTGGGAACTCTAGACACGTCTTCAGCACCCGGCTGGGATCGAGGTTTTGGATGGCCTCAAAAGCGTTCTCCGAGGATCCGTCCACGGATGGAGACCATTTTGCGAACAAGGAGGCCGTTGACGTCTTCCGAGTGGTTTCGAAGAGTTGGAAAATGGACAGGATGCGCAGATCTGTCGCCCCAAGTGTACCGCCATACACCCTCTTGAGGGGCTCAATATGACTTGTTTGGCAGGCATTTGACGGATGCAGATGGAAAAGTGTATGAAGCAAGCGAATGACGTCGTCGCGGGGTGAAGGCACGGCCGAACGAGTCGTTGCTGCACAGTTTTCGTAGAACTTGGAGTGCTGGATGACCGTCTGGAGGAACTTGTTCGCCGTAGCTGGCTGTGAAGATTGTCAGCCTGTAAGTCGACTGGTTATTTCTGAGAATGACGACATGCCTTGAAATGAGTGGACAAAACCAGAAGCCGAGAAAATCGAAGTCCCTCTAGGTGAGAGAAGCGATCTTGGATGACGGCAGCGATCACCGGTTCTGCCAAATGGTCCTTCACAGCGACTTTGGTCTGAATCAGCGAGCCTGCAACACCAGTCAGTCATTTCATAGATCCATAAGAAGATCACGACGTACCCAAGAGCGATAGCATCGAGGACGACGACCCGTTTGTGCAGGCAGACTCTTTGTCTCCCAAAGTCCGAACCGCCCATTTGAGTCCGAGGTCGATCATCTGCTCCGCGAGACCAGCACACTCCGTACCGAGCTGTTCCATCAATCTCTGAGCGACCGACAGGCTGTACTGCGTAAGCTTCTCTGGGTCCACTGTTGCCAGCTCCTTCCCGAGAAGTTTGAGGTACTTGGCCCGAGTCGACGGAGACATCACAACCGCCGCTGCGATGCATTCCGCAGCCATCGAACGGACGGCGTGTGGATGTCGGGCTTCGGAAACGACCTTGACGACGCGAGATAAGTGGGAGGATGGAAGAGCGTCGTCCGCCCTCTCGTGTGCGCAGTCATAGTACGCATGTATGATCCTCACAAGGTGGGTAGTGCTGCAGGATGAAGATGCTGGAGAGGCGAGCCATGTGGAGACGGCGGAGCGGGCGGCAGCTTGACGATAGAGCAGGTTGGTGACAATGTCAACGCCCACCCCGGATAAGCGATCGCTTCCTAAGATGCCAGAGATGTCGAGGGAAGGGATGGGCTGCAAGCGGAGGGACCATCTCTTGCTGGCGCCTGGTACAACCGACGAGATGGGATCATCGGAGAAGGGAGTAGGGAGGTGCCCGTCGTAGGCGAGGGGGAGAGAGCTGGAACATCCCGCGGCCACTAGCGTCCACAGTTCCTCTGACTGTGGCAGGAAGCCTTGCAGGCGACAGAAAGTAGGGAGTGCGCCAGTGATCACATCCGCTTCCCGTAAGAGGCTGTCGGCGGTAACATGGAGTACCTCGCTTGTGAAATCGAGAGTGGTCGAGGCGCTTGAGTGTTGAGCGCGATCTGCAAAACAGTCCAACAACGCTGAAGCTTCCTTCGCTCCGAGGTATTTGAACCAAAGCAGTGCCGTTTCTCGCTACACGAGGAGTCAGTCAAAGCTCTCGGCGCAAGTTGAAGGACAAACCTCATCTTCAGAGAGATTCTCGATACCACTGCGAACAAGAAGCACCCATTGGCCAGTGACCTCGGAGAAGAGTCGAGAGACATCTTCATGCTCGGGCTTGAAACATGCCTCTAGAACATAATCGAGACCTAGGACAGGTTAATATCGACCTCACCCGACGACCAAAACAAGCTCACCTTTTCTGACGACCGCGTCTTGAGGTCGCGAACATAATCCCTTCAAGACTTCTGACTCCAAGCAGGATACGATGGCTTGGCAAGCGTCGGCAATACGCGCGCCGATAAGAGCTTTCATGATGTCGGCCAATACACGGAGCCAATTTCGCGAGGAGCCAGAAGTTGCGCAATATGCCAGCTTGTGCAATACGAGACGCGTGGCGCGCGCTATGCTGACGTCGTCAGGCCGCCCGCCAAAGATGCTTTCTGTCAGCGATACCCTGACGGAGTCGTCCCCCGCGAGGGAGCCCGTACAGTGGGCGCTTTGTACGTTGAAGTTGATACTGACGCCCAAGTGAGCTCGACGCAGTTGATGACAGCAGCAAGTAGACGTACCATCGAACAATGCGCGTGAAGTCGTCCACGTTGGCCGCCGCATCCCATATAGACACTTGCCGAGGGTCGACATACTGGAACAGCTCTTGCAATGCGGGAGGATGGAGTTTTTCGACCGCGAGGGCGAGCCGGGCGAGCTCAGAAGGATGCAACTTCGGGTTGACGAGCCGCAGCCAGTCCACAAGCTCATATGCAGCGATCTTCCGTCCGTCCTCAGAATCGACTGGAAAGCCACGCATTCAACATGAAGGTAGAGAGGATGGAGAGCAGGGGACCACCACTCACGTTGCGGCAACTCCGCGACCCTCACCAAGAACTCCTGCACCGCCGGGCTGACGGGTGCCGCCTCAGACTCCTCCGCGCAACAAATCCGTTCCGGCCACGCCCCAGCCAACTCCGCCTCACGCTCAACCGCCTTCTGGATGCTCGGGTGCTCCGCAAACACCCCCTTCCCCTCGACGAGCCCAGCCATCCGGCTCGCATACGCCCTCACCACCCCCAGATCCGCGCACTTGCTCGCGAGCGCGACGAGGAGCTTCCTGGCGAACGCAAACAGCGCGAGCGCGTCCGCCGGGGCGAGCCGCTGCACCCCGAGCTTCGCGCCGAGCTGCTCAACGACCGTCGCGAGCAGGGGGCTCGGCGCCGCGTCCGGGCGGAGCCCGATGGAGCCCGCGCCTGCGGCCTGCTGGAGGTCCTCGACGTACTTGTACGGCGTCTTGACGCAGCGCTGCACGCAGTCGTCCAGGAACGCGATCACGGCATCCCCTTCGTCCGTGAGGGGAACGCCGTCAGGGGATTGTGCGCCGGGGGCACGCCGAGTGCGGGGGAGACACTCGAGCCACAGTGCGATCTCGTCGGGGTCGTGTTGGAAGAGGACGCCAGGAGCGAGGATGTGGCGTAGGAGGGCAACGATGACCGCGCGGACGGCGGGAGTGGGGGTGATTATGTAGGCTTTGAGGAGGATGTGGAAGTTGCTGTGTTTTGAGCCTGCGAACGTATGAGTGAAAGAGACAGACGGCGTAGGTGGGACACGCACCAGATTTCCCAGACCAGGTGAAATGCTCACTCTCCTTGAGGAGTCGAAGCACATGTAGTTGCCGAAGGGTGTCCAAGCCCCCAGTCCCGCTTGTAACCGCGCTTTGCGACAGCATCTCCTCGATGGCCTGAAGCAACTTTCCTGCATCGAACCGCGCCTCCGCCACTACCGAAGGGAGCAGCCGATGATACAGCCAGAGTAGTCTGTACGCACTCTCCGAGAGCAGAGCAGTCCTCGTCGGGTTAGGGAGAGTCGCTTTGTGCTGCTCCAGACCCTCCTTGTCCGTCGCGGGCTGGTGATCGTTTTGACGTTGAGAGAAGCCGACGATGACCTGGAAATCCGGAACCCTCTTCCTGACCTCGCGCTCGACCTCCCGCCTCCGCCGCGCCCAAAGTCCGTCTTCCTCGTCTTCCTCGAGCGCGCGCTCGACCTCCTGGAACGCCTGGACGACCCGCTCGTACTTGAGCAAGCACTTCGCGAGCGCGAGCGCGCTCGCGTGCTGCACCAGGGGCGACGCCGCCTGCAGCCCGCGCGACAAGTGCGTCTTAATGTTCGCCGTGGGGAGAATGTTGTCGACGATCGCCCCGAGCGCTGGTGGGGTCGGCTGGTACAGCGACGTGCTGCTGCTCCCGCTTTCCGCGAGGAAGAACGAGGCGGTGGGCACGGGGAGGGAGACGACGGCGCCGAAGAGCGCGATGTTGGCGAGCCATTTGGACGACAGGCGCGGCTCGAGCGCGAGCCCCGCGCTCGGCCAGTAGCCTGCGACGAGTTCCGGGCACGCCGCGAGGATCTTGAGCGCGAGTTCCTGCTGCCGCGGGTCTTCGTTCACTCTGAGGGTTTTCAGGACGTTCGCGAGGATTTTGTTGTAGATCTTGCTGCCCTTCAACGGGCCGTCTTGCGAACCCTCAGCAGCGTTAACTTCAGGCTCGGTCTCCCGGGAGTACCACCCGCGATCTTGGAAACAGAGTCCAACACCTGGTCGGCTGCAGAGGGCGAGAAGGAAGTGGTGTACGACATCGGCGGGGATAGACTCGGCATCTGAATTCTCCGGCACGTTACGGTCGTATATTTTGGTGAGCTGGGAGAGCGTGGCCTCGCTGAACACTTGGATCTTCAGCGTCCGCTTGAGCTTGTGGTCCGACCAAAGCCCCGACCAGCAGATCTCCAGGACGCGTCTGACCACGGCGTATGAGTCTTGCCAGACATTCTTGAACATTGACGTGAATGCATCGCGGTGTTGTTCAAGAAAGACAGCCTTGACAGATGAAGGTGTAGTGGTGTCGATGAACGACAGAACGAGGAGGATGTACAAAGTCCTGATGTCTTGGCAGATGTCGGTAAAACGCATGAAGGAGCAGTAAAATGACGTACCAGGTCGTGCAAGCGTATCCGCATCATGTCCTTCCTTCGTTCGGCGCCGCATATGGAGGAGTTTTGGGAGGGACTATACAAAGCCAGTCAAGCATGAACTACAAAAGAGTGACGTATATGCTCACCTTCATCTCCCAAGGAAACGCATCTAAAACCGCCTTCCGTTCGCGTCCTCCCGCGAAGTTCGACAACGCGTTGTAAAGCTTGAGCGATACCAACACGAGCTCGGTGTGTTGCCCGGAGACATACATGTTCAGCTGCTGCGTCCATTGCTGCGAGAGAAGGGACCGGAGGATAGGTTGCGCGTATGAATGGTAGGAGTAGTGGGTCGACAGGAGGGTGACCACGGCAGAGAGCAGCCCGACAACGACTGCGAGTAGTGAAGTTTGTCTCTGCAGTAGATCGCGTAAGCGCAGATTCCCGAAAAGAAAGGCGGGAGGACGCACCGAAGTAGTGCTCTCCCATATCGCAAATAACTCCTGCGCCCCCGGGTCCTCTTCCAGCCACTCCTTCGCAAGGACTAGGCGTTCGTCGTTGACGGCGACGATTGACTCGTCCGGTCGGATAGTGAGTTGATTTCGCAGAGCAGTGAGGCCTGCAACAGTCCATGAGCACCAAACCGTTAGCAGCGCGACTCGACACACCTTCTATGAGCCCGCTCTCGCTCTGGGCTTTGAAGACGCGTCTGACCTCCGAGGCGGACGCATATCGGTGTGACTGCTTGGAGGATTGCTCGACCTTGCGCTTTTTAGGAGGGTGCTGTTCGCGAACAGGCATGAAGGAGAAGAGCAGGCAGAGGAGAGCGCCATCTTCCCCGCAGCGGTGGCTGCAGCCGGAGTGGACACTAGTGACTGAAGTTTTGGCGAGCCGGCCCGGACTTGCCGGACGAGCAATGAGCCTCAGCCTGACATGGAGGTGAAGTACTAATATTCGGAATAACCTGGCTCGAAAGCGTTTACAGGTAGGTCTACACTACACGATATGCCACAGCGACGGATGGCGAGAGCTAGCGATACGAGAGTTTACAACATGTGTAGAACAGCGGGGCGGAGACATGCGACGACAGCTGGAAATATCTTGTATGCAACAGAGAAGGCGAGAGCCTACAGCGAGAGCGGATGACGGCGGATAGCGGATAAATAGGGTCATGTAGCTCAAAAGTAGCTTCCCTCGACCGGCTTGGGACGTGCGGCGAACGGCGACGCGAGAGGTTGATCCATGGACAGAGGGGAGCCCAACGCGTGGCTGCCGAAGGGCGAGAGGGGAGACGTTGCCTGGCCCGGGGCCAGCTTCGTGGTCATGGAGAAGCTGCGTGGAAGGCTCGGGCGAACGAAGCGCATCATGGCGGCGCGAGAGAGGGCGCTGGATGATCCAGTCCGTCCAATCGAGGGCGACAACATCGCCTCCACAGGGCTTTGAGCCCTCATCAGGTTGAAGGGAACGTGCGGCTGGATGGAGGGAGATATGAGGAACCCAAACGGGTCGGGGTCGCTCTCCGGAATGTGGAGCCGGCCGAGCAGGGGCTTGCCGGAGCTTGAACCAAGCATATCCGGGGAGTAGGGCAGCTTGGGTAAGCCGAGGGGGGAGGAATCCATCTGACGGGCTTGAGCGTTGAGTCGTGACCACATGCGTGGGGGAGCGGGGGCCACACGCGGCATCTTTGGAGGGGATCGGGGAGTGGGGAGGATCTGCTCGACGGGTGTGATAGGGGATGAGCAACTGATGGTGGAAGCGTATTGAGCGAAGGCGTATGAAGCAAATGACATAGTAGGCGTCGCGGTCGTGGGGGTCGTGTGATCCGGAAAGAGGGACGGAGAGAAGACGGGAAGGGGAACCGGGAGTTGGCATTGCAGAGCGGGAATGTTGCGCTGGAGACGGCGACGGGACATGGATGGAGGGCTTGCTGTCAGAGGAACGGCGGGCATAGGCGTCGTGGGCGTGATCACGATGCGGAGGGCGGAGAGCGCAGGAGGCTGGGTTGCCACGGTCGGAGTAGTTACAACACCTGGGGCCGGCGATGAGCGTGAAGCAATGGACTGTCCGCGACTCAAAACGCATGGAGTTGAGTGAAAAACTCACCTTTCTTGCGAGTTCCAACGTCATGGATGGTGGATAGTACTTGGTGAATGGGGAAGTATCGGCCGGTGCGTCCGCGCAGATCAGACTGGACTCGACGGGCGACGGCACCGAGACCTGGCGCGTCTGCCGAGTCACAGAGGAAGCGGTCGACGACGAGACTGGCAAGTCTGGGGTGAAAGGCTGGTGGGTCGGGTGAGCGGTGACGAGCAGGCAGAGCCAAAGACGCAACCTACCATGTATGAACGCGTGTCGCTGTTCGGTAGCGAGGAGTGAGGCGCGTCGGGAGGCTTGAAGACGGGGCATTTCGAGAGCAAGGGAATGGGGAAGCGCAGCGATGGGGGGAAACCAAGGGGGGATGAAGAGAACAAGACGGGGTGTCGAGAGCAATATATACTCGCAGAAGGTGGTGGTAGGAAGGCAGGTTTGGATTGGGGTGCATGACGCTCCGACCCTGCGGACTCTGCGGAGGGCGCCTATGATGACGCGCTTAGCTCGATGTCACGAACGCGGTGTGATGACTTCCTGTCACAGCCGCGTCCTCGTCACATTCGAAGGGCGAGGCGGGCGGGACCGACGCCTACTCGACTGCCTTTCACTTCCACACCTCACATTCTTCTCTCGCCCCCCGATTAATGCTTCGCCCGCCATGGCGAGCGAAGACGATGTTCACTCTTAGCCCCCTTCGTTTTCTCTCCTCCGCTGCTGTCGGACATGCTCCTGCCGCCTCCGACACTCTCACCCTCCACAAGTCGATCTTCCAGGCGTACGCAATCAAGTGGGACAAACGCGACGCAGACCATCCGAACCTCAGCCCCCACATGAAGTCCGAATGCGTCCCAAAGCTGCTTGAGGACCTCCACGCAGCGGAGCCCAGGACGCGACGTGCTTCACACGCCATGTACGCCTGGAGGGTGCGTCCAGACCGCTCGACCCCCACTCCTCTCGTCGGCTCTTCCAACGGTGGCGAGGCGGGCGCGGGCGAGCGTCTGGAGCGGCTGCTCGAGCTCGGTCACTGTGAAGACGTCGTTCTCGTCGTCTTCCGGTGGTATGGCGGAGTGAAGCTTGGGTCCGACCGGTGGAAGTGCATCTCTTCGGTGGCGAAGGAGGCTCTCGACCGTGGGGGCTTCCTGTCCCGCCCGAGCGGAGAAGATGGCGACCAAGCACCGAAGGGCAAGCGGCGGAAGTAGCCGTGCAGTGCGGCTGGTGAGTGTCGTATTACCTCCCTGTTTATCCTCGCGCAGTACGGGCTCGCGTACTTATGCCAGTGCTGCAGACACAGTAGCCACCGCCCCCCGCTCCGCGCCCAGCACCCCAGTAATTTGGGACAGGTCTTCTCCATCCCCCGGGGTGCGAGCTCCGGAGATCCTCCTTGACATTTCACGTTGGTCACTGCGAGGATAAGCCCGGTATCGGAACCTCTTCAGCGCCGCTCAGTTCCTCGACCGACGGAAAGCCTTCAAAGAGAGGGACACCATAGCTGGCTCGATGCTTGCTGTGTCCTGGCTAGGATACTCCAACAACGTCCAGCTCCTCATGTACGAGCAGGTAAGAGACTGGCTGGAATATAGTAGACAGGCGGGCAATCGCCCGGCATGCGACGGGATTCGTCGTAGACGGTTCTTCACAGCCAAACCCGCGCCCGGATCTCAAAGCTTCGCCACTGGAACACGATATCGGATATGCATTGTATTTGCTTGTTTCTGCCGTTATGCAATCGACATGGCTGCACATCTGATGTATGTGAGAGAGGCCTGAGGCTCGATCGCACGCAGGCTTCAAGCCCCTTGAGAACCAATTTGTTTTCCCAGTATATACAAGCTACCATATCACAGAAACTGGGTCGGATCCCAGATCTAGGTCGTCTACATTCCGGAAAAACGCCGCTCCTTCCTTAGTCGCGAATCCAGCCACTCGACCGTCCCGAGACAGCGCGCACTTCCGCACAACTTGTCTGTCCTCGCGGTTGAGCACCCGGTGTGGCGTCCCGTCCTCCAGCCTCCAGAGCCACCACTCCGACGGCCCCCGCCCCGACCCCTCGCTCTCTATCACCGCCACCTGTCCGTCGCCCGAGAGCTCCGCGGCTGTGGGGACGCCTCTGAAGAGGGCATGGTAGCGGCCGCCGTCGAAGCCGGCGATCGTCGCGCCGGTGAGTGTGTCAAGGACGAGGCGGAACGGGGTGGGGCTATCACCGGTGACTAGCAAACGTGTCCCATCGGAGGAGAAGGACGCGCGATGGATGGTTGGGAAGTCACCCGGAGGTGGGATGGTGGTAACCGCGTCGGGCAAGCCGACCGCCGCGGTGAGCAGAGTGCCGTGCCTGCATATCGCGACAACGCGCGGACGGTGGTCTTCGCGTTCCGGACTTGAGTGTTGGCGGAGAGCGGTCGCGTAGATCTTCGACTCGAACCTTGTGATTGTGTTGTCGTGGTGGCGGAGGAAGTGGAGTTCGCAAGAACTGGTGGCGAGTGTCCAAACGCAGATAGAACTGCTTAGAATGGCGCGGCAGGTGGGGTCTCGGGTCAGCGTGACGTCAGAGAAGAGATATTGTTCGTCCTCCGACAACGCCAAAGTGCTCGCACGCCGAAACAAGCCGAAACTTGGCGCATAGATGGGCGGAGGAGAGAGGGTACGTAGGTGAGTGAATGTCAGAGCGTCGTAGATGTGGACATTCGCTTTGGTATCCTGAGCGAATATCCGGCTGCCATCCTGAGACCACAAGAGTCTCGTAACCGGGCCGTCGAGAGACTGAACGTCGATGCGCCCAACGGGTTAAGGGTGTTCTGTAGGACTTGTCGGGGACGTTTCAACCGGAAGAGGGAATACGGTTATCTCGTCGCGTGATGCGAGGGCCCACTGCTTCTCAGTCGGACAGAACGCGAAAGAAGATGATAGACCTGGGTAGGGATCTGCCACGAGGCGGTACCATTGGGAAGGGTGGGATGTTCCGGTCTTACTGTCCCATATGATGCATTCCGACATGCTTGGCGCATCCACCAGGGCGGGATCCCACAGGGTGCTTGCTGCCCATCTTCCACTAGGAGAAAACACAAATTGATTCGGGTATCGAGCATGACCGTGCTCTGATATGCGCTTCTCGCAAGCTAGTTTGAGCGACACAGAGGTGGATTAGTCCGCGTGCGCATGTTCCCAGAGGAAGAGTACGCACTCGAGAAGTCTGGGGGAACGATATGCAACAGACCTCTTTCCAACAACGGCGAGAACAGTCCTTCTAGCAAGGTTGTCCATCGAGGCATCTGGTTCCGTTTTGGCCTCTCTATGACGCACGCGAGGCCTTTCGATCGGAGGCCGGGGTGTTGCAATATCATTTGAGTCAACTGCTGTATGATGGCCATCTGTTCTTGCGTGAGATGAGCGCTGTCCCAGTACGCTTCAAAACCGCGGAATATCAACGACAAAGAGAGGAGTGAACTCGGAAGTTTGAGACAGGCTTTGTAAAGTGCGAAGTCGGGCTCTGAATTGGAGCTTTGCAGAATAGATAGATGCCTCAAGTTTGTGAAAAGAGGAATTTCGAAACCTAGGGCAGAGTAAAAGTTAGCCGAGTACAACTCGAGTAAGCAGAAACGACGTGCCAGACCCCACGAGGATGTCGCGGTCCAGTGTTATATCGGAAAGTGACTCCTTGTTGAAAGTTAACAGCGGGGTACTCTCCAGCGAAGCTTCGATCTTAAAACTTTGGGATCCATTGTGAGGTCGGGTTCACGCTAGAAAGCACGCACCTTATCGAGATGTAGCATTTGCATGCCCCGTGGATGCGTGTGAGGGGTGAGGAGGGATATGTTTGAGCTTCGTTGCGGAGAAGTCAGACGACCCATCTGGACGTCCTGAAGCGCAGGAAAGGCATTCACAAGACGATAGAGGTGCAGAGCATTCATGAATAAACAGTCCTGCACGACGAGCTTCCTTACGGCATGATATTGTCGTAAACAAGCTAAAATCACTGGTGGGGTTGAAATGAAATGACAAGTATACGGAGAGATCCGCCCGTAGAACTCCCATGCGGTAATGTGACCCAGGTGAGGAAGAAGGACTACGATGGCGGCGATCGGGAGAGGTCCTGGCTTGTCGACATCTGAGCCCGGTGTACCATGCAGCCGGACGATCTGAACTAACGAGCGCAGAGAGGTGTCGCGTGCGAAGGCGCTGCAGATCGCGGGTAGTTGGTCGCCCCTAGAAATGACGAGCCTGTGCCAGAGGCGGTAGCGGCTTCGGGGAAACCATGACTTGCACACCCGGATGCACTGCGCGAGCGCGGTGTGATCACCGCGATCGCCGAGGACGTCGATGAAGTTTTCAACAACGTCGATGGGGAAGTGGAGTGAGCTTATGGGGGGATTCCACTGAGCTTGGAGAGCGCGATGTTTGATAGCCATCCGCAGAGGTGAGAGTATGGAGGCAAGGGGAAGGCGAGGGTTGAGAACGTTGAGATCTGAGAAGCCGGGCGTTGCACGATACTGAGGCTGGGCGCTGACTCCTGTGCTGGTCACCCGTGGCACGTGCACCTGATGAGCTCGATAAGCTCAGTGACAGTGACGTCAACAGTGAACACACCCGGTGCTCGACCGCGTGTGGGCATTCCTGGATCCGGATCCCCCATTCGCTCCCCTAAGCGGTGTTTGCTCGCTGCGTTCGCATCGCCCGGGATCTGGCTTGCGGTATGAGCCAGAGTAACGTCGTATAACATTGCACTAGCGAGACACAAAACTAGACGCGAGTAATGTAAGGTCGTAGAGTGGAGCACATCCGGGAAAGCAGAGTATAGCACAAGCAAAGCGTGAGGAGTACAGGGGGACTACGATACATGGGATGTCCATGGGCCACGCCGCGAGTCCATGCGTGACCTTCCGGTGTCGTAGGAGACGCACGCCCGAGCGAGCTCTCATCCGATCTCTGCGCTCACGGTCAGCGTCGAAACCAAGTACGGTGCGGAGCAGACTCACCGAGGTAAGGGTTCTGCTGGTCGTCCGGCCGCTCAAATTCGCCAGCCCAGGCGGCAGGGGCACCATCGTCAGCCCCACGCTCAGCAGTGCCAGGCGCACCAGCTCCGGGCCCGGCTGGACAGCCGTCATCACCCCGCCCTGCAGGGACCCGAACGCACGCACCTGCGCATACCCGTCCAGGTTCGCCGCCGCCTTGGCCTGCGAGTTCGAACCGCCGCGGCGGTCCTTCTCAACCACTGTCACGGCGCGCGTGAAGTCCGACCACGACGGTGGGTGCTCCGCGCCGGCGGAGCGTTGCCGCTACTGCAGAGCAAGCTGCCAGGCGCGGTGGTGGTCGACTTCTAGAGTGAGGCCGCCATGCCCTCGTGGAAGAACCGGAGCAAGCGGCGCAACGCACCCTCGTCGAAGGTCTTGTCCGCGAAGTAATGCTCGATCGCGGCGAAGAGCTGGTTTTCCGTTGGGTTGTTCGCGGCCAGCTCAGCCGCATCGAACTGGGCGCGGGGGGAAGGTGAGTGAAGAAGCCTTCGCGGGACATGTGCATGTATAACGCGCTGTGCAAGGGGTCTAGCATGTCGGAGTGCGCCAAGGAGGGTGTCGAGGCTAAGGAAGGTCGCTGTGTTGACGTCGAGAAGATCGTGACGCCCGCGAGGTTTCGTGCAGCTTGGGATGCGCACAGATCGGAGAGAGAATGGCGTCCAGGGTGTATGCGAGAGAGGGATCGGAAGATGGTGACCGTGCATGAGAGCCTCGCATCCGATTCAGGCGCCAAACCGAGTTGGCCTTCGTGGAATACGATATACGTTGCGCGGGCGGCGGAGGGCGTCGAAGAGGGCGAGCACGGCGCGCCATTGGGGGCGGTGCGTGACAATGACGGTTGGGAGGGGCGTCGAGGGGAACGTCTTTTCCCGTGTGTTAGAGATCAAGTGGATGGAGCCGGAGGAAGGAGAGCCGGGGAGTGGCGGAGAGGAAGTCCAGCAGTTGGGGCGCGACAGGTCACGGCAACAGGTGGGAGCTGGGTCGCATTGCGGATTTGCGGCCGTAATCCCACACAGACTGGTCCCAGTGGAACGTTTTCGCGGAGTGACGGGCTCAGAGGGCAGCCGCCCCGGACGGCCGGGAGGTTCGTCCAGTGCACCTGCGAGTCAAGCAGCCCGTTCGGCCAGCCTGTCGGGGGTTGTGGCTTGTGCGGCGCGCCAACTTTTTTCCACTCGCGTGGTTCTGCGGCCTGCGTTGGGCTGCTAGAAGTAGGCGTGCGGCCAATTTCGAATCGTTGTCTCGTCATGACCTGCGTTGGAGGTGTCGCGCTGTATGCGGCCGCCCCATCTGAGGCACCGTTGGGACGCTGAGGGCGGCCGCGCTTGTCTCTGGAAATACTTACGCGGCGTACCTGAGCGAGGAGGGGGGGCGTCAACAAGTCCGGAAAGCTGGTCATGAGAATACCGGCACGAATGTTAGTATATGCATGTTTGCTGTCGACATGGAAGCGCACCTTGACATGATGAACAAGTTGAAAGATGCCAGTGGCTTGCACCAGTGGCAGTGGGCGACAGACCCGATCGCTTACATTAGCTCTCATACGCGTTGGCGCTGCGTTCTCGAGAGTCGAGTCTGCCCGCCGAGACTCGCGCACGGACGTCCTCCACAGCACTGAACCTCTCACCACCCACATCTGTTTTGCCCTTTGGAACTCTCACCGAGACGCGCCTTCCCTTTGCTTCGCCACTTCAACCTTGTCCCTATTTCATTCTCTCTGTAGTCATGAGATCATGCTGCAAGTTTAGCGCATCTTTCTCATGAACTCAAGGGGCATAGGTACGCTGCCATCCACCCCCCTGAGTCTCAATCGCAATGCCTGGTCTTACAACTTACCCGCCTTTCCCTCAGGACGTCCCCACCTGTCCTCTCTTGGTGGTCGACTATGAGCTTATTAAAGCCGGAGATGCAGATGAGATTGAGAGGCTCTGGAGGGCTGCGACGGAGATGGGGTTTTGGTAGTGAGTAACTGCACTGTGCTTGAGTGAACATTACGACTAACCGGCCATCCGTTGCAAGCCTCATGAACCACGGCGTATATGAGGAAGCGGAAGCGATGTTTACGATGGGCGAGGAGACAATCGCTCTTACCCTCGAGGAGAAGCTCCTCTTTGAGCAGGGAGACCACGGCGTTTCGTTCGGGTATGTTCTCTCGAATCTCGTGCATTCTCACTCCCCGCCGACCTCCGAACCGGCACAGCTACAAGGCCGCCGGTGTGCAGTTCACCGACGACAAAGGCACGCGCGACGTGACCGAGTTTGTCAACATCTCCAAGGACGACGCGCTTGCCTGGCCGGCCGTCGCGCGCCGCACGTACCCCTCCGCCGTCAACACGCGGATGGAGTCCACCATCATGCCGTTCGTGAAGAAGTCGCTCGCGATCAACAACCACCTCATCGGCGTCCTCAACGACAAGCTCGGGCTCCCTGCGGGCACACTCGCATCTCTCCACAAGGTCGAGGAGTTCAGCGGATGCACGGCGCGGTTCATCAGAGCGCCGCCGTATCCTGGATCAGAGGAAAAGACGTTCCTGACGGCGCACACTGACTTTGGGTCGTTGGTGAGTGGTTTGTCGTATGCCCCCTCGCGTTGTATCGACATCGCTCTCCCCAGTCGTTCCTGCACAACCGCCTCGGCGGCTTGCAGGTGCTCCCGCCCGGGTCTGATCAGTGGTTCTACGTCAAGGTCAATGGTCCCTCTAGATTCCTTGCGCTCGCGCTCACGCAGTCCTCCGTCGCCCAGCCCCTGCCCGGACACGCGATCTGCAACATCGGCGACGCCCTCAACATTTTCTCTGGCGGCATCCTGCGCTCCAACATCCATCGCGTCGTGTGAGTTTGTCCACGGCGTTTTCATCTAATACTCCGCGGCTCACCCCCTTCCCAGCCCGCCTCCGCGGGAGCAAGCCGAGTACGAACGCCACTCCGTCGTGTTCTTCACCCGCCCGAACGACGCCGTCGAGCTGCGCGCGCTGTCTGCGCAGAGCGAGCGCATCGCTGCAGCGGTCGCCAACGCGCCCCCGGGGAAGTACGCCCCTGGCGTGACGGCGATGGAGTGGCTGGTGAGGAGGGTCAAGTCGCAGCGGGTGACGAACTACAAGGTGCGCCCTGTGCCGCTGGTGTGCGCTGTTGCGAAGGGCTGATGAAGTTGGTAGGGCCCGGAGAGCTGGACGGATAGGCGTGGTACCGAAGACACGGCAATCCCGAACCAGGGGAAGATCTGAACAGCTCGAATACCGTGTATCTAGTATGTACAGTCGTAGCTCTCAATGAACACATGCGTTGCGAACACCCCGATTGCGCCGTCTGCGGACGGGGATTCATGCATGAATAACATCCTGCCGATAATCTACAACCCGTTTCTGGACATTTACAGCCTAGGCCTCATCTACAACGTCGTTGCATACCTGCCGAGCACACTCGGCATGAACGACGACCAGTACAACTCACATCCGATGCACGTGAGGACGGCCCAAGGGTCGATCACACACAGCAGGGTGAAGCCCCTTGAGAACCAATTTGCTTTACCAGTATCACCTCACAGAGACTGGGTCGGACAGACCTAGGTCGCCTACATTCCGGAAAAATACGTCTCCTGCAGTCGCAAATCCAGCCACTCGACCATCCCGGGACAGCGCGCACTTGCGCACAATCGGTACGTCCGAGTCGCTCCTGAGCACCAGGTGCGGCGTCCGACCGTCCTCGACCCTCCAGAGCCACCACTCCGGCTGCGCCCGCGACCCCTCGTTCTCTATCATCGCCATGTGTCCGTCGGCCGAAAGCTCCGCGCTCTTGGGCACGCCATTGAAGACGGCTTGGTAGCGGCCGCCGTCGAAGCCGGCGATCGTCGCGCCGGTGAGTGTGTCTAGGGCAAGGCAGAACGAGGTGGGGCTGTCACCGATGACTAGCACACGCGTCCCATCGGAGGAGAAGGACGCGCGATGGATGAATCGGCGGCCACGCCCCTGGAGCCACGCAGGTCGGATGGTGGTAACCGCGTCGGGCAAGCCGACCGCGGCGGTGAGCAGAGTGCCGTTTCTGCATATCGCGACGACGCGTGGAGGGTGGCCTTCGCGCTCTGGACTTGTGTGCCGGCGGAGAGCGGTCGCGTAGATCGCCAAGTCGCCCCTTCGGTTTTTCTGGTTGTATCGGAGGAAGTGGATTTCGCAAGAACCGTCGGAGAGTGCCCAGACGCAGGTGGACCTGCGTGAGAGGGCTGGGGCTAGCGTGGCGTCGGAGAGGAGATACTGTTCGTCCTCCGACAGTGCCAAAGTGTTCGCATGCTGAACCACGACGGAATTTCGCGTGTGGATGAGCAGCGGAGAGAGTGTACGGAGGTGCGTGAATGTCAGAGCGTCGTAGATGTGGACCTTCGCTTTGGAATCCTGAGCGAATATCTGGCTGCCGTCCCTAGACCACACGAGTCTCGTGACCCCGCCATCGAGAGGCTGGAGGTCGATGCGCCCGACAGGAGGGTGTTCTGTAGGACTTGTCGAGGTGGTTTCAACCGGAAGAGGGAAAATGGTTATGTGCTGGCGCGATGCGAGGGCCCACTGCCTCTCAGTCGGACAGAACGCGAAAGAAGATGGGTAGGAGGACGGATCTGTGAGGTGGTACCATTGGGAGGGGTGGGATATTCCGGTCTGACTGTCCGTCACGATGCATTCCGATATGCTCAGACCCCCAGCGCGACCCCACACAGTGCTTGCTGCCCATCTTCCACTAGGAGAAAACACGAATTGATCCTGCGATTGAGCATACCCAGACTCTGAAACGGGCTTCTCCCCTAGTTTGAGCGACACAGAGGAAGACGGGAATCAGTTTGTGTGGCATTTTCTCAGAGGAAGATACTCACTCGAGTAGTCTGGGGGAGCGACATGCAAGAGACCTCTTTTGTACAATGGTGAGAACAGTCGTTCTAGCAAGGCTGTCCAGTCAGGCATAAGGTGCCGTTTTGGCTTCTCTATGATACACTTGAGGCCTTCCGATCGGAGGCCGGGGTGTTGCGATATCACTTGAGTCAACTGCTGTATGATGGCCGTCCGTTTTTGCGTCAAACGAGCATTGTCACGGTACACCGCAACACTTCGGAATATCAATGACAAAGAAAGTAGTGAATTTGGAAGGCTTAGGCAGGCCTTGTAGAGTTCAAAGTCGGGCTCTAGAGTGGCTTTTTGCAGAATAGATAAACACTTCAAGTTTATGAAATGAGAAACAGTGAAACCTAATGCAGAGTAAACGTTAGCCGGGTATGCCTCAATTAAGCAGAAAGGACTTGCCAGAGCCCACGAGGGTGTCGCTGCTCAGTGTTATTTCCAACAATGACTCCTTGCTGAAATTTAACAGCGTAGTACTCTCCAGCCGAGCTTCATGAGTCTCAAGACCTCGGGATCAATCACGAGCTAGGGTTCAGACTAGAAAGCGCGCACCTCATCCAGATGTAGCGTTTGAATGCCCAGTCGGTGCATATGGGGCGTGAGGAGGGATATATGTGAGATTTGATCCCGACAAGACAGACGCTCCATCCGGAGATCCTGAAGGGCAGGACAGGCATTGACAAGTCGATAGAGGTGCAGAGCAGTCTTGAAAGAGCAGTCCTGCAGGACGAGCTTCCTCACAGCACGATATTGTCGCAAACAAGCTAGAATAATCGGCGACGTCGGAAAAAGAATGGAGGAGAAAGGAAGGAATCGTCCGTCGAACTCCCATGTGGTAATGTGACCGAGGTGGGGAAGAAGGACTACGATGGCGGCGATCGGGAGAGGTGTTGGCACGGAGTCGACATTCGAGCCTGGTGTACCCTGCAGCCGGACGATCTGGACCGTCGAACGCAGAGAGGTGTCGCGTGCGAGAGTGTTGCAGATCATGGGTAGCTGATCGCTTCTAGAAATGATGAGCCTATGCCAGAGGCGGTAGCGGCTTCGGGGAAACCATGACTTGCACACCCGGATGCACCGCGCGAGTGTGGTGTGATCACTGCGAGAGCCGAGGACGTCAATGATTTCCTCAACAACGTCTATGGGGAGTTGTAGCGAGCTCATGGGGGCATATCACTGTCCTTGGAGAGCGCGATGGTCGACAGCCGTCCGCAGAGGCTAAAATGGAGGGAAGGAGAAGGCGAACCTAATGCGGCTTGACTTGCGGGCGTTGTACGATAAGGTTGAGTGATACGAACAGAGTTCAATCAAACGATGATGCTATCCAAATCGTGTCGTACATGAAGGACTGCGGTGGGAAGCTTCTGCGGCCGACTTGGCGAATTGCTACCATGAGAGCTTGGTTAGGTCCTAGACTCATAGATGCCGGAAAAGTATCACATACCCAGCTAGTAGGCCCCTCCGTTGATGCCGCGGTTCCTTTTCTTTGTGCTTCATGGGACAGGTAATAGGTGGTCGTGCGTGAGGTTGTAGCACCGATGGAGGGATGAGAGAGGCGCACCTCAACCTCATGATCAAGCTAAATACAAACTTTGAGCTTCCGAAAAGGCTCACTGCTCGTCGGAGTCGCTGGTCGAGCCTACAGTGATGATTCGCCAGGTGCATCTGTTGTGACAGCCTATCAGCAGGTGCGGATGCATCTGGTGCCGGCCGGCCCAGTCGCGCTCGACACCGCCTTCCCCAAGCGCGCTCGCGCACCCCCGGGTGCGACACTGTCCCGAGATGTCCGGACACCGGCGCCTCAGGCGCTGCCACCTGAGCTCGCTGTCTCCGACAGTGAGCTCGCCTCCCTATTTGTTTCACACCACATCTTTTATATGATTAGTGATAAAAATATATTTATTAGTAAACTACTACATAGGTGCACTAGTAAGTAATACCACGCCCCGCGACAACGCGGAGGCAGACGTAGAGGCGGGGACAACGCAGAGGAGGAGGAGGGCGACATGGGCGACGTGAACGCGGGAGACGCGGAGGCGGGCGACGCAAAGGCAAGCGAGGCGGAGGAGGGCGACGCGGAGGGCTCGCGGGGGGAGGTGAAGGGCCAAGACGAGGCGGAGCAGGTGGTGGGCAACGCGGGCAATGCGAAGGGGGAGGAAGCGCAGAGCAGCGAGGGCGGGCGATGCGAGCGGAAGGACGACGTGGGCGGGGGAGGTGACGTCAGTGGAGGACATGACGTGGGCTGGGACGACACTGAGGAGGGCCGCGTGGGCGGAGGAGGTGGGCGGAGGAGGGTGACGCGGAGGGCTCGCGGGAGGAGGGTGACGCGGAGGGCTCGCGGGAGGAGGCGGAGGCAGAGGAGGTCAGAGTGGGCGGAAGAGTGCGAGGAGGCGAGTGAGGCAGGCAGAGGCGGGCGATGAGGTGGGCAGCGCGCGCCGGGGTGGACGACGTGGGGGCGGACGGGCCGGAGGAGGTGGGCAACGCGGAGGAGGAGGACACGGAGGAGGGCGGACGCAGAGGCGGGGGGGAGCCTAGCGACGCGCGCGGATGCGGGCGGCAGGTACGCGGACGCGGGCGACATGGAGGTGGGTGATGACGCGGAGGTGGCCGACGCGCGTGGAGGAGGTGGGCCGCGGGTGAGGGAGGCGGAGGAGGGTGTGCGGGCGCGGGCACCTGAGGTGTGCAGACGGGCGGCGCGAAGGCGGGCAGAGAACAGCGCGGAGGTGGGCAACGGGGAGGAGGGCAGCGGCGAGGTGGCCAGGCGGATGCGGAGATCGAGGTCAAGGCCGGCGGCAGGCCGGATGTACGAAGCCGGAGAGGAGAGGTGGGCGTTGGGAATGCAGGAGGGTGGAGCGGGGGACTCACCAAAACAAGGGCCGCGGTACATCGCCGCGGCCCCCTAATTCTAATCTCCATGCTGAGAACGTCCGGATGGACGTCCTCGTGCGGTGTGGACCTGTGTGGACGCGGCCGGCAAAGTGGGCGAAGGACGGCATGGAGGTTGAGGTTGAGGTCGAGGGAGGAGGATGAGGGGAGTTGAATGGTGTCACCAGGTGACACCGGAGTCCAATAGCAGACGAAGGACGACTGTATAGTCGCTATCGTCTGCCTGGACGGTGGAGGCGGAGCAGGAGGAGGAAGAGGAGGCGGGGAGGAGAGCAAGGACGGCAGGAGGGACGCGTGGCGTGCATCACAGCCACGCGTCCTTGCCGCCCACCGAGGCGCGTCTCCACGGGCGCGCATCACGGATCGCCAGATCCGTCCAGATGCATCCGTAGCTGCCGATAGGCTATCGCAACGGATGCACCAGGGAAATCACCTGTGCTCGTCGAGCCGAGCACGTGCCACGGCTGCTCGCGCGCTAATAACCGACGACGCACATCCCTTGAAGCGCCCGACACGTCTTTTCGAAGTTGCTCTCGATGTTTGCTCGACCGTATAAGTAGGTACACCTCCTCCTCCTCGCAGTAATCTACAGGAAAGTAGGGCTTGATAAAATCCAGCTAGTACCACGGGAGTGCCTGGAAGAGTGGAGAGTTTCCGATCTGGTGCGAGTTCCGTTCGAGCCGGCGGCCCATCCACTCCCCAACTTCAAGCTTCGAATGTTCATCTTCCACACGCGGCCGTCTCTCATAAAATTCTCATACACTGAGGTGCTGCTCCCGTGTCTGCACCTGCAGCCCCACAAATGCCCACTGTGGGTCCAAATCAAGCTGCGTTGTGCGTTCAGCGGCTTATGTAAATACCTTTCTAATTTCCACAGGTCCATCGCCATTGCTTCTCGCTGAGTACCCGAGAGCTCTGGGTCCAACCTCACAATGGACGAAAGGCAGTCGCTCTCAGGCCAACCAACGGGGAAGTTGGAAATCAAGCCCTTGGGAAACCATAAGTGCCGCGCCTGGATATCACAAACTTTCATTCTCTGATCGGACCGCCCTTCAGTCGACCTCTGGCGCGCTGTCGATGGAACCTGGCGCGCGTTCTTGACCAACACCGACTCAGACAGCGCTACTTCGACGTATCTATTCTCTCGTCCTCTCTGAGGTCCTCTCTGCGGTCCTCTCCGCGGTCGACTCGCACTCATTGCCAGTCTTGCCTTTCCTGGCTATAGCCCATGGTTCAGCGCGTTGCGCGACGAGCTCGCCTTAGTCCTTCTTTTCGTTCCCCTTGTAGGTGCCCAGCGTGCGCTGACGATCGACAACAGGAGCTCGTTGATGCGCTAGTGCAGGTTTGGCTGCCTCCTCGAGACCCTCCATTCGTGCTTACCATCCACCAATCGGACCGCGGGCGTCACCCTGACGAGCCGCACTGGCAGGTGCAGCCCGAATAGGCACGCTCGTGCGGAAGATCATGCCGACTGTGCTAAGGTGGGCTCGACCACCACCCCTCGCGCGCCCCGAAAACGCCTGACGCTCTACCTCTCATCCGCGACAGCACGGGCCAGAGTGCGAAGAAGCGATACAGAAGCTGGAAGGGAAGGCGTTCTTGGCGCGCGAGGACGAGCACATGTTCGTCCTCATCGACCTCGTCACCGCGCCCGAGGTGCAGGGACTGGGCCACACCGGCGCGCTCCTCGATGTGCTGCTTGCGATGGTGCGTCCACGATCCGGAGAACGGGACCCGGAAAAGGTTGATAACGCGCGTGCAGACGGACGCGGAGGGCGCGTGGTGCGCACCTCGACGACGGACGCGGCCGGGTCCTACGCGCCGCACGGGCTCGAGCTGCTTCGGGAGGCGTGGATCGGGACGGACATTCCGGACTACGACGGACCTCCGGCTCCCATTCGTGCGATGCGTGCTCACACTTTTGGTGTATGTCCGGGGAGGCGAACTGGCCCGCAAACCTGTGTTCGGAGTGCGCGGGACGGCAGATGATCAATCAGGGAGCCGCAGTCACCTCGAAGTACTTAGGCTTGTGGGCAAGTCATAAGTAGGGTTGCAATGCGAAGCGACTAAGTATGTTTCCTGCAATATCTGGCCGAAGTGCCGGTGACGTTATGGACGAGATGGTATGGCGCCGACTCGATTCGCGTCTCGACGAATAGGGTGCGCCTTGTCTTTCCTCGGAGTGTGCCCGAATGACGTCCTCAATATGCCCAGAAAATGGCATGGTCGAAAGGGGCCTGAGGCCCGAGGCTCGATCGCACGTAGCAGGCTTCGAGCCTCTTGAGAAGTTAGGACCAATGTGCTTTGGTACAAGCTATGGTCACATCACAGAATCCGGGTCGGACAGAGGTCCCCTACATTCCGGAAAAACACATATCCTCCTTCAGTCGCGAATCCAGCCACACGACCATCCTGGGATAGCGCACACTTCTCCGCAGCCGGTCCGTCCTTGAAGTTGAGCACCTGGTGCAGCGTCCCGTCCTCGACCCTCCAGAGCCACCACTCCGGCTGCAGCCCAAACCACCACTGCGGCCGCTTGCCCCGTATCATCGCCACCCGTCCGTCGCCCGAGAGCTCCGCGCCATCTGGGACGCCTCTGAAGAGGGCGTCGAAGCGACCGCTGTCGATGCCGGCGATCGTCGCGCCGGTGAGTGTGTCCAGGACGAGGCAGCACGTGGATTCGGCGACCAGCACGCGCGTCCCGTCGGAGGAAAAACACGCGCGGTCGGGGATGTTTCGGACACTGGCCGGGAGCCCCGCAGGTCGGAAGGCCGTAACCGCGTCGGGCAAGCCGACCGCCGCGGTGAGCACAGTGCCGTTGTTGCATATCGCGACGACGTGTAGACGGTGGTCTTCGCGTCCTGGACTTGAGTGCTGGCGGAGAGCGGTCGCGTAGATCCCGGAGTAGGTCCCTGTGGTTGCGTTGTCGTGGTGGTGGAGGAAGTGGAGTTCGCAAGAACCGGTGGCGAGTGCCCAGACGCAGATAGAACTGCGTATGATGGTGGAGGAGAGGTTTTTGGGCAGCGCGACGTCGGAGAGGAGATACTGTTCGTCCTCCGACAGCGCCAAAGTGCTCACACGCTGAACCACGCCGAGAGCTTGCGTGTAGACGGGCGGAGGAGAGAGGGTACGGAGGTGGGTGAATGTCAGAGCATCGTAGATGTGGACATTCGCTTTGGAATCCTGAGCGAATATCCGGCTGCCGTCCCGAGACCACAAGAGTCTCGCAACCAGGCCATCGAGAGGCTGAAGGTCGATGCGCCCGACGGGTTGAGAGTGATCTGTAGAACTTGTCGGGGGAGTTTCAAGAGGGAAGACGGATATGTCGTGGCGCGATGCGAGGGCCCACTGCTTCTCAGTCGAACAGAACGCGAAAGAAGTTGGCAAAGTTGGGTAGGAGGGCGCATCTGCGAGGTGGTACCATTGGGAAGGGTGGGATGTTCCGGTCTTACTGTCCCACATGATGCATTCCGACATCCCTGGATTCCCGGTGCGATTCCACGCGGTGCTTGCGGCCCATCTTCCGCTAGGAGAGAACACGAATTGATACGGCCGTCCATCATGCCCGTACTCTGAAATGCACTCCTCACAGCCGAGTTTCAGCGACATGGAAGACAGGAATCAGTCTGTGTGCGCGTTCTCTCTGGGGATAAATACGCACTGGAGTAGTCTGGAGGGGCGATACACAACAGACCTCTTTCTGACAACGGCGAAAATAGTCGTTCTAGCAATGTTGTCCAGCGAGGCATCTGGTTCCGTTTCGGCCTCTCTATGACGCACGTGAGGCCTTTCGATCGGAGGCCGGGGTGTTGCGATATCACTTGAGTTAACTGCTGTACGATGGACATCTGTGCTTGCGTCAATTGAGTGTTGTCCCGGCCGTACACTCCAACACTTCGGAATATCAATGACAAAGAAAGTAGTGGCTTCGGAAGTTTGAGACAGGCTCTGTAGAGTTCGAAGTCGGGCTCCAGAGCGGTTTTTTGCCAAATAGACAGATGCTTCAAGTTTTTGAAAAGGGGAAATTCGAGACCTGAGTAAACGTTAGCCGAGTACAATTCGAATGAGCGGAACGGACTTGCCAGAATCCGCGAGGGTGTTGCTGTCCAGTGTTATATCCACCAGTGACTCCTTATTGAAACTTAACAGCGCGGTACTCTCCAGGTGAGCTCCAGGGGACTCAAGACCTCGGGATTAATGACGAGGTCGGATTCAGGCTGGAAAAAGCGCACCTCTTTCAAATCTAGCCTTCGTATGTCCTGTCGATGCGTGTGGGGCGTAGGGAGGGATATACTTGAGGTTGGTTCCTGACAATTCACGCGCTCCATCCGGACATCCTGAAGCGCAGGAAAGGTATTGACAAGACGATGGAGCTGCAGAGCACCCAGGAAATAGCAATCCCGCAGGACGAGCTTCCTCACGGCGCGATATTGTGGCAAACAAGCTAGAATCGACGGGAACGTCGTGAAATAAACGGGGGATCTAGGAATGATGCCAGACCGCCCATGGAACTCCCATGTGGTTATGTGACCTAGGTGGGGAAGAAGGACTACGATGGCGGCGATCGGGAAACCTCCTGGCTCGTCGACGTCCGTGCCCGGTGCGCCGTGCAGCCGGACGATCTGGACTACCGAGCTCAGAGAGGTGTCGAGTGCGAAGGTGTTGCAGATCACGGGTAGTTGGTCGGGTCTAGAGATGATGAGCCTGTGCCAGAGGTGGTAGCGGCTTCGGGGATGCCATGACTTGCACACCCGGATGCAGCGCCTGAGTGCGGTGTGATCGCTGCGAGCGGCGAGGACGTCGATGATTTTCTCAATAACGTCTATGGGGAAGTGGGGCGAGCTCATGGGGAGATTTGACTGAGCTTGGAGAGCGCGATGGTCGACGGCCGTCCGCGGGGGTGGGAGTATGAAGGCAGGGAGAAGGCGAGGATTGAAAGGCCGGGTACCGTGTTGCACGATAAGACTGAGCGCTGAGTGATGCGAACGGAACAGAGTGGTGGTCGCCCGTGGCATGTGCTCGACCGCGTGTGAGCAAGTACTTCTCCCCCCTAAGCAGTGTTCGCTCACTGCGTTCGCATCGCCCGAGATCTGGCTTGCGGCATATGAGCAAGAATAACGTCGTATAACATTGCAGCACATGTGGGACTAGGGAGACACAAAACTAGGCGCGGGTAATGTAAGGTCGTAGAGTGGAGCACATCCGGGAAAGCAGAGCATAGCACAAGCAAAGCGAGAGGAGTACAGGGGGGATACGATACACGGGGGGGGCATTACAAACCGACGTCCATGAGCCGCACCGCGAGTCCGTGCGCGACGTTCGTTCCGGCGTCGGAGGAGACGCACGCCCGGGCGAGCGTTCATCCGATCTCTGCGCTCGCCGTCAGCGTCCAAACCAGCCACCGCGCGGAACAGACGCACCGAGGTAAGGGTTCTGCGGGTCGTCCGGCCGCCTCATATGCGCCAGCCCGGGCTGAGGTAGCCTCACGGGCGGCGGGGGCACCATCGTCTGCACGACGCCCAGCGGCGTCGGGCGCACGAGCCCTGGGGGCTGGACGGCCATCATCACCCCGCCCTGCGGGGACCCGAACGCGCGCACCTGCGCGTACCCGTCCGGGCCCGCCGCCGCCGCCGCCTTGGCCTGCGAGCCCGAGTCGCGGCGGTCCTTCTCGACCGCGGCGACGGCGCGCATGAAGTCGGACCACGACGGCAGGTGCTCCGGGCCGGGGTAGCGCTGCCGCCAGTCCATGACGAGCGCCTGGTGCTCGCGCCAGGCGCGGTGGTGGTTGTGCACCGTCGACTTCTTGTACTCGACGCCGAAGACGCGGGAGAAGGCGTGCGGCTGCTTCAGGCCGGGCTCGCGCTGCATGAGCTGCCGCATCTGCGCGAAGCCGGCGTCGACCTCGTGCAGGGACTTGCCGTACGGCCACGGCTTGCCTCGCGAGGGCTGCGTGGACGATGACGCGCTGGGGCCGACGCTGCCCTTCTGCAAGGATTCGTCGGGAGAGTCGGCGGCGAATGGCGGGGATAAGGGCGAGTCGGGGGCGGTGGGAGGTGGTAGGATCTCGAGAGGCTGGGTGAAGGGTGTGGGGCATTGAGAGGTCGAGGGATGGGGTTCCAGGGGTGACCGAAGGGGCGAGTGCGCAGGGAGGGGCGAGTGTTGCAGTAAGGGTGGGTAATTCAAACGTGAGGGACTGTTCGTGAGCTGATGGTTCTGTTGGGCGGGGACCGGGGATTCTGGGACTGCAAAAGCGCGAGAGAGTTCGGAAGATGTCGCGGGCGGTGGCGGCGGTGCGCTGACCGATATACTAGGGGGCTGGAGGAGAAAAGAGCCATGATGAGACGGATTCATGTTGATGGGGGTCCTGGGGGTATATTGTGCTTCCGATGGAGCCTGAGGGATATCCTGGTTGTCGAGAAGAGATGCGTGAAGAAATCCAGGAGACGAAGCCACGGGCGTAGATTCGCATGGGGAGCCGAAGACCGCGTTGACATTGTCAACCAGCTCGACGAATAACGGGGTGTCGTTGGCATCTCCCGACTGCGATGACTTGGGCGAAGTGGGATCAAATGAAGAGTCAAAGCCTACGGAAGATGAAGGTCTTCGGACTTTGGGAGACTGTTGGCCTCCACTCGAATCCAGCGACCTCTTCTTCGGGTTCTTAGGCATGTTCGGACGGTGCATCGCCAGTTGCGCGACCTGATCCTTGAACTCTTCTTGCGACGCCAGTTCTTTGTCCAGTGTAGGGCATTCCGAGTCTTCTAGTCCGGTGCGCATGTTCCGCCGGACACGATACAACCTCCTCTCTTCACTCTGGACGGTGCGTACGGCACTCACTTGCTCGATCTCCCAAGTCTGCGCCGCTGAATTGTAAGCGTCGATGTAATCGGTAGCGGTCATCTCAAACGTGGAAAGAAAGGGGTCGACGTCGGCCAGGGATAGTAGAGGAAATGTTTCAACTTGAGTGCGGAAGATCCATGGATTTGCATTGGGCTGGGTTGTTGAAGACATGGTGAGCATCGCGGTCTCAAACATCATGCGCTAGGCTTCGCAAAAATGAACAACGATCATGGCAATGGTAGGGATGGCATATGTGCCTGCGAGAAACCACACAGCAGGGACTTCAAGCACCGCATAGAAGTGAGCTCCCGTCGCTCCAACGCATACAGCGTGCACTGGGGCGCAACTGAAGGCTGTTCGGGCACGGGCTCCGCCTGAAGCAGCTGCTGTGTGGTTTCGCGAGAACGGGCCTATCACGATGACTGGAACTTTTGCATATTGCAAGCTCAGCTGGTGCGTCCGACAGACTGGCGCGACAGCTGAATGGAAGGAAATTCTCCAATCATGTGCGGAACGAATGCTTCTGACTGCTAAGTCGCGGACAGAAGTATAACGGCGTCCTCGACACTGTAGCCCCCGACGATGCCGTAGGGGACGGCCTCGCGAGATGATGGAGTAGGAATGCCGGTGCGGTCATCAGACCCGGCGAAACCCCTGAACTATTCCTTTTGCAGAGACCGAACCGACGTCGAGCGCGAGCGAGGATAAAACTACTCACTGTATGCCAAAACACGATCGTGACCGTCCTCTTCCACTTGTCCTCATTCTTCCTGTGCCTCTCCTGTCGCGGACTGGCGTGAACGAGGGCGCCGTTGTCCGACGCTGGGCTGTGCCCATCATAGGAGCCTTCGGCGAAGGACGTCTTGCGCAATGGGGTCGGGTCGAGGCCGAGCGGCGAATTGAGCGTGGTCGAGGGCGAGAAGGAGATGGACGACGGAGATGCGGCGGGGGATCCTGGGGGGAGGCAGAATCTGTCGATGGCGCGAGGGTGGCTTGACGAGGCAGGCATCGGGGTGGCCTTTTCGTGTCTCCGGGACGCGAACAGTAGCAACGCGCTCCCGGGCAGCCTACAAGGTCGATGATAAGCGAGGGACAGCATGGGGAGGAAGACAAGGAAAACTTACGACGATGGATTTGTTCAGTCTCCTGGCTCCTTGCCGAAGTCGGGGATGTTTCCGACCCCCTTCGCAACGGAATCTGTGTTCAGGACACGTTGGGCGGGAAGAAGGGGGCCGGTGGGTACAAGTGTCGAGGGAGGAAACCGTCGATGGTCGACGAATGGTCGATACAAAAACCGCGCCCGGCGCAGATGAGCTCCGCCGTTGACAAAGCGCCCGGGGTGCGCGCCTTCCTGCTTTCCACCACCTCTCCAGCTTTTCGTGAACGCTGCTCGAATGCGGCTCTTGCTCTACCATGCGATGCGGAAGTTTCGTGAATTTGGATGACGTCTGGCGTATGTTCGACTCAGCCTCTCGATCGTAGCGTCAGCCTCGTCCTCCGCCTGACAGGTCGCAGCGCTGGACTGGCTCCCACTTCTCTCTTTCCGCACCTCTGTCCTTGCTGTGTTTGCTATGCTGCTGCTCTCTTTTGCTTCGTCGCACTGCTATCTATCCCAGCTTTCTGTTCTCTCAGCCCCATCCCCAAACGATCCCGGCGTCGACCTCTGCACCCAAACCGTCCTCGAACCTGGCCACACCGCGATCACGATCCTCCTGCCACGCGTCAGTTATGCCAGACCCCTGGTGGGGCTCGATCCTGCGCCGTGTCATCCCAGCTCTGCGAGAGCAGACTCAGATCCGTCTCGGGAAGAGGTGCGTCCACACGTCTTGGCTCGGCGCGCTTTGCGCTCACGCTCGCGGTCCGCTGTTAGCCTCAGACGTCGCGCAAGCTCATCCTGCGCAAGCGCACGACCTCCCCGTACCAAGTCAAGCTCCCGATGAAGGACCGGTTCCGCGTACCGAACAAGAAGCCCCAGCCGGCCTCCCTCCGGCCCACCGTCCCAGCCGTCCTGCAATCCTCCGCTAGTCGTCTGAACGCACAAGCGTCCTCCCTGTCGCTCTGTCACCCCCCGCCCGCGGTCAAAAGGCCCGGCGCGAACGCTGGTCTCGCGCAGGCGAACAGGATGTTGGAGGAGATGCGGCAGAACGCTTCCCACAAGCCCACACCCGCGCTCGCGACCTATCCCTCCTTTACGCTGCCGGCGGTCGATACGTGGACGGAGCTCAATCGCGACCTGCACGATGCCCTGCTCGACTTCTCGGACGTAGACACGACCCAGTCTCGCTGTGTCTGGCCGCCGGCGGCACCTGTTCCGATGCTGTTTGACCCATGGGTTCTGTGATGCTTTCGTCCTTGCTTTCTTGCTCTGTATGCCTTCGATGTACCTTGCACACGCGATTTCGCATGCGTATGTCTCGGAAGCAGTACATCCTCGTTCCTGCCCCCCTGTCTTCTCCACCCGATAGGATGGGAACGCTCTAGGATGGCGCGCATGTCGCGGTGGCCGAGAGCCGAATGCTTCGCTGCGTCTAGTGTGAAAACTCGGACTGGTTCAGGGCGAGGAAGTATGGTTGGAGCGGGCCGTTCGGACCGTGGCTGGTCATCGTAATGATGAGGCCGGGGCCGATCGATCTCGTCGCTCCCCCCACTTGGCCAACGCCCTGAACGGCTTAGTGTCGTTCACCGCGAGATGCATAGCACGTAGGCGGTTCATGACTCTCTCTCTCTCTCTTAGCCAGATTCAACGCCGCGGAAACATCGCCGCAACACACAGTTCCCACAACCCGGGCGCGGCGCCCGGGCACTCCCAGGCTCACATGTCCCCTTCGTCACCATGTTCGCAGATCCCACCGCGCGCCCTCAGGGCGACATGTCGCACGGAGATGTCGGTTAGGCCTGGGCATCCACTCAGTTCCACTCCGAGCTCCCCGCGGACAGCAGCCGCACGACAAAAAGAGCGGGCGCGGCCCACGCGCCGCCCCCACACCCTTCCCCCCCACTCCCGCACGACATGACGCTCTCGCAGGACCTGCTCCCCGCCCTGCCCCCGCTCTGGCAGCTCGCGCTCCTCGGCGGCGCCGCGTACGCGGCGACGACGTGGTACGGCGCGGCGCGGCGGCGCGCGCGCGCGACACCGCTCGCGGGCCCGCTGCGCCCGAGCTGGCTCTTCGGCGTCACGAAGCAGGTGCTCAACAACCCGGACGCGCCCGCGATCTACGAGGGGTGGGTCGAAGAGTACGGCGCGGTGTTCGTCGCGCCGGCGCCGCTCGGCGCGACGCGCGTCGTGCTCACGGACCCGAAGGCGGTCGCGCACTTTTACGCGGCGGAGACGTGGACGTACGTGCAGACGAAGCTCGCGCGCGTCGCGATCGAGGGCTTGGTGAGCGCTTTGCGTCTGTGCGTGTGCTCTGCGGGTGGGGGGATTGACGGCGGGCGGGCGGGTCGCAGTTCGGGCGGGGGCTGCTCTGGGCGGAGGGCGAGTCGCACAAGCGGTGAGTGCGCGAGATCCGGCGCTGGGCGACTGAAGGGATGTCGCTGAGCCCGTCGCGGTCGGCTGTCGCAGGCAGCGCAAGGCGATCTCGCCTGCGTTCAGCAACGTCGCCATCAAGCGCATGACCGCCATCTTCTACGACTCGGTGTACAAGGTGGGGGTGCCGTCCGCCGCGCCACGCCGCGCGCGTCCTGCCGCTGATCACCCCCCGCAGCTCAAGACCGCCTGGGACAACCAGCTCGCCGGGGCGGACGCGGCCGTGATCGACGTCGAGGCCTGGATGAACCACGTCTCGTGCGTCCCCTTCGCTCCGCTCTCCGTCGTAGCGCACGGCTCTCACCCCGCCCAGGCTGGACTCGATCGGGATCGCCGGGTTCTCGCACGACTTCCGCTCGCTCGACGGGCAGCGGTCGGACATCGCGGAGGTGTTCGACGCGATGGGCCGCGTGAAGCCGTCGGTGCTCTCCGCGCTCGTGATCTTCTTCGGGAACGTGTTCCCGGTGCTGTGGAAGCTGCCGACGGAGATGCGGCGCCTGCAGCGGAAGATGAACCGGAGCATGGAGCAGATCGCGGTCGTCCTGCTCGAGAACACGCGCAGGGAGCTCCGCGGGCTCGGGGAGACGGGCAAGGAGGAGAAGAGCATCATCGGGCTGCTCAGTGCGTCGCGGCGTGTCCCTTGCGGTGGAAGTGGCGTTGACGGCTTCTGCGCGTGCTTGCAGTCAAGGCGGAGGACCAGGAGGCTAGCCTGCCCATGTCGCAGGAAGAGATCATGGCGCAGGCACGTTTGCGGGCTTGTAGAACCCGGCCGCTGCGCTGACGACGGTACTCCTGCAGATGAAAGTGCTCATCCTAGCCGGCTACGAAACCACCTCCAGTGCGTCCTCCCTTTTGGGAATCTGCGCTCTCGCTGATTGAGCTCGCTCGCTCCACAGTCAGCCTCACGGTCCGTACCCGCGTCCAGCCCGCGTCTCCATCCCTCACACGTACGCTGACGCACAACGCAGTGGGCGTTGATCGAGCTCTGCCGCAAGCCGGAGATGCAGGCGCGCCTGCGGGACGAGCTCCGCGCGCAGTTCCCGAACTCGGACCCGAGCTGGGACCAGCTCATGAACGGCGCGGGGCTGCACTACCTCGACGCCGTCGTGCACGAGATCCTGCGGCTGCACGCGCCGCTCGCCGTCACGAACCGGGTGGTGCGTCCCGTCTCCGCCCTCTCTTTCACTCACACACTCACGCACACAAACACTCTCGCGCGTGCTCACGGCCCACGCAGGCAGCGAAGGACGACGTGATCCCGCTCTCGCAGCCGATCCGGACGAAGCACGGCGAGCTCGTCGACGCGATCGCGATCTGCGCCGGGCAGGAGGTCGGGATCCCGATCGGGTACATGAACACCGCGCTCGCGCTCTGGGGCCCGGACGCGCGCGAGTTCAAGCCCGAGCGCTGGCTCCTCCCCGGCGACGGCGCGAAGGGCGGGGAAAAGGAGCAGGAGCACGCGGGGCTGCCGCGGCGCGCGCAGGAGATCCAGGGCCACCGGCACCTGCTCACGTTCGTCGACGGGCAGCGGATGTGCCTCGGGCGCGGGTTCGCGCTCGCCGAGTTCAAGGTGCGTGCTGGGGACGTGGGGGCTGCAGGCCAGGAAGGCTGACGCGGGGGCCAGGCGGTGTTGGGCGTGCTCATCAAGAACTACACGTTCGAGCTCCGGGACGGGCCGGAGACGGAGATCGCGCACTGTCGCGGGGTGCTGCCCCGGCCGCAGGTGAAGGGCGAGGTGGGCGCGTGCGTGCCGATGCGCGTGCGGCGCGTGGACGCGTGAGGGGTCGCGAGAGGTCGAACGCGCGGACGCTCTGGAGGCATCGTGTCATAGTCCCTTTTTCCATCATGTCTTTCACAAACTCGAGTCGCCCCAACACTCCACACACGAGCCGTCCCCGCGCCCCGTCCGCTGCGCTGCGGACGCCGCCTCCCTCGGGCGTGTCCCGCGCCGTGGGAGCAGCCCCACTCGACGCGGGAAACGACGCGCGCGCACGGTCAGCACGCGCGCGCGCGCAGCTCCAATCCTGACGAGCTCATGCGTCCGCGCGTCATAGCGGTGTGAGCGGCCTGCTGCGCCCGGGGCCCACGACGCCCTCCGAGTCTCACGCTAGGCTGGGGTGCATCCGACAGGCGACAGGCGCGAGGTGCCGTCCGCGGCGGGAACGTGGAGGTGGAGGTAGACGGCCGGGCGCGCGGGCGTCGCTATTTTTGCGTCTTCGGGTTCTTGGCTGCGCGCGGGGGACGGGCGTGGTCGCGGCTTCGTAAGTTCTGAACGAGGTTAGAATGTCGTTTGGACGTTGCAAGGCGGGGCGTGGGGCGTGGACGGACGGATCGAACGCTAGAAGGCTCGCGCGAGGCGCGGCCGTGCGCTGTTTTTGCAGCCTTCGGGCTTCGGGATCTGTCGCTCGGCCTCCAATGCATTGTGATCCGGGCAGGCCGCGGTCTGCCGTTAATTAATTGCCTGGCCTACCTATTTGCGTACCTAGAAACATCGCAAGCTGCGTCCCGAGTTTCATCGAGAAGCCCGAGGCTGTCATGTGCATGATGAGCGAGCGCTTGAGCGCTGAGAATTGGGATGCCGGCAGTCCGACGCGTCCATCTGCCAGCCGCGACGCCTCCCGTCGACAGCTGCTTCCCACAAGCTTCGCAAGCCGCGTGGTGGTCGTCCCTCCGCCCAGTCCACGCTTTCGTCGTGGAGGACGCGAGGGGGCTCGTTGCCGTCTGCATACGTTTTGGTTACACAGCAGTTTGCAGTAGTGCGCACTGTGCAAGGACGATGTCATGCGTACCAAACGCCCCGAGTCGGCGAGTCGGCGAACAGACTCGAACAGAGCGCTCCGCGCCGGGGCTGGGCTCTGCGCAACCATCAGCCGGAGGGCCCGAGCTCATCCAGGGAAGACGAGGAGGTTCCGCCCGCTCGGCGTGGGCGTGGGCGTAGGCACGAAGGTGGATCAGCGCGCGCTCGCCGGAATCCACACAATGCACACGCACGTCGCGCGGCGTTTTCGCGGGCGCGCAAATGCCTCACTACTGACGCACGCACGGGGGTTCTGTGGGCGACCGCACGTCCATTCGGCGACGGAGCCTCCGTGTCACTACGTGCGTAAGAGTGCGTGCGCGAGCGCGTCGTATTAAGAGTCTCAACAGTATCGTTACCCCTTCCCTCTGGCCTAGAGAGCGACCCACAATGCGTCTAAGTGCGAGAGCCGTATGGTATCCGTCCGAGTCCGCATCCAAGCCACCGAGAACCCGCCCCTTTTCCGCTTCGCGCGACCTTGCGAAGCACAGCGGGCCCCTACATCCACCGCGCTCAGGCGAGGACGACGCCGAAGGCGGCGGCGACGAGCGCGAGCGCGCCGTTGACGACGACGGTGCCGGCGCTCGACTTTCCGCTGCTCGTCGCGGAGCCGGTCGAGGAGGAGCCGGTCGAGGTCGCGTTCGAGGCGACGTTCGTGGCGGCGGTGGGCGAGACGGACGCGGACGCGGACGCGCCGATGCCGAGGAGCGCGGGCGTGGGCTGCGTGGTCGGGGTCTGCGTCGCCGCGGCGGAGAAGGAGGCGAAGACGTGGTCGCCCGTCCCGGGGGCGTTGATCGCGCTGAAGGAGGGGGGAGGGCGTGAGCGGAGGGGAGACAGAGGGGAGAGGGGGGAGAGGGCGCGTACCCGACCATGCCGGCGGGGCAGTGGGCGAGGGGGCCGTTGGGGCCGAGGACCTGCGCGCAGTAGAACCAGATCGCTGTGCGGGGACGGTGGGTGAGCAGGGAAGCGCGAAGTGAGAGAGAGGGACGCACGGGTGGTCTCGTCGGTGATGGTCAGGTTGAAGGTGGGGAAGGGCCCGGAGGTGCCGTTCTTGACGAGGACGTAGCCGGAGTCGAAGCCGCTCGCGAGGGGCTCGCAGGGGGTGGCGAAGGAGGACTGGGCGACGGTGTGGTTGCCGGGCATGCCGTTGAAGAGGAAGGTGATGACCTCGCCCTTGGTCGCGTTGATGTTGTTGGGCGAGAAGGCGAGGGCCATCTTGCCGCCGGTCTGACCGACGAGGATCTGGGGGGAAGAGCAGGTGAGGGAGGGACGGAGGACGGCTGGGGAAGGCACGTACGGTCTGGTCAGCCATGGCGGAGGCGGCGAGCGCGAAGGCGGCAAAGGCAGCAGCGAGCATCTTGGAAGAGGCGAAAGGGCGAAGGAAGAGGCTAAAAAGGGAGGTAGGAAGGAGGAAGACCGGGGTCGAAGGACGGAGGGAGGTGAGGACGAGAATGAGCGGCCGAGCGTTCTTATACCGTCGCGCGGCCCTCGTCACTGTCACTGTCTGTCTGGGATGCGAGAGAAGGCGGGTGGGGGTGGAGACGAGTGAGGGAGTTGGGCTGGCCAATCGGGCGTGGCGGAGGCGTAAGGGCGCAGACAAGCCCTGCCGCATCCTCCCACGAGGTGCGCCGTCAATTCGGAATTGGGCGTCGCCGTCGTGCACGGCCGCAGGGCATGCGGGCGGTGAAGCCTGTGAGGTAACCCGGGGCTGCGATCAAGTTGTGGACGGAACGGAGAACTGCGAACGCTGGAGGTGTGCATGCCGGTTGGTGAGTGGGAGGTGCAAGGCAGCAGCAGCGTCCGCACCTTGTCCGCGGTTGAGGACACCGCGGAGATGGACGGGCTTGTTGGATCCCATCTGGAACGTCCGGGGACGTCGCGAATGTTGAACGTTTGAACGTTGAGTGCGGGTTCGAACAGACACGTGGCCGTGTCTCCATTTTCGATCACGGGCGTCTTGTGTTCCGGGTCGGCGCGCCTGTGTTCAAACATACGCGCGACACCCTCCCCAGTCAGCAGTCCGTCGGGGACGGGCTTGTCTTGAACGGGGCCCGGATGCGTGTTCGGTGCGCGTTCAAGGCGCTGTTCGCGGTCATCTCGGCCGGGTGTCCAGTTCGCTGTGACAGAATAAAGAGATTCGACGTGCCTGGCCTGAGTCCTCGACAGCTCTCTCTCCCGCAAATCGGGTCCTGCTCGACAGCAGCGCTCGGACGCGTGTCGCGGGTGACGCCCTCCCCTTGCCCCCCCCGTCTTCGTCCAGCGCCCCACCGTCCCGTGTGTGAGTCCGTGCGGCGCGGTGACAAAGCTCGCGCGCGGCGCGAGAACGACGTCCGCCCTCCTGAGAACATCCGCCCCAACCCAGCGGGGCGCATTGGACGAGACGCGTCGGGGCACCAGGCTGCGCGCGCGGGGGCGCACGTCGAGGGGACGCGCAAACTGCCCACTGCGACACCGCGCCCTGCCTTGGCTCGGCCGTGCGCGCGTCCTCGACGCCCCTCCTTCCCTGCGTCCGTGCTCTCGGCGCGGCTGCGCAGCGAACGCTTTTCTCTCGACGCTCCCCGGACCCCGCCACGGAAGGCTGGATCTCGATACGTCGGTGTGCGTGCGCCCAGCCCGAGCGCGTCCAGCCCGGCGATGATTCCCCCCTCGCTCTCGCTCTCGCCACCCCGGTGCTATCACGCCCGGCGCTCCCCGACCCGCGCACGACACCCACACTCGCGTCCCGAGCAATTGCGCGTGCTCGTCCGGGCGGTGAAGCTTTGAGGCTCAAGGGTGCGCGCGCGCGCCCCCCTGTGGGCGGCGAGTTAACGTTCGCGTTAGTGCCCCCGCCGTCCGAGGAAGCCGAAGTGCCTGGATCGCGAAGAAGCTCTGTACAGGTATACGTACTGCCGTCCGTACGCCATCTTCGCGCAGGCGACATGCGCGGCCGGGGCGTTGTATCTGCGTTTGCGCGTCTCGCACGTGATTCGCTAGCGATGATGTGGTTCGACCGATGGAAAAGTAGAAGCGGGGCTCCGATATCGCCAGTGCGCAATCGTCGCATGATCAGCTTGCAGCCGCCGCAATCAGCCATCTTCGCCGCCACAGCCGACAGAGATGGACAGAATCTGGAATGAGATGTCATTGGACGGCTGTGCCGCACAATTCGCGCGCGCCGCGACGCGCAGGTGGGTGGGTTCGAAACTCAATATTCAATATTCAACGTTCGACGACGTCAACTTGCCTTCAGCCTCGGACGTGACAGCGATGGCGACCACTGCTTCCACCTCATTGCCTCCTCGCCGCGGCGCCCTACCTGGTTCACCGGCGACTCGTGCCCCATCACGCGTCCGCACACACCATCATGCATCATCTCCGCTCTTCTACCCGTCCAGGAGTCCGCGGACCCTCCCGTCTCTTCCTCTCGACGGTCCTCCATACGGCCTCCGACATTCTCTACCTCTCGGGCCACAACTTTCCTCCTCCAAAACTCGCGACCTCCGTGCGGACTCAAAGGCGCACGCGCCCCCGTCCAATCTGTCCCCCGCCCGCCGGGTCGCGATCGAGAGCTCGCGACTCTCGCGCTCGCCGTCGCCGAGGCTCCCCCGTCAAAGCTCCTTTAGGCTCGTTTCCGCACGTCTTGCGCGCGCGGTGCCTCGGTCCTCGGCGACGGCGGCGCGCCCGTGCGGGCCCCGCTCGATGTGGCGAGTCGCGACGGACGAGGAGACCGCGTTCGTGCGCTATGTATGTATAAGCGCTCGCGATCGACGGTGAGGGGGTTGTCTGGCGCGTAGACAAGCCCGGAAATACGTACCGCCGTGACGGTCGGTCTGCACACGGGCTATTGTGTGTGCGCAGACGTGACTCTGCCCCGCGCGCGTGAGGTTGCACAAAATGGGCGCGTGGGGCTTGTCAGCGGTCGAAGACGCGACGGGCCCGACGCGGCGTGACATGAAGATGTCCGTTCATCTCGCTGTCTGTCGCCAACGCGCGGGTGCGGCGTGTCGGTAGCGAGTGCGCACCTGGTGCAAATGTCCCTCGGGAGCTTCTGCTTCTCCACCGTCAAAGCATCGCGCGAGGCTGTGTTTGCTCAACGCTTGTATCTCTCCGTGCTTGTTGGCCTGCCGTCCTCCGGGTAGATACGCAAGTTCTTGATCCATCACAAGCACCCCATGGAACTCGAAGAGGAAGCGCAAGGAGTGGGGTATCTCGGTAGACTACATAGACGGTTCAGAGCCACAAACCCCACATTAAAACACACAACCAGCGCCCGGGCGAGCCAATAGAAGCGCACCTGCTCGCACACCCAATCCCAACGTCTGGCGCAAGAGAGCCTCACACCGACAGCCCCGACGCCTTGCTGTCCCAGCCCTCGCTCTCCGTCGTCACCTTGATCGCGATCGACGCCTGCGCGCGCTCGGGCGCCTGAGGCACGTTCCACGTCACCTTCGCCGCTCGCTGCTGCACGCGCGCGAGCAGGTGCAGGTCGTAGGTGCCGGCGTCGAAGACCTCGAGGCCGCGGCCGGCGATGGGCGCGCGCGAGTTCAGCCTGTGCCACACGGGGGGTGATGCGGGGTTAGCGCGCGGAAACGGACGCGGGGGAGGTGTGGGGGCGTGGAGACGCTTACACTGCCAGCAGGGAGTTCGCGTATACTATATGAATGAGGAGATGAGCGAGGAAGAAGGACGCGAGAGAAACAGGAAGCTCTCACGGCGCGCGGAGATGATGCTGAAGAAGATGTAGATGAAGGTGTGGAACGTCGTCGTCGTCTGACCGCATGGCGTCGGACATGAGCGCTTGCGCAGCTGAACGAGACGAGGTACGCACCAGGATGAGAGAGATGAAGTTGAAGATACTGGGAGAGAAGATAATCGGCGGATATCCCGAAAACGAGATGCAGGGACGAATATACCAGTGTAGGAGACCTGTCTCACGTGGTGAGCGGAAGAACATCTGGGGAGACCGTCGAAACGTACCAGTGCTGACAGCGTACAACATAAACTTGTCGAAGAGCGTCTCATTGGGCCTGCGATTCCCATGAGAGTCGATCAAGTACGACAGTTCTGTTGGCAGGCCTACCGCTTCAACCCGGTATGACCCGAACGGCTTCGACGTAAGACTACAATGAGTGTTACAGTAAAGAGGGTATCCGCAAGGAATGCGGCGGCGAAGGTCGATGGCACGAGCCACTGATGGGGAAAGAGTTATATTTGCTCTAATGACCGCGAGAGAAGGTACGTACGACCGTGGACGGCGCCGTTCCAAGGAGTGGCGAGCGGAATCTGCGAATACATGAAGTCAGGAAATGGTGGACGAGTATGAGAATGGTCGCCGTACGTCAGGACAGTAGTTGCTTTAGTGCATACAATGACATTAGAAGGCGATAACAGTAATGGTTGATATACGGCACACCGATTGTGAAGCCTATATTGATCCGTGAGCTCATCGGTATAATCGTATCGCTGAGAGCAGAACTCACATATCTCTCCAACAAAGCAGAGCATCTACGGGGTCGATGAGCGAAATCGACAACCGGGCCGCGCGAGGTGCTCACAGCAATCCCGACGATGATGCGGTATCGAGTCCCAACTGCGCGACGTGAGCCGAAAGGAAGCGAAATGCGTCGAGGACAAATGGCGTACTGAGGAACACGCGTCTGGCGAAGAACCTGAATCCGACAATCATCAACCTTCTTCCGATCAGTCGAAATGCAGGATAACGTACACCTGAGAAGTTATCATGATACCGCTCTTCGCCGTCGCTGATCAGCGTGGTCCCTGTGGAATGGCTCGGACAGGACACTCACCAGGAGGACGGGCAACGCCTGATAGAAAATTCAGCGGACTGCGCGTGAGCGGAACATTCACTCACGTATAATGACCTGGACCAGACCTTTCAGAACCGCAAGAGGATGCAGAGACAAGAAAAAACGCACCAAACGCCTTCGAGCAATGCAAGAAAGTTGAAGTAGTTGGTGACTAGATAGAAATAACTGTGCCCGCCATTTCACCGTCAAACGCTTGCAGAGAGAAAGACGCGGCGCTCACCATGTATGCATCGTAAGGACAGCATGCGCGGTTTCTAGCAGCCTGAACCTGGGTTGAGCTGCCGCGTCTCCGGAGGTGGTCAATGGCTCACATGACGACTGCAACCTGGGACGCCGGCGTCGGTCATTGGTCAACTTGGCGGCGGAGGCGCAGTGAACGGTACTGACCATGACGCGGATGTAAAGATCGTCGGTCGGAAAGAGGGTGTAGTACCGGTATAGTTGGTGCACGCCCAGGCCGTACAACCTGTCGCGGACGTCGTCAGCCGGTCCTTGCGCTCATCAGCCAGTGCAGCGGAAGAAGTGAAAAGACGCACATAAGGCCCGCGAATGCGCCAAGGAGGTACGCTCCTAGAGTCTTGTCGAACGGCATCCACGCCGCGAGCAGGGGCACGAGCTCAGGCGGAATGCTCGCGAGACCGCTGGAGGTCGTCGTCACGTTCCCGAGGCCGGACATGACGGGAGTGGAGGGGGGGTGCGCAAAGGAGACCGAGGCGTGGGCGGGCGTGGAGGAGGACTATATGCGCTTGGTCAATCTAGGCGGGATCAGCGGTACACGCGCGGACACCCTCGGGGCCAGAGAGATGTGGGAGGAAGGTGAGAGAAGAGGAGGAAGACAGAGGGGTGAGAGAGAGGATGCCAGCGTGCTCGGGAAGAACTCTCACAGCCATGCGGGTCGGGTGACCAGAGGCAGACGGTGAACTGCTGGAGAACCGATGACGCAGCGCGTTCAGCCTCGCCCAGGTATCGATTGCTGGCAAAGCTGGACACGACCGGAAAAGGAGACGTACGGGCGAGGTCATCGTGCGCGATGACGTCGACGCTATGTGCGAATGAACACGTGATCGAGTCCCGCGCAAAAACAAGCCTCGGTAAAATACGTCCGATCCAAAATCGTACACAGGAATATCGTACACAAGCCTTCGGATTGAGTGTTCAATGGTGGGCAGTTGGGCTATGACTTTACGCAAACGAGTGACCTTTGGTCACAAGTATCTGGTCGTTCTATCAGCCGGGGACATTGGAACATCCAGACGGCGATGGAAGTCACCTCATGTCGATTGTACATCTCTCGGCACCGAGAAGAGGACGTGCGGAGAATATCATCCCCATTCGGCTGCGGATTAAAAATAATGAGCAAGAGTCCACAGGTATGCGTGCACGATGAATACCGACCGTGGACGGGGAAGATGGAAGAGACCTGAGCCTGATGTTGCCGAACGATTCGTCCACAAGACGCCGCGAGGGTGGCTGACTCTCCCGGATGTGCTCACGCGCATTGAGGCTGTACCACAACGCCCGGTTCTTCAGACGAGAAGTTAGACACGAGGCAAGGAGACTAGCATACCTCCCAAGGAAGGAGTTTGCGTAGACTGCGGCAACACGATCAGCATCCCAGTAGGTGGGGAATCGAAAGGCGACTCACGCTTCCCCTGGATCTCGACGATTCCCAGGAAGACGAGGTTGGCGGTCTGTGTGGAGAACTAGGTCGCGTGTCAACGACATGCGTAGGAGGCGTATGCAAGGTTATTCACTAGAACGACCGCCAGCACCGATGCCGCGCTGATCGGCGGGCGAGTCAACGGCTGGAAGGGCACATCCTAGGCGACAACGCACCCTGTAATCGCTCCCGTGTTCACAACGTATAGAACTATCATTCTGATCTTGCTTCTCTCTGCGCTGGGAAAGGGACCGGATCAGACCCGACGGGAAAAAAAAAGCAGGATGGGCGTACGTGTCCCAGTTTGTGCGTCCGCGCAGGAGATAGTATGACAAAGTCAGCGCAACAAGGAGGTCCGCGGCGGCGGCGCAGCCAAGACCGCCGGTGACCGTGATCTGGAAAGATGAAGAGTTGGATACGAGAAGTACAGACTGGGTTGGTTTACTCACTAACGACACGGGCTGATTCCTGAAAGGGATCCACTCGGGGTATCTGTAACTGAGCGCTGTAATGTCAGCTCTGTAGCTTTGTTTCGGATCCGGGTGCGTACCACAAGTATGCAGATCCGGCACCAAAAACGAGTCTGAGTAGTGTGAATAGCGCCTAAGGAGTTCATCAGCAGGCATGACGACTATCAATCGCTCATGACATACGATCACTCCAGTGAGGAACTTCCTGTGTTCGCTGACTGTGAAGCTTCATCAGAAGTTTTTATATAGGAAGGGCAGACTGCTCACTGATCCACACGCGACGCACGTAGAAGCTGTCGGCGTGATGAGTGCGGGATGATGGAGCGACAAACGTCAGAACGCACATTTGCACGACGGTCGAGACGATGACTTCCGCTATCACTGATATCTGAGCAGCAAATCGTTAGACGACCTCCAAGTCACCGACGGTAACTCTGCGCACTCCGACTCCCCTAGACAACCATGCACATGTCAGTGGACAGTATATCGGAAGTCGGGCGTGACACGCACCAATTGAGGTGCAGGAAGTACTCGACATTTCCAAAGTTATCGATCAGGTATGCGAAAGAGAATCGCATGCAGAAGGCCGTGTGGATGGTCTCTACCACCCTGATAGCGCTATGAGGTCAAACTCGAACACCAGCTTGCTGCTCGATTACGTACCAGACAATCGCAACCTGTGAATATCGTGAGTAGAGGTGACAGGGGACTCGAGAACTTGACTGACAATAGTCTTGACAAACGCCGCATCTGCGGGGTAGCGCTGGAAGTAGATGAATGTCTGTAAAGTTGTGACGCCGTACAGCCTGTGTATTGAAGGGAATCAACTTCTGCGAGGGCGAAGATGGAGGGTGATGAGACGTACATGCAGGCTATGAAGACCTGGAGAAGAAGCCCGCCAAAGAATCCTTCTGCGGGGTTGGACATACTCGAGAGGTGGTGTCGCTGCGGGCGGTGCGGGATAAGTATCGCGGGGCTCTGAGGGCCGAACGCTCTGCGTGCCGGGTTCTAATACGGTCTCCCAATCATCCGACTGCCGGAGCGACGTCACTGTCAGTCGTAGAGCACGTACTGCCAGAGCTACGTAGTCGAATATACCAAGTAAAGATCTCTGTACCGCGTGGAAGGATGTGGGGCGGGCAACCGGTCAGCCCTCGAGCGGGTGGAGATTTGGTACGATTGGGGAAATGCGACGTGCCGCAAACCGAGCAGACGTTGTGATGCAGTCGCGCCTCAACCTTCTGTCTGATCAGCACTATGTGGGGAGTCTCTTCGGACAAGAAAGGGACAGCAGATACCTTTTGAGCAAGTTGCGTCCGGGCCTATGACCTTGAGACCATGTGGCAGGCTGCACGCGGACATCAAGAGTTGGCAGGGTGGTAGTGGTAGGCTACCGAGGCTCGGTATCTCCGCCTCAATGCACCGAGCTTGACGTGGAATAGAGGAAGTGGACGACATGCATTCACAACGCTCCAGAAACGCGATGATACCATAGTCCGACGATGCGGATCCGCCACTGTTGGCTAGATTAGCGAAGCAAGCGATAAATGCCTGTGCCGTCGAAAACGTACATCATCATGCGGGGAAGACAAGGAGCATCATTTTCCGGCGTCCTCTTTACTCCAGTGAGGGCCTTTCCCCGTCACGAATCATTTGTTGGGACGAGTGACTCCTTCAACATCGTCAGGTCCACCAACAGTCTGTGCTATTCATAGCCGCGGGCTCGAGCGGTCTCTCGTGTAGAGTGACGCTTCGGCGGTGATGCAGATATTAGTCGGTCGATGATGGAGGCTGTGAACCTGCCTAAGTCATAAGGTGTCTTGGATGGCGTTCTTCGCAACCGTTCTCTCTCCGCTGCACGCTGTCAATTCTCTTCGACATCCATATACTACGCTTCTGATCTGACGGAGATAATAATGAGGTGAGCGATTCCGGGCATCAAAGAGAATCCTCCAGTGACTGACAGGGAATCTCACAGCGTCTTAAACAGCATTGGAAAGGGATACCTCACTGTCGTCGCAGGCAAGTTGTAAAGAAACTCACGAGAACTTCGTACCAAATGTCTTGTGCCGTTCTGCAGGCGCAATCGCCGGCGCGAGCAAAATCAACAAAAAGTTGGGAATTGCGGCCGGCTACTTGTGCTGTCCCTGCACGTGCGGAGCTTCCCTCATTGCTGCTGCGGACGAATGAGATCGCGGAAGGGGAGACCATGGCAAGGAACTCACGACGACTGTATACCATACCCATGCGCATATATCCTCGCCCGCAGGATACTTTAATACCGACAGCAGTTGGAAGTTGTAACACATGAACAAGCTTTGCGGCAAGTCGGAGGAGTGTACTTGCGTGTGTTTGCGACTGTGACACAGAAGTACATTTTGTAGAGGATGAATACGGGATTGAGTGGATGCGGGGGAGAGAGATGATGAGCATTGAGAACGGGCCGCTGGGGGTCTTGTGACTCAGACGCAATCACGTGTATGCTACCTCAGTGTCGTGCAAACGCCTCGCACGCGACATCTTTCATCCGATCTATCACAGGCGAGTCCCTTGCCTATCCCCCATAAGTAAGCATTTCAAAGACTCAGAATGACAGCTTCAACGACAGATGTCAGGAATAAGTGGGGGTCAGTACTGCGGCTGCGGAGCACCGGAGCGCGGGGGTCGGGCGAGTCGGATTGAAGAACGCGCTTGACCTCGTAGAGGCTCGCGGTAGCGGAGAGACGGGTAGAAGGGGCGACGGGGAGGAACCGGTAGGTAATCCCGTAGCGAATACGTGCATGCGGGAACGGTGTATGAGGGTAATACTGGTGGCGGGTGCCAGGCGGAAACAGGTCGCGACGGCGGCGAGCCTCTCGTAACAAGGCCAGTCCAGCCAAAACACCAACATCAGATTTATGCTCGAAGAGGGGTGTGCCTTAGTATGTGACGCTGTTCCATCTCTATAGACAGTCTACGACCTGACCATACATTCAACTGTGGCCATTTGCCCAGTCAACTGCAGAGGCTTTCCACCGCGGCAGTTCTTGGGCTATGAATATAGTTTGAAAGTTGAGCTCTGTTCGCATCACCCAACCTTATCATGCCACAACGTTCACAAGCGAAGTCGGAGCTATTTCAATCAGGTTCGCCTTCTCCTTGCCACCTCCATACTCTCATCTCTGCGGACGGGTGTAGACCATCACGCTTTCCAAACCCAGTCATATCTCCCCATGAGCTCGCTCCACTTCCCCATAGACGTTGTGGAAGACATCATTGACGTCCTCGCCGCTCACAGTGATCACACCGCACTCGCACGCTGCATCTGGGTGTGCAAGTCATGGCTTCCCCGAAGCCGCTACCGCCTCTGGCACAGGCTCATCATTTCTAGGGGCGACCAGCTGCCCGCGATCTGCAACACCCTCAAACACGACACCTTTCTGCGCTCGACGGTTCAGATCGTCCGGCTGGAGGTTGCACCGGGCTCGGATGTCGACGCGCCAGGAACTCCCCCGATCGCCGCCATCACAGTCCTTCTTCCCTATCTAGGTCACATTATCGCATGGGAGTTCTACGGGTGGTTCGCGTCTTCCTCTCCCTTTTTTTTCCTGATGCCCCCGGTGATTCTAGCTTGTCTGCGACAATACCGTGCTGTGAGGAGGCTCGTCCTGCGGGACTGCTCTTTCAAGACTGCTCTGCAGCTCCATCGTCTTATCAATGCCTTTCCTGCGCTTCAGGATGTCCGGATGGAGCGTTTGTTTTGTCGGACTCAAATTTCAAATATATCCCTCCTCACACCCCACACGCATCGACAGGGCATACAAACGTTACATCTGGATGAGGTGCGCGCTTCCTAGCCTGACCCCGAGCTCGTGATTGATCCCGAGGTTTTGAGGTTCAACCTCGGCTGGAGAGTACCACGCTATTAAATTTCAACAAGGGGTCACTGTTGGATATAACACTGGACAGCGACACCCTCGCGGAGCCTGGTAGGTCCTTTCCGCTTATTCGAGTTGTACTCGGCTAACGTTTGCTCAGGTTTCGAAATACCCCTTTTCGCACAATTGAAGCATCTATCGATTCGGCAAGGCCCAACTTTAGTTCCCGACTTCGAACTTTACAAAACCTGTCTCGAACTTCCGAATTCTTTAATTTCTTTTTCCCTGATATTCCGATGTGTCGGGGTGTACTGGGACAGCGCTCGTTTGGCGCAAGAACAAATGGCCATCGTTCGGCAGTTGACTCAGGTGACATTGCAACACACCGGCCTCCGATCGAACGGCCTTACATGCGTCATAGAAAGGCCAAAACGGAACCAGGTGCCTCGCTGGACAGCCTTGCTAGAACGCCTGTTCTCGCCGTTGTTAGAAAGAGGTTTGCTGCATATCGCTCCCCCAGACTACTCGAGTACGTATTCTTCCTCTGAAAAAATGTGCACGCGGACTAATCTATCTGTGTCCGACCTCAAAGTAGCCTGCGAGAAGAACATCTCAGAGTACGGGCATGGCCGACCACCGGATCAATTCGTGTTTTCTCCTAGTGGAAGATGGGCAGCAAGCACCGTGTGGAGTCGTGACCCCGAGGGGTGTGCACCGAGCATGTCGGAATGCATCATGTGGGACAGTCGGACCGGAACATCCCACCCCTCCCAATGGTGCCGCCTTGCAGATTTACCCTTCTACCCAAGTTTACCATCTTCTTTCGCGTTCTGTCCGACTGAGAAGCACTGGGCCCTCGCATCGCGCCACGACGTAACCGTCTTCCCACTTCCGGTTGAAACATCCCCGACAAGTTTCACAGAACACCCTCAACCTGTCGGGTGCATCGACCTTCAGCCTCTCGATAGCCTGGTTACAAGACTCGTGTGGTCTCGGGACGGCAGCCAGATATTTGTTCAAGATTCAACGGCGAAAGTCCACATCTACGACGCTCTGACATTCACGCACCTCCGTACCCTCTCTCCTCCACCCATCTACACGGAAACCTTCGGCGTGCAGGTTCGGCGTGCGAGCACTTTGGCGCTGTCGGAGGACGAACAATATCTCCTCTCTGATGTCGCGCTGGCCCCCTTCACCTCCTCCTCCATCAAACACAGTTCGATCTGCGTTTGGACACTCGCCACCGGTTCTTGCGAACTCCACTTCCTCCGATACTACGACAACGCAGTCCCAGGGATCGACTCGAAGATCTACGCGACCACTCTCCGCCAGCACTCAAGTCCACAATGCGAAGACCCGGACCGTCCCCACGTCGTCGCGATATGCGAAAACGGCACTCTGCTCACCGCCGCGGTCGGCTTACCCGATGCGGTTACCACCATCCGACCTCCAGGTGACCTCCGACCCATCCACGGCGCGTCCTTCTCCTCCGAGGGGACGCGCGTGCTGGTCGTGGGCGGCGTGTTCTGCCTCGTCTTAGACACACTCACCGGCGCGACGATCGCCGGCATCGACAGTGGCCGCTACGACACCCTCTTCAGAGGCATCCCCACGAGCGCGAAGCTCTCCGGCGACGGACGGGTGGCGATGATACAGAACGAGCGGTCGCAGCGGTGGTTTGGGCTGCAGCCGGAGTGGTGGCTCCGGAAGGTCGAGGACGGGACGCTACACCAGGTGCTCAGCTGCGAGGACGGACCGGCTGTGTGGAAGTGTGCGCTGTCCCGGGACGGTTGTGTGGCTGGATTCGCGACTGAAGAAGGAGAGGTATTTTTCCGGAATGTAGGGGACCTAGATCTGTCCGACTCAGTTTCTGTGATGTGACAACTTGTACTGGCAAAGCACGTTGGTTCTCAAGAGGCTTGAAACCTGCTGCGTGCGATCGAGCCTCAGGCCCCTCTCGACTATGCCACTTTCCGATGGGGCATATCGAGGACGTGATTTTGTCACACTCCGAGGAAAGACAAGGTGCACGCTATTCATCGAGTGTGAAACTAGTAGTTGGCGCCATACCATCTCGTCCATAACGTCATTGGCACTCCGGTCAGATACTGTACGAGGCATATTTGCTTTACATTGCAACCTTATGGCTTGTCTACAAGCCTACTTTGAGGTGGCTGAGGCTCCCTGATATCTGCCGTCCCGCACGCCTTTGTCAGTTCACCCCCACATACACCAGAAGTAGGAGCACGCACCGCGCGAACGGGCGCCGGGGGTCTGTTATAGTCCGGATCGTTCGTCGCGACCCACGCCTCGCCAAGCAGCTCGAACCCGTGCCGCGCGTAGGACCCGGCCGCGTCCGTCGTCGAGGTGCGCACCGCGCGCCCCTCCGCGTCCGCCTGCGCGCGCGATCAGTCTTCTCCGAGACCCGCGCTCCAGATCGTGGACGCACCGTCGCGAGAAGCACCTCGAGGAGCGCGCCGGTGTGGCCCAGTCCCTGCGCCTCGGGCGCGGTGACGAGGCCGGTGAGGACGAACATCCCCCACGCGCCGCGAACGCCTCCTCTTCCAGCTTCTGCATCGCTTCTTCGAACTCTGGCCGGCGCTGTCGCGGACGAGAGGCAGAGCGTCAGTCGTGTTCGGGGCGCACGCCAGGGGTGATGGTCGAGCCCACCTTAGCAGCAGCTATCGGCATGAGTTTACGCACGAGTGGGTCGGGCTACGCCAGCGAGGGCGGCTCGTTGGGACGCGGGCTATCCGATTGGTGGATTATGAGCAGGAGAGAAAGGTTTCGAGAACTTCCAGTCGAACGCATCAACGAGCTCTCACTGCCAATCGTCGGCGCACGCTGGGCGCGGTGACGAAGGGAATGAAGAGCAGGACGAAGACAAGCTTGCCGTGCAACGCGCTGAACCATGGGATATGGTCTGTGCCCTGCAGGAAAGACTGGCAATGAGTGCGAGTCAATCATGGAGAGGGCGAGAGAAGAAATACGTCGAAGTAGCGCTACTCGGTGTTGGTCGAGAACGCGCGCCAGGTTCCTTCTACGGCGCGCCAGAGGTGGTGGTTCAATCGGTGAACGAAAGTGTGTGATATCCAGGCCCATGATTTGCAGTATCCAAAGGGCATGACGCCCAACACCGATGCAGATGGTTGGCCTACTAAGGGCGACCGGTGCTAAGTTAGGTTCGTTCATGGTTCAGTAAGACCTAGAACTCCTGGGTGCTCGGCGAGAAGCATTGGTGATGGGCCTGTGGAAATTCAAAAGGTATTTAAGCCGCTTAAGACACGATGCAGCTTGATTCGGACTCACAGTGGGCACTTGTGGGGCTGCAGGCGCAGACCCGGGCGCAGCACCGCGTCAGCGTATGGGCGACGGCCACGTTTCGAAGGCGAACACTGTAAGGATCCGGGGGTGGTGTTCCTCGGGTGAGTCTTGAGGCCGTCGCAACTGCGTTGGATCCACGTCTATAGCGGGGATACACCACGAGGGGTAGCGATGATGGTGGTAGTAAGACTAGCGTAGCGTATGCCGGAGACTCGGAGTGCATGTAGTAATGACCCTAACCCAGGACCGAGTCTTGACAAACACGAGCCGAGTGCTAGGTCACTTCGCGGCTGACAATTGACTCTTGAGCAGCTCTCTAGAAACCATCAACAGGCACTCCGCGAGGCCTGATTGCAGCTGTTGCTCTTGGCCCGCCTTTGGAGCGATGGGCCGGTTCGAGCGGAACTCAGACCGATCGAGTACTGGATCAAAAGCTCTCCACTCCTCCAGGCGGTCCTGTGGTACTAGCTGTACTGCATCAAACGCTACTTTCCTGCGGAGTACTGCGGGGGGAAGGAGGTGTAAATACTTACATGGTCAAGCAAACATCCTCGACAAGATGTGTCGGACGCTTGCCAGGCGCCGGTTATTAGCGCGCGAGCACCAGTGGCACGTGCTCGGCTGGTGCAGTGAGCCCTTGAAGTTTTGAGGTGCGCCTCTCTCTTGCCTCCATCGCAGCCACACCCTCACGCACGACCATCTCTTCCATGTCCCCGTGCAGCCCAAAAATAGGAACTAACGAGAGGTGGGAATAAGTGGAGGTCGAACTTAGTATGCTCCAGTCGGCCCAGGGGTGTAGTAGCTGGGTATGTCACACTGTTCCATCTCTTGAGTCTGCGACCTGACCAAGCTTCTCATGGTGACAATTTGCCCAGTCAACTGCAACCCATGTGCAATACGTTTTGGCTAGCAATATCGTTTGATTGAACTCTGTTCGCATCGCCTAACCTTATCGTGCAACGCCCGCAAGTGAAGTCGCATTAGGGTCGCCTTCTTCTTGCCTCCATACTTTTGCTTTCGCGGACGGCTGTCGACCATCGCGCTCTCCAGGCCCAGTCACATCTCCCCATGAGCTCTCCCCACTTCCCCATAGACGTTGTTGAGGAAATCATTGACATCCTCGGCGCTCACAGTGATCACACCACACTCGCGCGCTGCATCCGGGTGTGCAAGTCATGGCTTCCCCGAAGCCGCTACCGCCTCTGGCACAGGCTCATCATTTCTAGAGGCGACCAGCTACCCGCGATCTGCAACACTCTCGCACGCGACACCTCTCTGCGCTCGACGGTCCAGATCGTCCGGCTGCAGGCTACACCAGGCTCCACGCCAACACCTCTCCCGATCGCCGCCATCGTAGTCCTCCTTCCCCACTTGGGCCACATTACCGCATGGGAGTTCCACGGACGGTTCCTTCCTTTCGCCCCCATGCTTTTTCCGACGTCCCCGGTGATTCTAGCCTGCTTGGGACAATACAGTGTTGTGAGGAAACTCGTCCTGCGGGATTTTGCCTTCCAGACTGCTTTGCAGCTCCATCGTTTTATCAATGCCTTTTCTGTACTTCAGGACGTCCGGGTGGAAGGCCTGTCTCTTCGGGAACGGATCTCAAATATATCCCTCCTCACGCGCTACACGCGGCAACGGAACATACAAACGCTACATCTGGAAAAGGTGCGCGCTTTCCAGCCCGAACCAAACCTCGTGATTGATTCTGAGGTTTTGAGTTTCCTGGATCTCGTCTGGAGAGTACCGCGCTGTTAAATTTCAACAAGGAGTCACTGTTGGATATAACACTGGACAGCGACACCCTCGCGGAGTCTGGCAGGTCCTTTCCGCTCATTCGAATTGTACTCGGCTAACGTTTACTCAGGTTTCGAATTTCCCCTTTTCACAGAAGTGAAGAATATATCTATTCTGCAAAGTGCCACTCCAGAGCCCGACTTCCATCTTTACAAAGCCTGTCTCAACCTTCCGAATTCACTTCTTTCCTTGTCATTGATATTCCGCGGTTTTGAAGTATACTGGGACAGCGCTCGTTTGACGCAAGAACAGATGGCCATCGTACAGCAGTTAGCTCAAGTTATATCGCAACACCCCAGCCTCCAATCGAAAGGTCTCACATGCGTCATGGCGGGACCAAAACGGAACCAGATGCCTTGCAGGACAACCTTGCTAGAACGACTGTTCTCGCCGTTGTTAGAAAGAGGTGCCCCTGAGGAAATGCGCATGCGAACTGATTCCTGTCTGTGTCGCTCAAACTAGCCGGGGAGAAGCACGTCTCGGAGTACGGGCATGCTGGACGGCCGGATCGATTCGTGTGTTCTCCTAGTGGGAGATGGGCAGCAAGCACCCTGTGGGATCCCTTCCGGTTTTCTGCGCCAGGCATGTCGGAATGCATCGTGTGGGACAGTCAGACCGGGACATCCCACCCTTCCCAATGGTACCGCCTCGCAGATTCGTCCTCCCACCCAAATTTACCATCTTCTTTCGCGTTCTGTCCGACTGAGAAGCAGTGGGCCCTCGCATCGCGCCACGACATAACCGTCTTCCCACTTCCGGTCGAAACTCCCTGGACAAGTCCTACAGAACACCCTCAACCTGTCGGGCGCATCGACCTTCAGCCCCTCCATGGCATGGTCACGAGACTCGTGTGGTCTAGGGACGGCAGCCAGATATTCGTTCAAGATTCCAAAGCGAATTTTCACATCTACGACGCTCTGACATTCACGCACCTCCTCACCCTCTCTCTTCCGCCCATCCACATGCCACCTTTCGACGTGGGTCGGCCTGAGAGCACTTTGGCGCTGTCGGAGGACGAACGATATCTCCTCTCCGACGTCGCGCTGGCCCCAGACCCCCCCTCTTCCGCCACCGTGCGCAGCTCTATTTGCGTCTGGGCACTCGCCACTGCTTCATGCGAACTCCACTTTCTCCGATACTACGACAACGCAGTCCCCACTACAGTAGCTATTGGACTGGTGCATCCATTACCATAGCCTCTCGGCAAGGTGTGGATGCATCCGTCACTCCCGCCGGCCCGGTTGCAATCTACGCCGCTGCCGCTTCCCCAGGCGCGCTCACGCGCCGCCACGGGTGCGACGCTGCCCCGACATGTCTGATCACCGGCGCCTCTGGTGCTCCCACTCGAGCTCACTGTCTCCGACAGTGAGCTCACCTCCCCCTTTGTTTCAGACCGCACTTTTTGTATAGAATTTGCGATTAAAATATATGTGATAGTAAGCTACTATAGTAGGGCTAGCAAGTAGTGCTATAGCCCTGCGACAACGCGGAGGCCGAGGCGGAGGAGGGCGATGTGGAGGGCGACACGTCGAGGAGGGTGACGCGGGTAGACGCGGGCGATGCGCGGGGAAGTGGACGAGGAGGGGGAGGAGGGCGACGCGGGCGGACGCAGGCGACGTGGAGAGCGGTGTGGAGGAGGCGGGGCGGGCAGGTTGCGCGAAGGAGGCGGCAGGCGCGGGCGGAGCAGGGCGGCGTGGGCGAGCTGCGTGGGCGGGCTGCGCAGGGCGAGGAAGAGGAGGGCGACGTCCGGAGGCGGAGGCGCGTGACGAGCGACGCAGGTGGAGGGCAGCGCGCGGGCGGAAGAGGGCAGCGCGCGGGCGGAAGAGGGCAGCGCGCGGGCGGAGGAGGGCTGTGTGGAGGAGGGACGAGGGTGCAGGAGGGCGAGGCAGAGAAGGCAGCGCGGAGGCGGAGGAAGGTGATGCGGAGGAGCGCGGCACAGAGGAGCGCGGTGACGCGGTGATGTGGAGGAGGTGGGTGACACAGGTAGAGGAGCACGGCGCGAAGGAGGCGGCAGGCACGGGTGGAGAAGGGCGAGGAGGAGGAGCGCGGCGTGGGCGAGCTGCGTGGGTGGGCGGCGCAGGGCGAGGAGGAGGAGGAGGAGGGCGACACAGAGGCGGATGGCGCGGGCGGGCGACGCAGGCGGAGGAGAGCGCGCGGAGGAGAGCGGCGTGGAGGAGGACGTCAGGGGGGACGTCTTCGGGCTGTCGTAGGCAGGGGGTATGGACATGGGTGGGCATCGGGAGTGCAGGATGGAGCGGAGGACTCACCAAATCGCTGCGGCCCCCTATTCCAGTCTCCATACTGAGAACGTCCTCATGCGGTGGGTTTGTTGTGAATGCAGTCGGAAAGGTGGGTATAGGGCGGGATCGAGGTCGAGGGAGTTAGGAGGAGAGAAGGTCGGTGTCACCTGGTGACACCGGAGTCCAATAGCAGACAACAGTCGACCGTATGGTCGCTATTGTCTGCCTGGGCAGAGCGGGGAGGAGGAGGAGGAGGAGGAGGAGGAGGAGGAGGAGGAGAGGACGGACGGCGAAGGGGAGGGACGCCGCGTGGCGTGCATTACAGCCACGCGACGATGCGCGCCACGCGTCCTTGCCGCCCACCGAGGCGCGTCTCCACGGGCGCGAATCACGGATCACCGGATGCATCCGCACCCTGCCGAAAGGCTGTCGCAACGGATGCTCCCGGCGATTAGCAGCTGCTCGTCCCCAGGACCTACTCGGGGGTCTACGCGACCGCTCTCCGCCAGCACTCAAGTCCAGAACGCGAAGACCACCCTCCGCACGTCGTCGCAATATGCAGAGACGGCACTCTGCTCACCGCCGCGGTCGGCTTTCCCGACGTGGTTACCACCATCCGACCTGCGGGGCTCCCGGCGGGTAAGCTCCCACCCATCCGCGGCGCGTCCTTCTCCTCCGGCGGGGCGCGCGTGCTGGTCGTTGGCAGTGTGTTTTGCCTCGTCTTAGACACCCTCACCGGCGCGACAATCGCCGGCATCGACAGCGGTCGCTACGACACCCTCTTCAGAGGCGTCCCCGAGAGCGCGGAGCTCTCCGGCGACGGACGGGTGGCGATGATACAGAACGTGCGGTTGCAGCGGTGGATTGCGCTGCCTGAGCCGGAGTGGTGGCTCTGGAAGGTCGAGGACGGGACGCTGCACCAGGTGCTCAGCTGCGAGGACGGACCGGCTGTGTGGGAGTGTGCGCTGTCCCAGGATGGTCGTGTGGCTGGATTCGCGACCGAAAAAGGAGAGGTGTTTTTCCGGAATGTAGGGGACCTCTGTCCGACCCATTTTCTGTGATGTAATAACTTGTGCCAAAGCACTTGGTTCTCGAGCGTTGGGCTCCTCTCGCATGCATCGGATGTGTGCAGCTACGTAGACTACATAACGGGAGAAACGATCAGGGGAAAGCGCCGTGACGTCTTAGTATGGCGCGCAGACGTTCCTTCCCCATCAACAGCCAGTTCATGATGGGGTGCGTCGTCCGTGCCCTCCGCGCGGCAGACTGAAAAGAAGTAGTCGGGCCTTGGCGGTCGAGCGGCACCGACAGCCTCATAACGGCGAGCGATGACGGTGGAAGACACTACGACTCTGGTTGACAAAAGGTGCACCAAACGTGTTCGTTGTTTCCCCTTGATATACCGCAACCCCTGCAAACACGTTGAACATGGACACTGAAACATGGCTGACAGTGGAAGCGCGCTTTGTGTTGAAGGCGTGGAAACAGATGTGATTATTCTAAAATGCGAATGCGCGGTATGCCGTGGAATCGAAGGAAGACGCCTATGTATGCAATATAGGTACAGATGGTACATTTTCCCGAGAACGTCCGAGGGAGGAAAGATAGTGAAGGAGGCGGCGCGACTGAGGTTATCGGCGTGTCCCGCAGGGTTTTCGCGACCCGGACTCCGGCGCGGCGCGCGGAGCGACCGCCTTCGGTTCTCGGAGCATCTGCGACGAGGAACGAAGTCAATTCCCTCTCGGCGTGAAACGCGCGCACGGGGACACGCACCAGCCTGATCGGCGCGGGAGGCCCGTGCCACGCGGGGTTCCCGTCCCCGATGAAGACCTCGCCGACGAGCGTGTAGCCGCACTTCTCGTAGAAGCGGTACGCGTCCGTCGTGACCACGTAAACCGCGCGCCCGAGGGAGTCCGCCTGCGGGCAAGGTCAGCCTCGTGCGCGGGAACGGGACGGGAGACGCGGAACTCACGAGGTCGTTGACGACCTGCACGAGCGCGGTGCCGTACCCGCGCCCCTGCTTCGAGGGCGCGGTCGAGAGCGACTGGATCTCGAGCATCTGGTGCACGCGCGGGCCGAGCGCGGACTCGAGCATTGGGCGGAGCATGTCGAAAAACTCGCGTTTCCGCTGTACGGTCGCGGGTGCCGGTGAGCGCGAGATATTAGGAAACCGACATCGACGGGGGGACGCACCTCCGCGAGCTCGTCCGAGAACGTCATCCTCAGCAGCGGCGAAAACTTGGGGAGGAGCGGTCCCGAGTTGCTCGTCCCGGGAACACCACTGCGATCGCCATTCACGGGTCGGTCAGCCTCGAGTGTACGTGGCCCGGCGTCGCACGCACTAGATGATGACCGCGTCCCCGCGCCCGATGGTAAGCGCCTTCCGCCGGTAGACCGCGTCGGCGAAGTTGAGCGTTAGCCCGGAGATCTCTCGCAGCTCGTATACCAAGGGATCGTCGGCCGCCTGCGTCCACACCGCGCGCGCGTCAGCGTGGCGTGCGCGCAGAGAGCGGGCGGTGCGCACCTTGAAGTAGTGCGACGCGGTGTCGTGGCGGAGGGCGGAGTAGGCGGCTTTCGCTGCGCGTCGTGCGTGGCCTGCGCGCGGGAGATCGGCGACGGTACGAGACAGGCGCGGGCGGTACGTACAGTACTTTAGAGGTTTGATGCGGAACCCGCGTCGGCAGGACCCGGCGGTGGAGGTCGAGGCGGTGGATATCGAGGTCGTCGAGGATGAGGTTGTCGCGTACGATGCACGCCGATCGGGAGCAAGCGGGGTAGTCTCGGACGCGAAAGAGGCGGGACGGATGCCAATCGCCATGTCGGGCGAGTGTCGATGGGATCGAAAGGAGAAGACCGGAGAGCGCGGAAAGGAGAACAGAGAACGGCGGTGGGTCTGGCTCGCGGCGCTATTATACCGACAGGTTGTGGCTGCTACGCAGCACGAGGAACGACGAGTCAAGGCGCAGGAGGGAGGTGGACCGGCAGCGCAGACGCGACGCGGGGGCACGCAGACGACTTTGCACCGCAGTGATAGTGTCCCGCAGCGTTTATACCACCGCTGTCGGGAGACGCTGTCCATGTGCCCCAGTTCCGAGTTCCGTCGACCGCTGGACGTCCGCAGCCAACTGCTGGGCGCGCGACGGGCTCTCGTTTTCGCCAATGGTCCCCGGCCAGATGGAGTCGGCGGCCGTTCCCTGCACGACCGCTCTGCTAAGCATCCGAGGAAGAACGACGGTCCTCCGCGTGCATATCCGACCCGTTTCGAGAAAGGGTGCTGCGCACCACTCGTGGTGAGCGATATCCCGATACCAGCTGCGTGATACGGGCGTCTATTAACTGACGCGCCCGCTGCGGGTTTGAGTGGCCCGGGTCCGCAGCGTCGGCGGGAGCGAGGAGGATGATCCAGCTCTTGATGCTCGCCTGATGGAGACAAAGAGTGCACAGTGCGCAGTGATCATACTCCGAAAAACAGATACATACACACTATATTGAATGAGCGGGCACGAAGTACGATAACAAGTGCCAGCGATCGAGTGATGGAAGTCGGTGGCTGGATGTGTTGGTACCAAGTGCGCAGGATGTAACATCGCGGTTGATGGTCTAGCAATCTTCCATTTCTGAAGGCCGCTCCGTCTTCGCAGTTCCGCTGCGCAAACGGTCTTGCCGCCGGATGAGTCGACATCTCCGCCCGCAATCGATGATAGTCTCACCTCCGGGCGCCGCGCTCATGATTTGCTCTTCTTCTTCGGCGGCGGCGACTCTGGAGCGGCCCCCACCCCCGCCATCGCCGGGACGTCCATCAAATTGAGGTCCAAGCTCTCCGAGTCCGTGTCGCCGCCCCCTCCCTCTGCTGCCGGCGCCGCCACCGCTGCAGCATCGGCCCTCTCCCCACTGCTGTCTACGGCTGCGGTCCGCTCGCGCTCGCGCTTCTTCCCCTTCTTCGGGCTCTGGTTCGGGTAGCTCGCCGGGAGAGTCATGAACGGGTTCTCCTTCATCGGGTGCGTCTCGACCACCACGCCGCTCGGGTGCCGTGCGAGCACGCGGCTGCCGCGTCGTGTGAGCGTGCGGGCCGGCTGACGGGACGGTGAGGGCTGGGGCTCGGCGGGGGGCGTCGCCATCGTGCGGCTGGCCGGGCGCTCGTCGAGGTCGAGGTCAACCTCTATCTCCAAGTTGGTGGAGTGCCGCAGAGATGCCGCCTCTTCGTGTCGGGTGAAATCCTTCAGCACTTGCCGGAACCCGAGCTGGACGAGCCCGAGGAACCTGAGGAACGAAGTGAGCCCTGGGATGAGAGGAGCGCAGGGGAGGACGGACGCACCTCGAATCCCTCGTGTACACCCTGACGAGGACCTCGCCGAACATCAAGGGGAGCGTCACGGAGATGTCGTCCATCTCTGCGTGCATGCCCACTGCGAGAGATGTCAGCGAGCGGCCCGTTAGAACTGCAGCAGTGACTGCTCACCGTTCGGGTTTCGCTTCGAATAGAACTTGATGTAGTCCAACGGGTTCTCATCCTGCATGCCGTGATGCCTTGCCGTGAAGTCGACGATGACGTGGTCTTGCGAGAGCTCAGCAACGTCTTCTGGCCTCACTCCGTCTAATGCTGAGGCGTCGAACGCACGATTCTCGTACAGATCCTTGACACTCTGGACAACCGAGTGGGGTGTGAATGTCGCCTTCAGCTTTTGCTTCTGGTCCCAGCGAAACACTTTGGAATCCGCGGGCCTGTACAAGTCTCGGACACAGATCCGTTGCAGGATGGCTTGTGCCTCGGTAAGCCGCTGGGTAACGAAACGTATCAGAAAGTTGTCGAGGGGCGCGAACAAAGGGACTCCACTAACAGGGTCGTCCGAGCTCTCAATAGTGCCCATGATCTCGTCGGTAAGATGCAAATACTTCTTGGGGTCCTCGAGGCGACGCGCGATGTTCATGACGGGCTCGGCGAGCTTTAGAGCATCGACTATCATGAACTCGATGGCTTTGGCTAGGGATTTCAGAACGTGAGTGTCGCGTTCTTTATCAGCGAAGTCCCACTTACCCGTCTTGTGTGTGTAGATGCGCTTGTGAAGGGACATCCGGGTGTGGCAGAGCTCGAAGATCTGATGCGCGTCCTTGATATCGTAACACAGCTCGTTGTCAATAACGCGCGCGGAGTACATAAGTCTGAGGCCCGTCGAGATTTAGATTCTGCCGCCCTGAGAACTATCGCACGCACCTTTTCAGAGCCAGGTTACTCGTTTGGTCAATGGCATGAGAGTCGCGACCGATATAGTCGAATCTGCAGCCCATCAGCGCGAGTCAAGGACACAGCGGGAGCATCTCTCACTTGTCCACATCAATCCCATTCGTCTTGTTCGCGACGATCTGGAAGATGAACGGCTTTTCGTTCTCGCTAAGTCACAACGGTGCGCATCAGCGGAGTACACCGGCGCCTCGAATTTCGGAAACATACCTGCACAAGCTCCTGTCACCCATGATGAGCGCTTTGACGAACCGCGCATCGTCGGGGTCGAAGTCAAGCCCCTTTTCCGCGAGGAATTTGATGAGGTCGTCAAACATCATGTTCGACGCATCTTCGTGGCACCACTTCTTGTCCGGACTTCAGCGAAGAGGTACCCGTCAGCAATTGGAGAGGAGAAACCTGAGGGCGGCTCACAGGATAGCTGGGATGAACATGCTGTCCCACACATGGCTCCACGGTCCATGTCCGAGGTCATGACACAGCCCCGCAATCGTCACGCACTGCACGTCGCGGGTGGTGATACCAAGGGACGGTTGTCGCGCCTTGAGGTGCTCGGCGAAGATCTGGGACAGATATGCGACGCCTGCGGATGCGGGTCAGCATAACGCTAAGTACCGGGGCACGTGGGCTCAGCAATCGTCATCCGCACGCGTCCGTCGAGTGTCGACGGTCGCACACGCCCACGACGCGTCCGCACGGCAATCTCACCGCGCCCTCCCCTCCCGAATGCCTTCCGCGTGAAAAGAGGAGGGAGGCTCACCAAGACAGTGTTCGAATCGGTTGTGCGACGCGCCCGGCCAGACGTAGTACGAAGTCCCCAGCTGCTTGATGTGCCTCAGCCTCTGGAATTGCGGGCTACGCGCCCCGACGCGTCAACCGGGTCCCTTCCGTCCCGCACGCAAGAAAAGAAACGAATGGACGCGACGTACGTGTCGATGACCGCGCATACAGCCGGCCCAAAGGGCACTGCATGCAGATGCACCAGGTCAGACGCGCGAACGGGAACGGAAACGCGGGCGGGAAGGAGAGACGCACTGAGGTCGTGGATCGAGTCCTTGAACCGCCGCAGGGTCGTGAGGCCGTCGACCTCGGCGTCGGCGAGCGCCGCGTCCTCGTCGAGCGAGAGTAGGTTCCGGCGCGGGGGCGCCTCCGGGGTCGTCGCGGGCGGAGAGAGTGCCATTGTGGGTGTTCTGTGAGTGTGTGCGCGTGGAAGGCGCGTCGAGGAGCTTCTCCTGTGGGCGTCGACAGGGTTCCCGGTGGCGTTGGGGTCCTTCTCGAGCGAGGGGATTTTCAGGGGGTCTGGGGCCTGGGGGATCTGAGGTAAAGGCGAGGCAAGGGTGGGCGATGGACACGGGCAAGCCGCGAGGCAAGTAGCCAGGGGGGTAGAGGAGTCTTATACGGATGTCGTGGAAAGAGAAGGAGGGTCACAGTGTGCGTACGTCGAAGCGGGTGGCAGGAGGTGGCAGGGCGGGTCGCCGGGCCGTGTACCGGGACTGCCTCCACGGGCGGATTGCATACTTGGTGGCAGACGTGCGAGGCGACGGGGCGAGTCCGGCCATCGTCCGGGCTGCATGGGTGGTGGTGCGTGCACAACGAATGCAAGATGCACAACACGCGCCCTCGGCGGCGGAAGCGAGAGGCGTCTGCACGACACATGGCCGCCGCGGAGTACGAAGCGGTCCTGGCTGTGTACCATAATTGAAGTCGCGCAAGTCTAGAAGGAAGATGTGTGCAAAGTGCCACTCCGACGCCTGCGCGCGGGTGGAGAATTACGGTCGTGGGTGTCGTGTACGCTACATGGTATAGAACGATACAAACCGAGCGCGTCCGGTCGGTGGCGGATTACATGCCGAGTAGAGTGTCCGTGGGCTAGCTATGTGCGTATGGGCGAGCGCAGTTGGGTGTGCATGTGGGCATGATGGGTAATGTAGTGCGAGTGAATAAGTCCGTGGACGGCAGAAAGTGAATGCAGGCGTGGACCAGCGCGCTTCCGAAACATAACAGGGGTATGTCCCCCCTCGGTCCCCTCCTCAGATAAGCTGCTGGTCGATATAGTACTGTCTCGCCGCGCCCAGCAAGCTCTGCTCGACTGCCTGCCAGCGCGCCTTGACCTCCACCTTGACCCGCTCGCGCGAGTCCCGGTGGATGCTCTTCACGCTGATCCGGAAGCCCGCCGAGATCGGGCGGTGGTCGCTCACGTTCGCCTCCCAGCGACGGTAGTGCACCTGTTCGACCCGCGCGGGCACCTGCGACCGCCAGAGCACGCGGTCGCACCACGCCGGCGCGCGCGCCTTCTCCGAGCTGTCGAATTCGTCCGAGCGCCGGTCGTACTTGTATGTCGGGATGAAGTCGAGCGGACCCTCGAGGAACTCGCGGAGCCTGAAGCTTCGGTTGAACTTCATCTCTTTCCGAAGCTGGTCGTGCACCACGAGCGAGGGGAGCTCTCCGGCCCTGATCGAGGCGATGACGGCTTCGCGTCGTTGATCGATGCGGTAGTTCATGTCCCCTTGCAACTAAAGTTGACAACGTCAGATCGAGGCCTTCGGGGTGACAGCCTGAATGCGTCTACTCACGAAAACAATCTCGTGGTCAAGGACCATGGAGCCGTCGCCTCCGTTGATGTACCCAGCAGCGCCCTCACCCACCCCCTCGGCCGGGAGCGAGTCATCCTCCACGATCGCCGCCGCATCAGCGTTCCGCTGACGGACATGCCGTTGACCCGCGGCAAGATGGCAGTTGATGAAGCAAGCTGAGGTGTCGTCGATGACGAACCGCGAGATGATCGCACCCTACTGAACACATTAGAGTCAACCTCGGTGACAAACTCAGCGACGCACCTTGTTCCCGTATCGCCCGCCCATACCACGCTTGACGGTGGTGAGCGAGGCGTGGTCAAGTTTGATCCGCTCCGTGTTCTTCACGAACACGCACGAGAACAGGCCGACGAGACTCTCGGTGTGGATGACCGTGTACGGCTCGTCCACGGGCATCGCGAGCCGGACTGTATGGGTCAAGCGATCGTACCACTTCTTGTATGCCGTCGTCACCTTCTGGCTAAGCGACCCGTCTGAGCTCTTGTTCTTGCCCCCGAGCAGCACCGTCTTTGCAGCCATCTTGCGCGACTCGAGGTCGATCATCTCCTGGAAGCCGAACACGATTATATCCGGACGGTCCATCGAGCGAAGCACGTCCTGGAGGAAGTTGATGTTCTCCGCGGCGCCGTTGAGTGCGTCAGGCTTGGCCGAGTCGAGGTTCCACGAAACGATAAGCGCCGTCACGTTACGGTATGTGCAGAACTCGGTTTCGCGCTTGAGTAGCTCTTGCTCTATGATCGTCGCCAATGGTCAGCTCGGCTGCAAAGGAGAGAGCGAGTGACAACGCCTACCGATCCAGTCGATGCCTAGCAATCCGTCCCAGAACCGCAACCGCTCGTCCCGGCCGACGCTGTAGACGACAAGTCGATCAAGCTTCTCCATGCTCCAAGTGTCCACCATGAGTCTAAGCACAGGAAGGTTTTGGTGTGCCATCCAGCAGTTCGTGACGGTCCACGGCTTTGACGTGATGTCGTACGCTGAGATCGTGCCCTTCCGCGTTCCCGCCCAGAGCCGGTCGTTGACGCCCTCGAGGCTGAGGACATCCGACGACGAGATCTTGACGACCTCGACGCACTGGGGCGGTGTGTCCCCGTCGCCGGTCTCCCACACGGAGATGTGCCCACCTTCGTGGCCGAGGTAGACGCGCCCCAGGTCCGACGCGAGCATCGTCCCCGCCGAGACCGCGCCGAGGTGCTGTGTTGGCAGCAGCGAGCGTCCGACGCTGCCCGGCGTGAACACGTCGTACACGCGGATGTACGGCCCGCGCGAGCCCGCCGAGAGGTCCTTCGATGAGTCGCGTGAGGACGTCCACAGCCGCCCGCCGAGCATGCGCGCAAAGTCTTGCTTTTCTGAGACGCGGGTGACACGGGGCACTTGCGTTGCAAGGTCCAGGTCGGCGCCCGGAGGAGCGGTGAACACCAGCGTCTTGCCCGTGTCGTCCATAGAGATCATCGACTGGCCGTAACGGAACATGTGGACGACCGAGTGCGCGTGGATGACAGGCCGGATCGCCGTCACAGTGCCCGGGCGGAGGTTGACCTCGAGCAGGTGTCCCTCCTTGGTGCCAACCCAGAGAAGCGCGCCGTGATCGGCATCGTCCACAGTGGGCCGGAACTCGACACAGGTGAGCTTGAGGTCCTTGAACTTCGGGCCGAAATCACCTCGTTTAGAGTCCAGGTTCATCACGGGCGATTCGGACAACGACAGGTCGTACACGCGGAGCTGGTGACCAGTGACGACTGCCACCATATGCGCAGAGACCGCACATGCAGCCGAGTACGCTGGAACGTGGATGTTGAACTCCGAGTAGTTGTGGCAGTCGATGAGCGGCAACCTCCGGGAAGCTCTGCTGGCGTCTGGTAAAAGGTCGATCTTCAGCTTCAAATCTTCCTCTTCGTCTGATTCGTCTGACGAATCGGACCCAGAAGAGACGCGACGTGGAGGTGGGAGCTTGTCCCCGGGAGCGATGGTGCGAGTAGGCGGAGGCAGGTGGTTTCCGAATTGCTTGCGCTCAAGAAGCGCCGGGCTCTGCGGTTCAGTTTCCATTTCGGAGATGCTCTGGTGGCGTTGCGGCAGCGGTGGAGCTATCGGGCATTCGTCCGTTGGCGAGCTGCCTCCTTTACGCGCGGGCAGGGGAGGGGGAGCCAGCACAGCTCCATTGGAGACGATTGGCGAAGCAAGATGGGTGGTATGCACAGTGGTTCGACGAGGAGGTGGCCGGGGAGGAGGAGGAACCAGACCTGGGCGAGGGGATGGAGGAGGAGGCTGCACTGATGTCAGAGCGGACTTGCCCCCGACCTCTTGTTCGCTAGAGGTACGACTAGAGCTGGAGCCACGCGAAGATGAAGCGCTTTCCGAAGACGAATCTGGCGTGTGGAGGACCGAGCCCGTGCGACGAGGGAGCGGGGGAGGAACTGTGGAGTGCGACGTCTCGGTGTCCGAATGTGCCTCGTCGAAAGGGTCATAGCTGGATGGCGCGCTTTCCGGCGGGAAAGACTGGCGTGGTCGACGGGCGTACGGAGGTTCAGGGGGCTGGAGGGTTGAATGGACGCCATGGGACGGGGGTCTGGGGGATGGCGGGGGTGGGGGATGCTTGGGAGAAGAAACCACAGGAAGAGTTTGAGCGTTCCTGGAAAATCACGTTCTATTAACAATCGCTCAAGCCGTGGAACAGAGAAGCAGGTGCGTGGGCAGTGGCGGAGCGTAAGCACGCGCGACAGGAAAAGGCCGACCATCGCACTCTGAAGTGAACTTGTCTCAAGACAGGTCTCGCGCCGGCCCGGCCTATCCGCCCCCAAACCGTGCCATTCACGCCACGGGATAGGCAAGCTTTCCTATCGCCCATCTCCCACCCGTCTCTGGAGGAAAAAGCGAAGGGCATAAACCTGGCACTTTGCCTTTTACTGGGTGAAAGTACCCCATGCCAGTTGTAACAGTCAGGAACAGATGAGCGCAGCACAGGCCTGAGCTCATAATTGTCCAAGAGCGCATGCCTGACACCATCGTGCACCAATATTCCATCTGGCCTAGATATATGCGTGTCTCCTCGTCTCCTCTCGAGACGTGCACAGGAAAAGAAGCCAGAAGACGAGCGCCTATGCGCGTACCTTCCACCCCGCCAAGACACGATATAAATAGCCCACACAATCCTCCGTTACGCAGGAGCCAACAAAGTGTGCAGGCGTAGAGCACCAGCGGCGAGAGAGCACTCCGCGCGCATCGTGGCGAGACACCGAGAATGCAGAAGACGAAGGACAGGTCGCACTCACCCGAACTGCTTGATCAGGCCGGACACACCGCCGGACGCGCGCGGGGTCGGGGGCTCCAGTCCCAATCCGCCAGCAGGGGGAGGTGGCGGAGGTCTTCTTGTCGCGAGGACCTTGGGAGGGACGAGGGTTGGTTCTGCCAGAAGCTCGTGGTCGCTCTCAGCCGGGGACGGATCGGGGACGGGGCGGAGAGCTGGACTCCTCCGGACATTCGCAGGGGAAGGTGAGCGGAAGGGCGGGGGTGGGGGTGGACGTTTCGCAGCGGCTCGGAGGTCCGATGCGGATGAAGAGGAGTGGAGGGAGAACTGGGACGAGTCGGAGGCGAGACGGGAGTGTTCTGGTGCGGGGGAGGGTGAGAGGCGGGGGCTGGGCGGGATGGGACTGGCGGCGCGATGTGGTCCGCCCGGGGAGGGTTTGAGAGTGGAGGAAGAGGGTGAGGACGAGTCCGCGGCGAGCCTTTCGAACCGGGAACGAAGGCTGCTTACGGCTGGAGGCGCGGCGGTCTCGATTCCATCCACGGGGTCTCCGGAAGACATGGCGAAGAACCGAGAAAGGCTGGGTGGGTGGCCTTCAGATTCTGATGCACCAGATCAACCCTGAAGAAGTGAGTGGGAGCGCAGAGGTGGGCGAGAGAAGAAGGGAGGGGAGAGAGAGGGGACGAGCGTCGAGCGTAGATGAGCGTTGTGCAACCCCAGCGGCCCAGTCCAGCCGCTGCGTCACTGTCACTTTGCTCGTCACTCTGTGACTCTATGGCAAACCGTACAATTTCCACTAGTTGTTTCGGCCGCGGGCGTCACCTGGCACCCTCCGCACTCGCACTACTTGGAAGTTGGGGCCACTTCCACTTTAGTCAAATTGTCTGGGACATACTAGACATGATACCTGCAGAGCACGAACAATACAAGACCAAAACGCGACCGTTGAAGAGGACCCAAGCCTGAAGACTTGAGCGCTTGAGCGTTCAGAAGCTGGAAATATGCGGACGAACCGGCGGCATGTCAACTCAAGCATCATCGAGTACCGTCAATCATGCACATGGTGTGAATGGTCTTGATTGCATGAGAGGCCTTGTACAAGTACTCTAGAGGACGTCACACCATGCCTAATCACAGTGCGCGGGATCCCATCAGACGCTGTGACTGCCACGCTGGGCGAAATGACCTTGATTAACGGGAACCAACTTCAAGGGGACCACGGTTTGAACCCATGCGAGAGGCTCAGGCTGGAATGGTATTTAAGGGTAGGTGGTTTGACGAATCCAATGAAGAAGGGTAAATACGTGCGTGCGAACTTGGTGCATATGATGGAAGCACAGCAGTATATATACATACTTACAAGACCGACATCAGATGGATTTACGGTCTCACCACCCCAGTGGCCGGGCTCGATCAACGTCTCCCTCCTTGCTCTTTGACTTTCTCCATCTTTGCAGCACCATGGCTCTGGACGAGAAGTGGCCCCTGCTCGACAAGCTCGAGAAACAAGCCGTGGTCGAGGTGAAGCTGTTGCGCTCTTGTGAGTTTTCCCTAAGTTCTGCTTCCCTTCATGCTAAGTCCAAACTGTGTGGCTAAAGCGGAGGCTTGGGGTACCGCAAAGGACGCTTGGAACGCGATCAAGACCAACCCCGAAGGGAAGTACTTCCAGATGAGTGCTCCGGCGAAGTTGCCCACTCCATCTCACATGAACCCTTCTTGCTCCAGGCAGTCGACTACAAATGGCTTGGGCCGGCACGAGAGAGGGCCGTTCTCGCCTACACGTTCTACCAATGCGCCCAAGCCGAGCGGTGCTTGACGGTTGACCACGGAGCGTCGGCCTTGCAGTAGTGAGCAACAGAATGCCCATCACTATGATACCAACGCTGATCAGTCCACTTGCGACAGCACTCTCCCCGGCGAAAGCCAGCCAGGGGATGGCGGTCCCCCCAAGTCTCGATGTTGTGTCGGTATGCGCAGCCGAAGAAGCGACTGGAGGTGTGGCTTCGCGGGCATCGGTGGATGCACACCGTGCTCTGACGCGCGAAAATTCTTGCAGAGGGTACGGGATTTCGGCGGCATGGTCGTGAAGCTGCGCCAAGAGGCTGTCGGGGAGCGTGCGGAAGAGATGATCGAGCTGACAGGGCTGGCCACCGCCCCGGAGAAGCAAGGGAGGGGATATGCCAGTGCGCTCATGCATGCTCTGCACGAGATTGTGAGGCGAGAGCATATTCCGGCGATCGACGTACTGACGAGAATCCAGGCCGATGAGAACGGCCTGGCGATCTGGCTGGCGACGACGGACGCAATGGGGTTCTATGCTCTGTTTGGCTACAAACTCGCCGCGGAGGGCTGGATCGGGCAGGAAAACCCGGAATGGGACGGAGGCCCGATTCCCGTGCGGATCGTGAGTGGTCTTTGTTTGGCGATTCGCGAATGTCGTCCCACATCATGATACTCACCGATGGAGGCAGATGATCCGCGAGCCGCCCAAGGCATAACCGAGAGGGGGCGATCAACGAGCGAGGGTGGTTAGTACTTGGTGCTGGTAACAGCAATGACACAGCCTTTGAGAGTGGAGTGAGTCGCTGTCGGACAAGGACGGGTGTATCGAGTCCGATGGGCCGATCCGAACTTAGGAGCTGAAGGATGAGTCAGTTGGCAGCTGGAATGTTGGAAATGTCTAGCACCGAAGTGAAAGAATGCCTGCTGCAGCTGTGTGTAGCTATACAAGCGGTGGGCGCAATACTGGGAGCACGAGAAAGGCTGGGAGTGGCACCAACGCGGGGCCGAGACAAAGCTCAGATCGTGGGGGCGGGGGCGGGGTCGGAAGGGATCGGAAGCGGGACGGGACGCAGCCGAGGGGACGCGCAGGCAGGCGATCGAGCCGTAAATCTGCCCCGCACGCGCCAACCGTCGCCTGCGCAACTCTCCTCCGCCCACCCCAACCCCCATCCTCGTCTCCGGTTCCAAGGAGACTTCTTCGAGTGTAGTAGGCAGCAGCTGGCTTGCATGCCCCCTCGCCTGCCATGCTCCCCAAGGTCGCCAACTCGCTCTTCCACCACACCCACAGGGCCGTCCTCGCCGTCCAGAACCAGACTGGCCACGCCCTCCGCAATGCGCTCCAGGTTCAGTCCACCGGCCCTTCTTCCGCCGTGACTGGCTGGGGCTCTTCTGTCTCCAGCGGTTCTGGTCAGCACGGCCCAGGTCCTTCCAAGTTCCATGCTGGGCCGCGTCTTCCTTCCACCCAGTCCGTAAGTCCTATCATCCATATCGTCTACATGCTCCCATCCTCCTCATGTAACGGCCGTTTCGCTCGCATTGCTGCTCATTCCACCGTCTAAACGCGACCCTGTCTGACACCTCTCCTAGGCGTCCCCCGTTTCCTCCACACAGGTCCGGGAACGCGTCGACAAACTCTCCGCCTTCCGCGTCCCTTCCTCCCAGCAGCGTTCTGTTGCCTTTTCCTCCGATTCTTCCGACGCTGCCCAGCTCGCCGCGAACGGCTTCGGCACATACGCGACCCTCATCAACACCCTCACCGACCGCGACTTCGAGAACTACGAGGCCGTTCGTCGCGCAGAGGCCCGTCTTCGTCGCCGTCGTCGCGCCGCTCTCGCTGACAACGCAGAAGACGAGGAACTCCGTATTGCCGGTCTCCGCGGCGACTCAAATTTCCAATCCGCCCTTGCCCTCTTCAACTCAGTTGCCGTAAACCCCAGCGCCAAGTTCCCCCTCGTGGTCTACAACAAGCTTCTTCGCTCGTGCGCCATCCACGCCAATGTCGAGGCCGCCAATACTGTATTCTCCCACCTCGAGAACTGCCCTGACATCCTCCCGAATGCCCAAACGTACGTTTCGCTCATCGAGACCTACGCTGCCGGCAAGGACCTTCGCGGTGCGGAGAAGACGTTCAAGGCCACAACCAAGACCGACGCTCTCCTCTGGTCTTTGGATGCCGCGGAGTCCGACGCGGAACTGAGCGATGCTGCTCAGCGCGCGTCCCAAACAGCAATCTGGAATGAGATGCTGGCTGCGTACATCCGGTGTGGACAGCCGTCCGAGGCCCTTGGTCTCATGGAGCAGATGATGGACTCGTTGGCGGGAGATGTATTTGGTGCCTCTGAGGTGCCTCTTCCCTCAGCCTCCACCTTTGCGCGTACCGTCAGCGGCTTCTGCCAGGCCGGCGACGTGAACACAGCCCTCTCCTGGTTCGAGCGCATGATCCAGCAGGAGATGCCCTCGGGTGATCTCCACGAGACGACTCGCGTACCCCACCGGCCGGACTCGAAGACATGGACAACAATGTTCGACGCCCTCGCTGATGAAGGTATGGTCGCCGAGGCGAATCGCATCTTCGTCCGCTGGCTCGACCTTGCCGCCCAGGACAATGTCCCGATCTGGAGTGACCATCGCGACTCGGTCCTCGCCGCGAACCTCAAGTTCATGGACATCCGCGGAGACCTCGAGCAGGCGAAGGCGCATGAGCTTCTCGACTTCCTCACCGAGCACGTGCTTCCATGGGAGACCGAAACCGGCCACTTCACCTTCTACCGGGACACCTCTCGCGCGCTCTGCCAGAGGCTCGTCATGCAGTACTGGACCCGCGGGCATCGCGACGAGGCGCTTGCGCTTGCATCCCGCATCATCGCGCGCCAGCAGGAGACCATCCACAACGGCCAAACGAAGCGCATCTTCGATTCGACACAGTCCCAACGTCGTGTCGAGGGCACTCGTCGTTTCGCGAACGACCTCACTACGGAGATCCTGGAGCGCTCAGGAGCAAGCATCCCGCTTTCGCACCTCCTTCAGCTCTCTGCCGTCCTTACCGACGCCGGCTCTCTCGTTCCCCAGTCGCTTTCGGAATCTTGCCTGAACGCCTATGCGCTCCAGCGTGCAAGCCCCGACCTTGCGCTCTCCGCGAAGGACTGGGAGGCGCTCTTGGACATCGTGATTGCGAGCGAGGCGGATCCGGCCGCGAGTGTTAACACTCTGGTGGACGACCTCCTGCAGCATTCTGTGGACATCACCGCTTTCTCCGACCACGCGCAGAACCTCCTTGCCCGTACGCTGTCCTCCGACGACCTCAACTCGGCACAGCTCCTCGCGCAGCTTGGTGAGCCATATGCGACGCGCTTCGCTGAGCTCCAGAACGCCCGGTCCGCCTCCCCGTCCATCTCATCCGGCTCCTTCGAGGTGCAGACTCCCGACGACGTTACCCCGCTCCTCCAGTCCACGTTTACTCCCGGCCGTATCGACGCAAAGCAGACCGAGGCTGTTGGCGAGTTCTTCCCCACGGCAAACAAAGGATTGGTTCTCAAGGCATGCGACCGTCTCCGCTCCGGCGCGCAGAAAGGCATCTACCCCCGTCCCATCGTCCTGGCTCGCCTTATCAGTGCCCTGGGTCGTCTCGGCGAGCTCGACCGCATGGCTGAGGTGTACGACGTCTCGCAGGCCGTGCTTGCCTCGATGGAGTCGCAGAAGTCGTGGCAGACGACCGGCTGGTTCCTCCTCGAGGACCACATGGTCGTTGGCCTCGCACACGCGGGCGACATCGACGGCGCGCACGTGCACCGCACTCGCATCCTCCAGCAGGGCGGTGTTCCCTCCGCAGACGCTTATGGCGCGTTGATCCTGAACGTGAAGGACACTACGGACGACACCTCGAACGCTATGGCCCTCTTCCAGGAGTCACAAGCCCTCAGTGTTACGCCCAACATCTTCATGTACAACACGGTCATCTCGAAGCTCGCAAAGGCGCGCAAGGCCGACGCCGCGATCCAACTGTTCCAGGAGATGCGCGCGCGCGGTATTCAACCGTCGTCGGTCACTTACGGTGCCGTCATCGCGGCGTGCTGCCGTGTCGGCGACGCTGCGTCTGCGGAGCTTCTCTTCCAGGAGATGGTCGCCGAACCCTCGTTTAAGCCTCGCGTGCCGCCGTACAACACCATGATGCAGCTCTACACGCACACCAAGCCGGACCGTGCGCGGGTTCTTGACTACCACAACCAGATGCTTTCGGTCGGCGTCCAGCCCACTGCGCACACCTACAAGGTATGGTTCTCCGTAAAATGGGTGCCTAGCATTCTCTAACGTCCCTACAGCTTCTCATGGACGCCTACGGCTGCATCGAGCCCATCGACCTCCCCGCCATGGAGAAGGTGTTCGCCGACCTCACGGCCGACCCCGCCGTCGCCGTACAGGGCACCCACTGGGCCGCGCTCATCAACGCGTACGGCTGCGTGCAGAAGGACCTCGACAAGGCGCTCGCCACCTTTGAGGCCATCGCTGCCCACCCGTCCACGGCCGCGTCCAGGACCGCGCTCCCCGATGCCGTTGTGTACGAGTCGCTGATCAACGCGCTCGTCACTCTCCGCCAGATGGACCTCGCGCCCAAGTACCTCGAGCGCCTCCGCGACTCTGGTGTGCACATGACGGCGTACATCGCGAACCTGCTCATCAAGGGCTACGCCGCTACGGGCGACATCGAGCAGTCCCGCGCCGTCTTCGAGAGCCTCCAGGACCCGCAGGAGGGTGTCGCCGCGCCGCACAACCACGTCCCGCACCAGAACAAGCAGCCATCTGCCACCGCCGTCCCCGCCAACGCGCCCGTGTACCGTGAGGTACGTGCTATCGTTCAGTGGCTCATTTCTTGTTACAAATCGCTCACTCTTTCAACAGCCTTCGACATGGGAAGCGATCGTCCGCGCCGAGCTCGGCAACGGCGAACGCGACCGCGCCGTCGCGCTCCTCCAGCGCCTCCAGGCGCGCATGTTCCCGCCCGCGGTCTACCAACGCATCAGCGGGATCATGCTCGACGACCTGGTCGCGCCTTGGGGTGCGTCCGCCGAGGGGTCGATGGCTTGATCGCTCGGTATCTTGGTTTTAGGACGTGCCGGCCGGCCCCCGCACCCGCTCTTGCTTGCTTTGATGACGGACCCTGCACGCTCTGCTCGCTCGCACCTTACCCCGCACTGTATTATAGCGCACTGAGGATCCACGCTCCAACTGACCCACCGCCCGCCCGTGCTCCTCACCGGCATACTGTATCCATCCCCGTTTTGCATACCTAATCCCCCTCACACGATAGACATAGAGTATTCCCGCCGTCCCGATGCTTACGACCTGCCCACGAACGCCTGCAACGCATGCATCTGACGTTCCCGTAACTAAAATGTACGTACTGCTACCCCCCGCGGCCGTCCTAGTCGAGGCGGTCGCCCTTGCGATAGTATCCCCCCTCCCTCGCATCATCGTCTGCCAGAAGCCGACGGACCCCGAGACCGAGCGCGACGAGGACGGCGACGGCAAAGAAGGCGGTGTGCCATGGGTTGGTGCTCACGTAGGTCTCGAGGCTGATGAGCTTGCCGTTGAGGAACTGCGGCGGAAGTCAGACCCAGGTCGCTGTGTGGCGAGGAGACGGAGAGCGGACTCACCCTCGCGAGGCGCTCGACGACGTTCTCGGAGTGCTTGTAGGCGAGCGTGCCGTGCGCGGCGCTGTTGATCGTCGGGAAGAGGCTCGACTGCGAGAGCTGCAGCTTCTCGCCGAAGGGGTCCGTGTCCCAGTAGACGAGGCGCTGCCGTCGCGCGCGTTCAGCAACTCTCCCTCGCCGCACTGCGCCGTGAAGTGGGCAAGCGGGCACTCACCGCGTGGTTCGCGACGACGACGGCGGGCGCGCCGGCGCCGGCGCCGGCGCGGAGGCCGTACATGCTCTTGAGCCACGCGCCCCAGCGGTCGGCGTCCATCCAGGCGAAGACGACGGGGGCGGTCTCCTTCGCGTCGCGCCACTGGCGGGCGAGGTCGGTGACGGCTTTCGCCGTCGCGGCCTTGGAGTCCTTGGCGGCGGGGGCGATGACGACGAGCGGCTTGTGCTGGGCGTTCATGATGTCCTGGAAGTTGTCCTGCTCGAGCTCGAGCGCGGTCGGGAGGCGGTTGCGGACGAGCTGCGGGCGCGGACGCTGGTCAGATGGGGGTGCGATGACGAGGGCAGGAACGGGAGCGGGGAAGGGAACGGACCCAGTCGACGAGCTCTTGGCGCTCGGATGTGGTGGTGATGAGGGCTGGGATGGTGTGGACCGCGGCGGGGACGGCGGAGTCGTGGTCCTTGAGCGCGAGGATGGCGGCGGTGCCCTTGGGGATGTTGAAGTGGTCGTAGAAGGCGCTCGAGGTAGAGGTGTAGAACGCGGGGGAGCCGAAGAGGACGTTGGAGGCGTCCATGACTTGCGACTGCAAGAAGGGTGAGCACGTAGCCGGGAGGAGGCGAAGGAGACGCGCACGAAGATGGTTTTCTGCGCCGAGGTGTGGAGGAAAAGGTAGAACACAGGGCTGTCCGCAACGGTCTTCTCCAGATCTGCGAACTTGAGTTCTTGTGCACCACTGCGGCGACAGTGAGGAATCGGCATCCGTGGTGGAGCGAGGGACGACTTACGGGCCAGAAACCTTGTCTGAGAATGCCTTCAGCTGGTCGAACTTGCGGCCACCAGTGTATTCAGTGTTTCCAGAGCCCTTGCCGCCAAAGTAGATGAGCATGGGGTAGCCGGTGACGCTCGCCTTCTTGCAAATCGCGCTATGCGCTTCGCAGTTGACCTCAGCGATGGTGAGTCTGTGCTGCATCGCGGCACCGAGCTGGTTCCAGATGGGGGCAAGCTTCTTACAGTGGCCGCACCTGCATTCAGCGTCTTCAGACCCAGTACCACAAGCGGGGCGTATGCGTATGGACGTACCAAGGGGCGAAGAACTTGACAAAGACGTGGCCCTCGTCGATCGTGTTCTGGTAGTTGCTCTCGTCCAGCGAGAGTACGATGCCCCCCGGGTTCGCGTCCTTGTGCGAGGCGAACTCCTGGACCAGCTCGTCGTTCTCGGGCTCCGCCGCCTCCACAGTGGTGCTGCTCGGCTGAGCAGTCTCGGCGGCGTGTGGGTTGCGGGGCTCGGCATGGGAGGTGAGGTAGTTGGTAAGGATGTCGTGGTTGCGGGACTTGCGGAAGGTCTCGACGAACTCGCCGTTGCGGTAGAGGTTCATCTGAGGGTAGCCGTCCACCTTGTGTTGTGCGCAGAGGTCTGCAGGGCAGTCCGGTCAGCGTGATGAGCGGCAGGGGAGGGAGTGGGGATAGAGACGCACCGCCGTTTACGGCGCAGTTGACCTGGGCGAGGCGGATGCCGGGGTCGGGCTTGGCTTCAAACTCCCGGGCTATCTGCGTCCATAGAGGCATGAAGTCGCGGCAATGGTGGCAGTAGGGGGAGAAGTGCTCGATGAACCTGAAGGATCGTGAGGGGTTTGCGTCGGTGCTACAACGAGAGAGAAGCGGACGTACCAGACACCCTCGGCTACGGTGGACTCGAAGTTTTCGGGAGTGAGCACGAGGAGGTCATGCTCGGAAGACTGGACGGGAAGCGCGGTGCAGGCGAGGACGAGAGAGGAGACGAGGAAAGAGAAGGGGAGCCTGGCGAAGGCGAGCATGGTGGGAGACGAGGCGGACGTGCAACCAATATTAAATAGGCTGCGAGAGCCAGAGAGAGAAATCCAAATGAACGCAGAAAGAAGAGAAAGCGGAGGGCGGGTGGTGGTGGTCGGGCTGATGAAGCTGAAGCCTTGCTGAGGCGGTGGCGGTCAGAGATGTCCGCGGCGGCCCGCCCAGCAACGCCTCGGCCGCCAAGCTCCTTCGACGCCAGGTCTGCTCGCACTCTCCAACGATGCAATCCTTCATCTCTCCCCACTTTCCGACACACTGCGCCGCGGCCCACGTCGCGCTCTTTACCAATGTTCGGAATTCGGCCGCGCTGCGCTCACGCATCGTCCGCGCCAGCCAGATGGATGGCCCCGAAGGCGACGCCGAGCGCGAGGCTGTCAGTTTCGCATTCGTAGATCCTCGTCTCGTCAGTGCGAATAACACACTCCCGTCCTGCGTCTCTGACAAAAAACCTGTCATTCGCAGATCTGCAGTCTATTGCACCTCCAGACGGCGATCTACCAGGCAGTCCTTGCCCACACCCAAGGATCACTGCGAACCAAGACTGTGCACTCGGAGATCTATAAAGAAGGGAGCGGTGGTGTTAGTAAGCCGCGTACGTCGCTTGCAGCGATACGCGAATTTAGCGAAGTTGCCGAAATAAGCGACTCTAACCGAGGTTTTGCCATGTGGCTTCCACGTGCGCCGGCCGGCCGAGCCTGCGAGGCTGGCGCCTTTGTGTGGCCGAGCTTGCGAGGCCGCCCCAGGTCGGGACTGTCTTTCGGCCGAGTTTACGAGGTCGATGCGCGAGGCGATGATACCATTTTTTTTTTACAGCTGGCTCGATTTTCGTGCACGAGCGCAAGTGGGGCCGTGTTCAATTTCGGAGTGGGCCACAGTGCGTAGCGCCCTCGCGCATCACCGTGCAAAGTACAGTGTGAGTCCGAGCGCACCGCCACGAGCACCGCGCGCGCGTGACGATATCTCTGCGTGCACTGCAGACTCCCCGCGCGCGAGCCTCGCGAGGTACGGCAATAGCACGGCATCGTATCGTGGAATGGCCACTGCACCCGGTGCAAGGTCCTGTTTGGACATGAGTCCTCGCGCGCACGCAAAATGCACACGGGTGTTCTGCGGTGCATACAGAGATGTCACCACACGCGTGCGGTGCTCGCGGCGGTGTGTTCGGACTCGCGCTGCACGTCGCGCGGTGGTGCACGAGGGCGCTAATCACTGTCACCCGCTCGCGCTCCTGCCAGTGCGCGAAACTGGCTTATAATCGATATTGGACCAGCTATACGAGGCCGACCCCCCGCGACGCTTCCCTTCTCGCACGGGGGCGCGCACCAGCCGGCGCTACATTGCACTCCTACCACACGGCGCGTGGGCATGCATTAGAGTGTAACTGAATGGGGTGGGCACATGCCCTGCGGAACTGACTACATACTATGCCTCCCCCAGAAGCGGCGGGGGTACCGCCGTTCCGCAAATATATCTCCCCCCTCTCCCCCGTTTGCCTTCCTACTCTGCACATGGGTGCCGAATCCACATGCCCTCCTATGTACCAAATTTCACGAAGAGCGGACGAGTAGGGAAAAATTGCGCAAGGATCCAATACTGGCGCACCCCCAGAAACAGCGGTTTGGCGCTGGCTCGGGTTACGCCCGGGTCACATAACACCCCACTATCCCGACAGGGTATAAAATTCTGAAATACCTGGCCGATATCACGTTATATAAGAGGGCCAAAGGCCCGCACGCGCCGTGGCAACGCCACGGGTGAGCACTAGTCCTATGGGCTCTGAACCCGACGAACAACGTAACGGACCACAGGATGCCGTAACTGCATCTTACACTTACCCCCAGCATCCAGATATCCGACGCCATCCGACGTTACGGTATCACCGATGCCACCTCTTCCCTCATTGTCGTCCGGATATGCTCTCCGGAGCCCGCGGATGTGCAAGGCCTCATGGGTGCCGTTGTGGAAGGCGATCTTGTGCTTCTAGACAAACTTGCAGACATCACCGACTGGTCGAGTATCAAGAAGGTTGGTGATGCAGTCTTTATGCATAGTACATGCACACTGACCGGGGTGCTTTACAGTACTACAAGCTCAACGGAGAACAGGCGTTCAAATACGTGCCACAAAACTCGCCTCAAGAGCGTGAAGTCATCTCCGAGATCGTGACAAGTTCTGTTGCGATGAAGAGTGTTGCGGCACAATGAAGGATGCGGTATATGACAGACGTTGTAAGACGCCAGAGAAGATGTTGTACTGTACCCTGTGCCACATCAAGCATCACAGTTGCCAGTCGCTGACATATGGAGGAATCTCATCTAATCTAATCAACAACACTCTATGTGCACCAGTTTCTTGCGCTCTTCGTCGCGACCCACCATCGCCGCGTACGTGCATGTCTAACAGTGAACTCCTTGGACTCAGTCATTCCCATCCTTCCTCCCTCTTTGACTAAATCCTCTGAGACTCATCTATCACTGCCCACCCTCGGTGGTTATGATCATGAAATCCAACAGATGCAGCGGAAACTACTTGTGACGGATTTGGGTCTGATGAGGTGCTGCGAATATTGGCCGCACTGGCCGTGAAAGTGATGAGGTAGTCGGAGATCGCGAATGGTTGAACAGAGGGCTGGCGAACGAGCGAACTCAGAGGCACTTCCGGCGCACCTGCCAGGCCAAGCCTCGAGCGCCGTCGAGCCTTCTTTACGGTGCACCGGACATATGCGAAGCGGGATAGGGTTAGGTGTCCAATGTCTGCTTCCTCACTCTCGCCCGCGTTCTCCAGGGCTGTCGCCTCCTCCTCCCGGCGCACGCTTTCCACTAGCCATGCACTCTTAAGACCGTGCGCTAGCGCATATTCGCGAGCGGTAGCCTCCCGAACGCTTTCGCGACGTCACTACTCTCAAGACCCGAAGCAAAGTCCGAATCCCACCCACCAGACCTCGCTGGGGGGCCGGGACAAGGCCGCTCTCGGGGTATGTCGCTTCATACCCGAATTGTGCCCTTATGGGCTTACTGATGTTCGGACTGCAGGTCTTCACTCCGCTCACCGCAGCGCTGTTTGTCGCCACCGGCGTCGGGCTCTACTTCTACTTCCAATACGAAAAGGAGCTGCTGCAGGAGCAACGCAGTACGTCTCTTCCGCCCGTTTCGCGTCCTTCCAGGCCCACGTCAACTCCTCTGGTGTCGCTGTAGGAAAGGAGCGCGAAGACCAGGCGGTCGGTAGACCGAACGTCGGCGGTCCCTTCACGCTGACCACGCACAAGGGCGAGACGTTCACCGAGAAGGATCTCTTGGGCAAATGGAGCCTCATCTACTTTGGCTTCACGAACTGTCCCGACATCTGCCCCGAGGAGCTCGACAAGATGAGCGCAGCGGTCACCAAGCTTGGTGCGTCCGCTTCCCGTCCTTTTCTCTCTTGTGCACGTCCTCATACATTCCTCTCCCCATCACGCCCCACAGACGCAGAGTACGGCCCGATCACCCAGCCCATCTTCATCTCCGTCGACCCCGCGCGCGACAGCGTGCCGCAGGTCGCGCGCTACGTCGCCGAGTTCCACCCGCGGCTCGTCGGCCTCACGGGCGACTACCAGACGCTCAAGGCGACGTGCAAGGCGTACCGGGTCTACTTCTCGACGCCCCCGGACGCGAAGGCGACGGACGACTACCTCGTCGACCACTCCATCTTCTTCTACTTCATGGGCCCCGATGGCAAGTTCGTCGACGCGTTTGGGAAGGCAACGACGGAGGCGGAGGTCGTCGAACGCGTGAAGAAGGAGATTGCGCGGTGGGAGGCCGAGACGGGGAAGAAGGCGTAGATGGGGGGCGGTTTTAGAGCACTTGCGCATTTATTGTACGACTCATCCGGGGAGTAAGGCTCCCTGCTGTAATGGACACTCCGCTCTACGAGGCACGCTACCATGCTGTTCCTGTAGCCGTTTGCCGCACGCGCTGGAGATGTGTTCATCGGTCGGAGGACGGCACTGGGGGTGGGGGTCTGAAAGCGCAAGGAAAGCAACCACGTAACCGGCGGAATGTCTAGTACATGCATCACTCCTCCGCCTCGAGCTTGCGTTTCGAAAGCTCCTTCATACGGCGCATGTAGCTTCGAACGGTCAGCAAACGCCTCGCCTCGCGCGACAGAAGGAAGACTCACTCATCGTATTGGCACCTTCGCAGAGAGACACGTCTCAGCGCACACGCACACGCGAGGGCTGGAGGGTTACTCACTTCTCGTACACGTGCCTCTCGTTCTCGCACTCCCATGGGAGGTAGTACTTTTCCTTCCGGCAGACGTTGAGGGGGATGAGGAGTCTGTCATGGAGAGGTGGTCGTTGAGGGGAGCGTTCGGGTGAACCAGGGTGAGCGGACAAGGTGAGACACAGCTCAAGAGTGACATACGCGGAGCACTGATCCCTCCATCCAAGGGGGACCTTGGCGGCCTTGAGCTCTGCCTGCGAGGCCGTCGTCGGGGAAGTCATGGTGGTGGGCGTGGTGGTCGTCTTCACCGGCCTCGCTGCCGCCTTTCCAGCTGGGCGCTCTGTTGTTTCCGGGGTTAAGGTTGGGATCCCCCATAATGATTCACAAAAAGCTTCATGTTATTCTCGCATGGAGGAGAGGCGGCACCTTGTGCTTCGGATGCCATGATGTACATTATATTGAGGATGAGAGATGATGGAAACACAGCGTCACACTACAGTCCGCCAGTCCGACCTCCTACCACACGCCACACTTGGTCTCGTCCACCTCGCCATTCCGCTCATTTCCGTTGCTGGTCCTGCAAACTTTGCTGGATCGCCTTCTGGATCTCGTCTTCCTCGTTCTCCTCGTCTCCCTCCGCCATCTCCACGTCCCCGCCCTGGGACATCGCGAGCGCGCGCGCAAGCATCGCGTCCTCGTCCTCTTCATCGTCGTCCGCCGCCGGCGCAGCCGCTGCTGGCACAGGTGCGGCGCGCACTGCGGGCGTTGGTGTTGACGCCACAGGTGCGGCCGGAGGGGCAGGAGCAGACGCAGAGGACGTTTGCGCGACTGCGGCTTGGCGGGCTTGCTCCTCTTCCATCGACATGCGCAGGGCCTGCGCGACGAGAAGCCGTGAGTTTCAGATGCGGGGTGGGCTTTCGGGGTACGGGGTGAAGACTGACCATCGCGAGTTCCGGGTCGAGGCTGGGGTCGACGCCGAACTCGAACCCGCCGCCGCTCCCGCCGGCTGCTGGGCCGGGGGCGCCAACGCCCATGTTCTCTTCGACGACGCCGCGGTCGGAGGCGAGGACGGGCGAGGTGAGGACCATGTCGGAGAGGAGGTGCGCGCCGGGGGGCACGGAGAGGTAATGGCTGGCGCACACGCCCCGTCAGTTGAATGGGGGCAGAGGACGCATGCGTGCGCAGGTCGCGGGGGACTCACCAGTTGTCGCCGCTGGTGACGCTGTCGACGAACGTCTTCATGATGGTCGCCTCACCCTCCTCGATGCCGTCGCCAAAGGCGATGATGTCGACCGCGACGTTGTTCTTCTTGAGGCGCTTCGCGAGCCGGACCATGAACTTCTCGTCCGCGGCCTGGCCCTCGAGCGGGGAGCCGAGGAAGACGACTATCCGCTGGCGGAGGTTCTTGTTCGAGCGGTGCTTGAGGGCGAGGAGCGCCTTCTCGATGGCATTCGGGACGTTGGAGAGGCCGCCGAGCTTGGACTCGGCTGTGTGGATGGCGGCGAGGATGGAGCCCAACTCTTTCGTATTTGTTTGGAGAACTTCTGGTCTGCGCAGAGAGATGAGCGGCACACATATTTGCAAGAACGTATGATGGCACACCCTTTACCAGCCATGGTCATGAAGCCGACAGTGTTCTCGGGATTGGAGTCGACCTTGGTCTGGAAGAGGGTGGTAACGGCATCGGCTTGTGCGTGATAGCGATCTGGGTGGTAGTCGCCATTGCGCATGTATTCGGAGTTGTCGACAACGATGACGGTGGCTTCGAGAGGCATGGCGGGCGGAGGCGGGAGGTCGGACGGAGGAGGAGGCGGAGAGCGCGGTGCGCGACGCGTCAGCGCAAGCGCCGCAGACGCGTCTCGCTCGGGCGCCTCCCGCGCAGTCACATGCTTTGGGCTTGGCCTGGATGGTGTAGTGGTTAAAACCTGACTGGCCGGATCTGCACTGAATCTGCGCTCAGTCTGGGCAGCGATGGTAGGGGGGACGCCTTCGATATGTGTGACAGTAAGAGAACCGCAGCGCTGCTTACCGTGTGGAAGAATTTATAGCGTATGGCATTCAGCGGCATTCACTTGGGCACAGGATGGAACAGCCTACAGTAAGCAATGATACATGTAAGATACAGAGCGGCCCGGCATAATAAGGTAATGCACATTTGATAGAGGAACGACGGCAGAGCGCATGACAGCGAAAGCAGGATGACATTGGCACAGAGGGATCGGGCATTGCTCCGAGAATGAGTTAGACGCAGAAACGAGGGTGGACACAGTGCGCGTCTGCTATGTCCAAAAGGCGTACAACTCAGGGAATCGGATGCGAGCGGTTGCGCCGAAGAGCCCTTGTGCTACCCGACCGTCCAAGGGCCTGTTTCCATTCAGCTGACACGAGTAGCAAACCGTCGGTGTGAGAATGGTTGCACGGACGAGGTTTCTTTGTCCGAGACCGGGCCATCCGGCTTGGGGCGTGGGGGCGGAGGGGGGCGTTGAGTATGTGCCGATTCCCGATCTGCCGGGGGTGGGGTGTCGAGGCCCGAGTCGGAGTCGTATCGCAGCGCGGCGGCGGCGCAGTGGCTGCGAGGCGCCTGCGGGAGGCCTGCCCTGAAGCCATCGTGATAACGGGAGGTAGCGAATCAGGGCATCAGATTCAGAGCGCGCCCGCCCTCTGCCCAGCCATCCCGCTCAGCTCTCTCCGCATCCCCCACCTCACAGGTCAGTGCCCTCGTTCTGCTCCCCGCTCGACACTGCTGACGCGCCCCATCTCCCGTGCCTCGCTCCTGGCTGCGCCTGCACTGCGCACCGCGCCTGCACCGCCCTCCCCCTATATATACACACCAATGTTTCCCCCGAGTCCACAGCCCATCTCTTCTCTCATCTCTTCTTTACTCTCTTTACGATCTAGCACGACAACATGGAGGACGAGGTAGCTGCGCTTGTGAGTATCGTCCTTGTCGCACCGCGCTCGCCCCATATTCACTCTCCCAATCAGGTTATCGACAACGGTTCCGGCATGTGCAAGGCTGGCTGTGAGTTCCTCCATTCCTCCTCCCGTCCTTAACCCCCTTGCTTACAATCTCTTGACAGTTGCCGGTGAGATCGTTCGTCCTCCGTCCCGTTCTCCTTGATCCTCATTCTCCTTCAGGTGATGATGCCCCCCGTGCCGTGTTCCCGTAAGTGCTCACGCCTGAGAGCTCTTGCGAGGTGCTTGATTCTGTACCTTCAGGTCCATCGTCGGCCGTCCCCGTCACCAGGGTGTCATGGTCGGTATGGGTCAGAAGGACTCCTACGTCGGGTGGGTCCCATAGCGTATGCTTCGGTCTCCTGTCCGCTCATACCTCCTCAGTGATGAGGCCCAGTCGAAGCGTGGTGTCTTGACCCTCAAGTACCCCATCGAGCACGGTATCGTCACCAACTGGGACGACATGGAGAAGATTTGGCACCACACCTTTTACAACGAACTCCGTGTCGCTCCCGAGGAGCACCCCGTTCTTCTCACCGAGGCCCCGCTCAACCCTAAGGCCAACCGTGAAAAGATGACCCAGATCATGTTCGAGACCTTCAATGCCCCCGCCTTTTACGTCGCCATCCAGGCCGTCCTCTCGCTCTACGCGTCCGGTCGTACTACCGGTATCGTCCTCGACTCCGGTGATGGTGTCACCCACACCGTCCCCATCTACGAAGGTTTCTCGCTCCCCCACGCCATCCTCCGTATCGATCTCGCCGGCCGTGACCTCACCGAGTTCCTCATCAAGAATCTGATGGAGCGCGGTTACGCTTTCCACACCACCGCCGAGCGTGAAATCGTCCGTGACATCAAGGAGAAGCTTTGCTACGTCGCCCTCGATTTCGAGCAGGAGCTTCAGACCGCCGCTCACTCGTCTGCTCTCGAGAAGAGCTACGAGCTCCCCGACGGTCAAGTCATCACCATCGGCAACGAGCGGTAAATATTCTATTCGCGTCAGGCTGTGATACCGCCGAACCTAATGTCATCTTTACAGCTTCCGTGCTCCGGAGGCTCTCTTCCAGCCTGCCTTCCTCGGTCTTGAGGCCGCTGGTATCCACGAGACCACGTATGTTATTGACGGCCTTGACCTTTTAGACATCGACTAATTGTCTGTTTTTCCTCTCAGGTACAACTCGATCTACAAGTGTGATCTCGACATCCGTCGCGACCTTTACGGCAACATCGTCCTCTCCGGTGGTACCACTATGTTCCCGGGTATTGCGGACCGCATGCAGCGCGAGCTCACCGCTCTTGCGCCTTCAAGTATGAAGGTACGTTAAGCGCTCTCTTAGGTACCTTACCGATGGCTGATTGCACGCATGCGTGTACAGGTCAAGATCGTCGCTCCCCCTGAGCGCAAGTACTCGGTCTGGATCGGTGGTTCGATTCTCGCGTCGCTCTCAACGTTCCAGAACCTGTGGTGCTCGAAGCAGGAGTACGACGAGTCCGGCCCCGGCATCGTCCACCGCAAGTGCTTCTAAGCATAGCAATGGGAAAAACGGAGAAGGTGCTGGCGCTGTCGATGTAGTCGATCCCCTACCATACGCTACCGTTCTTATGTTTCCCGCATCCATCACCGCACTCCGCCCGGGATCGTCATCTCTCTGGACGGATGGAATTCTCCCTTGCATCGTGGCGACGGGGGGTGCGCTTGTATTATGTCGCTTTCGGACGTGGAGGTTGAATGACAGAATTGAATGGCTTCGGTGTAATTCTGAACCTTGGCCCGCGGTGTGTGATGTCGCGTCATCGGCCCCGCAGGAGTTGCGCACGACCGCCATGGATTATGGTATATAGCTAGAGTACGTGCGTGCGTAGGGTGGGCATGCGGGCCACGGGACATACGGAGCATTTACGTGTTGTGTCGTCCCCAAGAATCTGCTGCCTACGCTATGTGTGTACTACAGTCTGGGCCGCCAAACGGGTCGCGCCCTGCGATTGCCTTCCTCCTTCCCTCGAGCCCACGTCGGCACCGCACACGCACGAAGCTCGTGTTCGCGCTCGTGCGTCGGGGCCTCACACCGCCTTGGGCACGTTCCACGGGCCGGCGTCGCTGAGGGAGCAGCCGCCGGGGCACTGGCAGGTGCCGCCGAACTCCTTGGGGAGGTTCTCGACGGGGATGACGGCGAGCAGCTTGTCCTTGTAGCCGCCGCCGAGGATGTCGATCTTCGCGACCGTGGCGGGGTCGAGCCAGGGCTTGATGACCGTCCAGACGGCGGAGAAGGCCCAGGGGGCGTTGATGATGTAGAACCGGCCCATCGTCTCCGGGTAGCGGTCCTGGCCGATCTTGGACGCCTGGGCGACGTAGTCCTTGACGGAGTAGAAGGCGGAGAGGGAGACGTTCTGGAGGTCGAGGATCGTGCACGAGGTCTCGACCGGGTGGCCGACGGCGGCGGAGCAGGCGGGGAGGCGGTCGTTCAGGAACTTTTCGTACTCGTACACGAGCCGCTGGAGCTGCCGCTCCTGGGAGGTGAGCGCGTAGAGGGCCTTGATGTCCAGCTTCCCGAGCCGCTCGACGTAGATCGGCCGGCCCTCCTGTGTGGGCGATGGGGAGCAGGGTCAGTGGGGAAAGGAGAGGTGGGGTGGTGGGGGGGCCGGACGGACCTTATCGGTTTTGTGGTAGTACTGCGGGTAGTACTTGTCCACCTCCTCCTTCTCCTTGAAGTCGAAGTTCCTGGGCGGGCGGGCGCATCAGCGTCGGCCGGCGGCCGGCGGCCGGCGGGGGCGAGGGAGCACCGGGGACTCACTTGGTGAGGTCGTCGACGCCGAACTCGACCCGCCACTTCTCGCACTCGAGCAGCATGAGCTTGGCCTTCTCGACGTCGAACTTGCGCGCGCGCAAAAACCTGCGGAGGTCGGTCATCAGCCCTCCATCGCCGCAGGAAAAGGCCGAAGAGATCGCCGGCCGCGCCCCACCGCCGTCGCTTCCCCCTCCGCCGTGTGCGACGGACGGCGGGGGCGTGCACGCGACGTCGGTGGGTGGAGCGGGGGCGAACGGATGGGGAGGGGACGCACCGGAGGAGGGTGGGGTCGTCCATGCGCTCGGGGACGAGCTTGCCCTCGGCCTCGAGCTCCTGCTTGAGCTGGGCGAGCGCCGCCTCCTGCGTCTCGGTCAGGTTGCCGACCCGCCCGGGCGGGGGCTGGTAGGCAGCGGGTGCGTCCGTGCTCGAGCTCATCTCGCGCGATCTGGCGTGAGGGGAGGCAGGGGGTCTTCGTCTGGGTGTCGGTCGGGGCGGGGGGCTCGGGCGCGCGGGGCGGGGACGACGTGGGCGTGGGCGGATGTGGAGTGCGGGCGATGGGTATCGTGCGGGGGAGGTGGTGGTGGTGGGGAGACGGAAGGGGATGGATGAGGTGGACGGCGCGGAGGACGGCGCCTGGTACGGCCGGCGGGCGCCTGTCCACAACGCTCCTCGCCCACCGCAGAGACGGCTGTGGCACCCTGCGTGCAATCGCGGCACGCACGGCACGGCCGCCGCAGCAATCGCACGCTGTATATTAGGGGCGCGGGGCGGGTACGGCTACAATCACTTTTCATTATGATGTACACAACAGGCCCGGGGCCGCAAGTTGAGTCGCGGCATGCACCGGGCCATCTACGCGGGGAGGCGGGTTTACACTATGGACAGCAGAATAGCCGGCGGGCTGCCGCGCGGGGCGTACTGTAGATCGGCGCGGGGGTGACTCGGCCAGCTCGTGGTGTCGTCGGAGGGGGTGCGGTGGGATGGGTCAGGGTGATGCGGCTGGTGGGGGAAGACGTGTGGGGAGGTATGCAAGGGTGTTGGTGGTGGCTTGCAGGTTGAAGTGCAGTGATCGTGAGCAGTAAATGAGTGGCGAAGAGATATACAAGGCACGGTTACCGGGTCGCATGCAAGTAAGCGATACAAAGGAGCAAAAGAGCAAATGGAGAACCGGAAAGAGAAAATGCGGAAATCAGATAATGTCCCAGAGATCTTCGAGCGCACAGCAGAACTGCACCGTGCGTGAGCGGCGCGCATGACCAGAGACACCGACAACGCTCACCTTTCCGCATGCTACCGATGCGCTGAGCGGGAATTGGCTGATAGAGATCTTCTCGTCCACCAGGCCGTCCGCGAAGTCGTCCCTGCCGCGGGCCATCGCACCCACGAACACAGCGATGTTGTGCGTCTCCGGCAATGTGGGCAGATACTTTGATAGCTTCACCGTCTGCGAGTCTCCGGATAGTGCTGCAGATTCGGATCGCGTGAGCACCTGCGCCGTCGGCAGGCAAAGGGAACGACGTACTGAGCTTGATCGTGTTCGCCGGCAGGTGGTCCGTGACCGGGTTCTGCAGACGCTAGCGTGAGCCTCTGGCGTACGCGACCGCGCGGCCGACGCACCTTGATCACCTTGAGCAGCTTCTCAGGGCCGTTCACGCCGCGGATGGAGAGCTTGTGCAGGAGCTGGACTGGAGGGCCGGAGGGCGCGTGGGCCGATCGATTAGCCGAGATCGCGCCTCGCGAAAAATGCACGGCCGGAGGGGGCGAACGCACCCATGAGCCCGCTGAACCGCTTGAAGGTGCGGGGGATGCGGACGTGGGGGTTGACCTCGATGAGGACGCCCTTGGCGGTGTGGATGTACACTTGGAGGAGGCCGGCCTTGTTCAGCGGGGAGTCGAGCAGGGTGAGCAGGCACTGCGGGGCGCGCGCCGTCAGCGCGCTGTCTGCGCCGCCGCCGTCGCGCACGAGGAGGCGAGCGGGGGACGAACGGGGAGCGCACCTGGTGGGTGATGTCGGGCCGCGCGTCGGCGATGTCGCGGCCGGTTTTGGCGAGGATGCCCTGGTGGTCGTCGCAGTTGAGGAGGGCGTACTTGATGTCGCTCTCGCGGCCGTTCTTGCCCCGGCCGGCGGTGCTGACGCGGTAGGCCTCGAGACAGGCCTGCTCGAGGATGACGTACAGCCGTCTTTGGGTCGAGTTCGGGCCCTTCTTGGGCACCTGGGCCTGCACGGGGAGCAGGAGCGGGTTCGCGGCCTGGAGGAGCGGGTTGTTGGGGTGCGGCGGGTGCTGCTGCATTTTGCGGGCCTTGGACGCGGGGAGGGGGCGGGTCGGGCGTTCGTTGACCTTCGAGTCCGCGAGCACGGCGGTGGAGACGGGGTCGGTGGTGGCGGCGCGAGAAGAAGAGCGGTCGATCTGCATGGCGTCGACCCCGGGGTCGGCTCCGTTTTCGGTCTCGTCGGCGGAGTCGTCGCTTGAGTCGTCGCTTGACGAGCCCGCGGCGGCGGCGCCCATCGCCCGCCGGTCTGTTGGCGGTGTCGACTTGGGGCGGGTGGGGACGTCAGTGCGCAGGGATGCCGTGCGCTGCTCGACGGGCGAGACGGTCGGCCGGGTGATGTTGCCGGAGTGACGACGGCGGCGAGGGGCGACGGTGGTGGACATGACGGAGGAGGAGGAGGAGGAGGAGGAGGAGGAAGAGGGGGCGGGGCAAGGGAAAGAACGAACTCAAGGGAAGGGGAACAGGGACGATGAAGAGGGAGGAGGAAAGAGCCAGGGAGACGCGCCCCACACTCTGCCCGGATCGGCCCCCTCGCCCGACCGCTCGCACGCAGCGGACGCCCTCGTCTTCCTCTCCATGCCCGCGACGGTCCTCGTCCCATCACACCATGTGTCCCCGCCTTCTGGCACTAATTGCTGGCCATCCCAACGTAAACACCCCGTCGCGAAAATCATTCCACTTCTCGCCCACCCGACCAAACACCGACTCCTCCGCCGGTCAATGTGGTAAATGACTTCTCGTTGCTATTCGCCGTCACGACAAAGCGCAGTCTCTGCCTAACCCAGCACCCCCCGCTCCGACCGCGGTCATACCGAACTCCGTCCCTCCACCGTCGTCAGCTGAGCGTGTGGGGAGATACCCATCCCCGCGCCCCGTCTCGCCAGCGTCTCAGAGACAGTACCTGCGTGCAGCCGAATTTGAGTCGACAGCATCCATACCGAGACAAACGCCAGCTTACCGCCGCTCGCCGAAGTCGCCCAGCCCGGGGATGATGTACGCCTTCTCGTTCAGCCCCTGGTCGATCCAGCCCGTGATCTGTGCAAGAGACCGTCAGCAAAGACCACCACGGCCGCGACGACGGCCTGGACGCACCACTCGCGTCTGGGGGAACTTGGTGCAGAAGTTTTTGAGGCCCTCGGGGGACGCGATCTGCCGGGCAGACCGTCAGCGTCGGTGGGTCTCGCATGCCGGCAGCTCCGCCGTCGTGCGACCTCGCGCATGCTCGCTGCCGAACGCCCCGTCGCGCAGGACGCGACCCGTCCGCGAACCGCGGGCGCATGGCGGGGAAGGCGGACTGACCAGGTTGATGAAGATGATGCGCTCCTCCGGCACGTTGTGCTCCTTGAGCACCTCCACCGCTTTGATCGCCGAGCCTCCCGTCGCTGACCGCCAGGCGCACAGTCAGTCGCGCCGCGCGCCGCGTCCCTGCTGCCGCACTCACCGAGCATGGGGTCCAGGAGGAGGACGTAGCGCTGGGCGATGTCTGCAGGGAACTGCGTGGGCCGCGGCCGCTCTCAGCGTGCAGCCCGCGGGGTAACGCCAAGACAGAAGGAGCCGGAGACGCACCTTGGAGTAGAAGAGCTTCGCCTGTGCCGTCTCCTCGTCCTGCGCGCGCGCCCGTCAGACGGGGAGGGGGTCGTGTGAGGGAAACGCACCCGTTGGATGAGGATCTTGCCGATCCGCACGCTGCGACAGACCTCGCGCAGACCGGCCTCCATCGCCTCGCCGGCGCGGAGGATGGAGACCCCGCAGATCTTGCCCTCGAAACCGACGCCTTCATACGTCGACCCCTGCGCGCCCGGCTCTCCTCAATTGCTCTCCTCCCACGACAGGGGATCGAGACTCACTGTAGGGGTGGTGACAGTTTTTGGGAGGACGGGGAGGTGGTTGAGGCCCTCCTCGACGAGGAGGCGGATGATGCGATCGGAGTAGAAGAGGAAGTCGCCTCGGCTGGTGTCCTTGTCCCGGATGATGGTGAAGAGCGCCTCGAGCTGGGCGGTCTGGGGAAGAGTAAAGACGGAGGGAGGCAGCGAGGCAGGCGTGGTCTGCGATGTGGGTGAGTTTTGGACGACCATGGCGGACTCTGTGCAGGTGAGCGGGTCGAGGAAAGACGTGTGCCGATACGGGCTGGGCAGGTGCTAGCAGCTACGCGCTTCTGGGGACGTGCGATAGATCTGGAGAAAGTATATGCAGACGCAGAAGAGAAAGTGCGATGGGTACGTCCCAGGTCCGAGCTGGGCTGGACGAGGAGACGGCGGAGGGAGGGGAGGAGAGTCAGGGCGCGAAGCCTTATAGCAGCTCCTAGCCGCCGATCAGATCATTCACCGGGTCAAGGCTGCATTGGTGTGGAGAGCAAGTACTACGCAGTGGCTCGACAGTCGGGGACATCGTTCAGGGCTATCGGTGCACTCTCACGGCGCGAGAAGTAGAAGATGTGTATCGAGCCGTGTATCGCCGTGTACCCCGCGCAGGCGGCTCATCTCACAAGCGATAGGTGCCTGTCAATCGTCGCGGACAGGGAGAGTCGTGTGATACTGTATGAAATACTCTGACGAACGGACATGGCCACGCTGTTGTGGAAAGCAAAGAGCTGTGTTGGATCAATTCATTGAGAGCATCTGGGCGTGTGCCGTAAGGCAGATCGGCGGGAATGTGCCATGCCAGCGAGGGAGGCCGGCGCGACCCATCCCGCGGGGAGTGGGGGGAGAGGGAGAGAGAGAGAGAAAGAGAGAAAGAGAGAGAAAGGGTCTGGACTCTGGAGGGACGAGGACGAGGAGGACGCTCCGAGAAAAACGGATCGTGAGTGATCCGGGCCCGCTCTCCGCTCTTCGTCTCCCGCCTTCATCTCCGCCAACATCGACTATAAGGCCCCCGCCACAAGCTGCGCTCACCTTCCTCGGTGTCGCTCTACGGCTTCTCGCTCCCTCTGGACGCACGCCTCCACCTCCCGCCAGATGTCGCGCATATAGTCGGGTCCACAGCGGGGGTGATCGCCCGCGCTTTCCCCCCGTCGCCTCGCTCGCCGCCAGCCACAGGGTGTATACCGCCCGGTCTAGCGTCCTGCGCTCTCAGCGTCCAGATCTTCATCCCACTCTCGTGAAACTTGTCCGTGCTGGACCGGGGCCCAGACATTTGATGTCCGCAGAACCTCCGCGTCAACAGTACGTAGCCCGCAAGTAGCCCGCTGCTAGCCACCTATCCTCCAAGGACCAAGACAGTCCTGGCCCCGACCCGCTGGCTAGCACAAGCCCTAGGGCTCCCTGTGGCCGCATGGCCGCCCGACGAATAGCCCGAGCCTGAGCATCGCCCGCTCGCGCGGCTTATCGGACCCAATAGGCCTTGCGTCACCGCGCGTTCGCAGCGGGCGCGATGTTGATTTCGAGACACACCCACTCCACGCCTTCGCAGCCCGCCCTCTTCAGTCCGCTGTGAGAATTCTTATCTCCCATCCCTCGGCGCCCGCCTTTTGCCCTTCCGACTATCCTTAGCCTTTGCCCGGCACACAGACGCCCCTCCCGTTCGCTTTTCAACGGTGTGCAATGCCCACTCGCCTTGCTCCCCTCTTGTCCCCAGCCCGCCACCATCCTCCCCCAGCCCCATCCGCCAGTGATCATGGCCTCCGCGCCCCGGGACGATCCTTATACTGCCTTTCCCTACTCCGGGCCTCCGTCCTCAGGCCACGGCTCCGGCGCTCCCGCCACTCCCATCCCCGAGCAGATGAATATCGGAGCCGAGACGCCAGGCACGCCCGCCACTCCGTACACCAACCCGTTCTCGACTCCGGCACAGAACTCGTACGCTGGTCTTCCAACCGACTCTCCTCGGCTCTCCCGCCCATTCCTCCCCGACGGCAATCGCAACTCAACCGTGGAGGGCACCGCGCTCGTCTCAGAGAAGCCGTATGCACCGTCCAGGCCCCGGCGAACTCTCAAGAAGTGGCTCCTCATCGGTGGAGCTGCGGCCATTGCCATCTTCCTCGCCGTCTTCCTTCCCCTCTTTTTCTTGGTCATCAGGAAGTCTTCCGGTTCTTCCGGCAGCGGCGGCAACTCTGGCTCGAACCCCGGTCCCTCGTCCAACCCGGAGTCGCCAACAGGCGCCACGAGCGGCACGGACGGTTCCGTCATTGAGATGGCCGACGGCACGACATTCACCTACACCAACCCCTTCGGCGGTGTCTGTACGTCCAGAAATACTCGCTGCCGATTCTGACGCACTGAAATCATCTGTCAACCGGCACCCGTCCTTGCGAACCCGCACGCGATCGGTGTTCACAGGGGTGTCCGACCCGACGAACCCGTTCAACAACAGCGCGCGCGCGCAGTCGTTTACGCCCGCGCTGAATGAGCCGTGGGACTACACCAAGGACCAGATTCGCGGCGTGAACCTCGGAGGATGGCTCGTCGTCGAGCCGTTCATCGTCCCCGCTCTGTTCGAGAAGTACCAGAACTCAACGCCGAGCGTCGCGCTTCCGGGGGGGCTTGTTGTCGACGAGTGGAGCCTCAGCGTCGCGATGCTGAACGACACCAGCGACGGTGGTGGCATCCAACAGATGGAGGAGCATTACAAAACGTTCATCGTGCGTCTCTCTGCTGCAGTCTCTCACCTTGGCCTCGCAGCCCGCATCTGATATATTCTTAACTCCTGCTTCCCACATCAGACCGAGCAGGACTTCGCGCAGATCGCCGGTGCCGGTCTCAACTGGATCCGTCTCCCTGTGCCGTATTGGGCAATTGAGACATGGCCGGGCGAGCCCTTCCTCGCGAAGGCGGCGTGGAAATACGTGCTGAATGCGTTCGAATGGGCGCGCAAGTACGGCCTGCGCATCTACCTCGAGCTGCACACCGCACCAGGCTCCCAGAACGGCTACAACCACTCCGGCCGCCTCGGGCCCGTCAACATGCTGAACGGCTATATGGGCATCGCGAACGCACAGCGTACGATGGACTACATCCGGTATATCGCCGAGTTCATCACCCAGGAGGAGTACGAAGACGTGGTGCCTATGTTTGGCGTCCTCAACGAGCCTCTTTTGGGCATCATCGGGCGGGACCAGCTGACGCGATTGTACGTGCTTGGCTATCTGAGTTCGACGCTTGTGCTCACGCCCCCTTCGCTGCAGCTATCTGCAAGCCCACGACATGATACGCGAGATGGTCGGTAGCAGAGCGTCGCTTCCGTTCGCTCTTATCTGATGGTGCTGGGACAGACCGGCATCGGCAAGGGCGCGTACATCGTCATTCATGACGGCTTTCAGGGCACGGGCTCGTGGGCCGACTTCTTGCCTGGATCAGACGTACGTCCTGCCATACTTGCATTTTCTCACAGACTAAGCCGTTTTGGCAGCGCATTATCCTCGACACGCACCCTTACGTGGCGTTTGGCGGCGACTTCAACCATCCGCTCGATTTCTGGCCGCAGACGGGCTGCATTGCGTTCAACAGCAACGCGTCACAGGCCACGTTCGGCCTCACGCTGTCGGGCGAGTTCAGCGGCGCGATCAACGACTGCGGGAAGTGGGTGATCAACATCGGCCAGAACCCGTCCGCGACCGACTGTGATGTGTGGAACGACTGGGCGAACTGGACGGCCGACATGAAGACGGGCATCAAGAACTTCGTCATGTCCCAGATGGACGGCATGCACCAGCCTGGCTACTTCTTCTGGACGTGGAAGGTCGGCAACTCGTCCGTCACGGGCAAGGTCGAGGCGCCATTCTGGTCGTACCAGCTCGGTCTCGAGAACGGTACGTCTTCTCCGTCCTCTCGTCCCACCTTTGGGGCACCCTCTGACCACGCGTGCCCTCCAGGCTGGATCCCGACCGACCCGCGCGAAGCGCTCGGGCTCTGCGAGTCGCTCGGGTTCGCGCAGAACGCGCCCATCGGGACCTACCAGCCGTGGCAGACGGGCGGGTCCGGGGCGGGCACGATCGCGGCGACCGCGCGCGCGTCGTTCTCGCAGTACCCGCCCCCGGCGATCTCGAACGTGAACGGGGCGGACGTGGCGCAGCTGCCGGTGTTCACCGCGACGAGCGCGGTGCCGACGCTGCCCGCCCCGCAGTTCTCCGCGGCGACGACGAGCGGCGGGGACGGCTGGGCGGACGCGGCGGACACGAGCCTCGCGGCGGCGCCGATCGCGGGGTGCGCTTATCCGAACGCGTGGGGACCCCAGCCGGGCTCGACCGCGGCCGTGTGCGGGGGCGCGGCGCCGACGCCGCCGCCGTCCAAGTGAGGGTGTAGATGGGCCATGTTGGTGGCGACGACTTGGGCGGTTCGCCACACACGGATGACGGATTTGTCCGCCCACCGGCCGACGGGGCTCCCGATCGACGATGATTTTATCGCATAGAGGCCCACGGACCACGCGCAGAGGACTCGGCTTGTGTGCATCGCTCGCACTCTCGCGCTCACGACCCCACGCACACGTAATGTAACCCGTATTTACCTACACGGACGCCCTGCGCTTGCGCTGCTTTGGATACTGACGGATATGTACACTCGTAGGATACGCTGTACTCGCCCCTTGCTTTCATTCGCTTTCTAAACACGATCATTCTCTCGGTGCTGTGCCGCCAGCTGCATCCATTAGTCCTATGTAGTCTTCAGCTTCAGCCTCCAACACCCACCCACACAGACACCTTAAACCCGCCGTCCGCCTCACCCAGGCACGACGTCCGTCCTCTCCGCGCTCCGCGGTTCCCTGCACATCTAAAGCGCGCGCGTACGTCCCTCCGTCAGCACCGAGCCCGCCGCAGGCGGAAGAAGACGACGCTCACGATCCGCAGCGCGACCGGCGCGCGCGGGGCGCCGACCGCGGCCTCGCGCACGACCGCGTACCCCGCGCGCTCGTAGAACGCGCGCGCATCCGTCGCGACGAGCCACACCGCGCGCCCGGTCGCGTCCGCCTGTGTGTGGGGAGAGCGCCCCCGGCCGTGTCAGCGTCAGCGTCGCGCGAGGGGGAGGAGGGAGGAGGGGGGACGTACGTGCGCGTGCAGGGCGGCGAGGAGCGCGCGGGCGTGCCCGCGGCCGCGGTGCGCGGGGGCGGTCGCGAGCAGCTCGAGCTCGAGCATGTCGCGGCGGCGGCCGAAGGCGGCGCGGGCGGCGCGCTGGACGGCGGTGAAGAGCTCCGCTTTGCGCTGCGGGAAGAGGAGACGGGGGGTGAGCGCGAGAGTCCGGATGGGCGCGGCGGGCGCACGCACCTGGGAGACGGCGGGGGCTGCGAGGCGCGGAGGAGGGGCGCGAAGGTGGTGAGGAGGGAGCGCGAGGGAAACGCATCTGGCGTTCTGCTGTTTGGGCAGGTGGGTTTATACGTGGGGGGATGCGCGGGGAACGGGCGTACTACTGGAGGAAAGCATTGCCGTTGGCGGTGGTTAGGGAGGTGCCGCGGCGGATGCCGTCGAGGAGGTTGAGAGGAGGATGAGGCGTTCGCGCGGGGCGTGTAGCCGGGCGTCGTCCGCTTCCTGTGCGCGTTTCTGAGCCGAAGCGTGCCAGTGTCTGAGGAGGAGGACGTACGGAGAGATAGCGCATCTCGGAGGTGTTGCGGAAGGCGGCGAAGACGTCTTTCGCCGCGCGATGGACGTGCGCTGCGCGGAGTTATGCCAGTCATAAATGCGAACGATGAGGGACGGATATGGACACGGACAGTAAGTGAGCGGGGTCACCAGAGAACTGTCATCTAATGCCGTGTGCAGCGCGGAGTCAGCCCGGGGAGGGACAGTGAAGCTGGACCGAAAACATCGGAGGACAGCTGAGAGACGGAGCGCGCGTGCCGCCGGACCGGGGCTGCTAGACGGAGGTTCATGCTGTCTGGGAGGGAATGCGAGCGTGCTGTGAGGGGGGCGAGTTTTATTGCGGGACGACGCTAGCCGCGGCGGCTGGCGGCGAACATTTTCAGAACCGATCGCGCGTTGGAGAGTGCGCTACGGGACGCACGGACAGCGGCGGACGCAGTGCGGAATATCAAGCACAATGTTACGTGGAAGCGACCTAAACGTAAACGTCGACACCGACACCCGCACTGTGCGTCCTCAGCGCTGTGCACTCTGGTGCTTTCTGCGCCTCACGAACCATCTGTCGAATGTCCGTCAACGAGCCCTCATACACGAGCGAGACAGCGGACTCACAATCCTGATCGGGATCGGCCCGCGGTGCCATTCCGGGTTGTCTTGCGCAATCCAGTCTTCCGCTACGACCTTGAACCCGTGGTGCTCATAGAACCCAGCGGCGTCGGACGTGAGCAGCCAGGCCGCGACCCCCTTTTCGTCAGTCTGCGTACAATGTTAGCCTCCGCAGAAGTTGAAAATCGAGCGTCGCTTCTCGCCATCTTGTTGAACGCCCGCATCAAGGCACTCGCGTACCCCCTCCCCTGCTTCTCCGGCGCGGTCGCGAGCGCGCATAGCTCCATCATCTCCGCCTCTCTATCCCCGATGGCCTCTCCGTGCAACTTCATGTATGCCGTATTGAACTCTCTCTTCCGCTGCAGCCCACCGTCAGCCGAACATCCCGCGAGCCTGAACTCGGCCCGCGACTGACCGACGTCAACTTCTCCGGCTGCGTGGCTTTGATGAACGGCGCCAGACGCGCCAAAGCGGTCGACCCAGGCCTTTCCTCCCCAGGCAAGATGCTGTCAGGGCGCAAGCCGAGTTCAGCGACGCGGGACAGAAACACGACGGGCCGGAAGACGTACTACTGCAGCACCGAGGCGCCGTGGTCCACGGTGAGGATGCGCCCCGCACACGCCCCGTGGTAAAACATCCAGCCAATGACGAACTTCTCGCGTATTGGCCGGACCCACGCGATGTCCGCGTCCTGGGCTCGAGATGAGAACGCGTCTGGCGAGGAGAAGCCGTGTGGGCGCTCACCATGAAGTACTGCACTTCGGTGTCGCCGAGGAGGGCGTTGTACGAAGCGGTGACCGCACGCCATGTCTCGGCTTGGTGTGTAGATGTCGTTAGATGTCGGGCACGGACATATGGGTGGACGAGACTCCTCACATGTCCGCAAAAGCCGGACCTCGATATCAGCCCGGCTGCCTTGAAGGAGGGGGGAAGATTCGTCTTGGTGTTTCATGGCGAGTACAAGAAGTCGAAAGCAAGCTCCTAGCTGGACACCGGACGTCTTGAGGGCACAGTACACTGGTCAAGGTACTTGTATGCGTTTCAAGAGATGCGATGACTAGGACGGCTGCGGGACAAAAGATGCCAGGAACGTCGCAGCAAGGCGCAGCGGCTAGCGGATAGCGAGCTATATCCGAATTGGCCACATGCACGAGGCGTTGACCCTGGACTAGTCTGCTACGCGAAGTATTTGGCTCGTCCCGAGGACGTCGTAGGGGGGGAGGCACATAAATTTATGATTCGCAATCGGAGTCAGGACAATCAGATCACGTGTACGTTTCACACCATCCGCCTCCTCTGTGACCTCCACGACTTATCCCGTCTTTCTCGCCTCCCGAATCATCTGTAGGCAGATCTGTCAGCTCTCCGAAACGCAATGCTGCCAGCCTGCTGTGCCGAACTCACAACGCGCACAGGCACCGGTGGACCATCGTACTTCGGATTGTCCTTCGCAATCCAGGTCTCGCCAACCAGCACGAAACCATGCAACGCATAAAAGCCGGCTGCGTCAGTCGTCACCACCGATGTCGCTCGTCCTTCCGCGTCCGCCTGGTCACCGTGATAAGCCAGTGTCGCAGCTCCGGTCACACCAGCACCAACTCACCATCGCGAGCAGACACTGCACCAGCGCGCTCGCGTACCCTTTCCCCTGCGCTTCCGGCGCGGTCCCGAGCCCCGCGAGCGTGAACATCTCCTTCGCCCTGTCGCCCAAGGCCTCCTCTTCCAACTTCTTTATCGCTTCGACGAACTCGTTCCTCCGCTTCGGATGCATCTGGGCGTCAGCACAGGCAGACCATGGGCTTGGAGCGTTCGCGCCGACCTTTCTGCACTCCCTTGGCATCGCAAGCCGTATGAGGGGCCTCAGCAGATTCACGAGCCATCCGCCGGGCGTTTTCTCCCCAGGTCGAGCGCTGTGGCAGGTCGCGTCAGCGCCCTTCACCCGAGCACCGTCGACGAGCGGACGGCGTACTAAGACAGCAGCGCGTTTCCGTGGTCGACCGTCAGAGCTCTCTCCACGCGCACCACCAGGAGCAGTGACAACCAAAAACCCGACTTGTCGCGACGTGCTCGTATGTGCCTCCCGAAGTCGGCGTCCTATCGGTGTGGAGCGGGTGAGGGACGGTAACGGCGCCGGAGACGAGGCGACTGACGTTAAAGTAACGTTGCTCAGTGTTGTTCTCGAACGCGCGGTACAGCTTGTCTGCTGCTGTCCATGTTTCGGCTGCGTCGAGGGCATGTCAGTGTTCTAGCACTGCGCCGGGGTTAAGAAACGCTCACAGTATCGAAGGGGCTCGACCACGGGCAGTCCGTCGGAGACCTGCGGTAGCAGGAGCGGTGTTTTCTCGCCCATGCCTGCAGCCGGTGATCTGCCGTCTGCTACGTTGATGGGCCGCAGTCGGGAGTATTCAGAGTCGCCCGGGCTCTATATACCACGAAGCAAGGCGCCCGCGCCCGCGCCCGCTCTCGAGTCATACTTAAAGATACAATCGGGGCACCAGGTGCACTTTGCACACCGTCAGGATGCATTTCACTGCGCAGTACGGCGCAGCGAGGTCGAGACCCGTAAAGTGCTCTGACCTCTGCGAAGCGCTTGCCATCCAGTCCTCGAAATACGTTTCATGAGTTGTCGCCCTGTGCATATCTGATACCGCTGGTCTCGTACATTCGATTCTGGGTTTCGTTGGCTTGCGATGTGCAGTACCATCCTACACTGCAGGACGCGAGGGAGCAGATCAAGTACTGCAGCATTCAGGACCGCCGTGAGATCTTGCGGATATTCCGATTGGAAAGCAACGCGCAGGTGGCAGCGGGCGGGTCAGTCGGACGCGTGACGCGATGCGTGGAGGGACTGGCCCAAGAGAAAAAGGCCGGACGTGGTCATCGTGTTCGAGCGACTCCCGTGGCGCGGAGCTAAGGAACGGGCAGATACACGTATACATACATGTTTGTTCTTTTACGACCCAGCACCACCACCGCGAATTCGGTCGTCGCTGCCGAGCACGCGCCGCGTCACATCTGCCCGCGCCGCATCAGGTTCCGGCGCACGCGCCGCCGCTCCCCGCCCACGCCCTCACCCTTGCCCCAGCGGAGGAAGGGCACGCGCGCGCGCTCGACGCCCGCAACGTCCCCGCCGCCGACGCCGTCGAGCGTGCGCGCGTCGAGCAGGCCCCACACCGGCAGCTGCAGCTCGCCCTGCACGAGCACCCGCGCGGGCGCCGCGCCCCCGAGCGACACGGGGGTGAGCAGGTGCAGGCGCGCGGGCGTGGACGCGGATGGGGAGACGGCGCGGACGAGCGCGAGGCCGAGGCAGCGGGACTGGTGCGGTGGGGGCGGGGGCGCGCCTTGGATGTACGGGAGGGAGGTGGGTGGGGGTGGGGCGGGGTCGAGCGCGCCGGGGTCGCAGGCGACGAGGCCGACGAGGGCGCAGGGGAGGGCGCGGGGGAGCTCGGAGGGGACGACGTCTTCGGCGCCGGTGCCGGAGAGGATGATGCGGTCGAGGGCGGCGGCGACGTCGAGCTCGAAGGGGGGTTGGGCGCAGAGGGGGAGGGAAGTCGACCATTTTGTCGCGGTGAGGGATGGGTACGGCGATGTCGACGGGGAGGTGGGGAAGACTGCGTGGAAGTAGGAGAGGAGGTTGAGGTTCCGGTGGTCCGCGGCGGTGAAGGTGGTTGATTGTTGGGTCAGGGAGATGCACTCCAGCGTGCGGAGGGACACATTCATGGGACCATCGTATGCCGCCCGAGGGTATGTCAGCTCTTCGTCCCTGTGGGTGTCGAAGGCGAAGATGTGGGAAGGCTCGACGTTTTCTTCGACCCTTCGCGCGAGATCAGCTCCCAGACCTTTCGTCCAACCCATAGTGTTCACTACGAGTGGAATGGACGAAGTGATACGGCCGTTATCATCTACATCTGACATCGCGTCTTCGTCCAGAGTCGCATTTTCTACGTCGAGGTGATAGAGCTGCACGAGGGCTTGAATGGACTCCAGGTAAAATGATGGTGAAGTGCGTGGAGACGTAGTCCCTGCGTAATGCGATGCATATGGGACGCTAGGATGCGTGAAGGATGGCCCTGACCAGACATTTTGGGATTCAGACGCATGCCATCTTGATATCATAGAGTATACTCACCAAAAACAGGGCTCTCGAGAATATGGATGGCTACCATCCCACCCGGCGTGAACTCGGACTGCCCCAGGTCGCATTCCAGGTAAGCCACACGCTGGAACCTGGAGTGACATCTCAGGGACGATACGCAACGTTAAGCCAATGCTTGCGCACCTCCCAAGCAGCTTGTTAACGGCCAGCTTGGCAAAGCTGCTCTTTCCAGCATTCTTAGGTCCTTTGACCAAGTACACTTGTCGATTCGCCGACGTCGCGCAATTCTCTGCCATCCCGGGCAGCACAGAGCCAATGGCTTCCTCCCATGACGGAGGCACCACGAAAGGGAAGACGTCCGGTGTCCGGTGAGGCAGCTGCACACGATGACTCAGAGAGGGGGTGGAGGCAGCGCATATATTCGGCAACGTACAAAGTACACGCTGTCGAGCATTAAGTCGAACCACAGTTGGCTACGATGCCATCGCGAGGGCGCAAAGACCCCGTCAAACGTCTGCAGATCCTGCCCAGCCCTTGAACGCCGGTGTGGAGCCTTGTATGAGAATCGCGGCGCCGTGGTGGAGGCGGAAGAGCCACTCTGGTAGGCAGGGGAGTGTGGCGGAGGGACGGGCGGGGGCACGAGAGAGGAGTCTTGAATGATGGGAATGGGAGATGACCGCGGGGCGAAGACAGGATGTGAGATGGAGGAGGGAAAGAGTTGCACTCCAGCGAGGGAGATGGAGCCTTGAATGACAACCAGCGATACGTGCCTAGTAGCGCGACAGTGTCCGACGGGTCGAGGAGGAGCAATGTGCTCTTGAGAGAGGGATCGCCGTACGAGACCTCGTTTGGTTCGAGGTAGAAGACGTTTTGTGAGGACGGGCCGAAACGTGGACAGTGGAGTGGGTGTTTCGTCCTCGGCGGCGGGTTGAGTGGATGGGGCGGGTGGTTGAAGGCGTACGGAGCAATGTCGTCCTGCTCTTCGTCTGAAGAGTCGGCCAAGGGCGCGCTCGGGGACCATGCCCGCGCGCGGTGTGGGGAGCGGTCTTGGGGGCAGAGGTAGAAGCGGCGAACGCGCTGCTAAAGTTGACAGTGCCGATGTTCACGTCAGATGAGGATGCGGACGAGTCTGAGTCGGCATCGTCGACGGCGATGAGATCGTCCTGCGCGGAGAACGCGTCGGGCGTGGGTGGCGAGGCGAAGTAACGTGCGGGGGACGGCTTTCGGTGCTGATCCTTCTTCCGTTTGTTCGCGAAGTCGTTCCGTGGGGGTGGTTTACGCTTTGAGGGGGGCTTTTGAGAGAGGGCGCGGGTCGAGACTCCGGCTTAGGCGGTGGAGGAGAGGAAGGAGTGGATGGGTGGAGGGCGGTGTGGACTGGGCCAGACGGGCTTTGCGGGCAGCGACTGCGCTCAGCATGCTCGGATGGTGGGGACTAGCAGAGGCGACTGGGGAGGAGCACAAGCCTGGCGACCCCGATGAAAATCCACGGCCGGGGCCCGGGCCGCCCACCGCGAGCATCTCAGCTCGCGATCCTTACCCACCAAATCTCATGATCATTCACCACCCCCATGTCCCCGCCCTCCGGCCCACCGCCCGCGACGTCCGTCCTCTTCGCCCGCGGGGTCATCGCCCGCCTCGCGTACTGGCCCGCCCTCCGCATCGCCGTCGACCAGGGCTGGGGCGGCGCCGAATCCGCCCAAAAGCAGACCTGGGTCGCGTCCGTGCTCGTCGATGACTTCGAGGAGCAGGACCCGACGCCTGATCTCAACTTCGTCGAGGACCGCCTGCTTCAGGTCATGGTCGACGAGTTCGACGCGGACCTCGAGGACGGCAGCGCCGAGGCCGTGGCCAAGGACATCGTCAGCTTGTGGGAGGAGGTCGCTGCGGGCAAGACCACGCTCGTGGAGGCGTTTGAGGAGCGGGCGGAGAGGTCAAGGGGAAGAAGGTCGAGGTCGAGGAGGCCGCGGGGGACAACAGCGACTGGGAGAAATGAGCGGCGATGAGGACGATGAGGACGAGGCGGAGGACGCTCCTCAGCTGCTCGATCGCCACCAAAAGCCGAAGGAGGAGCCCGAGTCGACGACGACGGGTTCACGATCGTCAAGGGCAAGGGTAAAAGCCACAGGTAAACCGACTTGTCCCAGTACGTCAATATATTTTTCCCGCGGCGACAGCCTAAAGAGCTGGCCCAGGCAGGTTTCAAGCACTCCCAAGTGTGATGAATCCCACGACGATAGATCGCATTAGATTCTGTGTACAACAACGCTTTTGGCACGGTGTCGCACATGTGGGTACGGTAGTGTATAAAAGCCAACAAGTCTACTGCGGCGAGACGAACTTGAGGCCCTTCTCGATGTTCTTCTTGAGCTCGGAAGGCACGCCGCGAGGAGCTCCTCCTCCTCCTTGGTGATCGCACCAACAGGGAGAATCTTCTCAACACCGTTGGGCTGGAGGGAGCGCTGAATTAGACGTGCACAGAAAATCGGGACAGCGAACACTTACGCCAAGCTCAACGTTCGAGGAGAAGTACTCGATGCCCTGGTCGGCATAGAGGGGGCTCTTGACAAGGTGGGGACAATGACACCCTTCTCGCCGTGAATGGCCGGAGGAGGTCGCCAGTGAAGCGCGCACCGGCGTAGGCCATTGAGAGGGTAGCAGAGCCCGCACCGTCCTTGCCTTGACGACCTCGTCACCACCAACTGGATGCGATGGACGAGGGCCTTGTAGGCCTCCCGGAAACCGCGTTGGCGTGCATAGTCTGGGAGATGAGGGGGACGATGGTCGCGCCTGAGTGACCACCGACGACGGTCACGGGAACCTGCTTGGGGTCGGCGCCAGCGAGACCAGCGAGGAAGCGCTGGGCACGGACGACGTCGAGTGTGGTGACACCGAAGATGCGGGCGGGGTCGTAGACACCGGCCTTCTCGAAGACGGCGGAGACGATGGGGACGGTGGAGTTGACGGGGTTGGAGATGACGAGGACGTGGGCCTTCGGGGAGACGCGGGCGATGGCGGCGGCGAGGTCGCGGACGATGGACGCGTTCGTGTTGAAGAGGTCGTCACGGGTCATCTAGAGCACGGACGGCATTAGAACGGATTAGGGGAAGGAGGCACACATGGGACTTACACCAGGCTGGAGGAGGAAGGGGTGCCAGGTCAGCGCGACAGGCAGACTACAACGCGGACGGAGCACGTACCTTGCGGGGGACACCGGCGGGGATGACGACAACATCAGTGCCCTCGAGAGCCTGGTCAAGCTTGTCGGAGGTGAAGCCGTTGACCTGCGGGCGGAGATGGGTACACGTAGCATGCGCGAAGCAGGGACGAAACGGACCTCGCTCTTGGTGTCAATGTGGGAGACGTCGGCAGCAACACCGGGAGCACCGCGGATGTCGTAGAGGGAGAGCTCAGTGACGTGGGGGTTGAGCTTGAGGAGGAGGGACAAGGGCTGGCCGATGCCTCCGCCGGCACCGAGGACGGTAACCTTGGACTGGCGCGCGGCCGAGGTGGAGAATGCACGGGAGGAGGAGGCGAGGGAGCGGGCGGCGGTGCGGGCGAACATGGCGGCGGTCGTGGACGGTGTCGTGGACGGCGGGGAGGAGAGTCGGAGGAGGAAAGCTGAGCGGGCGTGGGACGCGTCGAGGCGCGTTTTGAACGCGAGCTCGGGGCGGCTCGGAGGAGGCGTCCCCCGCGTCGCGCCCCGCGTCGCGCCCCGCGGCCCGCGCAGCGAGTCGCGCCCGGTCTCCTCCCGCCATGGCCACCGACTTCTGGGCGAGCTCCCACTTGTGCGTCTCTCCTCCTCCACTGTCTGCCCGCACATTGCTGAACGCAGCCGCTGCGGCAGCAAACGGTGGATCGTGGATAGGGCGACGCTCCGGCAGGCCCGCTCAGACGACGAGCTCTATGTCGGCAGCCCGGACAACCTTGGTTTCCTCAACATATTCTTTGCCAACCGTTCGTGCCCTCGTCCGCACCTGGCCCCCGCTGACGTCCTCCGCAGTGATATCAAAGCTGGGCAAAAAGCTCCAGCTCCGGCAGCGGGTCATCGCGACCGCGACCGTCTTCTTCCGCCGGTTCTATGTCAAGAATTCGTACTGCGAGACAGACCCGTTCATCGTCATCGCCGCCTGCTGCTACGTCGCAGCCAAGGCGGAGGAGTCCCCCGTGCACATCAAGACGGTCGTCGCCGAGGCCCGCATGCTCTTCAGCAGTGAGTCCCCTCGCACATGACCCTCGCCAGGAGCTCCAGCCCCCGATTCCAGCCGACGAGTACGGCGTCAAGGGCTTTCCCTCCGACAACTCCAAACTGGCCGAGATGGAGTTCTACCTCGTCGACGAGCTCGAGTGTGACCTCATCGTCTTCCACCCCTACCGCACCCTCGTCACCCTCTGCGGCAAAGAGGGCAGCACCACCCTCCCCGAGGCCGAAGCCGGCGAGGCCGACGTCGACGACGTCGACGGGCCACGCTTCTGGGGCACCGGCGAGGGCAAGCTCGAGCTCCAGGAGGGCGCCTTCCAGATGGCATGGTCAGTCCCCTCTCCCCGCTCCCCCTGCACCCCGCCCCGTGCGCACCCGCCGCCCCGCAGGTTCATCATCAACGACACCTACCGCTCCGAGCTCTGCCTCCTCCACCCACCGCACATCATCGCCGTCGCCGCCATCTACCTCGTCCTCGTCTTCCACATCCCCACGCGCACCGCCATCCAGGCCGCTGCGTCCTCGCACGCCGCGCACGCGTCCGGCGGCGGCCCGGCCACGGCCACCACACGTCCTCGGGCGGCTCGCCCACGCGCCGCTCGTCGCGCTCCGCGCAGAAGAAGCAGCCGCACCCGCAGGACATCATCGGCTTCATGGCGGCCTGAACGTGAACATGAGCCTCGTCGCGACCGTCGCGCAGGAGATCATCGCGCTCTACGCGCTCTGGGACCGCTACAGTGAGGACCCGAGCGCGCACGCGAGCGCGCGCGCGGCGATGCTCCAGCGCAACCCGGGCTCCGTCACGCGGCGGTCGAGTGGGACGAGGCAGCGTGCGGCGGGTGTGAACGCGGCGGCAGCGGTGGCGGAGGGCGCGCACAGCGACCTTGTGACGCCGCTGTTTCTGGTGCAGCTGTTGCTCGAGATGAGGGAGAAGCGGATGGAGGACTTGGCACATCCGGCGAATGGGCGCCCGGTTGTGGTCAACAAGATGCTGGAGAGGACACAGGCAGCGGGCTGAGGCTGATCGTGACCTTTTCCTACAGGGGGATTCATCGGACGTTATAGGCCGGATCCAGGCATTCGATGTCTGCGCTGTAGCTTTTCTACCTCCATTATGTACAAGGTACTATACCTACTACGACAGTCCTTGCATGCACAGCGCTGTATCAGTACCAATATATATGTAATTTAGACCATGCGAGCGATCCCACAACTCGCAAAAGACAATAGAATAAGCAAGAACGCGATCTTCAGTTGTTAGCACTGGGGAAGAGGTCGACCCGCGCGCGTTCCGCCTCAGCATCCGCCTCGGGAAGCGGCCCCGCATGATCGTGGTGGTCGTGGTCGGGGGCCGCAGTTTCTCCCTTCTCCTCTGCGCTCGCCACCTCTTTCACCGCGACCGTCTCCGAGGCAGCCTCCGCGGCCGACGACGTCGTGCTCTCGACCTTCGCCTCGGCCTTCTCCGTCGCAGCCACCTTCGGCGGCTCGACGTTCATCATGCTGATCTCTTCGGCTCGTGCTCCACCACCTCCTCGCGCTCCTGCGCGGCGCGGGCGGCGGATGCGGCTGGCCCTCGCTCTTCATCTCGATGTGCGGGTGGTCGCCGAAGATGTCGCGCCCGGGCTCGGCCTTGGCGTGCGCCTGCGCGGTCGTGTCCGCATCCGCGGCGGGCTCCTGGAGCAAGCCGGGCACGACGGGGACCCCGCCGAGGCCGGGGCCGTGTGGGTTGACTGCCGCGGGCGGGGAGGCGATGGGCGTGGGCGCGGCGGCGCTCTTGTATTGCGCGTACTGTGGACGGTCAGTGTCTAGCGGAACGGAGTTGAGCCAAGTGCACTTACGTCTTCCAGGAAGTCGTTGCTGTGAAGGAGGGCAAGTCAGTGTGTGGGATGATATGCTGGTTGGGGTCACTGACCAGGAGAAGTCCCAAGTCTTCAACCATTTCGCCTTGTGGCACTTGCTCTTGGTCCACGGCAGGCCGTAGGCGAGAGGACTGAAGTAGGAGTAGTTCCAAACGGCGATGACGAGGAGCACTGCCGCGATCTGCAGGCGTACGCGAGGGCGCAGGGTGGATGTGACAAGGTCGAAGACCGAGCAGCTAAGGAGGATAGCAAAGTAGAGCGCGGGGAAGTAATGGTGTAGGAAGAGCTGGCGGCCCATGATCCAGAATGGTACGTAGTGAAGGGCCCAGCCGATGAAAAGGAAGCCACAGAGGGCGTCATACTTAACGACCTTGGCTATAGAGGCGTCAGTGTGGGCGTGCCGTCGAGACTGAATGATGCTTACTGTTATCAAAGTCACGGAAGCCACGCTGCGCACGGAGGATGAGGAGGCCGCGGACAGCAACATACGCGAAGACGGCAGCGGAGCTGAGGTACCAGATGAGAGGGTTGCCGAGGAGGTATATCTGACGGTGATCCTTGACCCAGAAGTTCTACGGAGAACGATGAGCAGGCGACAATTGGGAGGACGATTTACATACAATGCCGCGATGAAGAGTTGGCCACGAGTCAGGCCGCGAGTCGTACGTGTGACGATCAGTAAGGCCAGCGTTGGTCGTCCACATCACTTTCTGGAGTTCCCAGAACTTGGCGAAGAATCCGGGAAGCTTGTAGTTAACCTTGGGGGCGCTCTCCGGCACTTCACACGTGAGTCAGTAGAGTAGATGACAACAACGCGAGTGAACGTACGCTTAGGATGGTAGTTTGTCTCAATGTACCATAGAGAGTTGGCGAGAACAGCTTGCTTGTTGCAAGTTACTTCCTGCTGCTCAAAACCCCAGTCCGGAAGCTTGACCTTGTGCGAGAAGAGATAGCAACCAGTGTTGACGTGACGCAGACGGAAGTGGCTGGTGAGCGTGCGCAGACGTGTGCTTGACTCCTTGTCGCGCTTGTTACCCTTGTGGATTTCCACAATCCAATCGTCGTTGGTGTCGCCCACGTAGCCAGTAATGCCATATCCAGACACCTCTTGCTGGAAGTCGACGTCGGAGACAGGGGGGCGAACATCGTGGGAGTGGAGGGACTTCTCCGTATGAATGTGCCGAATCTTCACGCGAGTGCCATGGGTAATGAAGTGGACGTCATGGTCATTCCAGTCGACATATGGATCCCCACTAGCAGAAGCGTTGACGATGCGCCAGTCGTTGTTGTTGTCACGATGGGGGTAAAGCGTGATGTGTTGTTCTACCAAAGTTCAGCTCAAAGAAAGCTCGGACAAGAGGTAGCTGGACTCACGCTTGCTACCTCCCGGATAGTTGTGAGGGTGGGAGTGAAGGTATCCACCTTGGGTGTTAACGTGACGGAAAGTGATCTGAGAGCCGATGGCGACGTCGGCAAAGGTATCTGCCATTCCGCGGCCGCGAAGTGTGTGCTGGAACTCGGAGCTCATAAAGCCATCGCCCTCACCGGAGTTGCTCAGAATGAGGAAGTGAATGCCGAACGTGGACATGTAGAAGATGATGGGGATGACGATGAGACATAGCGCACGGGCGGCGAAGTGTCTGATGAACAACCTAGGAGAGACGCGAAGGTCGCCGAGAAGATCCCAGAGCTGCTTGAGGGTGCCAAGGCCGACTGTGGCGATGGTGAAGAGCCCAACCCACTTACAGCTGAAGACGGCACCGAGAGAAAGGCCGGTCATGGCGAGCCAGATCCACCAGGAGTCTGTGAATGGCTCGTAGTAGTTCTCATTGCAGAAACCGGTCCAGAGGAAGGTGGTGAGGGCGACGAAGAAGAGGAGAGGGGAGTCGAGGAGGATGTGACGAGACTGAGTGATCATGCCGTTTTCGAAGGTGACGAAGAGAGAGGCAAGAAGTGCAGTGGTGACACGGCAGTCAAGAGCGCGAAGGGTGAGATAGGCAAGGGGAACAGTGGCAACACCCATAAGAGCGGGGACCATGCGCATTGCGACGTAGGGGACGTTTGTGTACACCCTGGGAGGAGGTCAGATGAGCAGGAAGGGATATGGAAAGAGCGCTCACTTGGCAATGTCCTTGAAGTCAAAGTTTCCGTCATACCCAAACAGCCAGCCGGCGAGGGTAATAAGGAGTTTGGCGAGAGGGGGGTGGACGTCGACAAAGTAGGCAGACTTGATGTAACGGGACGCGAACTTGCCAAAATGGACCTCGTCGAAGCTGGGGGCAATGAGCACTGACGGGAGAGACGAGAGGCGTAGCGCAGACGTACACAACACTGTTTGGCTGGGATATGCGGAAGAGGCGGACTGCAGAGGCGACGACGAGGACGACTGCGAGGAGTTTCCACTCGCCGGGGGAGAGATTGAGACCGCCGGAGGCGAAGGACTTGCGGCCCGGCCGGAGGCCGCGGGAAGCAGCCTCGCGCCGTTCGTCGGCGTCGAGATGGTCGTGTCGTGAGTGGGGGAATCGTTGAGAGGCCGGCGCGGGCTGTGGGTGGCGACCAGGCGGAGAGGCCGGCCTGCGGGCACGGACGCTGGCAGACATGGTCTACGCAGCAGAGGAGGGCGTGGTCGCCAAAGAAAACAAAGGGAAAGAGGAGGCAGGGAATGAGAGAAAGCACGCCAACGAGAGCGGTAGGAGGAAGAGGACGATGGAGAACGCGGGGAGAGCTGCGCAGGTGCTCAAGTGCCAGCGATCTGGCAGCACCGGTCGGCGGTGGCCACCGCAGCGCTGCCTGATGTCACGCACGTGACCGCACTTTTCCTCCCTCAGCGAGACGCGCGCGCACATCGCCCTCGCTCCCCATCCCCGACCATGAACATCTTTGGTGCAGAGGTGCGCATCGCCCTACCTCCTCTGCTCGCACTGCTCACCCTCTTTGCAGGCGACCGAGGAAAAGGCGGAGAGCGCGCGTCTCGCGTCCTTCGTCGGCGCTCTCGCCCTGGCGATCTCGTCAAATCTACCCTCGGCCCCAAGGGTATGAACAAAATCCTGCAGTCCG